TATGCCCCCAGCTGATTCTATTGACGAATCAGAACTTTGGTCAGTCCATTCAATGTCCGAATTAGTGGAAATGCTTTATCAAATGTGTTTCTTTGCTGTTGGAGCACCTTTGAATGCTATTTCTTTAAAGAATTTTTATAAAAAGTAAATTTTATTTATTATTGTATATTTGAAGTTTTGGATTTACAAACTGGTGGCAAAGGACAAAAAATCTTTTGGGTAAATAATTATAGGAGAACTCGTGTTTCAGAATGAGTTAACAAGTCTTGATTATTTGTTTATTTATTCACAACCAAAAAAAGTTCCTCAACTCTGTGATTAATCTTGCTCTAAGCTTACATATATCGCTTTAATCCTATTGTATCTTAGGGGCTCTTTTTTAATTTTAAAAATTCATTTTCAATCTCTCGTTTTTTATTTGAAACAATTTTAGACGAACAAAAGCACATTCTGGTGAAATGAGACTAATTCGTCTTTCTAGGCAATTGTTGATTGCTCATTTAATGGTTAGATATTTAATAAAAAATTTTTTTATAAAATTAAAATTTTTATAGGTTCTTTGTATTTATTGTTTATGGAGAACTTATTGGATTTGGAATATTCATTGGACATTAGGCAATACAATGTGTAAAGCCTATTCTTTTCTTTCAACACTTCCCTTCCATTTATGGTCAAATATGGTTGCCGCAATTGCCATAGATATGTTATTTTGTATTAGAATGCCTCTTGGAAGTGTGACAAATGGAAATAAAAGAGTTACTTGGCTAATAGCTATAGCTTGGTAATTAAATAAATAATTGAAGTTAAAAATAATTATAAATATTTTAAAGGATTCTCGCAATTGCTTGTGCTGCCCCAATGACTATATTCCGCGGCACTCGTACTATTCCACGTACTAAACCTGTTCTTATGCAATGTTATCATCTGCATGGCTTTACTAACGAACAAATTATGGGGTAGGAAATTTAAAATAAAAATAAATTAGGTATTAAAATTAATTAGTAATTTAATTAATAAAAATAAATATTAGTAATTAATAATCTTTAAAAATATTCATTTTAAAAAATTATTTTTATTTTTAGTTTTCACTTCTTCCACGTGATAACAACTTTTTATTTGCCTTTGGGTGTAATTCTTTTTTGTTATGTTTCAATCGGTTTATCTCTCCGTAGTCAAGGTGCAAGTCTTCTCCGTCAAGGAATTTCTCTTGCAAATACAGACCAACATAGAAGAATGCAACAAAATACAAAATTAAGATTTTTAAAAGCTTCAGCAGCAATTGTTTGTGCTTTTGTATTAAGTTGGTTACCCTATCAAGTAATGGCCCTTTTACGTGTTGTTTGTGAAGCTGATTCTAAATGTGAAAAAATGGCATCTAATTTTAATTGGCTACAATCAATTTTGCTTGCAAGGTGATAAAAAGCTACTAAATTAATTTTTCTTGGCTTAATTAGAGGAGATTGGATATGAGATAATATTTATAGTTAAAAGAAAGACATCTCTTAATCTATTACAGTTTACCACTAAACACTTTAAATAAAAATTATAAATTTTATTTAAATTTCTAGTACATGTATCAACCCTTTCCTCTATCGTTTCGGCATTTTCCGGAGCAGTGGTGGCAACAATGGAATCAAAACCGAAAAACGAAAAATGGCTGGATATCTTTTAACACCTGGAAATGGAACTTGTTTTGGAGAATCTGGGGCAATAATTCCAGCAATTGCTTTACCTTCATCAACAATTTATAGAAGTGGAAGTAATGGAAGTGCAAGAATATATGAACCAAATTCTTCCTTTCATTCTATTCGAAGTACAACTACCTCGATTGGGTTAATAATTTTTATAAAAAAATTAAAATAATTTTTTTCTCAAATTTTAGAGCCAGAAAATCTACCTCAGCTAATTCTAGAGATTTACATTCTGCTGATTGTTTAACAAATCAAAAAAATATTAATTTATTTATTTTTGATAATCAAAATATTAACAACAATTTAATCTCTCAATCAAAAAATTATAAAGTAAAAAAAATAATTATTCTTATTATTTAAAATTAAATATTTAATTTTTTAAGTTAAATGAAAATAGAAAAAATGGAATGATATATCAACGTTTAGATAATGGATATTCAACAGAAAATAAAATAAATTTACAGCAACAATTACATCCTTTAATTAAAAGATATCCTAGTCCTCTTTAAAAAAAATAATTTTATTGTAAAAATTGTATTTTAAATATTTAAATCTCAATGATCTCTGTTATTTTTTTTGTGATAAATTTATTTAAATTTTATTTTACTTCTAATAGTTTAATAAAACGGAATTCAACAACAATAGCCTTTTCCCTCATTTACACAGAAAAACTATATAGTTAGGGTTGTCTGCTTCAAACCGGAACAAAACTCCTAACGGTTAACCGAAGGATTTTGCGAATAAATACATATTTACTAATTGGACAAGTAATCGTTTTATACACGTTTTTAAAAACAATGTTTGATAAAAATGTAATAATATGAAAAGAAACCAAACAAAGACAGGAATGATTAGTTGACAATAAAAAGAAAAATACTTTAAAATGCCAGTTAGTTACCATATATTCTCTTAATCTTTTTACAAGCTCAAAAAAGTTTGGAAACCATTAAAAAGTTGTTATTCTATTAATTTGTTTGTTATAATAGAGGATATATGGTAATTATAAAATGGGTACTTGCTTTAATGATAATTCTCGGGGTGTAACGGAGCAATAAATATATACACAATTCTCACGGTGTTTTAGACTTTCTCGTTTACGAATATTTTTAAAAATTGGGTTTTAAATAATTTAAATATTTTTTTCATAAAACTTTTGTATAAAATTTTTATTCATTTGATCAGCACAATACTTTTTCATATAATCCTTATCTTCAGTGTTGTTTTTATAAATATCTTCAATTTTTGAACACAATTCAACGGCAAAGAGTAAACGCAGATAGCCCGCCTCGACAAGATCATCCAAATATTTTTTCTGGCTTTTTGATTTCTTTAACGGGTCGAAAAATGGCACCTACGTAAATATAGAATTAATAAATAATATTTTGTATAATATACATCAATATCTCTTTAATTATAATGGTACCCAAATAAATTGTTACAAATGAAAGTTTCGTTTTCACAGGTTATTTTTTTCGGTGGATAATTGTTATAGATCTGACAGCTGTTACCCTCAGCTTTCCCTCACGTTCCCTCAGCTTTATAAAAAGAAAGAAAAAGCCCAAAAAATTTCAGTAGTATTAAAAAAAAAACAGCTAAAAAGAAAAGGCTTTTTCTTCCTTCCCCTCCCCACTTAACTTTCCCATTTTTGTTGAATAAAAGTATTTTGTTAATAGTTTTGTTTTAAAGGGTTTTCGTTAAGGTAGGGGACCAGACTCCCAGGGCGTCTCTCGAAGGTCTCTCGACCCTTGGGAGACCCAACCCTGGGAGGGTATTAATTTTCCTTAATATGGAGGTCCTAGGCGGATCCTTTGATAAGGGATCCGCCCGGATCAAATGTTTTAAAAATTTTATTTACAATAATTTTCGTTGATAAATAAATTTATAATTATAATCAAATATTTAAATTTCTCGCGCGTGTTCCGGAACAATTTCTTTTGCTAAAAATATATAATAATATTATTTGCACTCATTTTACTCTTAAACACATTATCTTCAAAAAAATTTATTAAAATGTTTTATTATTTTAACAAGCTTTAACAAATTTTAACAAGTAACAATTTCCTTAACAAAATGAAATTTTTAAAATTAACAAAAAATTTTTTATCGAGTGCTGTTGTATTGAGTGCCGTGCTTAATTAATGAGTTATACCGCCGATATAAAAATCGGTTCGGGTTTAAGTTTGTGGGTAGTTGGACGAGTTTTAGGGATGGCACGTCCAGGAATTATTGGACGATGTTTCGATACATAATATGCCAAAATAAGAATTGAGATTAGGATTAAGCCAAGGAAGGCATAAATTATATAGAAGTGGAATGTATGTAAAAATGGTGTTTCTTGTTTCTCTTCTTCCTCTGTGGAAACTATAGGCCGAGATTTTGAACAAATAACGGGCTCATCCCATTCCACGGGTCCAAAACATCTCTGGGCACATTCTAAGTCCGCGGGACAGGCAACCTCTTCAAATTCCACTTAAAAATAAAAATAAAATAAAACACAAAAACACAAAATAAAACAAATAAAAACACAAATATACAAACTACAAAAACACCAAAATATTCTTTTCTAAATTAAGAATGGGCAAATCGCAAGGTCCAAAAATCACACCTTTCCAAAAATAAATAAAAAAGGGGCCCCACATATATCAAATACCTATAAGAGGTAAAAAATAAAATAATGTTCACGTGAAAAAGAAAATAAAAGAGAATAAAAGCGGTCATATGTTTTTTACTCTCGGCCGGGAGTATCTGACAGGATGTTCGCAAAATGATGATATAGCTTAAAATAAGCTAAAATAGAAAGGAAAAAGTGAATTGGCAGCGGCTCAATTAATTACCCAGAGGAGAATTATTTTTGGTGAATTTGTCAGCAATATTAAACTACAAATTAAACAACACACTAAAATTAACAACACTATTAAAAATAAAATAATTCTGAAAAATATTTATTTAAAATTTTTCTATATTTAATTTTGGATATTTAAAAAAAATACTGGAATCTGAAGAGGAACTCTATACTGCTGACGAAGAGGAGAATCCCGAACTAATAAGGAGAAAAACTCGACAGCAAACTATGGAGGATCTACAACAAAAGCTTAATAATCTTGAAAAGGAAATTACTAAAATTGGAATTGGAACCTCTTCACATGGATTACCGCTTCCAGAATATTACTCTGGACTTGAAGAATTTGATTCTTATTTAAGGAAATTTAATAAATTAGCAACAGCCCATCAATGGTCCGCGGCCAGATGCTGCCAAATACTACCTTTGTATTTGACTGAGGAAGCGAGAGCAATCTATGAATCTTTGGATGCTGAAGCTCGCAATACGTGGAAAGGCCTGACTGATGCTCTTGCCCTTAAATTAAAAAAACTTAATTCTAAAGAATCGGCTCGAAGAACTTTATCGAATAGAAAACAACAACCAAAGGAGTCAATTCTAGAATATGCTCAAATTATTAGAGGTTTAATTAATAAAGCCTTTCCAGAAGGATCTTTTGTACCGATTGTTGGAGAATTACCAGAAGCTCGAGCTCAAAGAATAAAACAGTGGAGAGATGACATTTCTAAGGATTACTTCAAAAATGGTCTATGTATGGAAATTAAAGAAAAACTCGCATTTAGGCCTACTAACTCATTGGAAGAAACTATTAATTTGGCTAAAGAAATTGAAGAAATTCAGTGTTCCCTAAAGGAAGATAAATGTCGCCTACATCAACATAATTTAACTGAACAAGCTTTAACTGAGGTAAATGCAGTCCGGGCCGAAGTTAATGCCATAAAGGATAAATTTGAGAAAAATGATAATATGAATCGACAAAATTGGCAAAATCCTAGAACTGACTGGAGAGGAAGAGGTTATGTTCCCAATAGAGGAAATTGGAGACCACAATGGAATCCAAGGAGGAATTTTGAAAATTTGGGGGAAAACCGAGTGAGATTCCAAAATAATTGGAGGGGAAGTGCTCAAAGTCGTGGATTCCCAGGAAGGTGGGGACAACGCAGAGGAGCGGGATCATTTAATTCAAATAGAATTCCAATAAACAACCCAAGGAACGTTGAGTCAGGACCGTCTACATCGGCCAGAATAAGCGCTTTAACGATGCCATATATTACATTATTGGTAATAATAAATGTTTTAATTTCCGGAATTTCTGCTCAATACCAAATATGTCCTAAGGATAAAAGTGGATTTTCAATTGATTTTCCTTCACCACAAGAATGCTTGTTACCGCCTATGTACAGAACTGAAATGAAAAATGTTACATTGTTTTTGCCAAAATTAGTCCCAAGATATTTTCCTATTTACCGATGTTGGTTGGAGAAACAAACTAAATGTACCAAGTCTATTTTGATATACCAGGAGGATTTGCCAGTTAAAGGAGAAAAATTTTCATTAAGTTTAGAAAGTTGCTGGAACCTGGTTAAAAGCACGAAATTAAGAAGAATTGATGAATTTTTATGGTCCGTTTCATTCAATAATGATTTAAAATATGCATGGTTTGGACAGCATTGTGTTACCGATAAACATTATTTTCTGGAGGAAGGAGAAGGTGCATTAATGAATAAAAGATTTGAGACTAGTTTTGGTGTCTCAAAATCCTTAGATTCTCATACTAGAAATGGTTCTTTTGAAGATAAAGAAAAATTACTTTCCGTTATTGTATGGAACGCTCCCTCGGAAGACTATATCTATACCCATTATTCATTTGGACCAGTACAAGCAGAGATATTTTACAAAAATAATTCTATTAATGGATTAGTTAAAGTTAACGAATTACAATATGTTTTCGCGCCGTCCGAGAACATTTCAAGAAATTCTGAAGTATTAGGTGTTCCTGAGGAGGCTTGGCCAATGGACAATGACGTTTTCATATTAATTTTAAACAAAACTGAAAGAATCATTCAAAAAAGGCAAGTTACAAAAAAACAAAATTTTAGACGTACTACTACCACGACTACTACAACAACACCAATTCCACCAACTATTAAACCAATAAAGACAACAATCCGTCCATTATTAACAACAAAACAGCCAATATTAAGTACAACAGCAACAACACCTATTCATAATAAAAGAATATATACAACACCTACAATTGATTTAAATTATCATCTCCCAGTACAACAACAAATTAAAAATAATTATTTGAAAGGAGATCGAGGTATACCGGGCCCAGATGGAAGACCTGGAGCACCCGGGGAAAAAGGAGATATAGGATATACTGGACCTAGAGGAATGAAAGGAGCACCTGGAGAAAAGGGAGATATGGGTTATACTGGACCTAGAGGGTCAAAAGGAGCATCAGGGCAAGATGCTGTTCCAGGGAGTAAAGGAGAAAAAGGCGATATTGGAATACCTGGAAGGCCTGGACAAGTTGGATTACCAGGGATATATGGACAGAAGGGTTTAGATGGATTACAAGGACCCCAGGGTCCGGTTGGACCTAAAGGCGACAAAGGAAGCCCAGGCATTAATGGTAAAAATGGATTACCTGGACCAAAAGGAGAACCTGGGCATTTTGATGGAAATTTTGAAATCTTCTCTACTTTGGCACCCTTAAATAAAAGAGAATTGTTTGATCCCGAGGAAGCACAAAAAGAACGTGATAATAAAATTAAGGATAATCATGAGAAAAGTAGATTAAATTATTTGTCATGGGAAGAATCCCAAGCTCGAGAGGAAATAATGAGAGAACAGTGGAAAAATACTTGCCAAAATAGAAATCAACAACTACAAATCGCTAAAATTATAGCTGAAACAAATCCCACCAAAGCAGCAAGATTACTCTATGGGAGAAATGATTTAATAGCATCTTTGGAAAATGGAATAAAATTAAAATGGAATTTAGGATTATGTACCCCAGTCAAGGTTGAAGAAATAATATGGGATCAGAAAGTTGAAGATAAATGTTATGAATTATTGCCTGTAAAAATAAGAGGTAAACTATTGTTTGCCACACCAGGAAGCCCTGATCTGTTATTTGAATCAAAAACAAAAGCGTGTAATGAACAAAGAATTATTTTAAATAGAACAAAGTTATTGAATTTTGATCAAGAGCAGCATTCGCTAAAAATTAACCCAATAACTGATGTAAAGACAGGAATTCTTGTTAAAGCCGGAAATAAATTTGAGGAAGAGAAAACAGAGGTGAAAGACATACAAAAATTCTCAGATTTAATTCATCAGTATATTACTTTGCCGGAGGAGATTAAACGACCAGAAGAGGAGGATGTACTCTCAGGAATGTTAGGCTTCCCAAAAATACTGGAAGATGGTAAAAATGTTACGGAGGAAGTTTTTGACAATTTGAAGGAGAATTTAGAGTTTGGTATTGGAAAAGGGAAGGAATTGGCTGAAGATATTCACAATAAAGGAAATGAAATTATTTCTGGCGCAAAGGAATTCATCGAGGATAAATGGTCATTCATGCAGAGATTATATTGGATTTTAATGGCTTTTTTAATTTTGTCAGCCCTATTAGTAATTACATATTTATCATGGAAATTTCGTGCCTTATTCTCTATTATGTGGAAAGGAATATTGATTGGGCGATCGTTTATTAGAATTTTCTTTGGAGGAAAGAGTGGTAGACATAAAAGAAGTGAAATTAAAGTTAATGCTATTGAATTGGAAGAAAAATCCCCTACCCCTTCAGCGCCCACATTAAATCAACTGGAAGAGAAAGCATATATACTGGACTATATCCCATCGATTTGTGCTGTGAAAAATCGAAAAAGATGCTATATTGAAGTAATTTTGGAGGGAATAAGACAAAAAGCGTTAATCGATTGTGGGGCAGATATTTCTTATTGTGGAAGATCAGTCGCTATAAAAAGTGGAATGAAAATTAAAGCTGGAGATGTGCCAATGGCATGGGCGGCTAATTCAACCCCAATTTCATTTTTAGGGTCGGCAATGGCTACAATAGAAATAGGAGATTCTAAGATGAGATGGCCATTATTAATATCTGAAGATCAAGCTTGCCCAGGGGGATTAGTAATTGGAACCGACTTCATGGAAGAAAAGGAACAAATCCATTTAAATTTTAAAAAAATGACCATACAATTGGGGGAAGATGTTTTACCAATGATAGCCTCTATGGAGTTTATGGAAATACCAAAGAAGCAGCTTGAGATAAGATTATTGAAAAACCATGTTTTACCGCCCCAGTCTGATTCTTTTGTTTGGGGAACAATAAACAGAAGTTTTGACCCTACACAGGAATTTATATTAGAAGAGTGGGAAGATCATAATTATTGGCCACTAAAAGTCGGAAAAACGTTGTCTAAACCAGGATCGTCACGTTTAATTCCATTACGATTATTAAATTTTGGAAATTCGCCCCTGCAAGTTTATGCTAAGTCTAGAGTTGGAATATTGGAGCCAATTATTCAGGATAAAAATGAAACAAATTCTATTGAAGTATTTAAAAGGAAGGATGAGTATGTTTCCCCAGAAGTTAATTGGGAGGATGAATTACCTAATTTACCAAACCCTGCGGATAAAAATGATAAAATTTCAGAAAAACTTAATTTAGAGGGTACAGCTTTATCTAAGGAAGGAATTCTGATTTTAAAAAATATGGTGGATGAGAAAAAGAATGCTTTTGTACAGTCTGATGGAATAATAGGACTTTACCGAGGAAAAATTGTGCACCAAATTGAATTAGAACCTGGAACTCGTCCCGTTTTACAACGTCCTTATACTATACCTCACGCATTAAGGGAGGAAGTGGAAACCCAAATTAAAGAAATGCTAAAACAAAACATTATTAAACCATCGTCCTCAGCTTGGGCTTCACCAATTGTCTTAGTAAAAAAGGCTGATGGCAAATCATGGAGATTTGCAGTTGATTATCGAGCCTTGAATAAATGTACAAAGAAACAAACTTATCTTCTTCCACGAATTCAAGACTTAATTGATGTCGTGGGAGGAAAAAGCTTATTTTCTATTTTTGACTTACAAAGCGGATTTCACCAAGTAAAAATGGACAAAAAACACACGGATAGAACAGCTTTTATCACTCATTGTGGACTTTATGAATTTTTAAGATTACCATTTGGTCTGGCAGGAGCACCCCATACGTTTCAAAAAGTTATGGAAGAGATTAGACAACAATTGTCACGAAGTTTCCTAGTATATTTGGATGATGTTATTCTAGGAAGTCAGACTGAGAATCAACATTTGGAGGATTTAAAAGCTTTCCTTAATGTTATGTGTAAAGTTGGGATGAAACTAAGAGCAGAAAAATGCCGATGGGGATGTGCTGAGATTCGTTATTTAGGATTTTTAATTTCTGATAAGGGAGTGAGAATGGATGATAAGGATTTAAAACCTATACTTACCATAAAGAAACCACAAAATCTAGCAGAATTACGTTCCTTGATCGGAGTATTTAGTTACTTCCGACGATTTATTAAAGGCTTTGCTGAAATTATGGCCCCCATTTATGATCTTACTAAAAAGGAATCAACAAGAGATTGGACTGAAAAACATGATAAAATCCTTGAGGAAATGAAGAAAAGATTGACGAGTGCACCGATTCTAGCTACACCACGATTTGGAAAGCCTTTCATCTTAGAGACCGATGCGAGTGGAATTGCCATTGGAGCTTGCCTTCTACAAGAAAATCAACAAAAAGAAATTCATCCAATAGCGTTCTATTCCCGTACTTTAAATAAACATGAAAAAAATTACAGTGTTGTGGAGTTAGAAGCTCTGGCATTAGTATCAGCCCTGAAACAATTTCGAGTATATTTGGAAGGGGCTGGTACGTCTACAGTAATCACTGACAATTCGGCACTTACTTCGCTTTTCCGAAGAAAAGATCTTCAAGGACGACTTGCGCGGTATCAAATGATCTTACAAGCTTTTGACGTTAATATTATTTATCGACCCGGAAAATTTAATAAGGTTGGAGACCATCTGTCACGCTATCCCCCTGAGGAAGAAATAATTATTAAAGCTATTGAATTAAAGGAGAAAATCTCTCGTGAAAAATTAGTTGAAGCACAAAATCAGGACCATGAAATTCATGATTTATTCCAAAAGGGAGATGAAAATATTCAAAAAATTAATGGAATAATATGCAAAAAAATAAATAATGACTGGAAATTTTTAATTCCACAAATTCTACAAAATAAAATTATTAAAGAATATCATGAGGATTCTCTCCAAGGAGCACACTTAGGACTTAAAAGAACATTGGAAAAATTAAAAAGAACAATGAGTTGGAAGGGAATGGCAAAAGATGTGATGGATAAAATACGTATTTGTGAAGTTTGTCAACGAAGAAAAATCGTTGGTAAACATCTTAGCCGAGAGGAAATTTGTCCAATAGAGCCGGCTTCTCGTCCCTTTGAGAGAATACATATTGATCTATTAGGACCAATACAGAAATCAATATATGGACATAAATACATTTTTGTTGCAGTTGATTCCTTCAGTAAATGGGCAATAGCGTTACCAATAAGAAATCAAACTGCAAACACTATAAGTGATATTTTTATGAAGGAAATAATATGCCGATTCGGAATACCCTCTAAAATTGTTACAGATCAAGGGACACAATTTATGTCCGCAACTTTTCAGGATTTAGCTAATACCTTAAAATTCCGTCATCAACCTATTACTGCCTATCATCAGTCTGCAAATGGCATGGTTGAACGCTTTAACCGAACATTGACGGATATGATTGCTACATGTACCGATCAAGGGAAAAACTGGGTTGAAACTCTACCTCATGTTATTTTTGCCTATAATACATCATATAATGAACAAATTCGTAATACCCCCTTTTTCGTAATTCATGGATTTCTACCAAAATTACCAACTGAAGCTGCCCTTGAGGTAGAAAGAGAGAAATTTGATGATATGAATTTATATGTAAAAAATTTGGTTGAAAATCTTCAGAGTATTCGAAAGGATGTGGAAATGCGATTAAAGGGAAATACGGAGACAATGAAAGAGCAACAAATAAAAATCAATAAAAAGACCTGGAAGAAAGGAGAAAAAGTTTTAATTCGCAAAATGGAAAATATTAAAAAATTTGGGGAAAAATATGAAGGACCCTTTGAGATAGTCGAAGTACAAACCCCGAATTTGCTTATTTCTGATTCGGGATCTATTCAAAATTCATGGCTCGTCCATATGGATCGATGCAAACATTTTAATTCAGAAGAAATTGAAAATACTGAAAGTAAAACTAAAATTTTTGGGGACCAAAATATTGAGAGTTCTGAAGTGGAAAGCGAGACTGAAGAAGATCGGATACATATTAACGCTATTACTAACAATTTGGATTTTTTTAACAATATAACAAAAACAAATACTAATAACACCACTAACAATAATGAAATTAATAATGGAGATATAATATTTAACAATTTACAGATGTCACAATCTGACAATTCTATTATTAGTGAGGATATTATTATAGACAACGATAATAATACTATTGAAAAATTGCCTCAACATTTCGAACAAATCTCCAGTGAGGAGGATACTCAGGATAAAGGATATGAACCACTAATGCCGATGTCCAAAGAAAAGAAAAAGAAGTTTAAAAGTGATAAAAAAGAGCGAAAGGTAAAGAGCGGTAAGAATGTTGAATCGAGAAAAAGAGGAAGAAAAGAAGAAGAAAAACTAACGAGTAAAAATGACGAAAAGAGAAAGAAGAAGGAAGAAAAGGTTGAAAAGAAAATTGAGGATAAAAGCAAATACGAAAAGAAAATTGGAAAGAAAAATAAAGAAGAGGAAGATGAAGTTGATTGGGAAATGGCAGCCCAATTGAGACGAGTAAGATCTAAATATGAAGAGGATATTCTGCTGAAACATAAGGATATTTGGAGCAATGTCTTAAAAAAGGCTGATCAATTTCATGGAAAAATCCAGGACCGTTTGGCTAAAGAGAGAAAAGAACTAGAGAAAGAAAAAAATAAAAATCATAAAAATATTGAGGAAAAAAAGAAGGAAGAAAATAATTTTATAAGATTTGCTAATCGAATGGGGAAATGGGCATCTACAGATAAGCAAGAAGATGAAGTACCAATTAAATTATCAGAAGAAAAAGAAGAATACCTTGCAAAGGTAAAGGAGGAGGATAAATTGAAGGGAACTCGGGCTCGTACTCATCAAAGCAAATTCGATGAGAAAGTTGTAGCCAGAGGAATAAGACAACAATATTCAATTTCTCCCGTCCGTTCCCAAATTCGTTACATTGATGAGAAGGAAAAGAAAGATAAACAAGAAATTTATGATAAATTAAAAACTAAGGAGGTTGGAACTAACACTGTACTAAATAAATTCTTACTGGACCGTATTATGGAGGACCTTTCTGAAGCTAAAGATTTATTAACCTTAACCCCAAATAAGTAAATAAAAATGAAGGATTACGGACACACAAGATCAGCAACAACAATAACCAAAAATATATTCAAAACCACATTATTCAATTATAATCAAATCTGTAAATAATGTTATTTGTATTTTAATTAAATTTAATATTTCTAACAACAAACAATATAATCACTAAACAATATAACCAACATATATTCAATTAATATTCAAATTCATATTCAAAATCAACATATATTCAATGAATATTCAAATTATAATATTTTATTTAAAATACTTACATGGGAAAGATTGAGTGAAGAAGCACAAAATAACAATAAAAAATAACATTTTAAGAAAATTTGAGGGAAAGAAAAAATTATTGAATTTACTTTTGATTAATAAAAATGAAGAAATGAAATAAACTTTTCACCGTTTAATTTCATCTTGGATGGGTGCAGCTTATTTTAATTATGCACGAAATCTATGGCCTTGGAAACTGTTCTTTTTAATTAAAAATGAGCGCCAAAATTACACGAATTAAAAGAAAAGAAAATTTAAGAAAATAAATAAATAAAAATAAATAAAAGTGATAATAACGATCAATGTCTTTTTCTCCCGTCTTTTCAAGTGCCTAAATAACATCAAAAAAATTTTAAAGAAATTACAAGCGAGGACGCTTGAAATAGACGGGGCGAGAATGTTATAGATCTGACAGCTGTTACCCTCAGCTTTCCCTCACGTTCCCTCAGCTTTATAAAAAGAAAGAAAAAGCCCAAAAAATTTCAGTAGTATTAAAAAAAAACAGCTAAAAAGAAAAGGCTTTTTCTTCCTTCCCCTCCCCACTTAACTTTCCCATTTTTGTTGAATAAAAGTATTTTGTTAATAGTTTTGTTTTAAAGGGTTTTCGTTAAGGTAGGGGACCAGACTCCCAGGGCGTCTCTCGAAGGTCTCTCGACCCTTGGGAGACCCAACCCTGGGAGGGTATTAATTTTCCTTAATAATAATGAAGCTAAGAAAATACATATACCCAAACAAACTAATTATGGGGTAATTAAAGAACCTTGTTTGTTGAAGCCGTTTCCAATTTTTCTTCTATACTAGACTTTAATGCTAAAAATTCTTTTTTGTTCTGAAATTTTTTGAGAATTTGATTAAATTTTTTATTGCCAATTAAAGCAGCAAGTTTTTCTTGTTTCTCTTTATTTTTTAATAAATTAACGGCATATTGTAAGGGTGCTATATTTTTCGAATATTTTTTCAATCTTTCATCAACTGAAAGTTTTAGATAATTTTCTCTTTTTTTAATGTTCTTTTCATGATCTTCTTCCTTTTCCTCATCTTTTTCATCATTTTCATAGAGGAATGGTGGATCATTATAACAAACTTCGGGCATATTATCTTTAAATTGTAAATATTTAATATTATTTTAATAGGTGTGAGTATTTGACAATTTTAAACTCGGATTCCGGCATTTCCAAAATTTAGATTCAGTTTTGAAACAAAAACCAGTGCCAATCTGGAACCTGAATGCGGGATCCCGTAAAGATTTTATTTAGATAATATTCCCTCCATCATATATTTTCCAAAAGTGTTTAATAAAATAATTAAGAATATTAAATAAAAAATTAGAATATATTTTTACCATCTTTGGGATCAATTGCTTCATGATATGTAGCAATATCATGTCGAAAGGTAACTTTCTTTATTTGCTTCGCTCGACCTAAATAATAATTTATATAAAAATCAAAAAAAATATATTTAAAAATCCAATGAAAAATTATGAAAAATTTCTATTTTTATCAGTTACTCAAAAATTATTTTCTTAATAAAACCCTACCATCATTTTCTTTTTCCAAAATTAAACCCAAATTCCCCTGACTCCCATAATCTTTTTTAGTGAAAACTTCTTCCTTTAGAAGTTTTTCATTTTCTTCCTCATTGAATAATGATGCTAAAGTACTTTCCTTTTCTTGTAAAAGTTGGGCAAGAGTTCTGCCAGAATTTTGAGAATCCTTTAGTGCTGTTATTCCATAATTTATGAATGAAAAAATTGTTACAATCCACAAAAACAATTTTTTCGTCATTACAAACTTATAACTGCTTAAATTTTAACAGTTATAATTTAGTAATAAATTTTCTCGAAAGACTAGATTATTAGGGAGGAGGTACTTAATCGAGAAAATACTGCATATTGTTTAAATAATTTTAATTTCTGTCTATTTTAATTTATGTATAATTATAAAATTTAAATTAAAAATTAAATTAAAATTAATTAAAAAATTTTAAAAATTCACTCAATAAAATATAAAATTAATGGGGGGAATGAATGGCATTCGAGGCTGGACGCGCATGTAATTCGATAAAATTTTAAAATCAATATATTCAATAGAGAAATGGATGCGTGGAAATTGAATTAAACGTCTAAATAAAAATTATTAAAGTCTGGAAAAAGTTTTTTGAAGTTTTTGATGTTAACGAATTTATAATAAATAAACTTTAAATTCCACTGGTATGTAATTATTAGAAACCGGCCATAACCTAAAATCAGAAGGTACCAGTTAATAACCGAACGACAACAACCCCTAATGTAAATTATAAAATGAATAACAAAGCAAAAATTTATTAAGAATATTATAAAAATTATGCCAATTCATCAATATTATTTTCGTTTGGAGCAATTTTAGTATTTTTTAATTTGATTAATCTCAACTCTTTTGTAGTTTTAGTAAAATCCTCTGAAAGAAACAAAAGTGAAGTTAATCCAGAGCTACCCAAATACATTGTTTGAATTATTCTAAAAAATAATTTTTCTTGATTTTAATAATTAATTATTATTTAGAAAGATTTTTATTTTAATTAATTTATTAATTATTAATAATTATTTAATTATTAAAAAATTAATTATTAATAAAGATCCCCAAATTATTTAAAAATTGTTTACTTAAAAACATTCAAAGCCTGTACCAATCCATTTTGAACAAGTAAATATCCACCTGTATAAGCAATTGCTTGACTTGCTTGTTGCAACCCATTTGTAGAGGCAAAAGCTAATGCCTTTAAAAAATTATTTAGAAAAATTATTTCCCCCAACCAATTTCCATTGTTTTCCATTAATTGATTTGTGAAAAATAAAATGTTGTAAAAATACTTGAAAAGTAAAAACAATTACAGCTAATAACCCCATAAATCTATTTCCTTGTAAAGCTGAGCATATAGAAATTAATATACAAAAAATTCCATAATATAATTCTGCTGAGAGTATAGGGACCTTTTTAGTGTTTTTAAAAGAAATTATTTTAAATAATTATAGTTACCATTTTTAAATTATTTAAATTAATTCTTTTAATTTGATTTTTGTTTTCAATTAATTGACATAATTTATTTCCCATATTTGCAAAGATACAATTCTAGAAATTATTTTAATTTAAAATTGATAAAATTAAATAGATAAATAAGGAATTGAAAGAGAGTGACCGAGGAAACAAAAAAATTTTAAAAGAAATGAGGAGGAATAAAATAGCTTTCATTTTAAAACAATGTTCTTTTAAACTGAAGAAAATGAAAGTTATTTCAACACATCCCAGAAAATAACAAAATATCATATGGAGGACTTGATCCTGACAGTGCTATCCATCACCGACTGATCGTTTTCATTTTTTGATTTGTTAGGATGGGGGAGAGAGTACCAAATAATTTTATTTCTTTAATATCCAAATATTTAAAGAGTACAAGTCCTTCAATAATTTTTTCATAAAATCTCCTACCCAAATTGTTGTGAATACAAAAATAATTATTCCCATAGTTCCATATACAAAACAAATCCATTTAACTTTTTTAAATAAATTTGTTGAAATATCTACAAAATTTAAATATATTTTAATTAATTTTAAAATTTATTTTTTACCCATAAAATCCTCAAAAACGCTAAAGAAAAGCCCTGTGTCGCGAGTAAAAACGGGATATCCAAATGCGTGGATTAAACAAGTAATCAATCCAAAAATAAAACAAATAGGCCAATTATTTACCAATAATAATTGTGAACGTAACCAAATAATTATATTCTAAAAAATATAAAATAAATATAGTGTTTTTGTTTAATATTTAATTAAAATTAGGTTATATGTAAAGATGTAATATAAATTTTTATTTAATTCTAAGGTAATAAAAAATATTTTTTAGACCTCTATAAAGTTTTTAAATTTTGTAAATGAACTAAAAATTTCTGTTTTTTGTTTAAAAAGTTGAAATTAATATTTCTATTTACATTTAAAAATTTAGGCTCTTCATCTTTATTGTTGCTTTCTTCCAAATTTTCATTGACCGTAAAAACAACACATTTTTTATTTAAATTATTTTCCACCAAATCTAAATATTTTTCAATTAATTTATTTTAAATTAATTTTTACCATTCTTTAAAATTTTTTGTGTACTTTCAGTTTTCATAAATTTTTTGTTGAAAAATGGGCTAAAATTAATGTAGGCATTGGCTAATTGTATAGAACTTGTACCAATTCCAATAACAATTGTAAAAATATCGCCCGGATATTTTAATAAATGTAAATCTACTAATTTTGTGCCAAAAAGCCCTCCAAGGCTTATATTCATAAAGAAAAGTAATAAATGACCAGAAAATCTGAAGTAACGAAGAGATGATGATTTGGACTTTATTTTTTCGAGACTTTGAACCTGAACAAAAAATATATAATTTAGTTAAATCTTATCATTTAAATTAAGTTCATTTGGATTTTTAGGTAATTCTACGACCCCAATACGTCCATTCCAATGATCGCGCCGACCGGATTTACGATTCCCGAAAATCTTGAATTCTTGGCGATTTTGGCTCGTGAATTCACGTCACGAAAATCGGGAATTTGATTTTCTGTCAGCGCGTTCCCAGGTCCTTTCCCCGACATCACCATTCCTCGGAAATGTTCTCTTCGACACCCCCAACCAATCCTAATATTCATAAATTGATTTAAAAAGGGAGGGAGTTATAATTTATCTTAAAATTATAACGACTGTATTTACTTTGTTTTTAACTAAAAAATTACCTTAATGCTTATAAAAGTCCATATAAAAACCAAAATTGGAGTAATTAATATAGGGGCAGTAAGTATTGTAGAACGATAAAAACCAATGGCAATACTTGACAAAAAGAATATTATATCTCTAATTAAAATTGCCAAAGCTCTAAAAAACATTTAAATATTTATTTTTAATTAATTAATTAATTAATTTACTTTCTAAATTCAAAATTATTTGAATTTTTTGTTGAATTACTTAAAGAAATAAAAAGTAAAAATGAAAGTTGAGGAAGTAAACAACCAAGAATAAGTAAATCTACAACACAAGAAAATAATGTAGTTTTTGGATTTGTTGAGATTTTGCTTGTGACAACAAAAGTTAAATAACTGGAAAAAAATATTAAATTTTTATTTAAAATTAATTTTTGTTCAAAATTAAATTTAAAAATTAAGAAAATCAGACTTTCCAATATATAAATTGAAATTAGCAGAAATTACTCCGCAGGCTGCAGCTAATGTAAAATCTCGAGTATATAACAAAAATTCAATCATTGAGAGAGGACAAGAAAGGAAAGATTTTGGCTAAAAATTTTAAAAATTAATTAAAAAATTTCAAAAAATAATTTAAATCAATAAAAATAAATAAAATATTTTAAAGCTTTAAAAAGCAAAATAAACATGTTTATAAACTTGTCGGAAATATTTATGATGTGGTGATGAAAAAGATTATGAATAAGTTTGTGTTTATTATGAAATAAAATTTTTAAAGTTTTTAAAATAATTTTAAATAAAAATAATTTAATTTTTAATTTAAAAAATAATTAACGATTCTTTAAAAAAATCTTTGAAACCTTTAATAATAAATTTAAAATATTCAAATGCTTAATTGAAAGAATTTATGAATTGGGTAAAACACCCCAAACCTTTTATTTTATTTAACTCAAATAAAATATTTATTTTAACTATATACTTTATGTATATATTTATTTTTGCTTATTTATGTTATTCAAACTTTTTGAAAATAAGATAATAAAAGGCAATCCCTTTTTGATAAATTTGGGGGAATGAATCCTTTTTCTTTTTAAATTTTCCTTGATCATTAATCACTAATCTTTTATCTTACAAATATTTTTTAAATAAAAATTTTAAAAAATTATTTAATAAAAGATATGATTTTTATTTTAATTGTTTTTAGGTTTAACTCTTTTATTTAAATTTTCGAAAATTCCTTATCTACATAGTTTAAAATAATTTGTAAATAAAAGAGAAAGTGAAATCGTAATAATTAGACCTTTATTCTTTATTCCCACTTTTGAGGCGTAAATTAAAATTAAATAAATATAAACATTTTTACCTGAATTTTTCTTTCATTTTTAGTAATATTAACAAATTTCTGTTTATTTTTATTTTCTTTATCATCTAATACAATATCTTCCATTTAATTTCTTTTTAGTTTAAAAAAATATTTTTGAACTTTAAAAAAATGAGAAAAATACTAAAATTGAATTGTTTGTTTAAATAAATAATTAAAAGATCAAAAATTTTTAAATAAATATTTAAAGTTAAGAGGTAAAATGAGAACATTTTTTTATAAAATAAATTTTAGTAAAACAAAAAATTTGGGACATTTCCTTCCCTCTCTCCGTATACAAACATCAATTTAACAAAAGATTTACACGCAAAAATTAAATATATTTAATATGCAAAAAATGTTAATTTTGAAATGAAAATTATTAAAATATTTAAAAATAATGTTAAATTAAGGAAGTTTTTATTGATAAAAATTTTAAATAAAAATTTAAAGAAACAAGAAACGATTATTTAAATTAAATAGTTAGAAAATTTAATTGATCAAAGAAATTTATGCTAATTATTTTTAAATAAACTGTCAGCAAAGATTTTTAAAAATCTTTCAATCGAGAAATAAAAATAACTAAAAGGAATGTTTTTTAGAGGAATTTTGTTTTGAATTTAATAAAATATTTCTTTATATTTATTTACTAGCTACCTAGTAAATAATACATATTATTATAAGTCATGTACCAAATAAAATAACAGCTGAGAGAGGAATTAGTATTTTAGTTTATTTACAAAAATATAAAAATATATTTACATATGTTATGCAAAATATTACGCTTTAAAAAATTAATTAAAAAATTTAATCAAGGTAAAATATTTATTTTCTAACAGAAAATTTTTTAACAATCTTTTGCAGAAAATATTTATATTAAAATATTTATTATAATGTAGGTACATAAATCAAAGAAAATATATAAAAATAATTAATTAATTAATATAAAAGTGTTTAATTTAATTAATTAATTAGAAAAGAAAATTACTTCAAAAGAATTTTTAAAACAGTAAAACATACATTTCAAGTTTTAATTTAAATAATTTTCGATTTCTGTTTTAAATTTAAATAAAAATAAATTTAATTAGGATAAATAATCAAAGAAATTTATGATTTTTGTAGTCGAATTACAAATTTGTTGAAAATTATTCCAATCTTCCTCAAAATTTAATTAATAAAATAATCATTTGTTAATTTATTTGGAATCCTTAATTCTACTCTTATTTGTTAAATAAACCAATCAAATGAATTAAAACTAACAAAACATTAAATTATTTAATTTCCTCATTGTTTTTTTAATTATTAGTAAGTGAAACAAATAAAATAATTAAAGTTTTACTTGAGACACAATATTAAATTTATATTTATATTTATTTATTACTAAAACAATAAAATAGAATTTTAAAAAAAATCAAAACCCCTCCCCTCCCAAAAATAAACTTTGACAAAAAGTTTATTTAAATTTAAAAATTAATTAATCAGTCAACACAAAGTACTCAAAAAAGAATATGTCTTTCTTCTTTTTATGATAAAATTTAAAATAAAACCGTTGATCATTGCGTCACAAATGTTAAAGAAAACTAAAGTTTTTAATAAATCAAAGGTTCCTTTTATAAAAACTTTTACAAAAATTATTTTAAAAATTTAATTTTAATTTATTTTACTATAAAATTCGACAGTTAATGTTTAGTTGTTTTGTGGACTTAAGCAACTTGTTATTTTTGCACACTAATCAGATTGCATTCTTTAAATGATGTGTCGATCGCTGAGATACCAGAGTTCTACTTTATCGTTTGTAAGGCTAAAATCGAATTGAGAGATCTGCCTTTCCATAGCCAATATAATCCAAGGAATAACCGAAGAAAAGTATCAGTCATACTTTATAGCTGGCCCTACTTTATAGTCATCGCCCGTTTAATTATTCTAAAAGAGTTTGCAGTGAATGTTATCCTGCTGAACTAACAATAATGTCTTTTTGTATTCCCTTCGTAATACATATTCCCATCTAATGATCTCGGCTGTAAGTAAAATTAAAAACACACAATAGAATGTAAGTAAATATTACCATTTTTAATTAAATTTTTAACTTGTTCAATGACTATTTTATTACATTATTTCGATATTTCTATTATTTTAACTTTTCAATATAAACTTTTATATTACATAAGAAGTAAATATTTTATAACTTTTTTTTAATTTTTATCCATATTCACAATTATTTAATAAGCCTTGTTGTTATGGAGACATTGCTTTTAACATTTCATAAATGGAAGAAGATTAATTGTAAAATGTTAGTGGATGCTTTTAATGATGATATTTATTAAAAAGAGATTTATTTTTTATTTTACATTGATGTGAATAAATATATAAAATTATTTTTAACTTTATATTTTAATATTTCTGTGTTAGAATACATTTTTGAATTTAAATTTTAAAAATATTTATAAGGTTTTTCCTTTTTAGGCTACAAAAATTTTGGAAGAAAAATGGATCGAGAACCACGTCTTCTTCGTTCTGCACGTCCCTTTGTACCTATGGCTGTTCATCCTACTAGTAGTGAAGATGATAATGCAATGCTTCAAATGATGTGTGATTTAATGTTAGATGAAATACAAACTCAAATAGATCGAGTACAAAAGGAAGCGGTTAGTTATAGAGAAAAAAATAAAGGAAACAAGTAATGTTTAAATTAAAAATTATTTTTTAACAAATTATACTTGATCAAATGGAAATAAAATTTTCAAATAAATTTGTTAAATCTAACATTCATTCCCTTCTAAAGGAACAACGTCGCCAAGAAGAGCTCCGTTTGACCAAAATGCCTGACTATACTTGGCTAATTGACTGGCGATTACGTGCAAAACGCCCACTTGGATATAGAGTAATTTAACAATCTAATAATTTTAAAATCTTTTTAATTTTAAGGAAAGCACAGAAGTTGAACATTTGGCTGCTAAAATTCGCCCAGGAGAATGGCGACGTTTATTAGAGGCAAATTAACTTTTAAATTTTTGTTTTAAAAATTTTTTTAAAGGAATGGCGTCGACGTGTACGTTATGTTGATTCTCGCGATGAAATATTAAATGTTTTTAGACAAACTGTTGAATGGGTAATTTCGGAAAGAATGGAGAATGAATGCCGTATTGAATGCGTGAATGAACATGAAATACATGGGGTTAGCAACTTATAAAATGTATTTAAATTAATAGGATTAGAGAATATTTGGCATACTTTTACCATTTTTTAATTCGATTATGCCCAGTGTTTTAGGTGAAATACATATATAACTTTATTTAGATGTGAGAAGCTTTTAATAATAACAGGTTTTACCATGATACTCTCCAAACAAAAACAAAATTTTATTTCAAAAATAATTATTTAGATTTTAGAGAACAGTCACAAATACTCGACCGACAACTGCACAACCACTAATTCCTCTGAGGGAACTGAGCGTATTCGCATTAACAAGTCCTCCATTGCCAGGAGAGGGAACAGTTTAAAGCGTTGGGATATTGTTGAAAAAATTTTTAAGAGAAGGAAAATATTAAGAAAAAAGAATTTTTCGAAATGGATTTATTATGAACGATTTTATTAAATTTATCGGCTAAAATTATTTAAATTTAAAAATAAATTTATAATTATTCAAAAGGATTATCATCTAAAATAATATTTCCTTGATAATCTGTAGTTAAAGGTAACCATTCAGGAGGAAAATAATCTTTCTTAAATATACTTTTACAGTCAATACCTAAACAATTATTGTAATAAATTGGACTTCCATCGGGCATTAAATATCCAATCCACCATGCTTCTTTTGACGTTGAAGCAGTAATTAAAAGAGAATTACAATTAGATATAGCAAAATTAAGTTCTACACCTCTGTTACGTATTGCAGAAATATATATTGGCAACTATAGTTAAATAAATATTTAAATATAACAAAAATTCAATTTAAGCTATTAAATCCCGTTCATCAGTAATACGCAAATTTCAAAATTTGGCCGGTTCCGGTTCCAATTCTGGAACCGCTTTCTTAATTTTGGCGGTTCTGTTTCCACTTTCGGCCCCGCTTTTATAATTTTGCCCGGTTCCGGTAGCACTTCTGGAACCGGTTCCAGAAGTCCCCGCTCTCTATCCCCTCTGTATAAATATCTGGCAATTTCTTTGATCAATTACCAATTCTTTAAAATAAATTAATTATTTACCCCTTCTATTCCTCTCACCATATTTAGAAAGTTTGTGTCTCGTCCAATTAACACAATAGAAATATTTTTTGTTCGTTTCTATAAAAATTTTTTAAATTAATTTCTAAAATTATCTATTCAAAAATTATTTTAGTATTTACCTAAATACGCACCTTCAATGTTTTATAAATAAAAGCAATTAATTGTTCTGTAAGATATAAACCAGTAGCTTGGCCCATTTCTAAAAGATTTTCTCGTTCCATATGAACACACAATTTATGTGAAGAATCATTTCTTTAAATATTTTATTATAGTATCGCGTAAGTTTTAAGTCATGGGCTTTTTTTCAGTGAAAATTCCAACACGTTCTATATATTGTTAGAAAGCTTCATTCATATCTTTTTTGACATGTATCAGTGGTTTCCCGAAAAAATAAAGTCACTGAGATAACTTGGATAAGGGGAAGAATCATTCATCATTTTAGGAGTTAGGTTTGTTCACAAAAGATGGAAACTCAAAGCCTATGCGAGCAACACCCTAATTACTTTAATGCAAATATTTTTTAGATTAATTTTAATTAAAAAATTAAGAAATAATTATTTTTATTTATTAGAGAATTGAAAAAAATTTTTGAATTAATTAGTCTTAAATAATTTTTTTGATTTTCGTCTTTTAAATTAGGTAATTTATAAAAGTTACCTAAATAATTTTTTTGTATAATTATTTGTTCGTTCAATTACAGATTTATTAAATTCAAATAAACTTCGAACTCTATCCTTTGCTTTATTTAATGATAAATATTTGTGCGATTGAAGGAGTTTTCCAGTAATTTTAAGTAAAGTGGCATGTGTACTCATTAATCTATATAGGTAAATATTTGTGTATGTAGTATATTTATTAATTATTATTTTATAAAATTCTGATATCTTTTCAAAAATTAATCGGTTTCATGAAAATTTAAAAATAATAAAAATCGATAGAAAATTAATGATTTTTTTAAAAATGCTCACACAGAGACAGAAGTGATATGTAACTCATTGTGTTTAAAATTCATTAAACAAAATCCGAGTGGTATTTTATTTTGTATATTTTCTTTTTATAAATACCCAAATGTTTCAATTTCCAAAAAAGTCACAAAAACTACTCATTCTAAAAACACAATTATCGGATTACCTATCTGGGTTATCAAATCTACAGCAATGTTCAGCAAAAGCAACAATAGCCGTACTATCACGACTTGGATTCTAAATATTTAAATATACAAAATTAAGTCTAATTGAGAACCTTTATTTTAAAATAATTTTGAGTATTTTTAAATATTTCTTTGAATTCTTCCCTTTGTTGCAATAAACATTTATCTTTTCGATCAACGTACATTATTCTATTTAAATAAATGCTTAATTCGTTTAGAGAAGCAATTCTCCACATCTTTAAAAATATTTTTAATAATTAGTACTTTTTAAATGTAATAATTAATGAAAATTATTCTTTGTTTGCCAAAGTTTTTTGTTAAAATTTATATAAAATAAATTTAATTTTATTGGAGTTTCACTCAACAAAGTTATGTTCTTCTAGTGTCACAAGGAGGGTTTAATTTAGAAATCACAATAAAAGTGTTAAAAACTATCTAATTTGGCATTGTTTAACGATTTTCATTAACTGAAAATTAAGGAACAATGAATGGGGAGGCAAGACAAGTTAATTTTGCCGTGAAAATTTAATCATAAAAATGATAGCTCATTCAAAAAAGCTCGTTAAGCTGAGCTGAATGAGACAAAATATCAATAAATTAAAATATAATTATTTATATTTATTTAATATTTACAACCATAGTCTCAAAATTTCCACATTTTTCTTTTTTCTCTATAGTAACTGTAATATACTTTTTTCTAGGATTAATGTTGCTTGGTCTATTGTAATAATCTAAAGAATTTTTAAAATAAATTTAAAATTAAATAATTAATTAACTGTTTGGTATATTCATATAAATAAATATAATAAAAAGATTTCCTATCACCAACCAAACAAACAATATTCCAAACCTACAAATACGTGGACGAAAACAATCAAAAATAAATTTTGTTCGACACATTATATAAAAATTTAAACTAAAAAATTATAATTTAATTGTTGATTTTTAAGGTATTTTTATATAAAATATAAGAGTTTTTATCAAATTTATTTCTTATTAAACAGAAATTTTGATTAAAGATCTTTCAACATCAAGAACTTAACCTGAAATTTTTAGTTCGGAAATATATGTAGAAATTAAGACAATTATTATTTGGTTCTACTGATTTAAATATTTAGGGTTCAATAGAAAATAAAATGTTTCATTAAAAATAAATTTGAATAAATAATACGTGTTTAATATTTTTACATATGTAGTATTTTTAGCTGAAAAGCGTGTGAGTGCAGAAAATGAAAAATTAAAAATTTCTTCTTTATCTCATCATCCAAATATATTTGATCAAAAAAGGAATATCTTTTCTTTTAATAATTAATTGCAAAAAATAATAATATTTTTATATAAATATTTTTTTAATTTTATTTTTGATAAAAACAAAAACAAATAAATTCTTGTTAGACTTAAAACTTTTTAAAGCTACAGAAATTTTAATATACATATTATTTATTCTTATTTTTTCTGTTCTAAAATGATAATTTAAAATAATTTTGATTTTAAATATTTTAGAATTATTTCCGATCAATCTTAAATTTATCAAGTTCTCTATAACGAAACTAAATTAAGCATGTAGATAGAAGATGGAAATTCGAAGAACATGTCTGTGAAACAAAATTAAATATTTTTATTTATTAAAAATCGTTATTTACTGATTTAATCTAAAAAAAGGATTTTTATTTTAATTATGTGTTTCTTAAAATTTTTTTTATTTTACAATTGAATTAATTTTGTTTTTATTAAATATATTCATAAAGTTACATTTTTTGTTATTTTAATAGAAAAATTTTAAATTGAAATTTATTTTCGAAGGAAAGAAGCAGATAATTAAACAAAATTATGAATAAATTTTTTTAATTACTTATTTTTTAAAGAAATGTTTGTAGACCGTCGACCTAATTTTATTGTTATTTTTGTTTATTGTTTTATTATTGTCAATATATTCTTAATTATTTATTTATATTTTAAAACACCTCAATTAGGTTTTTAAATTTATTAAAAATAATTTTAAACAGATTTAGATAATTTAAATAATTTATATGAAATTTATAAAGAAGAAATTAACAGAATTTATGGAAATGAACAATTTATATCAATGAATTTAAATAATTCTAACGGAAATTGTGGAAGTATTGGGGATATGGTAGAAATATTTGCTTATTTTTAAATAAATAATGGAAGATTTTTTGTTTACGATGAAAAAAGTTTAAAATTTTAAATTTAAAAAAATAGAAAATATTTTTATTGTTGGCATAAGTGAAAAGCCTCATTTTTATATTAATATTCATGGAACTTAACCAAAAACTTATCAGTTCTCCAGTTTTGCTTAACCAACAAAAATATTATTTATTTTTTAAAAGTAATTTCTTTTTAGAAAATTTATTTCTATAGATGTGGAGAACTGCCTCAATGTATATGATTGGAAAATTATTAAACAGAACTGTTTATTATGAAAGTATTTATAAATGCTTTACTGAATACAAACAGGAATTTGAAATTACATTTAAAAATGGAGGTCAACTTGTTAAATTAATGGTTGGCTATAAATATTTAAATTTAAAAAATTTTTTTTAAAGGAAGGAATTTAATATCTAAATTTGATTTAATGATTAAAATTAATTAAAAATTTAACTTTTTGATATACCTTTTTTTAAATTTTTTAGAATCCAAAACAAAAATATATAAAAAAGATATCATTCGGAATTGGCTGTTGTGACTTTGATTCGCCGTACAGGTATTTAATAAAATTGATTTTGAAATATTAATTAATTTAAAGACTTGAAGGAGAAAATGCCCAAATAATTCAAGTTACTGGAAGTGAATTTAAATCATTTAAATATTTTGAAGATTCTAGAGAAGAAATTCACAAAATGTTTGAATTTAATGAAGATATTAAATTAGCTGCTGATGAAGCTGCAGAAGGAATTTTTAGGTTAAAATTTTGTTTAAATTTTTAAATATATCTTCTAAATTAAGAAATTACACACCCGAATATCGTCTTTGTTTACATACACATAAACATGAATATATTGAATCAGGGCAGTCTAGTACTTTAGAATTTATTGAAGGATCTATTAAGTTTATTATTCAAAGACATCAAGTAATTTTTAAAATAAATTTTTATTTTATTTATTATTTTCAGTCAACTAATTTAAAGAATATTGCCATTATATTTTTTGGTAGTGATAAAAATTTTCTTTATGAAATTGAGCCGGAAGAAGTATATTTATTAATAAATTATGATTTTTATTAGTATTTGATTGCTACGTTTTGTTCCGAGTAGTCACTACATAAACCCCAAGCTCTATTATTGGAAAATCACAAAAATATTTTGAATTCCTCCTTGTTATTTTGATCAGTATTTTCTAAATTTTGGGTATTTAAGAATTTTTTCATTGTTCTCATAGATAAATGCTTTTTAGTAAATTTGTAGTGAAAATCTGTAAACATATGTACTTTTTAGATAGTATATGGTGTGTAACATAATTAAATATAAGTGAACCCATATTTTAGGTTAAATCTCGAGTTTTTCTTTATGAATTGGTCTGAAAAAAAATATTATCGCAGAAAATGTATTTTCAGTTTAAATATTTTTGATAATTACATATTTGTAAATATTATTTTTTATTATAATATTTTTAAAATTTAGGGGCATAATATTTATATTCCTTCAATAAACAATACTTCTGTATATCTTTATTTTGGAATTAAATATTGTGATTCTTTAATTATTACAGCCCCATGTTCTGGTTTTGCTTGGTGGATGGGTTATTTAATGCCAAAAAATAAAAATGGAAATATTTTTTACAATAATTGTGACGGTTATTGTAAATGTAATGAACAATTCGTTCAAAATTATTTTATGCCAAATTGGGTACCTTTACACAAAAATAAAACAGATGGAGTTAGTATTTATTAATTATTCAAAATTTAATTAAAAAATAAAATTTTGAGGATACACTACTGTATCTCAATTAAAATAATTTAATTTTTTAATTGTACTATTTGATAAAAAAATTTAAATTTCAGATTGATATTGACGAAAATATTTATTAACAAATGCCTAAAGAATTTTAAGCTATTAAATACTTTGTATTTTTTAATTGTTTAAAAAATAAATTTGTTTAATTTCTGTTATTTATTACTAGGATTTTACCCAGTCCCCGAAAATCGGGGAATTTAGGAAATATTATCAAAATTTTTCGAAACTTTTTCAAAAGGCGTAAAAATGGATGAAATCTGGCTTCTTGACCTAAAAATTCTCAAAATTTTTGCCTGCAGCTTAAATAATCGAAATTTTGGCGCCTTCGGCCTTCCAAAAATTGTCATTGTTTATACCGATCGGGAGATGTTGTTAGAAATATGTTTAATGACTTTATTAATTCCGGAAAAACATGCTTTTATACAATGTTTAGATGGAAAGTCCATATTTAAGCCGATCAAAAAGGAATCTACAACCAAAAGCAACATACAAGGAATTCGCCATTGTCCACTGTTCAACCTCTTGTTTATCAATGCCTTGGGTACTAACGACAATAGCTGCTATGTTCTTTTGGTCCATCATAAGTATTTGGCTTCTTGTTGCTCAATGTTGTTGTTGTAGAAAGGTGAGGGAATGCTTAAAAATTGTTTTCTTTCTAATTTTTTTTCATTTTCTAGAAGAAAAAAAAAGTTGCAATAGTAACGAGAAGCGCGGAGATGGTGGAACAACCGCAACAACTGGTAGAAGAAGAACCGCAGAAACAACCAGAGCCTATTGTCAAACCAAAAGCGAGCCCAAAAGACAAACCAAAAGCGGCAAAAGTATCTACGGCTATTAAAGTAAACAAGGAAGAGAAAAAGAAGGCTAAAAAACGGGGTAAAATTTTTGATTAAATTTCAAAAAAATATTTTTCTGTTTTCAGAAAAACCATCATCAACCGAAAAGAAGAAAACTTCTTCATCTCCTTCAAAAAATAAGACCAAAACAAAAGCATCGGGAATTGTTGGACCGCAGAGTAGCAGTGAGGAAATGTTGGCGTTAAATAAAGGGAAAAAGGTTTCAGCTGTTCTTGCTGCAGAAGAATCTCAAAAACGTTAAAAAATTAAAAAAAAATTTTCTTTAAAAATAATTTTTCAGGGGAAGACAGTAGTCTCAAATCGAGTAGAGACGATGTTGATGACAATCCAGACTATGACACATTGGATTTTGTTGAAAAGTTGGATGTATTCAAGAAAGTCGATGGAAAGAAGAAGAAAAAGAAAAGTATAATAATAATTGTTTGAAAGACTTTTTTAATTAAATTTTATTTTAAGGCCAGGACTGATAAACTTACCATTTGCGGAATTGGGTTAATGGAATGGATGTTGTTTTTTGTATTCTGGAGGAAGCTAAAATAGATGAAGAAAATATAATAATTTGTAAAATTCCGCAAATATTCTTGTTATCTAATATGTTAATTGTCTATATTATATTTGTAAATAAAATATCGGAATATTTTATAATTCTTTAAAATTAATTTTTTTAAAAATAAAATAAAACGGGAAAATTGATCATGGTTGTTTTAGAGTCGGCATTTCAGATTTGGACGTTTCAGAATATTCAGTTAAATTTAATAAAAACGGAATTTAGTTGGGACGAATCGTGGTATTTGTTCAATGGGACGAATTTAGAAGGGACGAGTTTTGGAGGGTCTTTCTTGACTTCTCTAAATACACACTATTTTCATTTTGGGATATTTTGTCATTTTTAATTAAAAATAAAACACAACGCCAAACACAGCAAAATTTAAAGCTGCGGACAAACAAACAAACACAGAGGAATTCTAACTTTAATTATATATAGGATACTTTTCGTTACATTTCTTTTTTAACAGAAATATTCTTATTATTTTATTAAAATTCAGAAATGTTTTCATCAACTGATCAACAACATTTAATCTCTTCTTCATCCATTTGTCCAGAAGATTCAGCAATTAAATCAATTCTGACAACAAATGGAAGTACGGATGATTTAAGTAGTACAACAAATGATGATGATAATGGAAGTATTAGATGGTTGGATTTTGATTTAATTGATAGAATTTCTATACAAACACAAACTTTGGAAGAAATTATGAATGAGGTTTGTTTTTTGTGTTTTTTGATTTTACTCTTGGATAAATCTGGAAAAGAAGTTCTAGGTAGAATTTTTGGCAATCCCGGAGAATTGAGGTCTTTGCGAAATAAAAAATCTAAAGAAAAAGAGTCTTTCTAGGGTAAAAAAATATGCTGATTACGAATCTGAGCTTTTTGGAAAAGTCGAATTTCATTTAATTAAGATTAGTTGAATTTTATTTAAAACCAAATTATTTACAATAATTTTTTTATAGGAATTTCTGTACCTCAAAAAATAGAGTTTTCTTAGAATCTTCAAGTCAAATTTAACACTGTGATATTTTTCTCTCAAGCTTTTGCCAAATTTCTTATCGAAAAGTTTTTTATTTTTCAGAAAAATGAATTTTTACTGGACGAAGAATCTGAAGAATTATTTGGAGGTCTTAGCCCTTTTCCCCCAGCTTATGGTGCTGAAAGCTCTTCAGTAGCTGGTGTTAATATGCCAAAAATTCTTCCAATGGGAAGATATGGATCTGTGCCTGCAGAATTACCTAAAAGTTATAAACTTGATTCTCCTTTGGTTTTGAAAAGAGAAGGTTTTCTTTATTAATACTTGAATTTTTAGTGTTTCCGAAACTTGATTTTTGTTTTTAAAATTATTTCTGGATGTTTTAAATTATTTTATTATTTTTTTTCTGAAATTTCCTCTAAAAATTTTTTTCTAGATACAATTTCGCAACAAATAAACACCAAAACCCAACCTAAATATGGCCATCTAACTTCTCTATGTATCGGTAGACGTTTATTGTCTATTGGAACATCACAAGGATTTTGTTTAATTTTTGAAAAGGAGGGATCTCAAAAATTGTTGCATTCTGTTCAATCAGGAGATTCTTGTAAATTTAGCTACATATTTATCTCGTTTTCATATATTTTTTATAGCGTTTGGCTCAATTTCCTGTATGGATTTCTCAATCGACCAAACTCGTTTAGCTGTTGGATTTAGCACTGGGGCTTTATTTATTTTTGATACAAACACTAAAAGAAATTCAAATAAATTTATTTTCAAATCAAATGATGTTGTACAACCTGGACGAGGATTAATACATCTTAAATATATTACAAGGTTATTTTTTGGATTTTTGGAAAGCTTTTCTTTTTTTGTATTCCTTTATTTAAAAAATAAATTGGTGGGAAATTATTTTATTTTTTAATAGTAATGTACTCTTAATTGTCGACAATGGAGGTAATGTATATGAATTTCATGAGAAGAGACGATTAAACAGACGTAAGGATGGCAATGTTCGGTGTATATTTACTGGATGTAAAGGAGAAGTGCTAAAGTATTTTTTATTTAATTTTTAAAAGAATTTAATTTAAAATTTATTAAAAATTAAGTAAGTTCCTTGCTCCAATCTTTTGCTTTTTTACCCGCAAAAATGTTTTTGGAAGGTGTTCTAATCTATTCCTCTAAAACATTTTCAATTTTATTTTCCTTTTAAGAAAGATGGAAATTATTTTTTTAACTTATGATAATTTTCAAAAACCAGTTAAATATTCTATTTATATTTAGCATTTCTTTTGTCCATTCCTCTGATAATTCTGTTGAACTTCTTGTTCTGGCTACATTTCATCAAGTATTTCTTCTTTCGGTTAAGAGACGAAGTGCTGCTGTGGGTCAATTGAAATTGCATGGTTCTTCTTTGTCCCCACCTTTAATTGATTGGCGGGAACGAGTACAGGTTTTCACTAAACAATTTTTTAATTAAAAAATTACTTTTTAGGCACTGTCTCACGCCCGGGCATTTTCTCTTCGACTTTGTATTGCTCGTGATAACGAGGCAAGACTTTATCAAGTCCGTCAACGTGTAGGAGGCGATTTGCTTTTTCCAATTTTGCAAATTTTAAAGTTTTCTACTCCTTTGATTAATTTAAAATGGTTAATTATGATTTTTAATACAATTATTATTAATTTTATAAATTTGTTTAAAGGATTGATGATTGGTCTTTACTTGCATTATGTACTACAGAAAATAATATTGAACAACTTCAACTTGTAGAAATACCTCAATTTTCTGCTGGTGAAAGGAAAAACTTGCAAAATCAAAAATGTATATATTTATTTTAAAATAAATTTTTCGCTCACAATCACTTCTTTTATCGTTTTCTCACCGTTCTTTGTTTATGCTTTATTGTTAGACAAATTTTAAATGAACTATTTTGGATTTTTAATTTATTAAAAAATTAATTTCAGCAACTATCCCAACCTTCTCTGTCAACCCGTTTGTTACTTTGGACATATCAGAAAGTGTCAAATTAGTCTACAATAGTGTTGACTTCAAAGGACTAGCAACTGGGTGTAATGTTAGCAAAGTGAGAATTTTTCAAAAATAATTTTTTCCAATTTAAGCAATTCTTTTTAATTTTTAACTTTTTTCAGGCCATGTTGGCTGTGGCTGATTCTATTTGTTATCACACTTTCATTAGACATCCTGAGGATAATCATCTTTACCTTTTGGGTGCTGATGCCCTTTTTCGTGTACAATTAATTGAACTGAATGAACAGCTTGATTCTTTAATTGAACGGTTGGTTAATTTGCTTCGAATAAGATTGGGTGACCTTTTCCAAAACACTAAAATAGACTCAAAAATAGGTCAAAAAATAGTGGGATTTTTATTTATTATCAAAAATATGGAGATTATTATTTCTTCCCTAATTATTTCCAGCTCTGATTTTTGTTCTGCTCTAATGTTTGTTGTTGATATTTGTTGTGGCAAATTGGCTGATCGAAATACTACAACAATTAAGACAGCTAATTTTCGTGCAAATGCATTTCGTAGAATTCCAGAATTGGTTTCTCAATTACTTGAACAGACAATGGATGGAATTGATTCTGGACATATCGATGAATTGATTGTTTATTATAAGGTATTTGGTTATTTGAACTAGAATAGATAAAATATCAGAATTGCTAAATATATTTTTTTATTCAAACTTTGGGTTTTTATTTGGGGATTAACCTGTGGATTTGATGGAGAATCTTATGTTAGTAAATCTTTATTTCTAAACTTTCGAGCACTCCTTAAACATCCTTACTTTTATATTTAATAATTTAAATAATTTTCACACAATTTAGCAAAACTTTCATGTATTAATTCGTGCATGTGTTTCAACAAGTCATTTCAATTTACTATATGAAACTATTTATTCTCGTGTACAAAAAGATACTTTATGCCGTTCTACTTTTCTTGAAATGCTTGAAGTATTTTTAAAATTAATTTTTAAAAATTGTTAATTTCCCTTTTTAAAGGAATTTGTTTTAGAGAATGTTTTATTTCAACCTCCTCCATCTTTAGTTAATGATTATTTAAATTATTTACTTTGTGAAGGACAAATACCTCAATTTGAGCAAAGCGTTATTCGACTTCCTGTTGAGTCTATGGATTTACATCAAGTAAGGTATTTTTGGGGATTTAGAATATTTTTTTAGGTAATGACTGCTTGCAAAGAGCATCAACTATTCGATGCAACTTGCTATGTATTTAACAATGCTATGAAGGATTATATTACTCCTTTGAATGTTTGTCTAATTTTTTAAAATTCTTTTTAAATTTCTTAAAATTTATTTAGGAACAATTTGAACTTCTTAGTCGTTTTGTACATAAACAAGTTCTTTCGGACCATGAGATTGTTCAAGGCAACAAACTTTTGTTGTATTTAAGTTGTTGTTTAGTTGGCCGTGCTTATCCTCATGGAGATTTACCTGATGAAAATTTAGCTTTAACAGTGCCTTTAGAAACTTATAAAGTTTGTAGATATTCTGTTAAATTTTTATAACATTTTTAGTTTATTGTACAACTTCGATCATCTTTTTCTACTTCAAGTCGTTCTTCTTCTCCACAAAATATTTCTCCAAAATTTAATGAATTTCAAAGTTTTCCACATTTAAATATTTTATTAAAATTCGATGCTTTACAATTTTTTAATGTTATTAGTACTTGTGCTGATGCTCCTGTATTTGCTAAATGTGAAGGTATTATAATATACAATTGATTGTTCATTATAATCGGTCCTCTCCAAGAGGGTACCGGAATTTTGTTCACTAAGATTTTTCGGAACTTTGATCCCCAAACGTAACGTTTGGTGACCAACTCAAAATTCCGGTGACCAAAATTCCATACACCATTCCATCTAATGTAAGGAATTCTTCCGCACTAAATATTTTTTAATTTTGTTAAAATATTTAAAAATTAAAACAGGTCGACTTAAACGTCTGGTTGATATGCTTATTTCTAAATGCGTGGAAGAAGACGATGAGGAGAATGAGGATATAGATTTAATAAATGAGCTTGGTCCTTTACTTATTACTTTTATTAATGGATTATTACAGAAGGGTGCTATCCCAAAGGATATTTATTTGTTTACAAAGGTAGGTCTCGATTGAAAAATAGTTGTCATATTTTGTCATTCATAAGTAAAGTATTGCTTGTCGATTAAGATTATAGATTAAAAATTTTTTCTTTATGATTTAAAAGAGAGCTAGCGGGCTTTTGTTGTTGTATTAGAAGAATTGTTGATCAACTCTCCCTAGAAAATTCATTTACCAAATAAATTAAATATTAATTTTCAGTTAATTGAACGTGTTTTTCTACGCCGTGCTTTTCCAAGTCTTCGTGTTCAAAAAGTTGCCGAACAAAGTGCTGTAGAATTATTAAGACTTGTCCCAGAAATTGACTTGGATAAAGTCTTGGAAATAGCTCAACCTGTACCATAGTAGGGAATTAACATTTTTTAACTTTAAGAAATTTTTAGTATACATATTTGTGCTTATATTTTTACTATGCGTCGTGAATATTTTAAATTACTTGAATGTTTTTTGGCAGATCCACTTGAACCTGTATGTTTATTTTAATTATTATTAATAAAGTTTTTAACTGATTTCCAAAAACTGCATATTTTTTATCTCTATATAACCATAACCTAGAATCCGTTTTTGTGTCAATTATCCTCAAAAATCGCCTCACGAAACTATTTTTTTTAATTAATTTACATTTTTTTAGCTCAATGTATTCCCAACAATGGTTGATTTACTTAATTCACTTCGTGAAACTGAACAACAAGAATCTTTACGCCAATTTGTCAGACAAAAATTAGAACGTTTATGTTTATTAGATTCTCTAAAAACGGCGGAATTTGTTCTCTCCAATTTTCCAGAACTTTTAATTGAATGTAGATCAACACCTAAAAAACTTCCTTTATCTTTTCTAAGTAATTGTTTTCGAATAAGGCGAGAACAAAATTTTAAAACATTAACTGGGGGAGAAGAAGAATTGGATGAATTATTCTTTGATTACTATTTTGAACAAACAATTAAACAGCAAAAAACAGAATTGGATCTATTGGATGCTAAATTGGTTGATGAATTGCGTTATTGGCTTCCCCTTGGATCCTTTTCTGATTTTTGTTTGAATATTTGTATGAAACAACCTAAAGGTAAATTGAAAAAATTTTTTTTATTTTTTTGTAAATCAGATATTCAACCTTTGTATTAGCTGATAATTAAATTTAAAAATTTATTAATATATTGTTATGACAATTAAATTTAATTGAGTTTCCACAAAATACTTTTTGTTTTTTAAGGTCTCCTTGTCGAATGCAGTGCTCTATTATTGTTATCCCGTGGGCACATTTCTCGAGCATTTGAACATCTTTTTAATGAAGGAATATTAAATAAATGTTCACAAAGTTGTGTTAATTTCCTTTTGGAGTTAACAGCTACATATCCGACAGAAGCACAAGATGGTGATTGGTTGAACAAATTATTTAAGCAACTTTTGAACACACTACATATAAAAAACGTTAAGGATAAACAAGAAGAGGGTAATTTATTTAATTTTTAAAATGAGTTGAATGAAATTTTATTATTTAATTTTAAAATATTTTTTTAAAAATCCTACACTCAATAATGATGTTTTTCAATTCTGACATGAGAAGTTTATCGTTTCCCTAATTTCAAATTTTATGGGTTCTGGTATTTTCCACACACTTTTTCGTTTTACCTCAAAATAATATTTAAAAATTAATAATTTTTAAATTTAATAGATCCTTTCTCCAACTTGCTCGGATCGGATTCTCCATTACAGCGTGTTTTTAACGCAATAATTGAGTTCGATGATGGCCGAATAAATAATAATTCAAAACAACAACTTCCAATAATTTCATTAATTGAAGAACTATTTTCTCATAAATCTTGTCAAAATTTAAAATTTTCTTCATCATTTAAAAATCTTTTACGACAAATGCTTTTAGTTATGGAAGTGCGCCTTGTTATGAAGAAAGCAACTAAGGATTGTGTGGCTAAAGAATTAATAAACAAATGGGCTAAATTGGCTTTAAAAAGGTAATTAAGAGGGAGGTTATTTTTTATTGAAAAAGGTGAGACTTTAGAATAATTTAACGTCTGTTTAAACCTTTAACACCTCAAATTTGAAAATTAAAAAAGAAATTTGGAAATTATTAGAAGACTTTTCCCTTGATTCAATTTATATTTGATTAAGTTTCAAGAAATTTCGGGTCAAGAAATTTAAAGTTAGTAAGAGTTGCTGTTTTTGAGCTTAGAAATTCTGTAGTTTCCAACTAACCATTTCTTCAATTTTATTTTTAAATTTCAATAATTTTTAGAGGTACATTTTCTCAAACAATTTTGCCAAATAAAACCTTAGCAACAGATCAAACAACATTTCCAGCCTCTTCCAACAATCAAAATAACAATATTCAGTCGCAAATGGATCCTTTATTATTACGTTGTTTTTGTTGTGATCAACGAATTATTAAATCTTTTTATTTATTTTCTTGTGGACATGTAATGCATTTGGAGTGTATAGATGAAAATCGAAAGAGTTGTTCGTGTAAATTAGAAAAGAATATTGGAAATGATGGAAGAGGTTTTTGAAATAAAAATTTTAGAAAAATTTTTTTAATTTTTGGAACAAATTTTTTTGAAATTTTTGAAAAAATCAATTTATGAAAGAATTAAATGAAAAAATTAAAAAAAACTTTTTTTAATTTTTTAGATATTAACAAAAATTATTACGAAAACGGCGAATCTTCTGATTCCTCTTCCGATAGCACACCCCCACTTGAAAGGCTAAGAAGAAGGAAAGTGAAAGAGGCAGCTGCTCTAGCATCTTCAATACCTACAATTACAAATGAAGAAAGGTTAAATTAATTATTATTTGTAGATTTTTTTCATGAAAACTAGTATTTTAACGTACTTTTTTTCTGTGTTTCATAACCGTTTTTAAAATCAAAAAATTTTCTAAAATCATTAATTTATGGATTTGAGGATATTTTAAATTTCCCTTTAAGCAAAATCAGTTTTTGACTATAACGAAATCGGATTTTTAAAATTTAATTAACTTGAATACAAATTAGGATAACAAATTAACAACCGTTCCTAATCTACTGATTAAGGATTCGCAATGAAAAATTTTTTAATTTTCTAAAATTTAAAATATCTTTAGTTTCATAAATTATAATACAGTTGTATCCTTCTCTAGGATTTAACCCAAATCGGTTATCTAATATTTCCTTCGTTCTTTTTTTGTTATAACGAGATTCAACTGTATTAGGTTAATAAAATTAATAATTAAATATTTTTAGACAATCAGTCAGCGCTGTATTTAAAGAATTAGAGCTGGCGTATCCACTTATCACTGGCCCTCGACCTACTGTTTCTTGCCATTCATTAAAACAACAATCACAGAATCTTCCAAAACATGGCTCAACATCTTCATTTGCTCCAACTTGACTTTTTTATCTTCAGACTTGTCTATTTAACTTTTTAAAAATAATATTTAGAAATTCTAAAAAATATATAAATTGTTTATATTTTTTCTAATTTTTTACTGAGTTATTAATAAATATGAATCTTCATTTATTTTAGAAAATATATTTATTGTACTAATTAGGACTGACTCTAAAAATAAATTTCTGAGATTTTGCCAAGTGGGATATTGCCTGACATGAGGGGTGTGTATTTCTTTTTTAACAAAGATACTAAGTATTTTTATTATTTTATTTAAATTCAGAAATGTTTTCATCAACTGATCAACAACATTTAATCTCTTCTTCATCCATTTGTTCAGAAAATTCAGCAATTAAATCAATTTTGACAACAAATGGAAGTACGGATGATTTAAGTAGTACAACAAATGATTATGATAATGGAAGTATTAGATGGTTGGATTTTGATTTAATTGACAGAATTTCTATACAAACACAAACTTTGGAAGAAATTATGAATGAGGTGTGTTTTATTTAATATTTTTTTGATTTTATTCTTGCATAAATCTGGAAACGGAGTTCTAGGTAAAATTTTTAACAGATAATTGTAATTCTATTCAATATGAACCAAATAATTTTCATAGACCTTAAAAATAGGGAGATTTCTAAAAATCTTTGAGTCAAATTTAACATCTTAATATTTTTCCTCTCTATCTTTTGCCAAATTCCTTTTCGAAAAATTAATTTTACTTTTTCAGAAAAATGAATTTTTACTGGACGAAGAATCTGAAGAATTATTTGGAGGTCTAAGCCCTTTTCCTCCTGCTTATGGCGCTGAAACTACTTGCTCTTCAGTAGCTGGTGTTAATATGCCAAAAATTCTTCCAATGGGAAGATATGGATCTGTGCCTGCAGAATTACCTAAAAATTATAAACTTGATTCTCCTTTGGTTTTGAAAAGAGAAGGTTTTCTTTATTATAGTTATCCTTGAAGTTTTAATTTTTCCGAAACTTGATTTTTAATTTTTAAAATTTTTGGGTGTTTGAAATTATTTTAATTAAATATTTTTTTGAAATTAAAAATTTTTTTTTCTAGATACAATTTCGCAACAATTGAACACCAAAACCCAACCTAAATATGGCCATCTAACTTCTCTATGTATCGGTAAACGTTTATTGTCTATTGGAACATCACAAGGATTTTGTTTAATTTTTGAAAAGGAGGGATCTCAAAAATTGTTGCATTCTTTTCAATCAGGAGATTCTTGTAAATTTAGCTACATATTTATCTCGTTTTAATATATTTTTATAGCATTCGGCTCAATTTCCTGTATGGATTTCTCAGTCGACCAAACTCGTTTAGCTGTTGGATTTAGCACTGGGGCTTTATTTATTTTTGATACAAACACGAAAAGAAATGCAAATAAATTTATTTTCAAATCAAATGATGTTGTACAACCTGGACGTGGATTAATACATCTTAAATATATTACGAGGTTATTTTTTGGAAAGCTTTTCTTTTTGTATTTGTGATTTGTTACCTTTAATTAAAAAATAAATCGATGGGAAATTATTTTATTTTTTAATAGTAATGTACTCTTAATTGTCGACAATGGAGGTAATGTATATGAATTTCACGAGAAGAGACGATTAAACAGACGTAAGGATGGCAATGTTCGGTGTATCTTTACTGGATGTAAAGGCGAAGTTCTAAAGTATTTTTTATTTGATTTTTTAAAAAGAATTTAATTTAAAATTTATTAAAAATTAAGTAAGATCCTTGCTACAATCCTTTGCCATTATTATCCGCATAAACCGGACAGACCTACTTTTTTTCCTATCCAATTTATATTTTTGTTTTCCATTCAAAAATTAGGGAGTCCATCACTCTAATACATTTTTAATTCTATTTTCCTTTTAACAGTTAAATAATTTTATTTAGCATTTCCTTTGTCCATTCCTCTGATAATTCTGTTGAACTTCTTGTTCTGGCTACATTTCATCAAGTATTTCTTCTTTCTGTTAAGAGACGAAGTGCTGCTGTGGGTCAATTGAAATTGCATGGTTCTTCTTTGTCACCACCTTTAATTGATTGGCGAGAACGAGTACAGGTTTTCACTAAACAATTTTTTAAATTAAAATATTAACTTTTCTAGGCACTGTCTCACGCCCGGGCATTTTCTCTTCGACTTTGTATTGCTCGTGATAACGAGGCAAGACTTTATCAAGTCCGTCAACGTGTAGGAGGCGATTTGCTTTTTCCAATTTTGCAAATTTTAAAGTTTTCTACTCCTTTGATTAATTTAAAATGGTTAATCATTATTTTTAAATACAATTACTTCTTTTATTTTTAAATTTCAAAATTACCGTAAATGCTCTAATTAAAGCCCGGCTTTATTAGAAGCTCATATCTAACAATAAGTAATACAAGCCCACCCAAGGAGGCCCATCGAAAAATAGAAGCCTACTCTAATATAAGCCCAGTCAAAGAGGCATGTTGAAAATAGTAGCCCAGGGCTTTAATTAAAGCATCTACGGTAATTTTAATTTTATAAATTTGTTTAAAGGATTGATGATTGGTCTTTACTTGCATTATGTACTACAGAGAATAATATTGAACAACTTCAACTTGTAGAAATACCTCAATTTTCTTCTGGTGAAAGGAAAAACTTGCAAAATCGAAAATGTATAATTTTTTAAATTTTAATTACATAAATTCCTTTTTTAACATTCTCTCACCTTTTTTTGTTTATGCTTTAGACATAAATTTTCAATACAAAATTTTATTTTTTTTTAATTTCAAATTTTTGATTTTTAATTTAAAAAAATTAATTTCAGCAACTATCCCAACTTTCTCTGTTAACCCTTTTGTCGTTTTGGACATATCAGAAAGTGTCAAATTATTCTACAATAGTGTTGACTTCAAAGGACTTGCAACTGGGTGTAATGTTAGCAAGGTTAGAATTTTTTAAATAATTTTTTTCCCATTTAAGCATTCTTTTTAATTTTTAACCTTTTTTAGGCCATGTTAGCTGTAGCTGATTCTATTTGTTATCACACTTTTATTAGACATCCTGAGGATAATCATCTTTACCTTTTGGGTGCTGATGCCATTTTTCGTGTACAATTAATTGAACTGAATGAACAGCTTGATTCTTTAATTGAGCGGTTGGTTAATTTACTGGGAATAGGATTGGGTGACCTTTTCCAAAACACTAAAATAGACGAAGCCACTCAAAAATTATGGCAAAAATAGTTCAAAAAATAGGGAGATTATTATTTTTTACTAGTAATTGTTTTTTTCAGCTCTGATTTTTGTTCTGCTCTAATGTTTGTTGTTGATATTTGTTGTGGCAAATTGGCTGATCGAAATACTACAACAATTAAGACAGCTAATTTTCGTGCAAATGCATTTCGTAGAATTCCAGAATTGGTTTCTCAATTACTTGAACAGACAATGGATGGAATTGATTCTGGACATATCGATGAATTGATTGTTTATTATAAGGTATTTGGTTATTTGAACTAGAATAGATAAAATATCAGAATTGCTAAATATATTTTTTTATTCAAACTTTGGGTTTTTATTTGGGGATTAACCTGTGGATTTGATGGAGAATCTTATGTTAGTAAATCTTTATTTCTAAACTTTCGAGCACTCCTTAAACATCCTTACTTTTATATTTAATAATTTAAATAATTTTTACACAATTTAGCAAAATTTTCATGTATTAATTCGTGCATGTGTTTCAACAAGTCATTTCAATTTACTATATGAAACTATTTATTCTCGTGTACAAAAAGATACTTTATGCCGTTCTACTTTTCTTGAAATGCTTGAAGTATTTTAAAATTAATTTTTAAAAATTTTTAATTTTCTCTTTTTAAAGGAATTTGTTTTAGAGATCGTTTTATTTCAACCTCCTCCGTCTTTAGTTAATGATTATTTAAATTATTTACTTTGTGAAGGACAAATACCTCAATTTGAGCAAAGCGTTATTCGACTTCCTGTTGAGTCTATGGATTTACATCAAGTAGGGTATTCTTGGGGATTTATAATATTTTTTAGGTAATGACCGCTTGTAAAGAGCATCAGTTGTTTGACGGAACTTGTTATATATTTAACAATGCTATGAAGGATTATATTACTCCTTTGAACGTTTGTTTAGTTTTTTTAAATTAAATTCATTTAATCCAAGGGATATTAGAAATCATCCCGAACGTCGTTCATCCCGAACGTGCACGAAGTTCCATTTTTTTCAATTCTTGATTCATTTCAATCTACATTTCTCTAGTCTTGCCAGAAAATTTTATTATAAAGTAACAATTACAGAGGTTCTTACAACCTTTTCCCCACTTTGATAAAATTACATAACTTCAATTTTCTTATCTTAAATTCTTAATTTTGTATTTTTCTATAATTCTTTTTAATTTTTTAAAATTTATTTAGGAACAATTTGAACTTCTTAGTCGTTTTGTACATAAACAAGTTCTTTCGGACCACGAGATTGTTCAAGGCAACAAACTTTTGCTGTATTTAAGTTGTTGTTTAGTTGGCCGTGCTTATCCTCATGGAGATTTACCTGATGAAAATCTAGCTTTAACAGTTCCTTTAGAAACTTATAAAGTTTGATGATTTTTTCTCAAATTTTTATAACATTTATTTTCCAGTTTATTGTACAACTTCGATTATCTTTCTCTACCTCAAGTCGGTCTTCTTCTCCGCAAAATATTTCTCCGAAATTTAATGAATTACAAACCTTTCCACATTTAAATATTTTATTGAAATTTGATGCTTTACAATTTTTTAATGTTATTAGTACTTGTGCTGATGCTCCTGTATTTTCTAAATGTGAAGGTATTAAATGTTATATTTTTGACCATCAACATTGACACCAACATCGGTTTTAAGTGCTGGCACGTTTTGCGATTTCTGTAATCGGTCCTCTCCACAATGGCTCTATTCCATTTCCCATCCAACTATCTTTCCCGCACTAAATATTTCTTAACTTTATTAAAAAATTAAAACAGGCCGACTTAAACGTCTGGTTGATATGCTTATTTCTAAATACGTGGAAGAAGAGGATGAGGAGAATGAGGATATAGATTTAATAAATGAGCTTGGTCCTCTACTTATTACTTTTATTAATGGATTATTACAGAAGGGTGCTATCCCAAAGGATGTTTATTTGTTTACAAAGGTAGGTCTCGATTAAAATTAGTTGTTATACTTTGTCAGTCATAAGGAAAGTATTAAGATATCAATTAAGATTATAGATTAAGAATGTTTTCTCTATGATTCTTCTCTATTGTTGTCGCTTCGGAAGAATCGTTGATCAACTCTCTAGAAAATTCATTTACCAAATAATTATCAATTTTCAGTTAATTGAACGGGTTTTTATACGCCGTGCATTTCCAAGTCTTCGTATTCAGGAGATTGCCGAACAAAGTGCTGTAGAATTATTAAGACTTGTCCCAGAAATTGACTTGGATAAAATATTGGAAATAGCTCAACCTGTGCCATAGTAGGGTTATTAACATTTTTTTAACTTTAAGAAATTTTTAGTATACATCTTTGTGCCTATATTTTTACTGTGCGTTGTGAATATTTTAAATTATTTGAATGTATTTTGGCAAATCCACTTGAGCCTGTATGTTTATTTTAATTATTATTAATAATTGTTTCAAGTTTTCTTCAATTAAAAATCTTTTACGTCAAATACTTCTCTCAATGGAATTATGTATTTTTATGAGAAGGGCAACTAGAGATTGTGTTGTGAACGAATTAATGCAAAAATGGTCTAAGCTAGCTTTAAAAAGGTAATTAGGTTTATTTTAATTTTAATTTCTGTTTGAATTTAATACTCATTGTGAGATTTGAAACTTTAAAAATATAAAAATAGTTATCTTTTTATTTATTTTCTTGTAGACACGCAATGCATTTGGAGTATATAGATGAAAATCGAAAGAGTTGTTCGTGTAAAATAGAAAAGAATATTGGAAATGATGATTCCTCTTCTGATTCCTCTTCCGATAGCACACCCCCACTTGAAAGGCTAAGAAGAAGGAAAGTGAATTCAATACCTACAATTACAAATGAAGAAAGGTGAAATTAATTATTATTTGTAGATTTTTTATAAGGAAATTAGTATTTGTATTATATTACTATGATTCACAACCGATTTAAAAATCAAAATTTTTCTAAAACCGATAATTTTTGGATACATAAATATTTTAAATTTCCCTTTCAAACTAAACTATATTTTCAAAACTGGATTAATTGAAAATCTGGATAGCCAGTTAATCGTTCGTAATCTTCCAATTAAAAATTCTTACGAGAAATCCTTGTATTTTTTTAAATTTAAAACATTTTTTTATATCTCGTTATAATCCGCTGAGATTTAACCCAACACGTTTACCTCATATTTCCTTCAAGCTATTTTAATATGACGAGATTCAACTGTATTAAATTAATAAAATTAATAATTATTTAATTTTTTAGGCAATCAGTAAGTACTGTATTTAGAGAACTGGAGAAAGCCTTTCCCCTGTGTACATCACCGAGACCTACTATTTCTTGCCATTTATTAAAACAATCACAGAATCTTGCAAAACATGGCTCAACCTCTTCATTTCCTCCAACTTGACTTTTGTTTAGAAATAATATTTAGAAATTCTAAAAAAAATTTACAAATTTTTTATTTTTTCGAATTATTCTGTGTGTTATTTAATATGTATGAATCTTCATTTAAATTAAACTATTTTTATTTTTTTATAAATTTTTTAAAAATCTTATAAAATTTGTGATAAATTATAATTTTTATATTTTAATTTTAATAAAAATCAAAAAATTACTAACATAGTATATTGACTTTAATTTTTTTTTCTTATTATTTTTAAAAAACAAGCTTGATATGGTTTTGTTAAAACATATTACACTTCTTTCCTGCCCAGTTCAAAATTTTTATTTTACAAAATACAAATCAAAAAATTAATTTTATTAGGATTATATTTATGTAAAATTTTTTACAAATTTTGATTATAGATGAGAGTTTTATCTCCTATTTATTCTTTACTTCCTTTAATACTTTTTATATAAAAACTTAATCGCCATAGCAACATAATGGTTGAAGCATAAATGTGAATAAACGAGAACATTTTTACTTAAATTTAGGTTATACTTAAATAATGAAATTTATTTAAAAATTATTTTAAAAAAAATATTACATCTCTAAAAATATTTAAATAATTTTATTTTTCTAAATTTTAATTTTCTACATGGGCTTATTAAAGGCTTTAAGTTCTTTAATTAATAATTCAGGCAAACCTGTAATTCTTTTTTAAATATAAATTAATTTAATAAAAAATATGTTAGGTAGACATTCTTGTACTTGGTTTAGACAATAGTGGAAAAACAACAATTTTAAATCAATTAAAACCTGCAGAAACACAATCTACAAGTATTACCCCAACTGTTGGTTATAATGTTGAAAAGTGATTAAAAAATAAAAAAAAGATTAATTTAAATTTAATTTTTTTGGAAGATTTTCTGCCGCGGGAATGACTTTTAGTGCTTATGATATGAGTGGACAATCACGTTATAGAAATTTATGGGAAACTCAATACAAGTACTTTTAAATAATTTTTTATTTAAAATAAGTTTATAATGCCTAACTTTCCAATTATTTTGGCAATTAACGTGAAAGTAGTTTTAAATATTGAAGAATTGTCTCAAATTCAGAAACCTAATCTTGTTGAGAAATTAAAAAAATTTTTAATTTATTAACAAAAAATCTAAAAAATTCAGAAATGTTAATGGAATCATTTTTGTTGTTGATGCAAGTGATAAATTAAGAATTGCTGTTGCTAGAGATGAGCTTTGGATGCTTTTAGACCATAAAGATCTTACTTACAAAAAAGTTTGTAAAATATATTAGAAATTTAAAGTAACTCCATTTCCGATCAAGTTTTCGAACGGGTTACTTGCTTAGAAACGGGACTGAACCTCGAAGCCCAAACATATAACCCCTCCCAAAGTATAAAATACATACTAAAATATTTTTAAATAAATTAATTAAAACAATTATCGTTTAAACCAATTTTTTAGACTCCCCTTTTAATTTTTGCAAACAAATCAGATGTTAGAGATGCCGTTCCAGCTTCTGAAATTCATCTAAATTTGGGTTTAGATCTTATCAGGTTAAATATTTTATAATTCAGAGAAGGGAATTTAGTGTTTAAGGAATTTAAATAATTAAACTTTATTATCGTTTTATTGGAAGTTAATAAAAATCTAAATGACATAAAATAATGCCAAATATTCCTATTTAATTTACTAAAAATTAGCCCATTTTTGCTAAATTTTGGGGAGTGGCTTAATTTAATTAATATTATAATAATTCCTCGTTTAGAAATCGAAATTGGCATATAGTCTCAACATGTGCGTTAACTGGACAAGGATTGGTTGGGGGAATTGATTGGTTAATTAGTTAAAAATAAGATATCTTTTTTTTAAATTTAAGGTTAGCCAACAATATAAAACAACTTTTATCGCCTAGCAATACATAAATGTGTAGATAATTAAATTTATATTTTAATATTTATTTTGAAATCATGTATACCGTATTTACTCGATTAATTCCCCCGAGGAATTATTTTTTCAACCCATCCCTGGCATGGGGAATTAATAGAGGGTGGGGAATTATTCGAGTTTTGAAATTTGAACGTGAGGTAGGGTATTTGGAGGAGGGGAATTATTTTTTCAACTCATCCCTGGCATGGGGAATTAATAGAGGTTGGGGAATTATTCGAGGGTGGGGAATTAATCGAGTAAATACGGTATATTTAAATGTATAAAATATTTTTTTCTAAATTTTGTTATTTTCCCTTATTACATCCATCAGAGCATTTTTGAATTGAGCCAAAATTGTGCTTTCCTGCTTTTTGTCCAAGTGGAAATATATTCTGTTTGGAGAAGAATAAATAAATTTTAATTTTTTAAAATTATTTTTGGAGGTTCAATTTCTGCCAATTTTTGAAATTTATTCAAAAAAAATCTAGTATATTTTAGATAAAACTTTTTTTTTCGATTAAAACCCCTTTAAATAATTAAATTTAAAACAAACAAATTCTTTGTGGGCACATATGGCAACACATTCTTTATATTTTTGTAATGCTGCTGGTTCCATTATTCTTTGCTTACTAACACTGTGTTGAATGGGAATCTGTTAATTTTTTTATTTTAATTAGACGTCCCTTTCTGACAGGACTTTTTTAGTTAAAGTATTTTTATAAAATTAATTGAACGAAATTTTATTTTTTACTAATTCAAAAAATTCTTTTTACCTCAGGTATTTTAAATTTATCAATATTCGCTGATTTAATTTCATAAAGGAAAAAAGAAAAAATTATTAAATTTAGAAAAATAATTGGGGAAAATTTAATCATTTTTTAGAAAATAAAATAATTACTTATATTTTTATGAATTTATATTTATATATATTTTTTAAATTTTTAGTATATATTCAATCATCATTTTAAAATTTTTTTTTAATTTAAAATATTTTTTAAAACAAAAGAATTCTTTTTATTTCTATTTTTATTTTATCAACATATTTATTTCTCAATTAAAATTAAAATTGGGTGTGATAATAAACAATTAATTAATTATAATTAAAATAATTACCCAATTTAGGTAAATTAAAAAGTGCTACAAAATTAAAAATGGAAATATTTTAATATTAAAATATAATTTGTCTCATTTTTTTATTTTTAAAAAGAAAACAAAATCATTACAAAAAACTCAACTAAATAATCCAACGGATTAAAAAATTGCCAAATAAACAATTTAATTAATCTTTTAAAATAATGAATTTAAATGATGAATTTAGCATAAAAAAACTTTCTTTTACTAATTCAGTCATTATTATGAGAATATAAAATGAGAATTGGAGTCAGAATTGAAGTCTGTGTGAATTAAGTGAATCATTGAAGTGAATGAATTGAAGGAATTGGCATTAAAAAGAAAAATGAACTTTATTAATTAAGAAACAATTTTCATTAAAAAATATTATCCTTATAAAATTAAAAATATATAGAGGAATGAACAACAAATTCATTAATTAAAATATATTAAAAAATATTTTGCTTTAAATATATATTTACGAGCTTTGTTGGCCTTAAGCAATAAGGTTGTCGGATTGTTGGAAATCTTCGGATATTCGGACTTTTTTCCTGATATCCGGATCCGCCAACCTTATTAAGCAAGGCATTTTCTTTATTGAATAAGGTTCGTTTTTAAATTAATTTCTGGAATTAATGTGAAAGTCAAATAAAATATGTATGTATATATAAAATTTCGGTTCCAGTTTTTAACCGCAAATTTCAAAACTTTTAATTAAAAATATTTTAAATAAAATAATATTTTTTAATTTTTAAAGTACCATATGTCTATAATTTTTGTTTTTTTATAAAATAACCAGGCCAAACTAGATATATTATTGATGTCCTCCAACTGTTGCTGCTAGTCTTAGCCGATCGATCAGAGAAATGTAGGGGATATAGGTATATCCAGAGTATATTTGTTTGTCTGGACATAAAAATATGTATGTATTTGTGGCTATAAAATTATCCAAAAATATTTTATTATTAAAAATTAATTTCTCCAATAAATTAAATTATTTTTTCGGTATTACTCCTTCCTTATATATGTAGAATTGAAAAAAAACAATGCAAGATAATTAAAATAAGTATTTCAAATACTTTATTTGTTGCATTTATTTAATAGAAAATATTCAAAAATCTTTGCAGAAAAATAATTTTTTAAATATTTAGCAAAAAATATCATAAATTTACGTACTTAACCAACTTTTCCTCACTTGAATTTTTTGTTGGAGAATACTTACAATTATTTGCTAACACGTTTTTGCTCAAATACTTGTATTGTTTTTCCCTTAAAAATATGTACATAATTTTATTTTTAATTTTTCTTTGTCTGTTTATACAATTTTAATAAAATCAAAAATTAAACCAATTTTGATTTTTTTAAAAATCTTTTCTAGATAATTTTAAATAAAAAGTTTTTTTTTTTAATTTTTAATTTTGACTTATCTCTCCCTCCCTCTAATTTTTTTTAATATTTTTAAATTTTTCTATGAAAATCCATTAATAAATTACTTAATTTACTCTCTTTAATTTAAACAAACAAATACACCTTTTTACATGCATTTCTATTTTTTTAATTTCGTCACCTTCTCATTCTCGACTATTTATTTTTTTTATATATTTTTTTCTCTTTTGAATATTTTGCATGCTTTTCGGCCTTTTCCTTTTTTTTTATTTCACTCATTAGTTTATTCATTCTATTTTGCCATATCCAACCAATTTTTTTCCTCTTTTATAACCCTTCTTTATTTATATACAATCCCTTTTTTTATTCTCAACACCTCTGCTTTGACATTAAAATAAAATGCGCTTTTGCTTCTAAATTAACAGTTTATTATTTAAATAAATACACGTTTATTTATTTCTACATATATAATTATTTTGAATAATTATGTAAAAATTATTTTTGTTTTTTGGAAAATTGTGTAGTTTTATGCGATTCTGAAATTAGTAAAGGAGAAATTTCTCGGCGTCAGGGTCGAACACCATAATTAATAAACTACTAATTAATTTAAGTAATAATTAAATTAAAATATACATTAATTTTTACTGTAAGCATTACTTAAAATTTTTTGATGTTTTCTTAATTAAAGTTCTTTTTTAGTTAACCTTGTATTTTTTGTTTAATTTTAGAAAATTATTTAACTTTATGCCTTAATAATTATTTTATCTTTTATTAAAAAATGTCTGAAAAGGAGGAAAGTGCTGGTGGTGAACAAGATGATGTTTCTTTTTTAAGAACTGTTGGTAGAATTAAAAATTAAATAATATTTATATAAATAATATGTATATTTGGGCTACAAAACAGATAAGTAGGATTTAGAAGAAAATAGAAAATGATGTAGTATTTAAAAAATATTTACTATATACTTTATGAAATAACGTTTAAACATTATTTTAATTAGCAAATGGATTTAATTTAATTGTTATAAAATTATTATTTTAACAACAAAAACAAAACTTTACTTTCAAAAATCTTAAAATAAGAAATTATTTGGAATAAAATTTAGTATAAATTAAGGGAGATATAATATGTTTAACATGCCTTGTAACAAGCCAAAAAGAGGGCGCAGGTGGAGAGTCAGAACGTGTTTGTTTAGCTACGGAAGGTTTTGGCAATAGAATGTGTACATTAGAGAATGTTTCTGATCGTGATTGTCCGCCAGATATTTCTTCTTGTTCTTTATATATTGAGAATGCACTTTCTGTTAGAGCTTTACAGGAGATGATGAGTGCCGATGGAGGGAATATTGGTGGGAATGGTAGAATTTTTAATGAAAATATTTTTTTGGGTAATTTAGTACAAATTATTAGTCTTTTGTTTTTATTGCCTATTTGAAGAAAATTTGTCTTAAGTTTGTTTTTCTGGGGGTTCTGGGTCTGAGTTATTTTTTGTTTTATCCCACATTATCCTTCATTTAATAGCCGGAGGGGGTACAACAACAGCAACAAACACCACATCAAATGATGCAACAACTTCAAAAGGAGGAGGACACAAAACACTTCTTTATGGCCATGCTGTTCAACTTAGACATGTTCAGAGTTTAATGTATTTGGCATGCCTTTCATCGTGTTCTTCGAATGATAAATTGGCTTTTGATGTTGGTGTTCAAGAAGGGAGTGAAGAGGGAGAATCTTCCTGGTTTGAATGATATATTATGACAATTAAACTTTTATAAAAAGGTGGACAATTCATCCAGCAAGCAAACAAAGGTCAGAGGGAGAAAAAGTTCGTGCTGGTGATGACGTTATTTTGGTCAGTGTTGCAACTGAACGATATTTGGTTGGAAATTTAAAAAATATTTTTAATCTAAAAAATAAATAGCATATGACTAATGTGGCAGAAGATGCATTAATTGGTGGGAGATTGGGATATATGGTTATTGCTTCTTTTCATCAAACACTTTGGAATGTTACTTCGCTAAGCTCAGGAAGTGTTCGTATAAGAAATATGGGTAAATTTTAAATGATTTATGAAGCATATTTCTCAAAAATTAAGGCCATCTGTTTGGCAACGACGTCCTTCGCCTCTTCCACGGAAATGATGAATGTTTAACTATTCCAGAGAATTGGAGTGAATATCCCTTACATAATTTAGTAAATTTTCAAAGAAAATTATTTTTTAAAGAAAAATTAAAGATAATATACGAAGGAGGTCCTGCTGTTACTCAAGCAAGATCACTTTGGAGAATAGAATTAATTAGAACTAAATGGCATGGAGCTCTTGTTGGTTATGAACAAGTAATCCTATTTTTTAGACAATATTTGTCATTAAATTTTTTAAAAATTTCTTTTAGCCTTTTCGAATTCGGCATATCACAACAGGCCGATATTTAGGAGTTGTAGAGGGAATGAATGAAAAACTTGTCCAGCTTTTGCATAGAGACCGTGCTACCTATCAAAATAGCGCTTTTGTACTTTGTCCAAATAAAGATCCAAAAAAGCAAATGTTGGTTGATGAAAAAGAAGAGGAAGGAATGGGACAAGCAACAATACGTTATGGGGAAACAAATGCTTTTATTAGGCATGTTGAAAGAGAAGTATGGCTTACTTACCAAACATCTGAAGTTACAAGAAAGGGGATTGGAAAAGTTGAGGAGAAGAAAGCTATAGCACATAGTGAAGGTATTTTTGGGAAAATTTTTTTTGAATTTTTTAAAAAGCCTCTTCACGTGTTAAAAAATATTTTTTATAGGTCATATGGATGATTGTTATACATTTTTTATGGCATTGAGCGAGGAAAGTATGTCCGCTCGAGTAATTAGGAAATGTTCTGCTGTTCTGAATCGCTTTCTAAAGTAAGCAGAAAAATTTATTTTAAAACTTTGGTCCCAAGAATTTTACTTTTCTTTGTCTAGACCTGAACACTTTATTATTATTGAAAATTATTAATTAAAAAGTTTTTCTTTTATTTTTCAATAATTTAAGAGGAATCGAAGGCCTTCAAACAGATGGAAATGAATCGCGTGATTGGCGCCGTGTTGATCTAAATGAAGTTTTAATGCTCATGAGAGACCTTATTGACTATTTTGCACAGCCTGAAGAGCAACTAGATTTCGAATCGAGACAAAATCGTTTTCGGGCTCTCAGATCAAGACAAGATTTATTCCAGGCATTTATTAAATATTATGAAACAAAGAATTTTTAATTACATATTTTTAAAGGCTGAGGGTGTCCTCAATATGATCCTTGAAACAATAGACAAATTTTCAGCAATGGAAGCACTCCCCAATTTTGCCTCTCTTATTGGTATTAGGAACCAATTAATGTGGGAAGAAATTTCAACATATTTATATCTTCTTGTTGCTGCAATGATAAAAGGAAATCATTCAAACTGCGCTCAATTCGCTGCACTTCTTCGACTTGATTGGCTTTTTGGTAGATTGGGTAGGTACATAAAAATATTTTCATGAAAAATATTATTCAATAACTGGTTTAGCAAAAGGTTTAACAAATTTATTATATTATTAAAGATTATACTAAAAAATCAAAATCAAATAAAAAAAAGAAATATTTTTAAGGAGACAGAAATCCTAATTTTCGTTTTATACTTGTTCTTAACGTCGTCGGGGAGGTTGTCAGCAAAATAGCAGTTGTTTTTGCAATTGTTGTTGGCACTGTTGTTGTTTTTTTATTTGTTTGTGTATCGAGTTTGATCCAGACAATTTCGTCCCATCTTTTGAATAAATATTGAAGGGTTGATCTATGCCATGAGGCGACCTTAATAATAAATAAAAACTTTAATGTTTGAGGAAAAACTTTATAATGGAATAATTCTTTATCATCACATGGTATGTTATGTATAATTTGATCAGATTCTCTGTATATGTTCAATAAGTTTGTTTGGGATGCCATTATCAAAAGCGCTTCTAAAAACATGAAATAATGTTTTAATTGTTATATTTCAATTATAATTATCCACCGATTAAGGATGCATTTTCGTATGATAAACCATCTTTTAAAACTCCATATTCAACACTTTCATACATACCAAAAGTTTTGTCTGTTTTGTGTTGATTAAATCGTTTTTCAAGAGCATTTGTTATTCCTACATAACACCAATCATTTATTAGAGAATTTTTGCGCACTACGTAGACCTAAAAAACAAATAAAAATGAAAGAGTTTAAAAAATACCATATAACGACCATTTGTGATTGACAATTGTGTAAAAAATTGCTCTTCTTTAAAACTGGTAACATCGGTTTCATTAAAAATAATACTCCATCCATTATTAGCATAAAAATTATTTTTGCATTGTTGTTTATTGAAATGGCGAGACGGGCATTTTGAAAGTATAGAGGCGGAGCAAAAATGACATGTCGTTTTATCTTTAGATTCATACACTCCTATGTTAATTTCTGGATGCCGATCCCTCATATGTTTTTTAAGTTGTGAATTATCCTCCCGGTCTCTAGATGGAAATTTAATTGAAAAACTGCTTCCACACTCATTGCATATTGCTCTTTTATCATCATTTTCATCAATTTTGAAAAAATTCCACGGACTTCTTTTTTTTAAAAAAGGCTTATTTGTAGAGGTTGGGGTCGCTTGTATAGAATCCATAAAATTATATAGCAACTTTTTTAAATATTTAATTATAGAAGTTGGAAATTTTAAATAAAAGAACATAGTATAAGAGAAAAATAATAGGAAAAGAGAAAAAGTAGTTCTAATTTGACTGTTTGGCGTTATGCCCAATAAATACAAAGTATGATTTTAACGCAGCTATCAATACACTCTGTCAGAAAACTATAAACGCAGGTCAAAATTTTGTCTTAAAACCTATTTCTCTGTAGTAATATTTAAATTTCTATTTTAAACCTAGATAATAAAGTTACAAAAATAAGTTAAGTCACTTTTTACATGAAATTTTGGTGTTTTTCGGGGTATTTTTGACTTTTATCAGAATTGACCGTCAGAAAACTATAAACGCACTCGTGATTTTTATAACTAAAAACAATCAAATATGGATAATTTTATATTTCTTTGTAGAGTTATCCCTTCTTTATTAAAAATAAAAAAGAATTAGACCCATATCTCACTTCAATGTCGAGATCCAGATACCTCGAAAATCAACGTAAATAGGGGGTAAGGCTAATTAAAAAATCTTTTCGACCCCTTATGGTTTGTTTTAAACTTCCATTTTGGGCTCATTCGAAAGCCCTTAAAATTTGCTATAAGATAGCATAGTTTTATTTTCTAGAAAAAATATTTCAGAAAGTTATTAAGTTTTAAATCTTTAAGGCAGAGAAAAACACCTAGATGCCCCATAAAATTAGCTCCGGGCAATTAACGGCCTATATCTCTCTAATGAATTTTTCTCTGAAATACGAGTGTATATGTACCTATACTATGACAATAAATACTATTAGTGTACTATATAAATATTATATAATACTATAAATACTATGATAATAATATTAAATATAATTGTGATTTATAAATTAGCGAATCCTCAATCGGCAGAAGGAATTTTGGATGTTCTCTATTGTGTTTTAACTGAATCACCTGAGGCACTCAATATGATAAATGAGGGGCATATTCGTTCGGTCAGATTTTAATTAAAAATTAAGCAACACATTCCATTAATTAAAATAGCAAATACCTATTTATTTTAAAGGTTATCTCTCTGTTGGAAAAAGTTGGACGTGATCCTAAAGTACTTGATGTACTTTCTTCTCTTTGTGAAGGGAATGGTATGGCTGTTCGAAGCAGTCAGAATACAATAACAGATTATTTGCTTCCTGGCAAAGATTTACTTTTACAAACAAAAATGAGAGATTATGTTGCTAGGTAGTTTAATGTTTAAAGATTATTATTTATATATTTCTCCTTCAGTTTAATTCCAAATATTCTCGTTGGTCTAGTTGATGGAAGTTCCCTTTTCAAACGTTGGTACTATGAAGCTGAAGTTGAACATGTTGAGGCTTGTGAAGGTGCCGATGAACCACCTTATTTGCGTGTTGGGTGGGCAAATAGTGTTGGATTTAAGGTAAATTTAATGCAAGGGATTAAATAATTATTACTATCTTAGCCTTTTCCTGGACCAGGCGATGGTTGGGGATGTGCTGGAGTTGGTGATGATTTTTGTTCTTATGGTTTTGATGGAATGAATATGTATTATGGTAAACATTTTCTGCTAATTTTAAATATGTATAAATTTTAAAGGTGGAAAGCCTCGACAGGTTGGCCACAGGTTATTAAGGAAGGGTGATGTTATTGGTTGCCTACTTGATTTAATTGCCTCAGAAATACGTTTTACTTTAAATGGTCAAGCAATTTATTCACTTTTTAAAAATTTCAATGTTGATGGATTTTTCTTTCCAATTATGTCATTATCTGCAAAAGTCAGGTAGAAAATCTTAACTAATGGGAAATCTATTCCTCTCATAAAATAGGCATTTAAAAGTAAACGTGATTTATATATTTTATTATTACACAATACATACAAGCAGCCAAATGAACAATAAGAGAGAAAAATCTAACTGGGATATAGACAATATTTTACACCAATGAGGGATTACGGAAGAAATACATACGAGTTTTACAAAGAATATTTTATATCGATACATATATTTGGTCATCCTATATACTTATCACTCCATCACCATCCTTGGCTTATGCCTTGCTCTTCACGCTGCCACTTCGCCTGGCCGTACTGCCGCTTGGCCTGCCCGTATTAGCGTAGACACTTTGGCTAGGATTGGTCAGTTCCGTTTTGGAATGTGGTCGCAGGTTTACGTAGTGGCTTTCATCCATCTTCTTGGGCTCTGAAGAAGGTGATGCATGTCGCTAAAAATAGAGATTTTGTCAATATTTTTATTCATTCAAGTAATCAACTAACCGAGTGTCCCTTTTCCAGAGTTCGAGCCCTACGCACTTCTCGCAGCAGCATTAACACACGGATTCGAGTGGCAAGGCGCCAAGGACGAAGGAAGAAGAGCGAGAACACTGCCAACTTTAGAATCGACCAAACTGGGATTACGGCAAGTGCAAAGTCGAAGAGAGTGAGTAACGCATAGCAGGACCTTAAAATATTAATGGGCATTCTTTTGGTTATGTTATAAAGTCCATTACCAATAGGCAAGCATATCCTCCGAAGCAGCTCTCTCATCCGGATAGAAGAGACTTAGCAGTAGAGGAGTAATAGTCAGCACCACATTTACAGCAAAACATCCCTCTTCCGCAAATGCCAACCAAATGCAGAATGCAGCCACAATCACCTTTGCTATTATCGCTTCGTTGATGTCGAGGCCCAACTTTGTTTTGATCAAGGTCAACCATCTAGCCGTGAAGTGCTTCTTAAATAAAAATGGAAAAAATTTAGACTCGGAAAGATTATCGAAATCCAAACTTACATGGTCTCTAGCGAGCGCATCGAGATGGTCCAGAGTGACTTGCAGCTGGCCGTGGAACGTGGAAGAATTTGCACCTTCATATCCCATTGTTTTGACAGCGCGTGTGAGTAGAGTTGCAAGGCAATCGACGAGTAGAACAATTTAGAATAATTTACTCCTTCATTTGCCTTTTATAGTAATCCGTTGGACAAACGACCTTTGGGATCTTATCCTTCCTCCTATAATTTACCTAATTAATTAAGATTCTTAAAATCTCCCTTCGTATTTCTATAATACTTTTAAACAATATTTTCTAGTTGCCGTTTTATTTTTGGACGAAATCATGGTCGCCTCAAATTTGGACCTCCTTCAAGTTTCTCTCCCGTCTTTGAAGCATTAAATAGCCAATTAACGGTACAAGAATGTCTTTCCTTCGGAGACATTCCCAAACAAATCTTCTCTGGTCCATCAACAATTCTTCATTCAATTGAGCCTTTTGTGCCAACACCTATAGAAACAACTAATATTTCTTTACCTGGATTTGCATTGGAAGCACATATGAATTTTGCAGAGAATTTACATGAACTTTGGGCAATGAGGAAAATTGATTTAGGATGGAGTTATGGAGAAGTAAATAAGAATAGAATCTAAGTGTAATTATTTAAAATAGGTTCGTAGCGAACAAAACCGACTGCATCATTGTCTTACATCCTTCGATCATTTACCTGATGCCGAACGTGCTTATAATATTAATTTGGCCCTTGAAACATTAAAAACTATCGAGGCTCTTGGTTGGCATATGGTACTTATTTTTAATTTCTGTTTTTCAATCTTAGTTTTCAGATGCTTGATAAACCCCCAACACGCCTTCGTCCACTTAGACTTCCCCAAAGTTATGTTCAGTCAAATGGATACAAGCCTCAACCTCTGGATACTCATGAAATTGAATTACCTGAAGGAATGCAACCTTTAATTGAAGCTTTAGCTAGAAATACACACAATGTATGGGCAAAGGAGAAAATTAAAAGAGGATGGACTTTTGGAATTAGTGATGTGAGTGTTAAATAAAGATGATGATGATTGAAATTTTTAAACAATTTCAAAAAATTTCTAAAAATTCTTAAAATGTTTAGCTATTTTTATAAAATTATTTAGTACGTGGATGCAGTCCAAAAACGAACTCCACACTTGGTTCCCTATGAACAAGTTGATGAACGCATAAAAGAAGCAAATAGAGAAGCTGCTGCTGAAAATATTCGAACTCTTCAACTTTATGGAATTTATTTAGAAACACCAATAACCGAAAGAGATTTGGAGGCAGAAAAGGAATTGCAGGCACTTGATGCTTTGACTAGAACTTTTAGAGCAGAGGCTACTTATAAAGTGATTAATGGAAAGTGGTATTATGAATTTGAGGTGAATTAATATTTTTAATGAAGAAAGTCTTGAGTAATTTTTCTCAAAGGATTTTTGGGCAAATTTTAATTTTTTTAGCACTACAAATAAATATTCCAGGTCCTAACAGAAGGATTTATGAAAGTTGGCTGGATGGACGTCTCATCCCAACCAGAGAGCAAACTTGGTGTTGATACTTTAAGTTATGGCTTTGACGGACATTTGGTGAAAAAATGGCATCAAGGTGCTGAACATTATGGGAGGGCCTGGAAAGTTAGTAACATTTTTAATCCTTACTATATAAAAATTTCATTAAATCTATTAATTAATTTGATCAATTTAGATTGGTGATGTTGTCGGCTGTTTTTTAGACCTGAATGATCGGACTATTTCCTTCTCTTTGAATGGCGAACTTCTTTTAGACCCCTCAGGGAGTGAAATGGCGTTTGATAATGTACAACCTACTGATGGGTCTTTACAAACTTTTATAAAATTATTTAAAAATATTCAGTTTCGTTCCTGCAATGACTTTAGCAGCAGGTCAAAAAGGAAAATTTAACTTTGGCCAGGATTCCAATTCTCTTAAATTCTTCACCACTTGTGGGCTCCAGGAAGGATATGAGCCTTTTTGTGTGTATGTTATTATGAAAAAGGAAGAATTATCTTTATTAATTTAGAAATATGTTCCGCCCCATGCCTTTTTGGTATGCGAAGAGATTGCCTCGTTTCACAGAATTAGATAGCCATACTCGTTTGGATGTTCAACGAGTACCAGCAACTACAACATCTCCTCCTTGTTTGAAAATATCACAAAAAGCAGCAATTAGCGGAGGGGGGAGTGGAGACACTGCTGTAGTTACAGGAAGTACTGCAGCTGGAGTAGGTGGACAAGAAACTGGTGTAGGTATAGGCCTGCCTAATGAACGGTCTACTTCAAGAATGGAATTTTTACGTTTATCATTGCCTGTTAAATGTAACCGTACTTTTAATAAGAATAGGTTTTTAATTTATTTTTATTTCGCAAAATTTTTTTATTTAGCCGAAGCAAAGAAGAATTACATGCCAAAATGGAAGATTATCAACAAAAAAGGAACACTTCACTTAGTTCTTTAATTAAATTAGGTCAGACAGCTGCTATCAATGGAGAACAATTGACAATACAAAGCGAGGCTAATAAGGCATTTATTGATAAACTTTTTCCGAAAAATCTAATTTTATTAAATAAATTTACAATAATTTTAAAGGCTCGTGGAAAGAAAGGCCTCCTTTCTGTTTTCCGCCAAGGCAGTCAAGAACCATTAGACCCTGATCGACGTTCACAACGTACTTACAAAACATCCTCTTTTGACTCTTCTCCAGAACATCCAATAATGGATGGGGCTGCTGCTATGCTTGTGTTTGTATTTTTAAGAATTTTGTAGTCAAATAATTAATTTTAAGTAAATCAAGTTTAATGGAATTAAGTCCTGAAGAAAGAAAAGCAACAAAGAAAAGTTCTGGGGGAATTTTGGGAAGAATCCGCCAAAAACAGCAGCAAAAGTGGGATTATATTTGAATAAATAAAAGATTTTTAAAATTTGTAGAGATGAAGTTAAAAGGCATCAGAGAACAACAGATGACACTTATGGTCTGAAAGGACTTGATACAATTTCTGCCAGTGGGATAAGTCGAGCTGATGCTGCTGAAAGTAGGAAAATGAGAAAAAATATATTTTAATGTTCTAACTTTTAGTTACAGGAGAAATGCCCTCCTCTGGGCCTGGTCGTCAACCTACGATTGTTGCCAGAAGGACTTCTCCTTTAAAGAAACGTTTTGGAGTAGGTAAAAGACATCAACCTATGCCAGCTATGTCATCGACTGTTATACCACTCATTGAAATGAGAGAACCTTCTTTAGTTGATGGAACTCAACGATTTTCACTTGTTGCTCCAGCTGAGGAAGTTGGGCCAGTATTAGATGATGTACTTTCTATGCAGGAAATGGGCGATCAGGTGGATTATAGCTTTGAATTTATTTATGCTAAATGAGAGCGTTTAATGAACTTATTTAATTTTTATTATTTTTATCAGATTGATGAATATTACTTTGGCGTACGCATCTTTCCCGGTCAGGATCTTTCGAACGTCTGGGTTGGATGGGTTCGTCCACAATTCCATGCTTATGATAAGCAATTTAATGCTGAAAATTCTGTTCGTAGAAGTCGTTATACTGAACTTGACCATCAAGGTGATACAGCAGGAAGTATTGAATATCGCAATTGCTATATGTTGAATGCGGTAGGAGCAATTTTCTTTTAACGATTTAAAAAGTTTTTTAGGCAGAATTACTTTCCACTGTTGCTGACCCAAGCAACACAAAAGTATCAGGATTACTAATTGGCTGTTTAATTGATACATCAATTGGAGAATTAGCTTTTTATGCTCAAGGTCAAGATACTGGAATGCGTTTTAAACTTGAACCGGAAGCTCTACTTTTTCCTTCTGTCTTTGTTCAACCAACAAGCCAAGAAATTCTTCAATTTGAATTGGGACGAATTAAATTTACTTATCCTCTTTCATCTGCAGTTTTTAAATCTTCAGCTAAAGCGCTTATTCCTTATTGCCCTCCTCGACTCTGTGTAGAAAATCTTCGTTCAGTTCATTGGGCAAGAGTTCCCAGCAAAACTCTTAGAGCGAGTGCAATAAAACTTTCAGATTCAATTGGTTAGATTATCAGTCGATATAGGAAATCCCTATTTTTCTCAATTTTCAGGCTGGTCGGTGCTTTGTGACGAGCCAGTTCGCGCTCTCATGGTCTACATTCCTGAACGTGACGAAAGCATTGATATTCTCGAATTAATTGAGAAGCCCGATTTACTTGCTTTTCATGAACGTACATTGTGTCTTTATTGTAAATTAGCAGCACATGGAAATCAAAGGGTTGCTCACCAACTTTGTTCTCATGTTGACGAAAAACAATTAATATTTGCTGTACGCAATCCAAACCTGTCTGGACCAATGCGGCAAGGATTAATTAACTTCCTCATTGCAGTACATCTGAAAACTCATGCAGATGCCCGACTTTCAATGGCTAAAGAGTAGAGAATATTTTTAAAAAAATTTGTTTTTTTAAATTTTAGATTTATAATTCCTCTTGTTGAGGATGGATTAAATGACAAACACGTTTTTGATGCAAAATCTGAGGGACGTTATCCACAAATACTAGGATCTGTTGTTGGAATCTTGCCAACAATGAAGGCTGATCCTGTTTTGCAACCAAAAATGCCTGTATCTGCTCCTTTAGTGTAAGAAAAAAAATAAAATTTTTAAATTTAATCTAATGTTCTTTAGTTTATCCCCTGTGCCAACAGTACGAGATTCTTGTTCTACTGCCGCAGATAGTAGTAGCAGTAATCGTCTTTTACCTCCTCAATTGAATTTTCTTCGTCTTAAAGAGCATGTAATGAATGCTTTTCGAATGGCTACTCGAAATGCTGTCCTTAGTTGTCGAGATTTTATGGGTGGAGGAAATTTGGAACATTTTGAGTATTTTTAAATAATTAAACTAATAATAAAACTTTTTCAATTTTGTCAGACCAATTCTTAAATTGCTTGATTCTCTTCTAATAATTGGTTTAATAACAGACGAAGAACTTGTCGAAATACTTCAATTAATTCATCCAGCATCATTTGGTAGCAACAAGATTCATAATGATACATTTACTCCTGTTGCTAAAGGATTGGCAGATATTGAATTGGCTGAAGGTGTTAAACTTCAACTTGTTAGCATTCTCGAACATTTATGTGATATACAAGTAATTGAACATTTAAATTTTTTAAATTGCCTAAATTTTCATCTATAGGTACGTCATAGAATAGAATCTCTTGCAGCATTTAGTGATGGCTTTGTTGCAGAGTTACAACAAGACCAGTGTCGCCGGTATTTGGAGATTAAACAGACAGAAATGCCGCCAGCTGAAGCGGCAAAACGAACAAAAGAATTTAGATGTCCACCAAAGGAGCAGGTGGATAATAAAATAAATTTAGTAGATACATATTCTTTGAAATTTTGTTTAGATTGGTTTAATTTATTTTTTAATCATTTGTATTTTTAGATGTATCGACTACTCAATTGTAAAGTAAAGGAAGATGGGGCTATGCGATATATTGATGATGAGGCCGATGAAGATCAATGCCCAACATCGGAGAATTTACAGGATCAATTAAGAGAATTTTGTCAATCATTAGTTTTTAAAGTTAGCCATAAAAGAGTTTCAATTTCTGAAAGAGAGGGAAGTAAAGCTAAGGAAGAAGGACAAATTGAAGAGGAGGAAGAAGAGCTTTCATGGGTTGATAAATTAGCTCAATTACTTATTTCAGTACCTCCCATCGATAGACAAAATTCTAATAAAGATGAACATCAAGGGACTGAGAAATTTAGGTGTTTTTAAGATATCTTTTGTCAATTTATTATTTTAATCTTATTGTAGACAATTAATTGTTTTAACATTGAGACGTTGGGCTAATGAATCAGAAATTGAATCTAATGAACTTATTAGAGCAATATTTGCTCTTTTATTAAGGCAATATTCTGGAGTTGTCGAAATGATGGATTCTATTGGACAGACCTATGTTTTACATGAAAGAAATCTTGATGATGTAAAGGTGTAATTAATACATCATTTAAATATTAAATAAATAATTTTAGATATTTATTGAATATTTAATGCAAATAAGAGAATTACTTAATGTCCAATTAGAAAGTACTGAAGAAGGAATACTTAAGAGAGGTTTATGGCAATTAATGAACAATAGAATTTTCTTTCAACATCCTGATTTAATGCGTCTTCTTAGAGTACATGAAGATGTTATGACTATAATGATGAATGTATTAACTAGACAACAGTCAGCCGTTGAAGCTGCTGAAAGTGGTGGTGGGGATTTACCCGGACAAACTGTGGGAGTTTTAAATTGTTTTATTTATTATCGTTATTAGAAGGCAACGAAAGTTTAATAAGCTCCTTTTTTAGAATGCATCTGAAATGGTTGTAGCTTGTTCTCGTTTTCTTTGCTACTTTTGCCGTACTTCTCGTCTAAACCAAAAAGCAATGTTTGAACATCTTTCTTTCTTATTAGACAATGCTACAATGCTTTTGGCACGTCCCAGTTTACGTGGTTCTGTTCCTTTAGATGTTGCCTATTCTTCTTTCATGGATAATAATGAACTGGCACTTGCCTTGAAGGAAGAAGAATTGGATAAGGTGTTCAATTTTTTATAACTATAGAAATAATTATTATACAAAAGGTTGCCGTTTATTTAATGCGTTGTGGACTTCAACCAAACTCTGAGCTTTTAGCTCGGGATTATCCAGACATTGGATGGGATCCAGTAGAGGGTGAAAGATATTTAGACTTTCTTCGTTTCTGTGTTTGGATTAATGGAGAAAATGTTGAAGAGAATGCTAATCTTGTTATTAGACTTCTCATTCGTAGACCAGAATGTTTAGGTGTGGCATTGAAAGGAGAGGGGCAAGGATTGTTTGCTGCATTTAAGGTGTTATAAATTAATTTAAAGTAATTTATTCCCCCTCTCAGGAAGCAATTTCTTTATCAGAAGATGTACGCCACTTGGAAGAAGGGGAAGACCCTCTCCTTCTTAATTCTCAAATTCTTCGTGATCATGGAAAATATCCATCTAAAGAAATTGAAGGCGAAGACTATATGGATCTTGGGGCATCCATTCTCGATTTTTATTCCTCTCTTGTTGATTTGTTGGCAAAATGTGCCCCGGACCCTTTGACAATCCAAGCAGGAAAAGGTGACAGTGTTCGAGCTAGAGCAATACTTCGTTCATTGATATCACTGGATGATTTGCGACACATTCTTGCATTGCGATTTACTATACCCAATCTTGTGGCTAGCGGAGGAGGTATTGGAAATGGTGGCACTGCTGCTGCTCATGATGGTTAGTAGAATAGTAGAAAAAAATCTCTATTTTATCACACTCTGACTTTGGATTTTTTTCAATATGTATTAATTTCAAAGTCATTTATTTTACTTTAATAAGATTTACTATACTTTTCTCATTTACTATACTTTTACTATACTTTTCTCAAGCTCTTCTTTATACTTTCTCAAGCTTACTTTTCTCAAGCTTAAAAAATTTTATTAACACAAATAATTTTTCGTTGAAGTGCATCCCCCCTTTAACATTCCATCTAACAAATTTTCCAAATCCATTTCCTTCAGTAAATGGTATTCTCAAGAACAACAACCAGAATCAATTTAAAAATAATTCTAACTACATAAATAATAATCAAGAATATTCAAAAACTTCGAAGCCCCCCTTTTCTAAATTCTCTTCTTCCAATTCAATGGAATCTAAAATGCATGGGCTTGTAGATACTACAAATACATTTGCTAACATTGCTGCAACGCTGAGTGCTCGTGTCCGTCAACAGTCTATTTCTGTTAATTACAGGTGATTAATGATGGGGGGATTTCTTTTACTAACAACTTTTTTCTTGTAACCTCAAAAGCTTTAGAGCTTCAACCTTGCTTAAAGCACTTAACACACCAGCTTCAAAGGCTGCGTTATTTCATCAATTAACAACACAAAATAACATGCCTAACAATAATAAACAACCCCAATCGAATTATCAAACAGCAAATAATAGTATTGCTAGTACTAGATCAAACTCACCATTAAAAGAGGTTTCAGAAGACAGCAGCATATCTGGAGATAACATAGAAACTTCTACAACACCAATTCCGCCGCCCTTATACAACGAAGGATTGTTTTGCCGACGCAGGGGGGTTTCTTTGCCTAAACGGAGTGCTTGCAGTGTGTTTTTTATATTTTTTTAAATTTATGTTTTTACCAAATCAAATAGAGCTTTAAATATTTCTTAAATTTTTACTTTCAAATATGTTTATCTAAACTTTAATTTTAATTTTCTTAGATACTGGTCCCCAACCTGGACTTTTACCCAATCATAAACAATCTGTTCTTCTCTTTCTCGACCGTGTTTATGGCATAGATTCTCAGGCATGTGACCATGATTAATAAAAATTAAATATAAAATATTTCCAGGAAATGTTCTTCAATTTTTTGGAGCAAAGCTTCTTACCGGTAATTTCCATTTATGATAATTTTTGTGACTAAATTTATCATTCTAATATTTCTTAGATTCTCTTAACTCATTTACACCAAATGTTAATGGGGGATCTACATACTAAATATTTTTCCTCTTTTTATCACTAACAAATAAAAGTTTAGTTCCTTTTTACTTCAGGATTTACGTGCAGCCACAATGATGGATTCACCTCGAGCCTTAGAATCTGATACAGCACTAGCTTTGAATCGTTATCTTTGCAATGCTGTTCTGCCTCTTTTATCAAACCATTCACATTTCTTCGCAGATGCCGAACATCATGCACCTTTATTGGATGCAACACTTCATACTGTCTATAGAATGAATCGCCTTCGATCTTTAACTAAAAATCAGAGAGATGCTGTTAGTGATTTCCTAGTGGCGTTAAGTCGAGAATTACCTCCCACAATGATGGTTAAATTGTTGAGAAAAGTTATTGCCGATATTCAACAAATGTCGGATAATGTACTTGTCCCTTTGAGGGTAAGAATATTTCCTTTTCTACCTAATACAGTTATCATTACATTTTAATGTTAATAGATAATTACTTTGCATTATGAACGTTGTAATAAATATTATGGGAGTGGAAATTCTTTGGGTGCTGCATCTGAAACAGAGAAACGATTATCAATGCTTCTATTTTATGCTATATTTGATTCCCTCTCCTCTAAACCTTATGATCCTGAATTATTTGGAAAAGCATTGCCCTGTTTGACAGCTATCGGTTCTTCAATTTCACCTGATTATGCTCTCACTTCTGAACGAGCTGAACTTACTACTGTTTGTTTTTTTGTTAATTTTATTGTGAAAATATTATAAGTTATTTTCTATTTTAAATATTCCTATTTTCTTTTATTTTATAGTCCCAAGACTACGAAGGTGTTTGGGTTCCCCAACAATTAGATTACTCAAAAGTTACATTAAATAATGAATTAAATGCAATGGTACAAAAATTTGCTGAGCATTTTCACGATTCCTGGGCTGCACGTAAATTAGACAAAGGATGGACACATGGATTATTATATTCAAGGCGAACAACTAATCATCCTCGTCTTGTTCCATTTCATCGTTTACAGGATTATGTAATTATAAATGAAATTTTTTTTTATTTTCAATTTGCAGGAAAAAGAATTTTATAAAGAACGTTGTGCAGAATGTATTAGAGCACTTGTTGTTTGGGGATATCAATTCGAATTAGTTGATCATGATGCTAATGAACGTGCCAATCAGAGTAGAGTACTTTCTGGGAGAAATGAGCGTGTAATATATTATTTTTTGAAGATATTCTTTAATTCTTTATTAATTTTCTTAAGGATTTCAATCCTCGTCCTGTTGATCTCTCTAATATGAATTTGGATAAAGAAATTCTTCAAGTCGCTGAACAATTGGCAGAGAATTCCCATAATCTTTGGGCAAGAAAAGTGTTTGATGATTTAGCAGATAATAGTGCCCAATATCCTTCAATGCCTCTTGCTCTTGTTCCATGGGAATTATTGACAGATTTTGAAAGGCGTAAAGACCGCTTCAGGGCCCAAGAAGTCCTTAAATTCTTTCAATTTCATGGATATCGAATTTCTAGGTAATTAAAATTTTAGTAAATATCCTAACAAAAATTATTTTAAAGTTCGTCCGACTCAGTGGATCAAATGTCAATTGTTGACCGTTTCAAAATTGATGGAGGGGCAACAGCTAGTTGCACTACTTTAGGTGCTGATCGTTCTTCTGTTGAAAAGCGTTTTGCTTTTAATTTACTTGAAAAGTTACTTGCTTATCTTGAACAAGCCAATGTTCGAATGAAATCATTAAAACCTTCACATGAATTAACAAAAAGAAATTCTTTTCGGAGAGAAGGACAAGATGTTAAATTTTTTGAGAAAGTTGTTCTTCCATTAATGTTCGCCTACTTTAGTGCCCACAGAAATTATTTTTTGGCAAGTAGTTCAATGGTACAAACTGGGACTGCTTCAAATAAAGAAAAGGAAATGGTAGCAAGGTAGTAAATTCTTTTGGAATTTGTAAGGAATTATACTTTGTGAATTGTAGTGGCATTTCCCCTTCCCTCATAAAAATATTAAGCTTATCTGAGAAGGCTCGCAGTCTTACTTTAATTGAATTAATATTTTTCTTTTTTTAGTCTTTTTTGCCGTCTTGCGGCTCTTTTGAGAATTAAAAATCATGCTTTTGGCAGTGTTGCACGTATCACAGTTAAATGTCTTCAAGGGTTAACGCAAGCCTTGGATGTACGAACGTTAGTGAGGATTAATTCTGACATAATTCGAACAGGTGTTTTTAATACAAAATTCTATCAGATACTACTAAGGATTAAAACTTAAAACTAAAATAGGGCAATTTATGTATAATTTTATCAAAGAAACAAAAATTATTATTACAACAAAAACAATGTACATATAATGAAAAACAACAATCATTAGTGTTATCTATATATTTATTTATACTTTATATTCTTTTATCAATCTCGATACCCTCAATTTCATTCTTCCTTTGTTGGAGCAGTGGTCTCAGCGTCTTCGACAGCGTCCTTCCCCGCATCACTTTCATCGGCCTTCTTTTCGCCTCCACCACCTTCCTCTTCCTTCTTTGTGCCAACTTCATCCTCTCCTTTCGTTACATCAACTTCGCTGACTTCTTCCTTTTTCCCTTCTTCATCCACTGCTTCGCCTTTTTTACTGACAGGGGATTCCTTCACCTTTCCTCCTTCATCCTTCTCTTTGGAGCTAGTCTTCTTTGCTTCCGCTCTAGGCGAATCTGTTGTTGGAGGCTCTTCTTGTTTTTCCGCTTTCTTAGGTGTTGAAGCCTTTGCCTTCTCCTTTAGAGTTTTTTCCTTGGCAGGAGGCGGCGGTGGAGGTTGTTTTTTGGTATCCTTTGCTGATGGTTCTGAATAATTTAAAAATTATTTTAAACTTTATTTTTACCAATTAAAATTCCAACTCACTTTTCTCTTTTGCATCTGGTAAAACCTTCGGCTCCTTCTTGTCGATGGCTTCTTTTGGTTTTTCTTTTTTGTCCTCGTCTACCTTTTTCGGCGCTTTTTCTACATTCTTTTCTGTAGTTGCTGGTAGCGTTGTTTGTTTTTCCGTCTTTGAAGTTGCCATCGCAGGTTGCTCGACTGCTTTATCATCCAATTTGATTGCAGTTTTAACATTGTTTTGCACTTCAGGCGTTTGGGCACTTTTTGGTGCTTGAGGTTCCTTCTGTGCTGCTGGAGTGCTGGCTTTCTCGACACGACTCTCCTCCGCTTCCATTGTTGGGGGCACTTCCTGAATTTAAACAGTTATAAAAATTGGAAATTAACATTAGAAACTTACAACGCCAAGGGCAGATCCAGCTAAAGGTTTTTTTTGTTCGACTTCGTTTTTCTCATCACCTTTCTTGCCTTTGTCCTTCTTCTTGCCTTCCGCCTTCTTTCCTTTTTTCTCCTTTTGTGATGGTGGTGGTAGTTTCAATGTTGTTTGTTTCATTTTCGTCTGCGTCTGGATATCCTTTTCAGTGGCAAGCATCAACTCCCTTTCAGTTCCCCTACAATTTTTTACAACTATTAAATATTTAGTTAAAGCACACCTCTTTGGCTGTTTCTTTTGTTTCTTGGCACAGCATATCGGGAGCACAAGGGCAGTAGCTAAAGTGAAGAAGAGCAAGATCAAGAATGCCTGTAGCGTCGAAGAGGTGAACATTTGCAAGCTGAACACTAAAATAAAGATCAACAAATATGTATATGAAAACGTAAAAGTTAAAACGAACTTTGTAACAGTAGTCGAGAATAAACGAAGTAACAATTGATAGTGAAAGCCTAATTGGGATTAGATTTCTGAATTGGCTTTTATATGTACATTGTTTTTATCGGAGGTTTTGTGGACTTTTAATAGAGCCTTAAAGTTATCTATTAAAAATCTATTTTAATTTGTAAATATTATTTGCTAAATATCCCATTTTATTAAAGAAATTGGTTCAAAAATTTTTTAAAATTCATTAAGGTCTTTTCATTTTCTTCAACAATTGCGCAGAAGACCTTTTTTCTGCTGTAAATGAACTTCGCGAAAGCGGCCAATATTCCTTGCTTCGTGGAGAAAATTTGAAGTTTTAAAAATTAATTATTTTAAAAATATCTACTCATTTTTTATGTCGTGGATTTCACTTGAATTTGCTTTTCAAATGATAGTCCCTGTTTTGACTTCAATGTTCGTGCACCTTGCCAAAAATCATTTCGGAAGCGAATTACTTTGTAACGGATTAGATTTTTTAAAGTTTTAATTTTGTTTTAGTGGACGACATTCAAGCATCCTGTTACAAAATTCTTGACAGCCTTTACTTAGTTAATGGGCTTTCGATAGCTTATTCACAACGACGTTCAATTCAAATTGAAGTAGAAAGACACCGCGCAGCTTTGGGACAATGCCTTGGGGCATTTGCTGCTACTTTTCCTGTAGCATTTTTGGAAAATGAATTCAATTCCTCAAATAAATTGTCGGTGCTGGCTAAAAGTAGAGAGCAATCTGTTCAAGTTCAAGAAATGCTTCAAAATCTTTCACAACATATTCCACAATTAGATAAAATCCTTCTTGACATTGAACAAACTGCTGAGAAAGGGTAAATCATAAAAACAGATTTGATTCAGAATTTTAATCCATTGATAATTTTAATTAGTCTATTTGAGTCTTTTTTGGAAATTATTTTCATAATTTATTATCTTTTTTAGGAGAATAAGATAATAAATCCAGTTAAAGGTTAATTTTTTACTCTTTTTCCAGTGTTCTCTACATTGATTCTCCAAATACATTTGATGTTGATCTGCCTCTAATTTGTTCATATCTAGCATATTGGTGGCAGTTTGGCCCAGAAGGTCCTAATCGACCCTCACTTCCAATAACTCAAGTCAGCAGTGAACACATAAACCGTTTCTTCTGTTCACTTCTCCGATTGATGCGTGATCATATTGGACGAGAAATTGCTCCTTGGCTTTGTCGAGCACATTCCTCAGCTGTTCCTTTAATTCAATTTGTTAGTTGTGATCCAGTTAAAGATTATTTGTTGCCTGTCGCTGAACATTTGAGAAATATGGCAGAGAAGGCATATACGGAAGAGGAAAGAATGAGAACACATCCTGATGAAGCTGATGATGCGGCTGTGGCTGAGGTGGTTCTCAAACTAAATAATCTGTTTAAATTCAGCCTATCCTTGCAATAAAGGAGGAATAATAATAAATTTTTGATTTAAGGATAATGCTCGTCTTGTCAGAGATGTCTATGCCTTTTTCCCAATATTAATGAAATATACTGATTTACATCGTGCTAAATGGTTAAAGACTCCTTCGTGGGAAAGTGATGGAATTTATGAAAATGTTGCCGTTATCTTTAGGATATGGTCTTGATAAAAATATACATCTTTATAAATAATTTTTTTAAGGTCCTTAAGTCAACATTTCAAAAGAGAGGAGCTTAACTATATGGCTCAATTTGAGGATAATGATACAGAAGATGGAGGAGGTGCTAGAGGTGAAATGAAGACTGGTAAGGCAGCAATTGCTGAACGAAAGAAAAGACGCCGTGAAGGGCAAGTAATGAATTATTTTTTTAATTCAATAGAAAATATAATTTTCTTAAAAAAAGGTTCGTCGTAATAAACATGCAAATAGCATAGTAATTGCTTGTCTTAAACGGCTTCTTCCTGTCGGATTAAATGTTTTTGGTGGAAGGGAATTGGATATTGTTCAACAAAGCAAGGAACGTTTTCTGGCAAAAGAAAATGAGGATAAAGTTAGAGAATTTATTAAAGGACGTCTTTTACTTCCTGTGGTAAATACATTGTAAAAATTAAATATTTTCTTTAATATATTAGCGTACTGATCCAACAGACAAAAATGCCTGGCAGTTAAATTTATATCGAAAAATTGGAAAATCACAAATGCGTGGTAAAGAAGAAATGAGTCATGAGGCGGTTGTTGACAAAATTGTAAAAATGGGGCAAGTAGTTGCGATTCTACACACGGTAGATACTTTTTTCTCTAGGCTTTTACTAAAATTAAATATTTAATTTTTTGTTTCGCACATTATACTTATTGTTAGTAATTATGTTTTGTAATTTGTTTCTTTTGTCTTCTTCAAATCTTCCGCCTTTTCTTTTTAAAACACTTTTATGATGGAAACTTGATTAGCTTCCCGATTACTTCTATTCATTTAAGTGATCTATAAAATATAGCACAAATAAAATTTTTGGAAAATAGGGTTAATCAGGATAATAAAATTAAACTTGTTGTATATTGCACATTCAATTGTTTCAGACCGAACATCCCCAATCTTTTAAACCTTCTGAATGGAAGAAAATGGTCAGCAATCAAAGAAAACGTGCCGTAGTTGCTTGTTTTCGGATGATTCCAGTCTACAGTATTCCCAGGTATTTCTGTTTGTTGTGATGTTTGTATTTTCTAACGTTTGCTTGGTTTGGTTTGTTTTAATGTTTGAGTTTATTATCATTTAAAATTGCTAATATTAAAAGTTCAATATTATAATACTAGCTAATTAATCTAATCATGATTTTTAAGATTAAATAACACTTGTTATTAAACCCCAATTAAAATACTAGAATGTCAAAAATATTTGATAAATTGTTCGATTTTATTATTAGGTAACAATTCGATCTGATGGGGAACATAAATGGAAACGAGTTTTAACAGCACAACGCAAACGGCTGGTCTGTGCTTTGATAACGACTATTTATCTTTACAAACTTGAAAAGTTTGCTTTTTTGCTGTATCTTTTTTGCTTTATCTTTTTCATACTTGGCTTTGTTTTAATCAAACGTTAATAATAATTTTGTTGCCAAAATTTATAAGAAACTAATTCCCGGATTTAATTTTCGAGATCTAAGCATTTCTCCTTTAATAACCAAAAAAATTTTTTTACAGGCACCGTGGTATCAATTTATTCCTACCTGTGTTCAGTCAAAAATGGTTAGCGGATGAAGATGTTGACCAAGATAGATTAGTTGCTGATGTTTGTGTAAGCTAAAAATAATTTTTTAAAGTCAGTATGCTTATAATTAAAGGCTAGTAATACACCTGGAGTAGCATCTACTACTATACGATCTATTGAATCGGCTTCACCAGTTGTTGCACATCTTGTAGAAGATGAGACTGGCCTTCTCAAAATTGAAGAGGGACCAAACGAAAAGTAAAAAATTTTTTTATAAAATTTATTTTTTAAATTTTAAAGACAAAGTAACACAAATCCTGATGCTCTGAGTCAGCTTATTCAATGTTTTCAAAGAGCAGCCACTAGTGAGGAGAGTGGAAATCAATCTTTTAGCACTGCGGATGACAAGTAAAATAAATTCATTACTACTACATACTATCAACATTTTAATAAATAGATTATTCATTCGCTATGCTAAAGTCATGTGCCGTTCTGTCCATATTGACAAAGAAGATGAGGATGGAGGGGGAGGTGAAAACGATAAAGAAGTCGATCAGGCCGAAAAAGAAGAAATGGTTCAAGCACTTCGGGTCGAACAAGCAGTTCTTGCAAATAGGGGTGCAGCAATTATGTAAGTAATTAATTTTAAGGCATTAACTGTTGTGTAAAAAGTTTTTGAGTAGATCACACGGTACAATAAAATGAATGCAGATTTTAAAAATTAATAAGTTGAATATAAAATCGAAAACGTTTTTTGCTAGGTGCTTGATGTATCTTAGTGCCGCAAATGGAGAACCGAATGAAATGGTGGCTGAAACGCTGCAATTGGGCATTCATTTATTAAGTGGAGGAAACAAGGATATTCAAAAGGTCCGGACTTTATTCAAGGAAGAATAGCCTCTTCCCACCCTTTTTGAATTATCAGACGAGTTCTTTTGTTTAGAACTTGTTTATAAAGATTATATTTTCAATTTAAATATTCAAAATTACATAATTTTTCAGATGATGCTAAATTATTTACAAACAGTAAAAGATGTTCGCTTCTTCATTTCTCTATCGGGATTAATGTGCAAATGTAGTGTTCAAATTTGGAAATGTTTGAACGTCAAATAAAAGCTGAAGGTTTGGGAATGGGGGCCAGACCTGGGCGAAACTCAAAATTTTTTTCTGACGAAACGAAACGAAACAAAATTTTTTTAAAATCGTTTCGTTAACGAAACGAAACGAAACAACCAAAATCTTACGAAACGAAACGAAACAAAACGAAACATTTTAATATTCAAAAAATTTTCAAAACTTCATTTATTTCGCAATTATTCGACCTCAAATACTTTATTAGTCGCCTACGATTTATAAATGATTTAGTTTTTGGTTTATTTACAACAATTTGTCCCATAAGCCAGGCCCGTAGCAAGGAAAATTTTCGGGGAAGGGGGGGGGGGGGTCAATCATTTTCGAAGCCGAATTTTTGGCGACGCTTTTTTTCAAATAAAATTTAATATTTTTCAAGTAAAATTTTATTTTAAGCGCCGCAGACGAAAAATTTTAAAATTTTGAAAGGCCGTAGGCCAAAAAATTCACTATCTTGCTCCATTGCCTACCCAAATTGTCTCCATATCTCCATTTCGAGAGGAGAGCGATATAAGCTAATGCTTCGCCGGAAGTTCCGGTTCCAGTATTTCCGCAACTCGCAATTTGCAATTTTTAAATTATGATGCGAGTCCGGTAATAGAATTTGTCGTCGATTAAGTAATATGTATATGCGGATTAGGGAGTGGAGTATAAACGGATTTGTAGTATATAAGTAATTGATATCTTCCTTTTTCAGCGCCGCAGGCGAAAATTTTGACAATTTGGGAAGGCCAAGAAGCCGAAATTCTTCTTTTTCAGCGCCGCAGGCGAAAATTTTTTTAATTTTCAATAAAAGATGGTTAATTTTATAGATTTTGGCCTTAGTTTAGGCTTAAAAAATTGTTTCGTTTCGTTGAAAAATCACAGGTGTTTCGTAACGAAACGAAACGAAACAAATTTAAAAGTGTTTCGTAACGAAACGAGACGAAACAGTAAAAATCATACGAAACATACGAAACAACGAAACGAAACGAAACGTTTCGCCCACGTCTGATGGGGGCAGAATTGGCTGCTGGTGAACATCAAAATTTAAATGATGCTGACTTTACCTGTTCTTTATTTCGATTTTTACAATTAACATGTGAAGGCCATAATTTAGATTTTCAAAATTATTTGGTAATTATTTTTCTAAATAATCTTTTCAAAAAAAATTTTTTTAAAGAGAACTCAGTCTGGACACACTACAAGTGTTAATTTAATTAATTCTACAGTTGATTATTTACTTAGACTTCAAGAATCTGTTATGGGTAAATAATGATAAACTTGGACTAAAAAATAGAAAATTAAAAAAATTTTTAGACTTTTATTGGCACTATAGTTCTAAAGAAGTAATTGATGAAGGAGGAAAAGAATATTTTCTTAGAGCCATTCAAGTATGCAGTCAGGTATTTATTTTTAATTTTTATTAAAATAATTATTTAATTTTAGGTATTTAATACACTCACCGAAAGTATTCAAGTAAAGAAAATTATGAAATTAAAAAAAATAAAATTAATTTTTGAAAGGGTCCCTGTGTTGGTAATCAAATGACTTTAGCTAATTCTCGACTTTGGGATGCCATAAATGGATTCTTCTTTCTATTTGCTCATATGATGGAAAAATTATACAAAAATAGTACACAATTAGAATTGTTGAGAGAATTTCTGAATTTACAAAAAGATATGATTGTTTTGATGCTTTCAATGCTTGAAGGTGTTTGAAAATTAAAAATATTATTTTTTAAATTTTTTTAAAGGGAATGTACTTAATGGGCCAATTGGAAAGCAAATGGTTGATGCTTTAGTTGAAAGCCAACAATGCATTGAAATGATTGTGAGTTGACTTATGTAATTACAACAAAAACAAAAAAAATTGTTAGATTTCGGTGTGAGATTTAGCCCAATCTATCTAAATTTTGTTTTAAAAATATTTTTGGTTCCCCGAATTCTAATTCTAACGTGTTCTACTCTATATTTAAATATTTTTATATCTTACTATTTTCAGATCAAATTTTCTGATATGTTTCTCAAATTAAAAGACTTAACAACATCACAAGCTTTTCAAGATTTTGATACTAATCATGATGGATGGATCTCACCAAAAGAATTTCAGAGAGCAATGGAGGCTCAGAAAATGTATTCGATTGAGGAAATTACTTATTTAATGATGTGCACTGATGGTAAAATTTCTCTTTTTTACAAAATTTTCAAAAATTTCACCAAAAATTAAAATTTATGTTAAAAAATATTCTTTTTACATTTTTTCTCTTTTTAAGTAAATAATGATGGAAAAGTTGATTATATGGAGTTTACTGAAAGATTTCACAATCCTGCCAGAGATATTGGGTTTAATCTTGCTGTTCTCCTTACCAATTTAAAAGAACATATAACAAATGATCCTCGACTTGAAAAAATTGTCGAAAAGGCAGCCTCTCTCCTCGAATATTTTGATCCATTCCTTGGCCGTATAGAAATTATGGGATCTGCCAAACGAGTGGAAAAAATTTATTTTGAAATACAAGAAAGTTGGCTTGAACAATGGGGAAAGCAACAGATTCGTGACTCTAAAAATGCTTTTCTCTTTAATGTTCTTCAGGATGATGGCGGTGATCAGGGGAAATTAGAAGCGTTTATTAATTTTTGTGAAGATACCATTTTTGAGGTGGTTATTATGAATTTCACCAAACATGTTTTTCATAACCCCGCCAAAACACTCCATCAATATCCCCTTAATATCCACCCTTATAATCCATATCACAATTTGAGTGATTTCAAATAATTTTAATTTTATTATTCAATAGATGCAACATGCCGCTGAGATTAGTTCTTCTGAAGGAACTGACTCAAAATTAGAACGGGCTATGCGGCAACGCGACTATTTTCTCCAACAAACAACTGCTGGTGAACATATATCCAATACATTAAGAGCTGGATATAAATGTGGATTATCTGCTTTTACTTTTTTAAAACCTGAGTTTGTATTTGATTTTAATTTTCTTATTCAATTTTATTTTAGAAATATTCAAAAAGAATTGAAAAAGGCAGCAAAGAAATTTAGGTAATTTGTTATTATATTTCGCATATTATTGGCCTTATATTAAAATTTCATTCCTTTTTAGGTCAATGACGTGGGGACAAGTCTTCAAATCTTTGGTTCGCCTCGGCTTCTCCCTTACCCGTTCCTTAGTTATGTTTATTATTTTTTTGCTTATGACTGTTTTTCGATTTGTTGTTAACCTAATGAGCGATCATGAAGATATACCCCCCGGCCATGAGGATGCTGAAAAATTGGAGGCATCAACACACGCCGGCAAATTTGGCGCTCATCTTCATCCGACAACTGCTCCATCAACTCCAACCTTATTAAGGGACTATACTAAAACTTCAACCTTGCATGATGTTGATGCTTTCGGCATTCATATACACCATACAGACAGTCGGGGTCACAGTCCTGCTACGGCAGGTCTAACAAAAGATAACTTTACTTTTTTTATAAACTTTTTTTAGCTCAAAGCCGTCAAGGTTCTCCACAAAAACAACCTCCACCTAATGGACCTTCAACAATTGGAAGGCATCAAAAACCAGCAGATGAAGAAAACAAAAAACAATATTCTGAAGAACCTGCCGATAAAAGAAAAACAAGTACTGGAAGCCAAAAAGTGAGAATTTCCCCTTCAAGTAATGAAAATGAAGGAAGAAATGGAAATCGACCATCATTGGATAGCACTATACCTCAAATGCATAGACCTAGGTGTGGCTATATTACTTATATATTTTTACTTATACTGAATTACTTATATATTTTTCTTTTTAATTTTTTCTAGTATTTATGATTTCCAATCATTATTTGGTGGTGGGGGTTCTGCTTATTTTACTGAACTTCAACAGCAACAACAACAATTATTGGCACAACAACAACATCAACAACAATTGGCATTTTACGAGCCTAAAATAGCTGAACAATTTAATTCTCGTCGTTCACGTTCTTCTCTTTTAAATATTTTGGCAAGAAATTATAAAACTGTTGAAAAGATTACTCTTTGTTTGGCATTCTTTATTAATGTTATTTTACTTTTCCATCGAGTTGATATTGTCAGTAGTAATGAAAAGAAGGATAACATTGCACAAATTGAAGCATTACACAAAGGAAAGGGAGAAGATGATGATAATGATGAAGATGAAGAAGGAAATGTTTTGGAAACTATTTATATTGTTAGTTTTTTAGATTACCGTATTTCCTGTATTATAGACCCTCAGAATTAGAGCCCCCTCCTTAATAAAGCCCCCTTTTGGAGAGTGGTTGAAAAAGAGCCCCCGTCTGAATTAGAGCCCCCCTCTTTAATATAGCCCCCTTTCTGGGATAGTTGAAAAATAGATCCCCATGGGGCTCTAATACAGTAAATACGGTATTCCATTTTGTTTTGTCCGAATGAGTTTACCTTTTAAGAAAAAATATTTACTATAATTTAATTTTTAGACTGGAATGACTCTTCCTTATATTAGCTACGAGATTACTGGTTGGATTCTATCGCAGGTAGTTAATTGTAATTTTTATTTCAAAAATTATTATTTTAGTTTCTTTATTGGTTAAGTGTTTTGCATGCAATTGCTTCTGTAGCCCTTCTCGTTTCCTTCTATCAACTTAAAATTCCTTTAATTACTTTTAAACGAGAAAAGGAAGTAGCTAGGAAATTAATGTTTGATGGTTATTGGATTACTGAAGATGAATCTGGAAATGATGAAAGGGGAATTATTGATACACTTTTTTGGTTAATTTTTATTTAAAGAAAAAAAATAATAAATTTTTCTTTAGGTATTTGGACAGAATTGTAATAAGTTCAAAATCATTTCCAATGAAATATTGGGATAAATTTGTTAGAAGAAAAACAAAACAAAAATATAGAGAACAAGTAGATGAAGAGACCTTAGATTTGTTGTTAGGGACTGAAAGAAGTCCTGGCGACACATCTTTTGATTATCGGTAGTTAAATTTTTAGGAAAAAATTTAAAATTCTTTTTAAAGTTATTCTTGTTGGCTCTGGACGGGTGTAATTTTAACAAACAGACAATTTCTTTATCGTGTTTGTTATTTACTTTGTTCTGTTCTCGGTGTTTTTATTTCTCCATTTTTCTACGCCTTTTTATTAATTGATGTTGTTCTTTCATTTCCTATGCTCAAAGCAATTCTTCAATCTGTCACCCATAATTTACAACAATTAATTTTGACAATTATGATGACTTTAGTTGTTGTTTATTTATATACTGTTGTTGCTTTTAATTTCTTTAGGAAATTTTATGTTCAGGTATTTGTTGAATTAATAAAATTTGAAAGAAGTTTTTAGGAAGAAGATGGTGGTGAACCTGATAGAAAATGTCATTTTATGCTTACCTGTTTTATTTATCATTTTTATGCTGGTGTTCGTGCTGGGGGTGGAATTGGTGATGAATTAGAATCTCCCTATGGAGATGAATTAGAATATGCCAGAATGCTTTATGATATTTCTTTTTTCTTTTTTGTTATTATTATTCTTTTGGCTATTATGCAAGGTGAAAGAGAATGATCCTCTTAAATAATTAAAAAATTTCTTTTGTAAAGGTCTCATAATTGACGCTTTCGGGGAACTTCGAGACCAGCAAGAATCTGCTACAGAAAAATTAGAATCCTCTTGTTTTGTTTGTGATATTGGAAAGGAAACATTTGATCGATTGCCTCGCGGTTTTGATAATCATACCAAAAAAGAGCACAATTTTGCTAATTATTTGTAATTTTTAATTGGAATATTTTGTTAAATTTTATTTTTTAAAAAGGTTTTTCCTCCAACATTTGGTTAATAAAGACGAAACTGAATATACGGGTGTGTTTGGAATTGAGATATATTTTAATTGAGATTTTAATTTTTTAAAGGGCAAGAAACTTATGTACGTGAAAAATATGATAATCGAGATTGGGAGTTCTTCCCTGTTGGGGAGTGCTTTATGAAACAATATGAGGATCAGTTGATTCAATCTTCATAGAAATTATTTAGAAAATTAAATAATATATTAGATTTTTTTGTTTTTAGTATTATTAAAAATATTTTTTTCATTTTTGATTTTGTCAATTATTATGTATTTTAGTAAAAATTTTATATAAATATTAATTTTTAAATTAGTCATAATTTGTTAGTGTTCCGCAATAGGAAGTGAAATCTAGACAGTAAATTCCCAAGTAGATAATTTTATCTTAATTTACATTGCTTTCCTAATAATTAAATGGTTAATCATTTAAAAACAACTATTTCCAGATTTGAACCCGGATATCAAAACGAAATTTAATTTCTTACTCTGATTAAAAATGAAAAATGATAACTATTTTTATGAGAATCGAGGTAATGATTTTATTTTTTAATGTTTATATGTACCTTTTCCATCAACCAAAAAATCTCATTCATCAGTATTTTTTTTTCACTTTTTTCAATTGGTCCCTGTTTACGCTTCGGATATTTAAGACATCGTTGCAGATGTATTGTCAATAGAACATTTGATTTAATTTTGTCTCTACAAAAAACACGCTTTAGATCATCATCTAAAAGATACTACGTTTATTAAATCTATAATTATGGTTTTTATTTGAGAGTTTAATTAAGAAATAATCATGTTGCTTGTCCTTATTCTGTCACACCCGTACAAGTGATACTCTTACTTGTCTCCATACTCTTACTTGTCATTTCAATATTATCAAACTAAAATTTAAAAAAAATGAAAATTAGAATCAGAGAATGATTGAAAATGTGTTGGTTGTCCTTATCCAACATGCTAATGGATAAGGACAACGAACATCATGTTGGTGTCCTTATCCTTGAAAAGTTAAAATCTTAAGTAATGAAAATGAAGGAAGGAATGAGAATCGGTCATCATTGAATATGTAAAGAATAAAAACAACGTTTTATTTTATTTAAATTTTTGTTTATTATTTTTAGTAGATTTTACATAAATTAATAGGTATTTTTTAATATTCAAATTCATTTTATTTTTGTTGTCTATGTACTTAGTTGTTCTTTTAAAATCCAGTAAATAGTCTGGTTTAAATTCAAAATATTTTTATTTTATTGTTTTAAATATTTAAACGTTTACTCTCTTGAAAATAATAATTATTAAAATAAAAATCATAGAATGACTGAAAAAAATAAATTTTATATAATTATAGTGCTTTTACTCTTTGGAATTTCTTTTTATTTAAGTAAGTTATTTAATTATTTTAAATTAATCTTTAATTTAATGATAGTTTTCAAAAATAAATTTATTTTTAAAATTAAAGTTAAAGAATTACTTGGCTTTCCTGACGATTTAATTATAACAAAATATTCATTTATTCGAAAGGGATTAAATTTAAGTGAAGCTGAATTATGGCAAAAACAAAATAATTTAAATTTAAAATATATTAATTTAACTGAAATGGATATTTGGAAAGAAAATAATTTAACAAAATTTTTATTAATTGAAATACCTAAAGATTGGAATGGAGAATGTGGAGGGTTTGCTAATCAAGTAAATTTAGACTGAATAAAAAATAAAATATTTTAATTAAAAAAAGATGTGGAGATTTGCAGTAATTTATGTTTGGGGTTTACAATTAGGTCGTTATCCTGGAATTTTTAATAATAGTGCGTGGACTTGTGATTCTTTAAATTTGCCAAATGAAATTGAAGAAACATTTCCTGTTGTTCACAAAATATTTATTTATTTTAAAGTTTTTAAAAAAATATTTTTTAAAAATAAATTTTTTTTAAGCCAAATCAAATAGAAAATAATACAAAAAATCAAATAAATTATGATATAAATGAAATGATTAAATCAAAAGAAAAATATTTAAGAATTATACCACCACCACAAATACATGAATTATTTAAAAATTATAGAAACCAAGTTAGAGAATTATTTACATTTTCAAATAAAGTTAGGACAATTGTTGACAAATATATTAACGAAATATTTAGGTATTTTAATTTAATTAAGATTTAATAGTTTATATATACCGTAAATACACTAATAGAAGCCCTGGGCTTATATTTTTCAATGGGTCTCCTCAGATGGGCTTGAATTAGAAGCGGGCTTCTACAAGAAGCGGGCTTCAATTAGAGTATTTACGGTAATTACTTATAGTAGCTACAAATCAGTTTGATCTGACCATACTTTGATTTTTTAATTTTATATACAGGGTGCGGCAAAAGTTCCCGTACTTTTGTTAAGCATAAAATTTTTTTCAAATATTTTCTTAACTTATATAATTTTTATGAAAATGTGTTCATTAATATCTAAGGAATGAAAGATTATAACATATTTCCAAAATGTCCTCTTTCCGCCAAGATATACGCGTCCAAACGCTAACTGAATTTGCCCACTATGGTCGCGCACTCATCCACAATAATTGAATCCAAGCCCAGTTGCAATCCCGTCTTTCACAACAGACGAAATCATAGGGAATTGCTTCCTAGGAAAGTCCTTGCTTCCAAAATTGTTCAGAAGAGCACTTTTCACAATCTGTAATGGTGTGGGCCGGGATTTGTGCCAATGAATCCATGGCCACAGCAACAATGGATCCCTGGGCACAGCAACAATGGTGTTGGCCGGGATTTGTGTCATTGCATCCCTGGGCACAGTAACACTTTGGTAAAACCAATTTTATGTTGCAGCAAAATTGGGCCCCTTCACATTGGGCAAAAACAATGATTGGCCTCTGCGAAGAATTGTTTCCAGGTTTTTGGGGCAAAGACATTCGGCCAAGTAACTCCACAGATATGAACGCTATGGACACACAGTTTGTTTTTGATTGAAGCAGAGACTTTCACGGATATGATTTACATAAACCGAGTCAATTAAGGGGAATTGCAACTGAGCTGGGACTCAATTACATGGTTGATTGCGCGACCATAGTGAGCAACAACAGTAAGCGTTTGGACGCGTATATCTTGGTGGAGGGAGGACATTTCTAAGATTTGTTATAATTTTTCGTTTCTTTACATTTTTATGATCACTTTTTCATAGATTTTATAAAATTTAAGAAAATATTTGAAGTAAATTTTATGATTAAGAAAAGTACGGGAACTTTTGCCGCACCCTGTATAGATTATTTTATTTTAGAAATGATTCTTCCCATAAATTATGTGTGCACACAAGATTGGGTGACTTTGGTACAATTAAATGGCCTAGACATCATCCATCAAGAAAGGATTTTACAGAAGAATCTACAAAATTTGTTTTTAATGAAATAAAGGTGTATTTAATTGTTTTAATTTAAATTAAAAATTAATTTTCAGCAAATAAATAAAAATAAAGAAATTTCTTTAATTTTACTTGGAGCAGACAAAAAATTTCTGTCAGATTTAAATTTTGATGGAATTAATGTAAATTTATTTATTTTTATTAAATTAAAAATTTAAATAGCCAAAAAGAGTGTTTATACCCAAAAATATGCCTCGAGGACAAGATATTTATTTTTCTACAAAAATCTGTAATTCTTTAATAATTACTGCATCAGTCTCCACTTTTGGATGGTGGATTGGTTATTTATTAAATGATATAAAATCTCAAATTTATTTTTATGATGATTTTGATGATAATACAATTTTTCAAAGAAAAGATTTTCCTCCTGAATGGATTCCTCTTAAATTTAATTTAAAAACTAAACAAATTATTAAAGAAGGACATTAAAATTCAAATATAAATATATAATTTAATTTATTAAACATTTACTATTAATTAATATTATTTAATATACATTACAACACTACTACAAGAATTTCAGAACAATCTGACAACACAAAAATCAGAAAATAAATATCCTTTCTGTTTTCTCTCTAATTTCAATAGCCTTTTTTAGCGATTCAGTTCTCTCAATTTCACTATTTCTATTCTTAAGCTAAAATAAGAAAAATAAAAAATTTAGAAAATTGTTGTTCACCAAAAGTTTAGCTTCTTTGCATTCTTCTTCTCGTTGTTCGACCAAAAAAATAAAATTAATCTCACATTAAAAACACAAATTTAAATTAAAAATCGGAAAATAAATCTATTAAGAATATTCTAATTTATATCAAAGATAATGACATGGGTCTATAATAATTTATCGAAACGAAGGGGGGGGGTTAATTTAGCTAGTTTAAGATTTTTTTCACTTATTAAATACTAAAACTTTTAAAAATGCTTTTGTTACACTTGACTATGGCATATTTTTCACAAAATATGATTTCTAAATCAGAATTTACCAAAAATATAATAGTAATTTAACGAGGGTCCGAAACTAACCGAAATTTTCGGTTCCGAAGCTGTTTCGAAGAATCGAAACGAAAATTTTGGTCATTCGTTACCCCAAATTTAACAAAATATATTGTTAAATATAGATTATTTTTTATTTAATTATTTAAAAAATTATCCTACCAAAATCTTTTTAAAACTTTCTCCCAAAAACATGTAGACAATAGAAGAAGAAGTTAATAAATTTTTACCATAATTGTATAAATATTTTTTGTATTTACTGTGTGTATATGTATCTAGCCATATTTAATTTAAAAAATTTATTTAAACTTAAAAAAAAAGTAAAATGTCGAAGGAGGATATACATAAATGGCTTACAATTTTAATTCTTTAGAAAATAAACTATTAGATCCATTGAATATATCAACGAGTAGTTCAATTGGTAATGTTTTTCTTTTATTTTTTATCAATTTTTGTTCCATTCTATTGTTGTTTTTTTTCAATTTTCCATAGTTAATAGTATAATTTTTTAGCGATTGGATGGTGCGGGGGGGCTAATTTAGCTAGTTTAAGATTCTAAAAAATTTAATAAATGATTGAATTAAAGTAATTATTTATTCGAAAATAAAATTTTAGAACACTAATTTATTATTAGCAGATTTACCATTAATTTTAAATTTAGGTAGATTATTATTCGCTCTTCAAAAACTTTAGCGTTAATTTTTAAAATGTTTATTTTTAGGGCACAGAGGTTTGTTGACCTGCTTGTTTTATTTATTCAATAAGAATTGATGTAACAATTTTTGAATGAAATGTCTGGGCCTTTAGAAGAAAAAACCTCCGCCCGAAAATTGCACAGTAACCCTTAGCTCCTTTTTATTTAATTTTTGATTTAAAATTAATTTTTAGTTGAGATAACTTTCCTAATTTTGTTATTTTTAATTAAATTGAAAGAAAATATGTAAATCAATTAAAAGTTTTTTTTCAAGCATCCTGTAAATATATCCATCCATTTATTATGGAATAACAATAATAAAAGATTAAAAATTATAATAACAAACAAAAAAAGAAATTAATTAATTTATTATTACGTACAAAAGCAGAATTTTGCTTTTTCTCTTTGCACTTTTCGGTAAAAACAAACTTAAAAAAATATCAATGATCAGATAAATAATAGTAAATAAACAATGATAAGGTCATTATAATTTATTTTTTTATGAAATATAGTAAATTAGAGGATATCGTGAATAAACATGTTTTCCTTTACAAAGGGTGGGGGGGGGGAGCCTTAAAATTTTTATTATAGCTGCTTTTAAAAGCTACAATTTTCATTTTAAATTTGAATCCGGTTATAAAGCAGGGTGAATTTTAGTGCCGAAAAAGCTACGATAAAATAGCTATCAAAAAATATATGAACATAAAAACACCCCCACCCCACCCTGCATTAGCCAAGATTGAATATAATATTTCAGAATTTTAATGTCCTTCTTTAATAATTTGTTTAGTTTTTAAATTAAATTTAAGAGGAATCCATTCAGGAGGAAAATCTTTTCTTTGAAAAATTGTATTATCATCAAAATCATCATAAAAATAAATTTGAGATTTTATATCATTTAATAAATAACCAATCCACCATCCAAAAGTGGAGACTGATGCAGTAATTATTAAAGAATTACAGATTTTTGTAGAAAAATAAATATCTTGTCCTCGAGGCATATTTTTGGGTATAAACACTCTTTTTGGCTATTTAAATTTTTAATTTAATAAAAATAAATAAATTTACATTAATTCCATCAAAATTTAAATCTGACAGAAATTTTTTGTCTGCTCCAAGTAAAATTAAAGAAATTTCTTTATTTTTATTTATTTGCTGAAAATTAATTTTTAATTTAAATTAAAACAATTAAATACACCTTTATTTCATTAAAAACAAATTTTGTAGATTCTTCTGTAAAATCCTTTCTTGAAGGATGATGTTCAGGGTTAAAAGGCGGTCCAAAATCGCCTCGTCTTGTATATACACATAATTTATGAGAATCATCACCCCTTTAAATATTTTAAATTAATATTGAAATTAATGGTTACACCCCGTTTCAGTTTTGGCTCAGTTCAGTCGCGCGCCCTATAACTTTTGAAGGGGCCGATAATTTTTAACGTTTTTGGTACCATTTGATAGAGCATTAAATAAGCTACAATATACCAAAAAATCAAAATTTTTGACTAAATTCATGACTAATTGGTAAAAACCAAGAACATGAAAAAGTGACCATAGCTTGATGAGTTATAGGGTCCAGACTGAACTGAGGTGCTCCGAAATAAATTACTTGAATATTTCCTCAATATATTCATCAACAATTGTTCTAATTTTATATGAAAATGTATATAATTCTTTAATTTGATTTTTTACATTTTTAAATAAATCGTGTATTTGTGGAGGATAATGAATTCTTAAATATTTTTCTTTTGTTTTAGTTACTTCATTAATGCTGTAATTAACCATAAATTTTGTATCCCCTTCAACCTCCTCTGGCTTTAATTAAATATTTTTTAATTATTTATTTTTATTCCCACCTTAAAAGAAGCAAAAATTCTGTGGGCAACAGGGAATGTTTGTTCCATTTCACTTGGAGAATTTTTGAAAGAATCACACGAAAATGCTGGTTTGTCAAAATATCCAGGATAACGTTCTGTTTGTTGTCCCCAAACATACATTACAGCAAAGGCCCATATCTATTAAATATTGAATGTAATAAAGTTACCGTAAATGCTCCAATTAAAGCCGTGGGCGTCTATTTTTCAAAGGGTCAATTTGAGTCAATCCCCCCCTCCTTGGGTGGGCTTGTATTGGATATGGGCTTAGAGCATTTATGGTATTTATTGATAATATACTACATGTAGATAGACGGTCCAAAAGATTCTGGGTTGGTTAGGATTATTTGGGATTTCTGAAGCTTCCCAATGATTTTTGACTAGTAATTAGATAGTTCCAAATTATTTTTCGAATCCCAAAGTTTCTATCACTGCATATCCCTATAATATTTATTTACTTGATTAGCAAACCCTCCACAAGTTCCACCCCAATGATCTGGAGTTGTTTCTAACAAAATAAATTTAGTTGATTTTTGTTTCCTCCAAACTTCAAATTTAGTTAAATTAATATATTTTAAATTTAAATTATTTTGTTTTTGCCATTCTTCAATTTCATTAAATGACCGTTCTTGAGATGATAAGGAATATTTTGTTACAGATAAATATTCAGAAAATCCAATAAATTCTCTAACTAAAAATTTTTTAAATTAAAATGAAAATATATATTAACAATAAAGAATTAATTTTAGAAGATTTGACTATACAATAAAATGAAGTCGTTATAGTTTATGACCTTGGGGTTTATATCGTATATTTAAATAAGTTATGCATTTTAGCAGGGGTATAATAATGTTACAAGATTCGACTGTATAATGTTAAATAATTTCACCGCATTTGAATACATACTTAATTTAAAGTTAAATTTTTCTGCACTAGGGTTAACAAACATTTCAAAAGCTCCTTCCCAATAGTATAAATTTTGTAAGATAGCATAAAATTAGGTAGGGCCCAATATTTTTTGTGATTTTTGTTTGTTTTAACCTCTACCCCTATTTAATTTATTTTTATCTAAACTATTTAAATATAAAAAAAATATAAATATATTTACCTAAATAAATGGTAATTCCAACAAACAATAGAACAGTAATTAATTTAAATTTATTTTTATTGTTCATATTCTTCATAAAAATAAAATATTCTGAGAATCTAAAAAATTAAAACACAAATACTTATATTCTGTTAAAAATTATTAAATAATACTTGAAAAATAAAAATATTTAAATCTTTATTTTGGAAAAAATATATAACGCCAATTTTATTGTTCAAAATTACGCCAAAATTGCGAAGAATAAAATATTTAAAAATAAAAAATAGTTTTGTAACTTTTTTTAGTAAAAGGTGTTAGAAATTTCACTTAAAGAAAATACCTAAGAGTGAAAAAGTTGTTTTCTCTAGTAAATTTTTAGAAAAAACAAAAGCTTAAACAATAAACAGACTGAACACTCGTATTATTTAATTCAAAAAATAATAATTTAATTATTTTAAACATTAATAAGGCTTCGAGTGGAAATTTAGATAATTATATAATTAATTTTAGAAAGAGAAAAAAAATTAAATAGTATCTTTCTTCAAAATTTTATTTAAAAAATCCTTAATTTTCTATAATCGATTTTTTAAATAAAATCTGAGCAAATAAAATAAATTTTGAGAAAAGAAATTGAATAAAAAAAGAATTTTTTTGCCAACGAGTTAAAAATAATATATTTATTTATATTTAAATAATTTTTTCGAAAAAAAAACTAAAGATTAAAGGTTTTTGGGTATAGAAAAGTATAAAAAAGAATATTTAAATTATTTGAATATTTTAAAAGAAGTATGGAGCAAAATTGTGATTTTTATACAAAACTACAAATGTTTTTATTTTTCAATTTAATTTAGGCTGGGACAAAATTATTTGGAGAAATAAAATTATTTGAAAATATTAAAATAAATTATAAATTTTTTATAATTTATAGGGAGAATAAAATAATTAAATATTCAAAACCCTTATTTGTTGCGATCCATAAATAATAAAAATATTTTTTTGTTATTAAAATTTAGAAATAAAATGTTTTGTTCGTAAAATTATTTTAAAAATATTAAATAAATATTTTAGGAACAAGAAAAAATTAAAGAAAATTTATTTTAATTTTTATAATTAGAGACCGGATTGGGAGTGTCTTACGAGAATCGAGATCTAGATAACCGAGATTCTTGTCTCGGACCGGTCTCTAGTAAATAACTGTTTATAAGTTTTTATAAAATTAATTTTTAAATTTATTATATAGACTTGTCTAAATATATATTTGTAAATTCTAAATATTTTTAATTAAAAAAATTAAAAACAATTTTTATTTATTTTGAAATAAGCAAAAAATTACAAAAAGTATTTATCATTTAAAATTAAAAAAAATATTGATTCATTGTTAGCAGCTAAAAAACAAATAAAAATATTTATTTAATAGTTTTTTGTTTATGTAAATATAAAAATTGTTAAAATTCCTTTGAAAAGTTTAATTTTCTTTTTCATATTTTAAATAAATTAATTAATTAAAATTAATTAATTAAAAAATTTAAATTAAAAAGGAATTTAAAATAATAATAATATTTAATTAATTTATTTTAATTTTGTTTTTAAATTAAGAAAATTAAGAGTTAATTATAGCCTAGTTTTTAGTTTATGAAAATATTAATTTAAATATTTTTAAATTTTTAATCATCAGTGTTTTTAGTATTTGGTTTTTAATTTAATATAATTTAAAATTCAAAAATGTTTTTATTTCTTCGGAACTTATTCATTTCCTAATTTCGAATATTCAAAAAAGTTTGTTAAATAAATTATTTTTATCAATTTTTGAGATGAAAAACTTTTTTATTTAACACGTTGCAAATAAAGAGTGATGAAAAGATAAAATATATTTAATAAAAAATATCCACATCGAAACATTTATTATCAAAATTTTAAATAAATTTTCGTTTTTATTGGAGGCTATAAAAATGAAAGATAGTGAAGGGGAAAATTGAAGGGAAAAATAAAATTAAAATTGAATTATATTTTAAATTAAATATTTATGGAAGCAGAAATTTTCTTTAAAAATTACTACTAATTTGTCAGATATTAATTTTAAATATTTTAAACAATTTATTTAAAAAAATAAATATCATCTTTGAATTTACATACAGAAAAAGTAATAAAATATATTTTTAAATAATTTCTTAAATAAATATAAAATTTTATTTCCTTTATATTTTTTAAAAAATTTTTAAAAAATTAAATAACATCCAACAATATAAAAATATTTTTCCATTTAAACAATAATATTAAATAAAATAATTTTTCCAATCATTTCTATCAAAAAATGATTTTATTAAAATTAAAATAAATTTATTTTTATTTAAATTTAATAAATGACTAAAAATAAATTTAAATTACTTGTTATTTTAATATTTTTTTGAGATTTTTATATTTTTAAGTAAATATTTAAATAATTTAATTATTTAAAGTTAACGATTTTGTGATTTTTGACTAGTAATGATTTTTGACTAGTAATTAGATAGTTCCAAATTATTTTTCGAATCCCAAAGTTTCTATCACTGCATATCCCTATAATATTTATTTACTTGATTAGCAAACCCTCCACAAGTTCCACCCCAATGATCTGGAGTTGTTTCTAACAAAATAAATTTAGTTGATTTTTGTTTCCTCCAAACTTCAAATTTAGTTAAATTAATATATTTTAAATTTAAATTATTTTGTTTTTGCCATTCTTCAATTTCATTAAATGACCGTTCTTGAGATGATAAGGAATATTTTGTTACAGATAAATATTCAGAAAATCCAATAAATTCTCTAACTAAAAATTTTTTAAATTAAAATGAAAATATATATTAACAATAAAGAATTAATTTTAGAAGATTTGACTATACAATAAAATGAAGTCGTTATAGTTTATGACCTTGGGGTTTATATCGTATATTTAAATAAGTTATGCATTTTAGCAGGGGTATAATAATGTTACAAGATTCGACTGTATAATGTTAAATAATTTCACCGCATTTGAATACATACTTAATTTAAAGTTAAATTTTTCTGCACTAGGGTTAACAAACATTTCAAAAGCTCCTTCCCAATAGTATAAATTTTGTAAGATAGCATAAAATTAGGTAGGGCCCAATATTTTTTGTGATTTTTGTTTGTTTTAACCTCTACCCCTATTTAATTTATTTTTATCTAAACTATTTAAATATAAAAAAAATATAAATATATTTACCTAAATAAATGGTAATTCCAACAAACAATAGAACAGTAATTAATTTAAATTTATTTTTATTGTTCATATTCTTCATAAAAATAAAATATTCTGAGAATCTAAAAAATTAAAACACAAATACTTATATTCTGTTAAAAATTATTAAATAATACTTGAAAAATAAAAATATTTAAATCTTTATTTTGGAAAAAATATATAACGCCAATTTTATTGTTCAAAATTACGCCAAAATTGCGAAGAATAAAATATTTAAAAATAAAAAATAGTTTTGTAACTTTTTTTAGTAAAAGGTGTTAGAAATTTCACTTAAAGAAAATACCTAAGAGTGAAAAAGTTGTTTTCTCTAGTAAATTTTTAGAAAAAACAAAAGCTTAAACAATAAACAGACTGAACACTCGTATTATTTAATTCAAAAAATAATAATTTAATTATTTTAAACATTAATAAGGCTTCGAGTGGAAATTTAGATAATTATATAATTAATTTTAGAAAGAGAAAAAAAATTAAATAGTATCTTTCTTCAAAATTTTATTTAAAAAATCCTTAATTTTCTATAATCGATTTTTTAAATAAAATCTGAGCAAATAAAATAAATTTTGAGAAAAGAAATTGAATAAAAAAAGAATTTTTTTGCCAACGAGTTAAAAATAATATATTTATTTATATTTAAATAATTTTTTCGAAAAAAAAACTAAAGATTAAAGGTTTTTGGGTATAGAAAAGTATAAAAAAGAATATTTAAATTATTTGAATATTTTAAAAGAAGTATGGAGCAAAATTGTGATTTTTATACAAAACTACAAATGTTTTTATTTTTCAATTTAATTTAGGCTGGGACAAAATTATTTGGAGAAATAAAATTATTTGAAAATATTAAAATAAATTATAAATTTTTTATAATTTATAGGGAGAATAAAATAATTAAATATTCAAAACCCTTATTTGTTGCGATCCATAAATAATAAAAATATTTTTTTGTTATTAAAATTTAGAAATAAAATGTTTTGTTCGTAAAATTATTTTAAAAATATTAAATAAATATTTTAGGAACAAGAAAAAATTAAAGAAAATTTATTTTAATTTTTATAATTAGAGACCGGATTGGGAGTGTCTTACGAGAATCGAGATCTAGATAACCGAGATTCTTGTCTCGGACCGGTCTCTAGTAAATAACTGTTTATAAGTTTTTATAAAATTAATTTTTAAATTTATTATATAGACTTGTCTAAATATATATTTGTAAATTCTAAATATTTTTAATTAAAAAAATTAAAAACAATTTTTATTTATTTTGAAATAAGCAAAAAATTACAAAAAGTATTTATCATTTAAAATTAAAAAAAATATTGATTCATTGTTAGCAGCTAAAAAACAAATAAAAATATTTATTTAATAGTTTTTTGTTTATGTAAATATAAAAATTGTTAAAATTCCTTTGAAAAGTTTAATTTTCTTTTTCATATTTTAAATAAATTAATTAATTAAAATTAATTAATTAAAAAATTTAAATTAAAAAGGAATTTAAAATAATAATAATATTTAATTAATTTATTTTAATTTTGTTTTTAAATTAAGAAAATTAAGAGTTAATTATAGCCTAGTTTTTAGTTTATGAAAATATTAATTTAAATATTTTTAAATTTTTAATCATCAGTGTTTTTAGTATTTGGTTTTTAATTTAATATAATTTAAAATTCAAAAATGTTTTTATTTCTTCGGAACTTATTCATTTCCTAATTTCGAATATTCAAAAAAGTTTGTTAAATAAATTATTTTTATCAATTTTTGAGATGAAAAACTTTTTTATTTAACACGTTGCAAATAAAGAGTGATGAAAAGATAAAATATATTTAATAAAAAATATCCACATCGAAACATTTATTATCAAAATTTTAAATAAATTTTCGTTTTTATTGGAGGCTATAAAAATGAAAGATAGTGAAGGGGAAAATTGAAGGGAAAAATAAAATTAAAATTGAATTATATTTTAAATTAAATATTTATGGAAGCAGAAATTTTCTTTAAAAATTACTACTAATTTGTCAGATATTAATTTTAAATATTTTAAACAATTTATTTAAAAAAATAAATATCATCTTTGAATTTACATACAGAAAAAGTAATAAAATATATTTTTAAATAATTTCTTAAATAAATATAAAATTTTATTTCCTTTATATTTTTTAAAAAATTTTTAAAAAATTAAATAACATCCAACAATATAAAAATATTTTTCCATTTAAACAATAATATTAAATAAAATAATTTTTCCAATCATTTCTATCAAAAAATGATTTTATTAAAATTAAAATAAATTTATTTTTATTTAAATTTAATAAATGACTAAAAATAAATTTAAATTACTTGTTATTTTAATATTTTTTTGAGATTTTTATATTTTTAAGTAAATATTTAAATAATTTAATTATTTAAAGTTAACGATTTTGTTTGATTACCTTAATATTTAACTGTAACAAAATATTCATCATCATCACAAGGACGGCCTTTTACTGAAATTGAAGAATGGCAAAAACAAAATGATTCAAATTTAAAATATATTAATTTAACTAAATTTGAAGTTTGGAGGAAACAAAAAACAACTAAATTTCTTTTGATTGAAGTATCCGAAGCTTGGTGTGAAGGGTTTTCTTCCATTCAGGCGGAAATTTTGAGAATTTTGGAAGGTTTCTTATGCCATTTCAAGTTATGTAATTCAGATTCTAAATCGTAGTATAATCTCATATTCTTTTAAAATTTAAATAGCCAAAAAGAGTGTTTATACCCAAAAATATGCCTCGAGGACAGGATATTTATTTTTCTACAAAAATCTGTAATTCTTTAATAATTACTGCATCAGTCTCCACTTTTGGATGGTGGATTGGTTATTTATTAAATGATATTAAATCCCAAATTTATTTTTATGATGATTTTGATGATAATACAATTTTTCAAAGAAAAGATTTTCCTTCTGAATGGATTCCTCTTAAATTTAATTTAAAAACTAAACAAATTATTAAAGGACATTAAAATTCAGGTATATTCAATCTTGGGATGTTTATATGTTTATATTTTTTGATAGCTATTTATCGTAGTTTTTTTGGCACTAAAATTCACCCTGCTTCATAACCGGATTCAATTTTTAAATGGAAAACGAATTATTAAAAAATGTAGCTTTTAAAAGCAGCTATAATAAAAAAATTCTTTAAACACCCCCCCCCTCTATAAACATGTAAAAATTTTTAAAGCACCCGCCCCCTCTGTAAAGGAAAACATGTTTACTCAAAATATTCTTGATATTTTTAGTTTAAGTTAGTATGTATGTTTGTTTATTTTATATGTAGAAAAATAAATTGTTTTATCAATTGTTTATTTTATTATCTTTCTATAACGACTAATTATAAACGAAGTTTGTTTTTTCCCGAATAATGAAAAGAGAAAAAGCTCATTTCTGATTCATATCTTGTAATAATAAATTAATTAATTTCTTTTTTTGTTTGTTATTTTAATTTTTAATCTTTTATATTGTTATTCCATAATAAATGGATTTATATATTTAGGAGATGCTAGAAAAAAATAAAAAAAACTTTTAATTGATTTACATATTTTCTTTCAATTCATTTAATTAAATCAGGAGAATTAAAGAAGAATCATTAATATTTTTTCAATTTTTTATTCCTTTTTAAATGGCAGATGAAAAACAAAAATATTTTTATTATATTACTTCCATTCTTTTCAATTTCAATTTATTTAGGTTTTTTTGAAAATAATTAATGTTATTTAAATATATTAAAATTAAATATTTTTTATTAAAAACTATGCTATATTAGCTGATAATAATTTACGGACAAGACTAAATAATTAGAAAAATATATTTAAAAAGCATAAGTAATGTAACAAAATTAAAAAATAAAATATTGAAAAATAATTAATTAATAAAACCATTCATTGATCTCCTCTATAAGAAGAAATTTTAGAGATTTTAGAAAATTACATATCTATAATCCTCTCATGAGAGGTAAATAGAAGTTATTAAAATGTTCAATTTGAAGGGAATTCACTATGAATAAATAGATTTTTAATTTTCTTTATTTTTAGTTTTTTTTTTAATTTTTAGCCTATGATTTCCTCTACTTTTCTGAATATAAGAATTTTACAAAATATTCAACAATTCATCCAGATTTATTATATTCAAATAATACAGAAGAATATCAAAAACAATTAAATTTAAAATATATAAATTTAACAGAAATCGAAATTTGGAGGAAAACTACATCAAAATATCTTTTAATTGAAATACCTGCAGATTGGGAAGGGAAATGTGGAGGGTTTGCTAATGAGGTAAATTAATAATTGTATTTAATGAATGTGGATATTTATTGTTGATAAAACTTTATTGACTCTGATTATGTGATTAATATATTCTCAATAAAATTACCATAATTTTTATAATATCAATGAAATTTAATAAAATCGAATTAAAAATTAATTTCGAAATAATATATTCGAAAAGTAATAACTAAAAAAATATTACTAAATATTTCAAAATATTTCCTGTTAGATGTGGAGATTTGCAGTAATTTATGTTTGGGGTTTACAATTAGGTCGTTATCCTGGAATTTATAATAATAGTGCGTGGACTTGTGATTCTTTAAATTTACCAAATGAAATTGAAGAAACATTTCCTGTTGTTCACAAAATATTTACTTATATTCAGGTTAAAAAAGGAAAAATATAATTATTTTTTTAATTTAATTTTGTAGCCAAAAGAAATTGTAAATAATTCAAAATATGAAATATATTACAATAAATTAGTTAAATCAAAAGAAAAGTATTTAAGAACTCCCCCACCTCCACAAATACATAAATTATTTAAAAATCTAACGAATCAAATTAAAGAATTATTTTTATTTTCAAATAAAGTTAGAACAATTGTTGACAAATATATTAATGAAATATTTAGGTATTTTACTTTAAATTAATATTTTTAAAAAATAGAAATTGTAATTTAATTTTAGAAATGATTCTTCCCATAAATTATGTGTTTACACAAGATTGGGTGATTTTGGCACACCTAAATATCCCAGACATCATCCATCTAAAAAAGATTTTACAGAAGAATCTACAAAATTTGTTTTTAATGAAATAAAGGTGGATTTAATTTAGAATAAGCATTTCAATTTAATTGTTAATTTGAAATTTTTAATAGGAAAAAAGAAAAAGTAAAGCGATTTCTTTAGTTTTACTTGGTGAAGACAAAAAATTCCTTTCAAATTTGAGCTTTGATGGAATTGAGGTAAATATTAAAAATAAATACTATATTGTCAGTTTTCTTATCTGAATCTTTGTTCTTATCTCTCTTATACTTTTAAAAATTAAATTTAAATAGCCAAAAAGAGTGATTATACCCAAAAATATGCCTCGAGGACAAGATATTTATTTTTCTACAAAAATCTGTAATACATTAATAATTACTGCATCGGCTTCCTCCTTTGGTTGGTGGATTGGTTATTTATTAAATGATATTAAATCTCAAGTTTATTTTCATTCAAACTTTAATTCTCGTTCGCTTTATCAAAGAAGTGATTTTCCTTCTGAATGGATTCCTCTCAAATTTAATTCAAAAAAGAAGAAAATAACCAAAGAAAAATATTTTGTAAAAAATTATTTTAACAATTTATTTAATTTTAAATTATTAAATTTTAATTAGATTATATTGAAGTATTATTTTTTTTAATTAAAATAGATTATGTGTTCTTAAATAATTATATGTATACTTATTTGTTAGTGTGTTTATATGATAAAATAAACAAAAATAAATTTAAAAAATTTATTTATGTCAACAAAATATAAAAATACCCAAAACAATTATTTATGTAAATAACAAAATTCCAAAAAAATAATTTTCGTGTTTATACATATATTCAAGTACAAGGCAAATAGTTAATATTATCAAATAATTAAAGGTCAGCAGGGTCGTGTTTTTGTAGTTGTTCACCATAATCAGTTGCTTGAGAGCCAACACTTAATAAAATTAAAATTTGATTAGAAAAAAATAATAATCATTCCATACAAAGTATCATAATGGGCAAGTATTTCTTCTGGAGATAATTTTCCATCTTTATTATCGTCAGCAATATGAACTAAATGTTTTGCCTCAGCATCAGCATGATCAAAATTTAAAGGCATGACCCAATCACGCATTTCTTCCTAAAAATTAAATTAAAAAATAAGAAAATCCCATTGAAAAAATAAAATGTTAATACTCTTCCCCCACCCCGGGGTAAGCTTCTGGACCAAGCTATATTAAATGGTAAGATAAAAATAATTAATGGATGTAGAATATAAGAACGAATAAAAGTAATTATCGGATACCCCCTACTATAAGCTCAGAATAATCCCAATTAAAAGATAAATGCCAAGATTTGTACTAAGGCATTTAAAGTATAAGTAGGTGATTGTTTTTTAATTTATTAAATTTGCCTTATTTAATTTTCCGTCCTTATCTTTGTCTCTATGTTCTTTAAACATTTCTCTTTCAGATTCAACCCATTCAGGCTCTTTTCCCTCTAATTCTGGATAATCAGCAGGTCTATACATATCCCCAATATATTCTTCTAAATCAACAAATCCATCTTTATCTTTGTCAATATCTTCAACTGTCTCCTTGAAAATAAAAATATTCTTTTTTTAATTCAAAATAATTACTTCAACAACAATATCCCTCATATGGTCACAATCCTCTGGATGCATAAAACACCCATACTCTGTTCTGTCTAATTTCTCATCAGAATTATAATCAGCAACCTTTAAAAAACATTTATTATTTTCTCTTTCAAATAAAAATTTCTACCTTCCATCTTCTTTCATCCCTTGCAATCATTTTAACATATTCTGGTGCTAATTCTTGTCCATCAACTTGTTTTCCATAAACAAGATCACGATAATCTTGCCAACCAAGTTTTCCGTCAGTTAATTGTTCTTCTTTGTAATTCTTCCATGTTCTCTCAACATCATTATTCTAAATAAATTTTATAAAAAATTTGGGGGTTTCCGTTGAAGTTTTATTTAAAATTCCCTAACAATTAAATATTCAAATGTAATTTTGTTGAATATTTTTTAAATTTATTTTCATGCTAAACTCGTAATTTATATTTTAGATATATGTATGGGAGTTCCCCTGCTGAAGTTTAAAATTATTTAAATTATATTTAAATTTTTCTCTAAATTTTCCTTAAATTCTTCAAAAAAACTTACAACATAACGTTTTTGCATAAAATTAATATGTTCTCTTAATTCCTCTTCTTCAATAAATCCATCCCCATTTGTATCCATTTTAGGCACTAATTTACTAAAATAAAATATTGTTTTTAAATTAAAAATTAACAATTAATTACCCCAAACGTTCTTTGCTTTTTTCTGGTGTTAATTGATCATATTGTTGAGCTTCTTCTTTTCCAAGAAATGCTTCATGATCAAATTTAGGTTCGTGTTCAGAACCTTCCTAAACAAAGTATTTTTATTTAAAAGGAAATAAAAATGATTTAAAATATTTAATTTTAAATATTTTTTCCTTATTTATTCAAATAATTACAAAAATAAAATGATAAACAAAAATAATTTGGTACTTTTCCATTATGCCACCCTCCTCCCATAATTTTTAATTTAAATCAAAATACTTTTAAATAATTTAAATGTTTACTTTATAATGTTCTTGATCACTCAATTTATGATCTCCATGATGAGGTTTTTGTAATTCGGGTTCATGTATAGCTGCAGAACCAATCCAAAAAGTATTACAAGTATAGATTAAAGCAAGTAGAACAGCTGTACAATAATTTAAACGCCAAAACATTTTCCTAATTTTTTGAACAAAAAATAAATTTAATAAAATATTTTTTAATTTAAATTATTAATGAAAAGAAATATTCACAATTAAATTAACAATTTAAAAATTAAAATTTAAAAATTATTATTTTAATTTATTTAACTTACATTGATATCATTATTTTTTTATTTAAAAAAGAAAATGAGATAATTTTAAATTTTATTTTTTGAATGAATATATTTGTTTGTTTTTAACCGAAAAATTATTTGAATCGAACAAATAAAAAATCAGGTATTAAGTAAATTAAATATATATTTATAGTCAATAATTTAAAAAACTAGTTGGTAATTAAATGGACTAAAAAATTAAATGTATTTGTGGACATTTATAGAATATATAGAAATTTAATTTTTTAATGAAAATAACTCCTTATTAGCGATTCACTAAAAGGTGCGTATTTAAATCTTCAGAAAATTCGGATGACTCAAATGAAAGGATTTTCGAAAAAGGGGGCTGGAAGTATAATTTTGTGTCGCAGGGTATAATCGACTTATTAAAGTTGAAGTATAGTGTTTATAGCAATTAAAGAATTTATTTATAGCAATTAAAGAATCATTGTCCATTATATATAAAATAAACTTTAAAAAAAAATTTTCTAGAAAATTCTATGGATATATATTTATTTTATTTTAAGAACGGACACTTAAGCTCGTATATATTAATAAAAAAATATATTTTTATTTAAAAAGTAAAGAAGAATGTACTCAAAGGGTTGATTGATTTTTACACAACAAAGTGACTGACCTTCAAGCTAACTTTTAGGGCTAAACAAAATAAACACAAAATGAGAATTTGGTGGAAAAGAATTGCTCTTTTTTGTTATTTCTTGTCTTTGTCTCCAATATATTTTTGGGTCGAATTGAGTATAAATAAATAAATAAATTGATGATAAATTTAAACTAATTAATTTTTAAATAAATTAAAATATTTTTCTCTCACAATAATTTTAAAAAAATATTTATTTTTCATCTTTCTTTACCTTTAAATTTAAAATATTCAATTAATAATTCAAATTTGGAAATTTATCATTAATTAATTATAATAATATTTTTATTAAACAAATTTTAAAATTTTTTGTGGTTCTAGAATTGATAAAAAACTGAAACTTTCTATTAAAATAAAAATGAAATAATATATAAAATGCTATTTTTAAAAAATTATTATGCGAAAATTAATTAGATTATGTATTGCTTAATATTTTTAATTATCTATATGTATTATGAAGATAAAGAAAGTATTGGAAAATTTAGAATCTGAAACTACTTTTTGTAAATTGTGATAGGTGGGAGAAGTGGAAAAGTTTTTAAATAATTTATTTAAAATTATTGAAATCTTCTCTAATTTACTAATTGTTATTCTTCATTTGTTGCCAAATTGTTAACATTTTCCTAAAAATAAAATTTATTTTTATTTAAATAATTCCTCCTCATTTTAAATTTAAATTAATTTACAATTATTTTTGACTGTTTTTCTGTTGTTTTTGTTGCACTTTGTGCCTATAAAATAATTTTTAATTTTAAATAATACTTTTTAAATTACCTGTGCAGATCCCCAAATTCGATAAAAATGTCCAACATTTTTAGGTAATATTCCATCCTTTCCATGTAATAAATTATTATTTTCTTTTTGTTTATTTCCAACTTTTTCTGTTTCATTTGGAGGGGAATTGTTGTTGTCTAATAATATTGGGCTAACACTTGGAGTTGAGGGGATTGATGAACTTAATGATAAACGAATTGCGGCTAATGAACCTGGGGTTGGTTCTTTTGTAAAGCAAGTTATTGGGGGTGTTTGTTGAGAATCTTTAAAGGAAAAAATGTTTTTATTAAAAAATTAGTATCAGTCATTAATTAAGAGTATCCCTTTCCTAATGAGTTCCCCTCAAGTACTATCCTCCCTAATAGGTGAAAGGATTAAAACTCGGGTTTTTGTCTTTAAAAAATTTTTTTATTACTATTTTTGTTGTTATTTGCCCAAACAGAAGTATTTTTTCCAAAATTTCTTTGCATGTCGCTGCTTCCAAAAGATTTTGGACGAACCTTTATATTTAGAAATTTAAATATTAAAATTAATTAAAAATACTTTTCTAATATAAAAATCATCATTTTCTTCATTTAAAGCTTTTTTAATATTTGCAGCATGGCTGTAATGACAGCTCTGAAATTGGTTAAGAATATCGGCAACCGGTCTTTGAGATTCTATAACAATTTCGCTGCGAGAAAGAGCAAAATTATTTTTTGTATTTTCGTCTTCAGGTTGTTGTTGTTGTAAAGAACTTTGTCTTTGAACTGGATGTGGAGTACTTTTTCTTTTTGGCTAGAAAATTTGTTTTATTTTTTGTAAATTAGAATTGAGAGAGAAATTGTCAAGAAAATTATTAGAAAAAAATAAAATTCTTGCTTAAACTGGAATGTATGTATGATAATTAATGTAGTATATAATTAATGTATACAGCTAAAATTTTCAAAAATTAACTGCAAAGTTACTAAATTAGGAATTAAATAACTAATAAATAAATAAATTTGTTCTTTCATAGGAAAAACTAGAGTTATCATTATTTAAATTTTTAAAAATATATTTCTAGGGAGCAGGCCAAGGTACCGCAACTTCGTTAAGAATTGTCGAATCCGGTACACCCTGTATGGCCCGATGCGCCTCGACGAGCTGAATCGAATCATACCAGGGCGTCCTAGATTCGGCAATTCTACACAAAGTTACAGCCTTGTGCCTGCGATACCTTGGGTTGTGCCCATATTTCTCTGTATTTAAATGTTTATTTAAAAATTAAATATTTCCAAATTTAATTTACTTGATCCTCTTGCTGTTTTGGGACTTGTTCTTTTTCAATATAAAAATGTGCTGATTTTTGTCTAGCAAAAACTTTATTTTTAAGCTTTTTATTTTTAATTTCGGCAATAATTTCTTCCTCTTCCTTTTTATTTAATTTAGCGACATTTTGGAATTTATCAACTATTTTTTTAATTCCTTCAGGCCCAAAACTTCCAATTTCTTTTCGAATAATTTCTTGTTTTTCGGGTTCAAATGCTGTATAGGCTAATTGTTTAAATGGTGAAGAAGGGTCGTTTAAAGAAGTTCTGACGTGGATATCTCGAAAATTTGAGTTTGGTGATGATTGCCTTTAATTTTAAATTTTAAATAAATTTTGTAATAAAAATTACCCAGAAATTGAATTATTATTAGAGGAATTATTTAAATAATTATTAATTCCAATTTCTTCATAATTTTGTTGTTTTTGTAGAACTTTTTTGTTTAATTCTAATTGGAAATCATCTTTCTTTTTTTCTTTAATTTTTGTATTTTCTATTTCATTATTATTACTTTTATTATCTTCATCGTCAAATTCTTCTGTGTTCTGGTTATTTTTAAAATTATATTTTAATTAAAATATTAATTAATTTAAATTACAAATTATTTTCTTAAATCAAAATTAAAGTAGCAGGTTCGGTAGTACCGCGGTAATGACACTTTTCGGTACTACCGATAATGGAACCGTATTGGGAGGATTTTGTAATTTTCGGTGCTCGGTCGATACCGAAAAAATTTTTATTTTTGTAAACATTCGAGTGGGACAGACTTCTTTTTATAAATATTGTCAGTAACAATATTTATTAAATTATTTTCTCTTAAAACTACCTGAATAGCCAATTCAATAACAGAATTAACTAATTCCCTCGAAATTGTACTACTTACTCTTCTACATTCATTATCATCAATTAAATTATTATTTTGTTCACTCCAATCATCTTCACTATTTTCTAATATTTTTGTTGGAGTTTCTCCATTTGTGGCAATTATTGAACGAACTGAATCTAAGCAACCTTCTCCTTTAGTTAAATAAAAATTTAAGAGATTTATTTAAAATTAAAATTAAATGGTATTTGACTATTTTTTCTTTAACAAAAAAAAATATTCATAAAAAATCGTTAAAATATTCTTTCTAAATTTCTTCATTTAATTAATTACCAGTCGTAGGTGTTAAAGGTTCAATTTCTTCAATTTCCTCATCATTCCCTCCCTGTATATTCGTTGAACGTTTAATATTTCCATATTCTAAACTATTTTTATGTGAAAATAAATTTATTGAAGGTTCTTCTTCGTCTTCCTTTGCTTTTTTTTCTTCTTTTTTAACAATTTCTGGACTAGAAGATTCTGTTAATGTTATTTCTACTTGCTGAATTTCTATCTCATCATTTTTAATTTTTTCTTCAGCTGCCAACATTGTTTTTGTTGAATCAATTTTAATTTCTTCATTTAACTTAAAATTTATACCTATTAATTTTTCTAAAAATTATTACAGAAATAATCTTGTCTTTCTAACTTTTCCCCCTTGTTTTTTAAAAAACAATTTTCTAAATTTTACTTTTTTCTGTTTATTCTCATTTTCATCTCCTTCTTTATCAATATATTCATCATCATCATTATAATCCTCCTCACATTGTGAAAGGGCTGATTGTCTTTCTGGTGTATTAGGTGATTTTCTAGGTGTAATTAAATCAACATTTTCTTCTTCAAAAATATTTATTTCTCCAATTTCTGAACGAACACTGTTTGGAGGTACACAGGTTATTTTTGGAGAGGAGACGGGGGGAGATGACTGAATAAAATGAACTTCTGGAAGATTTACTTGTTGAAATACTGCATCAATTAATTCTAAAATTGTTGAAAAATAATTCTTTAAAATTATAAACTTTTACCATCTTTTTTGTATTTTCCTTCAGAAACTTTTCCATTGGATATTGTTTTATTTTGTATTAAATCCTCTGCATTTTTGTACATTATTTTTATATTTATTTTTTAAAAACTAAAAATTTAATTTAAATTATAACATAAATATTTTTAAGCATTTAAAGGGTTTTTAATTCCAAATCTTTCGTAAAGGAATAAAAGAATATTTAGGGAATATCTAAGGAACTTAACAATATCCCTAAACTTATTTCACAAAATTTTAAATATGTATACAAAAATATTTAAAAATAAATAAATATTTATTAGTAATAACTATAATTTAAAAAATGCAACAAAAGTGTTTCCTTAAATTAACAAATAAACAAAAATAAATATTTTTTTGTTTTTTCCTCCCTTTCACAATTTATTTTTAATGAGAATAATAGTGATCAAAAATAACAATTTGTTTAGCAATTAATTATGTTAAAGACGAGAAAATAAATAAAAATTGTTTTTAATGATTAAATGATGATTAAATTAAATTAAGATTTAAATAAATAAAATAATGATAAAAATAAAGACGATGCACTTTGGGACAATTTTGATGATTATATAGAAATAAAATACGTAAACCCTTTTAGAATTACGATTGAAAAAATCCAGAAAAATTCCAGCAAGCATCTCTAGGGCTGTCGGTTCTTGGAAAATCTTCGGATCGGTTTTTCGGTTTGGTTCGGTCCAGAACCGACGACCGTAAGTAAATATATCTATTTATATCAATTGAAAATACAAAAGAAACGAAGTTCTATTCTAATCCCATCATCGAAAATCGAGACCCAATCAACGGAAAACAAGGGTGAATTTTTTTAATTTTCGATACTTTAAAGATCGAGAAAATTTTAATATTTACTTTTTTTGAGGATTTTTGAGCTCAAGATAGTGATAATATATTTACATTTAAACCTTTTTCCTTAATTTTTTACATTAGAAAAAAACTTTTAAAAATAAATAAAAATATTCAAAAATTGATTTAAAAGAAAATTAAAAAGGTAAAAAGAATTCTAATTTTTTTGCGCGATCATCTGGATAATTGCGCCGCGCTGTAAATCGGCAATTGTGTTTCTTTTGTATAATACAAGCTTTTGTAATAAATACCTGAATTTCTTTTTTGTTTTTAATCATTTACCTTCATCTTTTTCTTTTTAATTTTTTAAATTCTTTTCCCCTTTACTTTCTCTTAATTTTTACTTTTAATATTTTCTCATTAAAATCAAGATAGGTGGTAGATCAAATTGTCTTCTGACCACCAAAAACAATTAAAATAAATTTAGCCTTTTTATACAAAAATTACAAAAAGTAAATAGAAGAAAATAATTAGAAATTTTTAAAAAAGGAAATCAACAGTAAATATAAATAAATAAATTAATTAACTAGAATTTTTTAAAGGGTTTAATAAAAAGACTTTTGGGAATGTGCCTTTCTAATAGATATTTCTTAATTTAAAATTATTTCGTTTAATTAATTCTGCAAGTAAAAATGTGAGAGAAAAACAATTACAAAAATATATTATTGTAAATAAATAATTTTTGTTTTGGCCTCATAAAGAAAATAAATCGGAAGTGAAAAATGAATAAAGAAATATTTATTTAAAGAAAAAGTCAGAATAAAAGCGCGGTTGTATTGATTTAGGTGCGTCTTTGAGGGTTGGACGTTGATCGACTGGAAGGAGTTTGAGGGAAATACCTAGGCGTGAGGGAGTGACCAATCTTGGGGGAAGGGGGAGGGGGGCTACCTACACTAAATAGAAATTTTTAAATTTCTTCTCTAACCTTTCATTACCAAACAAAAAAAATTTTATTCAAACTTAATTTAGGTAGTCAAAAAATTTCAGTAAAAAAGCTATAATTAATATATGTATTAGAGGAAAAAATTAAAATTTTGTTTATCAAAATTTTTTCAAAAATTTCAATTGAAAATTTAAGAATATATTTTAAATAAAAATAAGATATTATAAATACTAAAAAAGGATTGGATAAACACTTTTATTATTTAATAAAAAAATTCTCAAAAAATATTAAAATAATTATATTTTTTAATAATTTTAAATATTTTTGGACGTAAGCAAATAGTAAATACTTTTTAAATTCTCTTACTGTAAATCCCTTTTTCAATTTACTTAATTAGAAAATTTAAAAAAAGAATTTTTGTAAAAAATATTCATTAAAATATTGGTTTTGGATTGTAAACAGATTTTTAAATTTAAATATGTAAGGATTTATTGTATATTTTTATTTTTTAAAAATATTATAAAAAATTTTATTTCGTTTAAATGCTCAACAGACAGAGGCTTTCTTTCTTTCATGGATGATGTGAACTCTTTAAAAAAATAATCAAAAAAATAGTTTAAAGTCTATTTATTTTTTAGATTATTTTTTTTAAGAAAAAGTTAAATATTGGAAAGTTTTTCGTGAAAAAAAAATATTTTTTGAAATATTAAAATATAAAATTAAAAAAATATAAAATGATTGAGGAAATAAATAACAGTTTTGTAATTATTAAATGTCAATATTAATAAAGATAATTAGGTATTTATTTTAAATTAAAGAAATATTATTTGAAAAATATTTTCTTTAAAAAATAAAAATTTTCTCAGCAATAAATTGAAGGTTAAATAAATAAATATAAATTTATTTTTATAGTCGGTTCCTTTTTTTAATCTTTTTTTTATTTATTTATTGGTTAAAACATTTATTTTAAAAATATATTCCCGCAATAGAAACCCCCTCCAAAAAATCTCTTAATAAAATATAAACCTCCCCTCTCTCCCCTCTTTTTTACCTTTAAATGTTATTTCGCCTTTTATTGTTAATTCTCGTTTTTAACGTTTACATATTTATTTACTATGTATCATATAAGAAACTTCAAAAAATACAAAAACGTGCTAAATATTTTATATAAAATAAGCAATTTATATTTTGATATTTTTAAAAGTAAAACATTAATTTTTGATTTTAACACAAAATTTATTACAAATTTTTATTAATTCTTTCTCACGAAAAAAAAACAATTTTAAAGATTTATTAAAAATTAATTTTGTTTGTAAATTTTAGAAAAAATCAGTCATTAATTTTGTTAAAAAATTTTTTTCTTTTCAAAGAAAAGCAAATCTTGCAATCCACCATGGAGAATCATTAAAAGGTATTGAAGAGAATGAACGTCCAAAACGAACTTTAGAAAATAATAATAATTTTTTTTAAATTAATTAAAAATAACCAAAAGGTTGTGGGGCACTGTTCCTTTTACTTTCCAATAATTCATTATTCGAAGAATTCTCTGAACGTTTACCAAAACGGACCATTGCACTTCTCAATGTTGCAGAACGTGGAGAACGTCCGAATCGGATTAATGCATTTCGCATTGTACGTTTTTGGGCCGTGGAGGAGGAGGAACTTAAAATGTGGAAATAAATCAAATAAATGAAAAAATAAATTTAAAAAGTAAATTATGCAGTAAGATTGTCGGATTTGGATATCCTGATGCGAAATAAGTTCGTATATCCGGAAATTTTCAGTTAGGGTATTGGATATGGATATCCGAAGATTTTCAACTCTCCGGCAACCCTAATAGTGGTTGTCGGAGAGAGAAAAAAGGAACAAGAATATTTAACTAAACAGAATACAATTGAATTAGTTAATAATTTTGCATTTGAGAGAGGCAACTTGATAATTATTTTTTCCAAATTTTATTTTTAATTTCCAATATTTTTATACTATTTAGCAAAATATTATTTCAATTTTCAATTATAAATAAATTATATAAATTACCTGGGTAAATAATTAAGATGCCTCTCAAAAGGTGATTTAAATGCTTCTCTATCGGCTAATTGTAAAAGTGTAGGAAAGGAGCCAACTTCTTTTTCATCTTCATTAATTGTATTTTCTGAAGGAAAATTATTGAGAATTGACTGATTGAAGGGAATAATTAGAAAAATTGAAAGAATTAATAAATTGAACATTTTTTAAATTTTAATTAATTGAAGAAGTTTGTTATTATTAATTATTTCTTTAAAATTTATATAAAATTTAAATATTTTAATTTAAAACAAAAATTAGTTCTCGAGTTTATCTTGTTTAATTTTAACGCAGAATTTTTCAAAATATGGATTTAAATAAAATATTTCAAAAATACTTAAATTATCAAATAAATATTATAACTTGATTAAATATATCCACAAAAATTTCTAAAAAAAATCTCAATCATACCATGAGATATTATAAAAAATTGAATACTTATATATCTTTTTCTGAGACAATATATTTATATTTTAGTTTAATATGAATAATTTAAATTAAGACAATGAATTAAATACCAAAATAAATACTTTAAAAGTAGGAGGACTAAATGAAAGTAAAAAAAACTTGAAAGAAGCCTAAGGGTTTAATGAATGGCAAGATATGGAGGATATATTGCATTGCGTGTGGGAGGTGATAATAAAGAATAAATATAGGCAAACAATACATATATTTTAATTATTGTTAAAATAAAATATTATTTAGAATATCAGATTCTAATTTTGTTAAATATATCCAAGCAGACTAGGACACGGATACGGATTTCGGTATCCGTATCCGGATATTTACTGCGGATACAGACGGATACAGGCGGATATCCGCAAACGTTTTGGTATTATCTGTATCCATATCCGTATCCATGACCATGTCCGTATCCAAGTAATTAAAAAGTAAATACTTTCTAAGAACTTAGGAACTACTCCAATTAAGTCTTATAAAAATCTAGTTTCTGTTCTGGTCGAAAAAGAAATTTGGATTTAAAATTTAACGTGGAAGGACGCTGATAATAAATTAAATTATTATATAGTATAATTTCTAAATTTAAATATAAAAATATAAAGAATGACGAAAAATTTTAATTAAATCCTTTTCAAAATTTTAATTAGCGGGTATTTCAATTAAATATTACTATAAATATCTGAGTGCAAATATTAAGGAAAATAGCCAGAGGCACAATGCCCTATCTTAAATATTTTCTTTTTCGTCATTAACTGAGAATATTGTTTTCCGGTACAAAAATAAGTTTAAAATTAAAGGGGGTTTTGAGGACTTATTATTAAATTAAAATACCCAAGAAAAGATGAAATTCTTCACAAAATCACAGCCTAATAAAATCTTTCGATATTAATTTATTCAAGCTGAAAAACCCTAGTAAACACTAATATTTATTACTTTTATGAAAACAAAAGAAAACAACAAATTCAACGATTCTATTTATTTATTAAGTTCCGTTAAACTAATTTATTTTATTAAATATACCAAAATAGGCGCGTTTAAATTTTTTGTATTTTCTCTCTTACTCTTTAAAAAATTTTATTATTTTTAACAATAATTAAACTAAAATTGTCGTTAAAAAAATAATTTGACGTTTAAAAAAATAATAAAAATACAAAAAATTATTTTTAAAATCTCTTTTATTTTTAATAAATAAAAATCACAATATTATTATTATTAAAATGCTTTTACCACCGGTACACTACACTATATCCAAATTTTTTATGGATATTATAGACAGATGACCTATACATAATTAAAACATAATCGATTTACTTCAGGTCCCTTTTCTTCCAGAGATATCTCGATTTATCTGTCTGCAATGTGCAGCCGCATTAACTTTTGCACCTTACTGTATTAATTTAAAAAAAGCCAATGTACTATAAAAAGGCTATAATTATGAATCATAATTTATAATTAACTATATCGGCTGTACTTTAGTACTCCGCTTTAATAACCCTCCATTATTCTGACGTCAAATTTCCATTCTTCAATTCGTGTCAAAAACAACAATAATGTCTCTACATGGGAAGATGCTGGAAGCAATTGGCGAGGATGGGATTAACTACACTTGGTATAGACGTCCATATACCCGTCGAGTAGCAACACAAAGTCAGCAGCAACAACAGCAACATTCTACAAGTCAAGAGGGAGGAGGAACGCTGAATATGGAAATGCTAGATCCACAGAAAACTCAGCTTTCTGAGTTGGGTGAAAATATTTTGGTAAGAGAAAATATTTTTTATACAAAAATTGTTTTTGTTTTTAAGGCTTACTGCTTCCAATGTCTGTCCATAAATGACAGATTCAATATGGAACATGTCTCTCGTCTATTCCGTTCAGCATCCAAAAAGAGTTGGGTTTCGCAAAGTCATGTTGTGGTTGTGCCAGAGGCTGTTGTGAAGGATGGCAGTTATTCTATTGATGTTAGTTGTAAATTAATTTTTGTTTAATTAAAAAATAAATTTTTAGGGTCGTAGGCTTTTCCGTCTTTTGATGAAACGCTGTGCTCGTTATACTTTGGAGTTAACTATTCATGCAATGGCATCGGACGATCGAGTGTTTCGCCTCTTAAATCTTTCCTACAGAGTTGATCATCTGTGCATTGATTCTTTAAATCCATTGTGTGGTCCTGAAATTATGGAAATTGGTTATCGTTTGCCTTCGCTCAAAACGTTAATTATCAGAAACTGCCGAATTGTGAAAGTTTGTTTTTAAATATTTTCGCTGCAAATATTTTATTTTTAGCACTTCATTCTTGTTCGTCAGTTCAATGAAATGTTGGAAAAACTTCAACAACTTAAAATACTTGCAATTGCTGACAATATCAACCTTAGTTATTCAAATATTAGAACTACAAAAATAAACTAATTTTCAGGATGCGAGCTCATACAAGTGCCTCGGAGTCTTCGAATTTTTTGTTTGCGTGATTTCCGAGTGAATGAGCATGTCGGAGCGTGAGTTTTTTTTAATTTTTGAACCAAAAAATTTCAAATAATTTTTAGACTTATGCGAAATGTTCGTCAACGAGCACCAGGAATTGTTAGCTTTTTTGTCAATTACACATGTATTTGTTTTAATTTTCAGACTGTTCTTTCTGTACAAAGTACAGGATGGGATGTTGTCAATCAAGCACTTGCATATGAACATATAACTGTTCTTTCTATTCCTTTTTCTCATGTTTCTCCAGAAGACGTTGTTCCAGATGATATGTTTCCACCGAATTATTTGAATCAATTAACGGCACTTGATTTGGGATTGGTTAGTCAAATTGTGAGTTTTCTTCTTTAATTTCCAAATTATGTTTACTTTTTTCAGTTCATCATTATGCGTTTTCTTCCCGAAATGTTTCCTTGTTTGGAACATTTAAGCTTTTCTTGTGTTGAAGATCCAAATACACAATTTCACAAACATTTTAACCAAATTCTTCCATTTCCTTCTTTGCGTTCATTTTGTTTGGGTATTTATCAATCGCCAATAACTTTTGAACGAGAACAACTCCACAGATGTACACATAATTATCCTTTAATCTTCCATGCTGAATATATGGCTTTTGTTCGCAAGTTGTTTGAGCAAGGAAAGTTGGAGGTAAAAAAAAATAAAATTGTTTTATTTAAATAAAAATTTTTTTTCTTTTCAGCATCTTCAATTAAACTTTCCTCTTTCGGCGGATATTGCAATTGATGTATTCAAATCTTGCCCTGTACGTTTATTTTTCTTTCTTAAAGTTAAAAAATAAAATTTTCCTTTTAAAGAATCTTCGTTCTCTTTATTTCCACAATCGTTTTGGAAGTATTTCAAAAAATATTCAACATGGAGATTATTTTTTTGCTGAACAATTTATTCAAAAATTCAAAAGATTTGTTAGCAAACGAAAAATTCCTCCACCTAATAAAGAATCCAAAAAAGTTAGAATGCTGGGAAAACTGTTTGCTGCCACGGAATTTGAAGATGGAAATGCTTGGATTTTATGTCAAGAGTATCCAATGTCAAGTCATGTTTTGGTTGAATTATTTGTTAAGGAACTTGGAGAGGGAAATAATATTTGTCCTCCTACACAGTAAGTTGCTTTTAAACATTTTTTTGTTGAAAAAAAAATATTTTTTTGTAGGCTCTTCAATATTGTGAGAGGCTAAAAATGGATGAATATAATATGCTAATGAAAATATATATTTGTAGGAGTGATATATACACATAAAAAGGATATATTTTGTTATTGTATATGTAGATTGTGTATTTGAATGTTATTAAATATTTTCTATCTTAGATATTTTTATCTTAAAATATCTTAATAATTTTCCTATCTTAAATATTTTCTTTTTCGTCATTAACTGAGAATATTGTTTTCCGGTACAGAAATTTAAAATTAGAGGGGGTTTTGAGGACTTATTATTAAATTAAAATACCCAAGAAAAGATGAAATTCTTCACAAAATCACAACGTTATAAAATCCTTCGATATTAATTTATTCAAGCAGTAAACACTAATATTTATTACTTTTATGAAAACAAAAGAAAACAACAAATTCAACGATTCTATTTATTTATTAAGTTCCGTTAAACTAATTTATTTTATTAAATATACCAAAATAGGCGCGTTTAAATTTTTTGTATTTTCTCTTTTACTTTCTAAAAACTTTATTATTTTTTTCTAACAATAATTAAACTAAAATTGCCGTTTAAAAAAATAATTTCTTAAAAGTAAAAAGTGATTTTTTGATTCAAATTTATTTAAATTTAATTAAAATTTCTTTTTTTTAATAAAAAAACACAAAAATTATTTTTAAAATCTCTTTTATTTTTAATAAATAAAAATCACAATATTATTATTATTATTAAAATGCACTTTTATAAATAGGTAGATATTCATGTTAAGTGAAAGACTGTAAAATAATAAATATAGTATATAATTAGAATTATTTTGAGATTGGTCAATATTGAAAAAATGAGATATAAAAAATAAATTAAATATTAAGTCACTTTATTGAAGAAGTTTGTTATTATTAATTATTTCTTTAAAATTTATATAAAAATTTAATATTTCAATTTTAATTTAATGATATTTTAAATTAGAGACCGGATTGAGACGAGATCTCGATCAAAAATCTCGATTCTCGAGATCGAGATTTAGATCTCGATCTCTAAAAAACTCAATCATACCATGAGATATTATAAAATATCTTTTTCTTAGACAATATATTTATATTTTAGTTTAATATGAACAATTTAAATTAAGACAATGAATTAAATACCAAAATAAATACTTTAAAAGTAGGAGGACTAAATGAAAGTAAAAAAACTTGAAAGAAGCCTAAGGGTTTAATGAATGGCAAGATATGGAGGATATATTGCATTGCGTGTGGGAGGTGATAATAAAGAATAAATATAGGCAAACAATACATATATTTTAATTATTGTTAAAATAAAATAGTATTTAGAATATCAGATTCTAATTTTGTTAAATATGTCCAAGCAGATTAGGACACGGATACGGATTTCGGTATCCGTATCCGGATATTTACTGCGGATACAGGCGGATATCCGCAGGCGTTTTGGTATTATCTGTATCCATATCCGTATCCATGACCATGTCTGTATCCAAGTAATTAAAAAGTAAATACTTTCTAAGAAATTAGGAACTACTCCAATTAAGTCTTATAAAAATCTAGTTTCTGTTCTGGTCGAAAAAGAAATTTGGATTTAAAATTTAACGTGGAAGGACGCTGATAATAAATTAAATTATTATATGTATAGTATAATTTCTAAATTTAAATATAAAAATATAAAGAATGACGAAAAATTTTAATTAAATCCTTTTCAAAATTTTAATTAGCGGATATTTCAATTAAATATTACTATAAATATCTGAGTACAAATATTAAGGAAAATAGCCAGAGGCACAATGCCCTATCTTAAATATTTTCTTTTTCGTCATTAACTGAGAATATTGTTTTCCGGTACAGAAATAAGTTTAAAATTAGAGGGGGTTTTGAGGACTTATTATTAAATTAAAATACCCAAGAAAAGATGAAATTCTTCACAAAATCACAACGTTATAAAATCCTTCGATATTAATTTATTCAAGCAGTAAACACTAATATTTATTACTTTTATGAAAACAAAAGAAAACAACAAATTCAACGATTCTATTTATTTATTAAGTTCCGTTAAACTAATTTATTTTATTAAATATACCAAAATAGGCGCGTTTAAATTTTTTGTATTTTCTCTTTTACTTTCTAAAAACTTTATTATTTTTTTCTAACAATAATTAAACTAAAATTGCCGTTTAAAAAAATAATTTCTTAAAAGTAAAAAGTGATTTTTTGATTCAAATTTATTTAAATTTAATTAAAATTTCTTTTTTTTAATAAAAAAACACAAAAATTATTTTTAAAATCTCTTTTATTTTTAATAAATAAAAATCACAATATTATTATTATTATTAAAATGCACTTTTATAAATAGGTAGATATTCATGTTAAGTGAAAGACTGTAAAATAATAAATATAGTATATAATTAGAATTATTTTGAGATTGGTCAATATTGAAAAAATGAGATATAAAAAATAAATTAAATATTAAGTCACTTTATTATTTATTCTTTGGTCAATTTACTTGAATAACATGAGTGTTACCAGTGCAACATCCACGTACAAAAAGCACCAAAGCAACCGGAAGGAAAACAAGTCCATGAAGTAGTCCCAATGTTATTGCGAGAAAAACGGTCTGGAAAGATATTTTTTTATTTTTAAAAAAGTACTGAATAATAGGAAAAATGAATTTTCTTAAGTTTGAGATTAATAAAGGCTGGGCAAAATATGCAAAGACAATAATTGTGTGCGGGTATATTTTGAAGAGAGAAGCTAGCCCGGGTTTTTAGGTCTGATATTTCAGACCCAATTTATTTTTGTTTACAAATCCTGTATAATTTAAGCTTATTGTATATAGTCCAAGTTTTTAAATAACCTTTCCCAAAAAATTCAAAAAATTCTTATTTAAAATTCCCTTACCTTAAAGAAAGTAACAATCATATAAGCGGGAACATCTGCCAAAACCGCAACTGCCAATATTGTAGAAATAGCCCCTTGAGTAAGTGGCCAACCCAAAGCTCCCAACGCTTCCCGAATTTTTTCACGTGGCGTAGACCGTGTCGAACATACATAACCGTAAGTTATATGTGCTGAATAATCAACAGAAAATCCTATGGACATAATTATTGTAATCATTGAAATGGCATCCTTCAAAAAATATTTTATTTATTTTCCCAAAAATTTGGAGTTAAATTTACCAAATTTACACTCCATAAAGTCATAAAACCAATAACCCCAATATCAATACTAGCTATAGCCAAAGCAACCCAAAAAGCACAAGATGGTTGTGGAATTAACAATAAAGCAATAAAAACCATTACAGCCATTGCAATAACAATATTTTGAATAGTATTAGGAACAACTAAAGCATATTGGTCAGTAAATAACCAAAGAGGCATAAAACTAAAAAATAAAAAAAAATTTTTGTATAGCTAAAAAATAAACGTTGTAATATTATAACGAGGGAAGCGAGCAGCAACGTCACGTAATAATTGTGTTGCAGTTTGTTGTTGTACTGATGTCGAAATATCTCGTAATCCAACAAGGAAACTACAGAAAAATTAACTAAAAAATGTAAATATTAAATTACCGAAATGAATTTATTCGATAAAATCCTTTCTCTGGTAGCCATCCCCATTTAATATCCTCTGGCCAATTCTCTGTATGTTTTGCCGAAAAGAAATGCTAAAAAATTAGAAACTAGTTTAAAAATATTAGAAATTAAATAGGTATTAAGAAAAAATTTTATTTTTTGAAATGGACCAAAATTTATTTAATCCTTTACAGGAAAAATAAATTTTTTTAAATTCATAATAAAATTGATATTAAAAAATTTATTTATCAAGGATGTTTATTTTTTAAATTAACCTTAGCCAACCCATAAAAAGTCTCATCTGAAGTCACATTTGACATATCAAACCCTTCTCCAGCAATTCCATGTTTTGGATCGCTATAATACGATTCCATTTCATACATCCAAAATTGAACAGAATCATCCCCAATTGTGTGACGAGTATTAGCAAATGCATGAACCATTGAACGAATTCGCTGTCTCTCTTCTGGATCACCAAGATTTGGTGCATTATTAACTACGACCTTAAAAGGTAATCCTTTGCTGATTTAAAAATAAATTTTAAAAAACCTGGACAATAGCGCCATAATGCCAAAAATATTTTTCCAATACTCGGTAATGAGGAATTGCATAAGAATCACGAACTAGCAAATTTATTGGTTCAAGTCCTTCACGCAATTGGGTACAACCATAGATGGCAAAAATAAGATAAACACCAAACCAGACAATGGCTAATCCACGAATTAATGGCTGCATAAGGATTGGGGCAAACCTCAAAAATGATTGAGAAATACGCAGAAAAATATTTGAGAATATAGAAATAATCTGGGAATTTTCATATATAAAAATATGTCACAAAAACTTTCAAGTAAAAATATAAACTGACATGAGTTAAACCTAAGGGGACTATAAAATAAATTTCTTACCAATTTTGAAAGAAATGAGCAGGTTTAGAATCTCTCAGATTGAGCTCAAGTTTCTTTGGGTCTGGATCATGAGCAGTGCCTAGCCAAAACAATCGAGTCATCAAAGATGATTGGGCATCCATATCCTCTGGAACAGTTGGTCTCAAAAAGATGCAATGCAATCCATTTGATTCCCAATGAATAGAGAGAGCAAGAAGTCCAGCAAAAAAAGTAATCTTTTTTAAAAAAATAATGATAATTAAAGGATTAGAAAAAACCTGATAAATAAAAGTGACAGCAATAGCAACACCGGTATAAATACAAAATATTTGTACAGCTGGAATGCTTGTTATTGCACCAACACCAAAAGAAAGAGCATCAGTCAGAGCTGTGATAAACATTGAAATAGCAGCATCGCTCATAGCTTCACCCATTCGGCGTTGTACGGAGGAGGCTCGGTTGGTGCGTCGAATAGCAGCAATCATCAAAAACATGTTGTCCACACCGACAGCTTAAAGATAAAATAATTGAGAAAATTTTCTGTCGTTAATAATTTTACAAACCAACAACCAAAAAAGGCATTACACCAACAATGTCATTGTACGGCATTGAACATAAATTTAAATAACCGATTGCTGTCACAATTCCCATTCCTGCATTTATAACTCCAAGAATGGCAAGTACAGGTTTAGAGACAGCCCAATCAATATACCAACTTTTCCTGCATGTGGACATATTGCAAAGTGCAGAGAAGAAAAGCAAAATAAAAAAGGCAAGAATAAATCGAGGTTTGAGGGAATCTGCATTTCTTTTAAGTTCTTCAGCTAGGGTCTTAAATTAAAAACGAAAAAGGATATCTATACTTTTTAAATTAAAAAACCTGTGAGTGAAAATAAGTAACAGTAATAAACGGATTTGAATAATTCTGCATTAGCAATTGAAATTGTTTTTCCCATAAACCAGATAAATGGGAAACATTTGGTGGAAAAAATTGTAAATGGTAGATCATTAACCATGAATGAGCTCCTCTCAGAATCATTTCATTATTTTGTCCATAACCAACAGTAACACCACCAAGACTTGCACCGATATAATGACGACTAATTAAAAAATAATTTAAAAAACGAAAAAAAATTTTAATAATTTGTTCAGTCGTCTTAGTCAGAAAATCCTTTATAAATCAGATTCTCCTTTGGAGTTCAACTAAATTAATATCCGCATTATTAGAACGCCACAAAATTCATAAAAGATAATTTCATGGAGCTGGAATGCGTTATGTTGGAAAATGACTCGAACCACACAATAGTCCCTAACAAATCGCAGAACTATACCACTTAACCAAAGACCTTTTAAAGAACAAATGAACAATATGCTTATGTAACATATTTAAATAGCAACCTAATAACGATTTAATACTCTCAATAAATTTAATTTTTAAATGTTATTGGAAAATTTTCTTATAAATTAAAAAAAATATTTAAAAATTCCTTACACTCCTCCAAGTTTAATCATCGGGTATGTCAGATTTACTCCATGTTGAAATAATCCAGAAAGCAATCCTATATGTTTATTTCCCGGACAAACGTGATTTCTGCCAGAGAGACACAAATCCTTATATCCAAATATACGTCCCTTATACTCAACTTTAACATCTTGTTGAATTTGTTTGTCCAAAGCAACAACCATATCAGAATACGGCATTGTCAAAATATTTTTCCCCAATTCTTTTGTGCTCACAGTTACCTTTTTTAATTAAATTTTATTTCTTAAAATTTTCAAAAAAACCTGTATTTCCCTCGATTGTGTAACTGCCCTTCCAGGAATATAACTTCCATTAAAAAGCGGCCATTTGTCATGAATAATTTGTCTTTCAGTTTTTGATAGGGCATTTGCCGGTGTAAAAAGATAAATAGCGTCAGTAATTGAATTTAATGAAATAAATCCAGAAATGGCAAAAATTGTGATGAAAAGAGGAAAAAATATTAAAGGTAATGGATTAAAGGCAATAAATCTGCCATAACGGTAGAAAAGTTGTGAAAGTGGCCGTTCAAGGCAATCAAAATTACGCATCTATTTTTTCTGTTAAAATAAAATATTTTTTATTTAATCATAGAATTTTTAAACAATAAAAAAAATGAGTTTGATTGGAAGATAGAATGATAGCTTTTAGGCAGGAATTAGCTGGTATATAAAGGGAGTGAATGATTAGAAATAAAAATAATTTTTGAAGAATTGCATGAATAAGAAAATACATTTTAAAAAGGACATTTTTGGATTTAAAAATAAAGAATTAATCACGAAATAAAGAATCATACATATTTTTATTGCAATTTTATATTGTTTCCAACATTCATGGTTTAATTTTTTCTGAATTTTGCTGTGCAGCAGAAATTCGGGAAAAATTTTTTATCATAAGCCGTTTTGTTACTAAATACCGTAACCATGAACTGACTAAAATATTTAACCCGACAAGGAGGCAAAATTTTGTAAATATGGAAGAAATGTACATACACTATATGGCTACCCTACAACTCATCGAATCCTTAACTCATCGAATCCTCAACTCATCGAATCCTCAACTCATCGAATCGGCCAAAAACACTCAACTCATCGAATCCTTAACTCATCGAATCCTCAACTCATCGAATCGGCCAAAAACGATCAACTCATCGAATTTTTCCAAAAGGGGACGTTTGAGTCCCCGTGTTTATTTTTTAGATTTTTTATTGTTTTGTTTATTTTTTTTTGTTTTCTTCTGGGGTTTCAACTAATTTTGTTAATTAGTTGATCGGGCACTCATCCAAGTTTATCCGGCCAGTGAAAACATTATCAGAACATTATCTCATTCCTGAAAACATTATCTCATTCCTAATAAATTATGCGGAGATTTTACCGGGTAAAACCGGACCAAATTAGTCCAGTAGACCCCGATTATGCCCAAAAGCCCTTTTTCCTAGCCTCCATAGCAGCAAAAAATTTTTTCAACGAAGATTCAGTTAGCCCTTTCGGGAGAAAAATAAAAACAGGGGACTCAAACGTCCCCTTTTGCAAAATTCGATGAGTTGATCGTTTTTGGCCGATTCGATGAGTTGAGGATTCGATGAGTTAAGGATTCGATGAGTTGAGTGTTTTTGGCCGATTCGATGAGTTGAGGAATTTTAGCCGATTCGATGAGTTGAGCGTTTTTGGTCGATTCGATGAGTTAAGGATTCGATGAGTTGAGCGGGCACGCACTATATTGCAAGCCTGGGCGAAAGTAAAAATATAGAAGAAAGTTGTCTGGAGATGACCTAAATAAGAAAACTTCTGACCTGCTTTCTCTTAAGTTTCTCCTATAAAGCAAAAAAAGTAAATGAAGCCTACCATTATTCAATAAAGTTCAATATATTCAGAACCTTTTCCATGGTGTGTTATGTATCATTCAACATTTTATTTTAAAACTTAGATTTTTCAACTCGTTTAATTAATATTTAACTTGGATAAATAATAACTTTAACCTACTTTAACCTACCATTTTTAAATCCTAATTAATTTTAATTCATTTCCTTAAAATAACTTTTTACAGATAAAAATTTAAAATTAATAAATTAATTATTGTATTTTTAAATTAAAATTTTTAGGTACTACTGAAGAAAAGGGTGCTTTTTCTGCGGACTTATTTTGCGGACTTTTCCTTTCCTTTACATGTTTTACTTGTAGCAACTAACTGTCAACGGCCCTCCCCCCATTATTTTTCTTACCTAAGATTGTACACAATGGTCAGATTTTCTTCTTTCTCTTTTCCTCTATTTGCCGTGTGGCATATTCAAACAAAAGACATTGATACAGAGAAGATGAATTTTATTTTTTTCATTTCTGTTTAAATGTTTTGCTTATAGCAACTAACAGTCAACGGATTATTTTTTATGCCGGTCTGAAAAATGTCGTTCACAAATAATTTAAACATTATAAACGAAAAAAATGTTACAATCAATAAAAAATTTTACTTTAACTAAATTGTATGATAAAATTAAATTACCCAATGATGAATTTCAACAATGGATCACTGATCTCGGAATGCTTCATAGAAAAAGAACATGTAATTGTGGAAAAGAAATGCGTAAAGAAAAGCGTGGACAAAATGGAAGATGGATATGTAAGAAATCAGTATGCAGTATCCTATGGCAAAAATTGAAAAGACGACATAAAACTGAATTTGGTACTGTTGAAACAACGTTTGAAAGTTATATGAATGAGTTTGTATGGAAACAGAAATTTGGAGGAGATGACTGTTTTTTTCATTTAATTTCACAAATAACAAATAATCAAAAATATTTGTGCGAATAAAAATTAATCCTTTGACAGTTAGTTTGCTACAAGCTAAAACATTATCTTTTAAAAAAAAGGGAAAAAGAAGGAAAGGAAAAGTCCGCAAAATAAGTCCGCAGAAAAAGCACCCTTTTCTTCAGTAGTACCAATTTTTAAAATCATCAGGCACATAATCAGCGAATACATATTTTTAATAAAAAACAATTGATAATGGTTAAACTCCTTCCTGTATGTTCATTTTTCTTCTCTTTTCCTTATAAAAAAATTTCTGTGTATCAAAATTAAAAAGATTCCTTTTCAAAATATAGGAAAGAAAAATTGGAAAAAAATTCGTTGTAAAGACAGACTGACTTTTAAATTAGTATTTCTATTTTAATACATTGATATTCGGATCTCCGACTGGCTATATGCCCCGAGTTGGGAAGTATGTATTGTATTAATTCCATAAATATTCTATTTTATGAATTTTTACAATTTTTGATTAATTAATCACTCATTTAATTTTGATTAAAGGGAACTCTCTACTTTTGAAGTAAAAATATTTTTCGAAGAAAAAATTAAAAAATAACTTTAAAAAAATATAGGGCCTGTCTTTCTTCGCTTATGATAACTTTATATATAACTATACTAGTCCTCGATTGTTTTCTGAACCTAAACTTGTGATTCTCATATTTTTAATTATTTTAAAGATTTATTTTCAGTATCCAGCTGATATCGGTGAGGAAACTTATGATAAAAGAAAATTAACTACTTTCGAACTTACTGAAATTAAAGAATATGCAAAAGTTAATTAGAGCAAATATTTTTTATTAAAAAAATATTTTTTAAAAGATTTATTTTGTTGGTCCACATGCTAAAAAACAAATTGATTTTGATGATAAAGATGGTGTATATAAAGTAGTTTTACATGATCATTTAGCTTATAGATTTGAAATAACAAAATCTATTGGAAAAGGAAGTTTTGGACATGTTTTAAATAAATAAATATTTTTGTTAAAATTATTATTTAAAGGTTGTAAGAGCTTTTGATCACAAGGATAAGCAAGTAACGTTTCTCTCTCTCTAAAAGAATGTCTCTTTTTACAATCCCTCAAAAAGTGTCGTTTAATTAGAGGGATCATTCAAATCAAAATTATATCCATTCTATTAGAGAGGATATAATAATATATTTAATTTAAATTATTTTATTTTTAGTATGTTGCCATAAAAATACTTCGAAAGGAAAAGAAATTTAATCATTTAGTAATTAAAAATATGCCTAATTTCCAGACAAAAATTAAAATTAATTTCAGATGGCCACCGAAATCGAAATTTTGGAGATTCTTAAAAAACAGGATGTTGATGGAAATTATAATATTATTCCAATGATTGAATCCTTTACTTTTCGTGATCATAAATGTATTACATTTAAATTACTTAGCATGAATCTTTATGAATTATTAAAGAAAAATAAATTTGAAGGGTTTCGTTTAACTGTAAGTTTTGTTTTAAATAATATTTTTTTGAAATTTTCTTCTTCTTAGCTTGTTCGAAAGTTTGCTCTTTCAATTCTTCAATGTTTAAAATTATTATATTCAAATAAAATAATACATACAGATTTAAAACCAGAAAATATTTTATTAGAAACACCAACAAATTGTTTAATAAAAATTGCAGACTTTGGATGTGCTTTTTTTGAAGGACAACCATTTTATAATTATTTTCAATCAAGACATTATCGAGCACCTGAAGGTGACTTTAAGCTAGCGTAGCACCCAGGCCCTTCAGGGTTGATGATATAGGGGATCAATGTCTGCCAGAGAGGGCATGGCGGGTTCAGATCAGAGGTTTTGTCAAAAAAATTGTTGGAAGGACGGGGTGCTACCCTCTCTACTTTTTAACAATTAAATTTACCAGAAAAAAATTTTAAATTAATTTTAAAGTAATTCTTGGAGGAAAAATTGGAATGGCATTAGATATGTGGTCTTTTGGTTGTATTTTGGCTGAATTATTAACTGGGCGTGTACTTTTTCCTGGTAATAATGAAGGAGATCAATTAGCTTTAATAATTGAATTGTTGGGAATTCCGGATGAAAAATTGTTAGGAAAAGTTAGACGAAAAAAAGAATTTTTTAATTCTGAAGGAAATCCATTATATTGCGAGGAGAAAATAATTGAAGAAAAAACGGTTAAAAAATAAGTAAATATTTAAAATTTAATTTTTTTTTAGATTTTAAAAGGAGGTGAAAAGGGGAACTTAAGAGGTCCTCCAGGATCGAGAACTATGCAAGATGTTTTGAAGGATAAAGTTGGGAAAATAATTTTATTTAAAAAATTATTTTATTTTTATTTTAGGGAAATGAATTCTTTTTAGATTTTTTAAAGCTTTGTTTGGTTTGGAATCCGGAAATACGTTTAACACCGATTCAGGCAGCTAAACATCCTTGGTTATGTAAATAGAGGAGTTTAATAAATTAGAATGGAATATTGGAATAAAAAAATGTTTTGAGAAATAATAATTTTTATACAAAATTTAAATATATTTTGCATAAACTTAAAAATATTTTTCTAAACACTCCTTTGGCACGTTTGAAAAATCATTGTTATTTTACTATTGGGTCTTCTCAAAAACTTTTTACAAAAATTTATTCAGCTCTGACTCGTTTAAAATAATTTAATTCGTTAAAGTATGTTCCCCCGATAAATTTGTAATATCAAGGAAAAAGAAAATTATCTAACCAGTTTATTAATGACAAAATTTACAACAATAAACAATTGATTGCAATATTTTTCTTTAGGCAGCATGTCGAGTCGTTCTTTCCCATTCGAATGGCGTTTCCGTTGATTGTTCAGAAGGATAACACTCCTTAAAATGTCCAAAAGAATAATTTAAATTATGGATAACTTACACGCAGAACATCCTTTAGAACTTGATACTTAGGCATATCATCCCATTTTAGCCACTTCAGGGACTTATCGAACTCATAGAAGTGCGTAGGAAAACGTCTACAAAATCAAAATATTTTTCTAAAAAAATAAACTCACTTGCAAAGGTCAGTGAATGTGGACTTTCGCTTCATATCCTCAACATCTTTCTGTTTTAGCTTCATTCTCCATGGAAGTACTCCTTCACCCATTTCGATGATCGAGTAGTATAGAGACCAAAGATCATCTACAGGACCCTAAAATGAGAGTAAAATAAATTTATTTTTTAAAATATTCTCTCATACCGTTTCCTTCCTGTCATGAACAGTTAGTGACACATATCTTGTTGTGCCACGAAATGCTGCTCTTCCACGTTCCTTGCGATGTTCTGAATAGAAAAAGATTATACATTGCAACAATTCTTAAGCTTACGTCCATTGGGTTGTAAGTATTTTCTCGCCATTCCAAAGTCGATGATGAATACAGTGCGATGCTTTCCAAACTGAGACAGTCCAATACACATATTGGATGGTTTTATGTCCCTATGCAAGTATCCAGCTAGATGCATCACTTCCATCGCATCGAGGCATTGTTCGCCAACACGGAGGGCAGTTCCAATACTGAAGCGTCGGGATTGGGTTTGTTTTCGAAGAACTGCCAAACTTGGGCCAAGCAACTCCATAATTATGTAGTGACACTTTGGACGACGTGAGAGGTGTAAAGTGCCACTTGCAACCTAAAACAAAGAAAAGGAGTAATGTTTAAATGAAGATTGTTTCACCATAAATGGAAAGTTGTCTTTGCCGTTCAACTTGGCCATAACTCGCTGCTCAATTATTAGACGGTTGCCTTCATCTTCAGCCATGCAAATCTTGACAGCAAAATTATGTCCAGTCATCTTTTTAAATTAAAATGAAAATTAAATCAGAAATAAAGTAAATCACCTTGTCAGACCCCTTGAAGATTTGCCCAAAGCCGCCAGATCCAACGATGTCATGAATGCGGAAACGGCCGCGCACGAGATAGCCCATTTCAAGAAGAGGGTGCATCTTCCTTCCCTCATGTGTTCGCATAATTCCATGCGCTTCGGGTTTGCGAGTCATCTTCTTGATATCGAGCGGCTGTCTTGGCTTCCGCATTGAGTTACGTTGGTCCGATCGACGCTTCATCGTGGTACAACAATGCAGAATAGACAGACGAGAATATTAGAGCATAATATTTTTAACAAAATTTTACTTTTATACAATTATTTTGGCCATAATCACAACTTCTGATTTGCATAATTTAATTTTTGAGAAATAATGTCTCTCTCTTTTTCTGTATTGTACGCTACCAAAAATGGGGCTCCTATACAACTCATCCAATCGTTAACTCATCTAATCCTTAACTCATCTACACGGCCAAAAAGGGTCAACTCATCCAATCCTTGAAATATCGGCCGGTTGAGTCCCTAGCCGGTTGAGTCCATGGTCAGTTGAGTCTCAACCGGCCCAAGACTCAACCGGCGGTAATCAACCACTCAAACGGCCGGGACTCAACTGACCAGGGACTTAACCGGCTAGAGACTCAACTGGTCATGGACTCAGACGGCCAGAGACTCAAACGGCCAGGGACTCAATTGGTCATGAACTCAGACGGCCAGGGGCTCAACTTGTCATGGACTCAGACGGCCAGGGACTCAAACGACTGGTACTCAATAGTCTCGTTCCAAAGGATTGGATGAGTTGAGCGTTTTTGGCCGTGTAGATGAGTTAAGGATTAGATGAGTTGAGGATTGGATGAGTTGACCCTTTTTGGACGTGTAGATGAGTTAACGATTGGATGAGTTAACGATTGGATGAGTTGACCCTTTTTGGCCGTGTGGATGAGTTAAGGAATTTTAGCCGTTTAGATGAGTTGAACGTAACTAAAAATTTAAGTTTTAACAGTAACTAAAATTTAAGTTTTTGATACGTGTCCGGACAAAATATCGAATCGTTAAAATATGGAATAGGCTAAAAAAGGGTTAAAATCTCGAATCGGGTAAAAATGGGTTAAAATCGCGAATAGGCTAAAAAGGGGTTAAAATACCGAATCGTTAAAATATGGAATGGTTAAAATATCGAATCGGGTAAAAAAGGGTTAAAATATCGAATCGTCAAAATATCGAATTGATAAAATGTCGACACTGCCAAAATAGGTCAAAATGTCGAATTATTTTAAAAATTGTGCTAAAAACTAGAACCCGGACGGTACCGTAATACCCTCGGTATTTTTCGGTATTTATCAGTATCCCGTATCGGTAGTACGGGCGGAATACATATCGATAAAATTCAAAAGGTGAACCGTATTTTTCGGTATTCCGTACCGTGGTACGGTACATGTACAAAATTACGGCCTCTACTAAATAATAGGCACGCACTCTAATTTTTCCGGATCAAGAAATCGCGTTGTCTTCCGGATCCGCACGATCATGCCGGACCGGATCCGGTCGATTTTCTTGATTTATCCGGTCCGGTTTTACTCGGTAAAATACACTGAACTCAGTCAGAAAAGATTACGCCGGACTTCGACTCAACAAACTTATGAACCAACTTATCAGCAGCAAGTTGATAAGTTGATAATTATCAACAATCAACGTATGGCACTCATCTGACCCTTTTTTAAAGGAATTCGACATTTTGACCCATTTTGGCCGTGTCGACATTTTATCAAATCGATATATTGACGTTCGATATTTTAACCCATTTTTACCCGATTCGATATTTTAACCATTCCATATTTTAACGATTCGGTATTTTAACCCCTTTTTAGCCTATTCGCGATTTTAACCATTCCATATTTTAACGATTCGGTATTTTGTACCGGAGCCTTTTGATAATGCCAAACGGGCGATATTTTGTCACGTTTTTCTAGCGACCAAACGGGCGTGATTCGGGTTTTTCTGGATTTTCGGATTTTTCGGGATGTGTTTTTATTGGTTTTGGCCATATTTAATTCATTCCTTTCGAAATATGTTTAATATTTACTATGTTTTTTAATATTTTATTTTCTAGCAAAATGGGCAAAAAAGCTAAAATCGGAAAACAGCGAAAAGATAAATTTTATTTCTTAGCCAAAGAAGCCGGTTTTCGATCACGTGCTGCTTTTAAATTACTTCAGTTAAATAAACGCTTTGAATTTTTACAAAAATCCCGAGCTTTAGTTGATTTATGTGCAGCGCCTGGAGGATGGCTGCAAGTGGCAGAACAAAATATGCCCGTTTCCTCTTTGCGTATTGGTAATTCTTCTAAATAATTTAAATTTAATCAATCTACCCAAATATTTTTTTTAATTTTTTCTATTTGCAGGTGTTGATTTAGTGCCAATCAAACCAATTAAAAATTGTATTACACTCCAAGGAGATATTACCGAAGAAAAGGTTTTTTTTAATTTTAACATTTCTTCAAAAATTAAATTCAATTAAAGACCCGGCATGCTGTCCGTAAAGAACTCAGCACTTGGGAAGCTGATTGTGTCTTACATGACGGCGCTCCCAATGTTGGAACTAATTGGGGACATGATGCTTTTCAACAAAATTGTTTAGTCCTTTCCGCTCTTCGATTAGCCACACAAATATTACGTCGTGGTGGTTATTTTATTACAAAAATTTTTCGTTCTGCTGACTCTCAAATGCTTATTTCTGTTTTTGAAAAACTTTTTAAAAAGGTTATTTTTTAAATTATTTTGAGAGAAAAACTTATTTTTAGGTTCATCATTGGAAACCTGCTGCATCTCGTTTAGAATCAGCTGAAAGTTTTGTTGTTTGTGAAAAATATTTAAAACCGGACAAAGTGGATTCAGAACTTCTTGATGCTAAAAAAGTTTTTTCTTCACAAAGTGAACAAACGGAAAATGTTAATTTGTAAGGATTTTCTTTGTTTATTTAAGGTTTAAACGTTTTTTGATAAGTAGGGCTATCTCACGACTTTTTTTAGGAAAAATTATTTTTCAAGAATTTATTGTTTTTTATGTTCTGATTTTTGAAAAAAAAATTTTGCAAACTTAAATTTTTGGGTTTCTTATGAAGGCTCCATATTATTTATTTTTCTGTCTCAAATTTTTAACTTTTAGACAACGTTTGCTTTTGCATCCACGTCGAAAGGATAAAAAACCGAAAGCTCTCGGATATGAAGATAATATAGAAATTAGTCAACACCGAGAATTGCCTGTTAGTGAATTTATTTCTTCCAAAAATTCCCTACAAATTTTGGCTAAAGCATCTGCACTTGTTTTGGATTCAGAAAAAGATGCTAATAGTAAGCATACAACTGAGGAAATCCGTGAATGTTTATCGGATTTAAAGGTTTATTTTTTGTAAATTTTAATAATTTAATTGAAAATAAGGTTTGTGGACCTGCTGAAATTAAAAGAATATTGAATTGGAGAAAGAAATTAATTGAAGAACAAAAAATGGCAAAGAAAATGGAGGAAAGAAATGAGGAAATGATTGAGAAGTAAGTTATATTTATAAAGATTTATGGTTAGATCGGGTTTTTAAAAGAAAAACGGATAACTTTCTGGATTTTTTTTTCGATGCCTTCTAACAAAAATACATTCTCTTATTCTTGAAAAATTCTATTCTGTTAATTTTTTTGTTAACTATTCTGTTAATTTTAGAGATCCATTAGTTAATGAAATTGAAGAGATTGAGGAAGAACAAAGTCAGGAGATGAAAGAACTTGAAGAAATTGATGAACTTATAAGGAATGCCCAAGCTGAGGAGAAATCACAGCTTAAAAAGTTTGGTTGTATTTAATTAAAAAACATTTTTTTATAAATTTTAGAAGAAAGAAAAAACTTTTAAAAGAAAAACAAAAACTTAATGAAAGAAGAAAATTAAATATGATTCATGATGGAGATGAACCGACAATTGGAGAAGATTTTGAAATTTTTTCACTTAAAACTATTCAAAAGGCTGTAATGAAAGCAAAGGCTAGGGCTTTGGCTGCTGCTGACGCTGTTAGTAGTGGCAAAAATATAATGTTGGATTCTGATAATGACCTGGAAGAGGATGAAGCTAAAGAAGAAAATGATGGAAGTGATGGAAATGTTTCTACAAGTGATGATGAAGAGTAGGTTTTTCTCTCATTTCTCTTTAATATAGAAAAGATTCTAAATTAACCTCTTTTAAGTGATGAGATGGATGCACAGAACTTTACTGAAAATCACAAAAAACAAATTACAAATCTAGAGAATAATCAAAAGAAGGACGAAGACATTTTGTCTGAAAATGAATGGAATGATGATAAAATGGAAAGTGACATTAATGAAGGTTTTCTTTTGAATATTTGGATTTTTTAATAAAAAATATTTTAGAAAATGAGGGTAATGAGAATTCAATTCAAAAGAAAAAACTCACCCCTTTACAACTTGCAATGGGTGAACAAATGATTTATTCAAAAAAGCGTTCTCGTGATATTGAGGATTGGGCTTGGAATAGGTTTTCTATTTTTTAAATATTTAAAATATTTTATTTTTAGACATACAAATAATGATGAAGAATTGCCTGATTGGTTTTTGGCAGACGAAAAACGTCATAATCGCCCAACAGAATTACCTCCTGGTGTTGATTTTTCTCGAGTACAATTTTATGCTCAACGAGATCCCCCAGTTAATTCTCGTTCTGTGAAGAAAGTTGCTGAAGCAAAAATGCGTAAAAAGAAAAGACAACAGCGGCGATTGGAAAAGGCTAAAAAACGTGCTGAAGGAATTCTTGAAAATGAGCAAATGGAGCATGTAGAGAAAGTGAGGGAATTAAAAAAGTGAGTTTGTTGAAATTGAAATTTAGTAGAATTTATTTTTAATTTTTTAGACTTTACAAAAAAGCAGCTAGGCCAGAAAAGAAAGAAGTTAAATATCAAGTAGTTACAAAAGGAAAACGTGGAAAAATGACTAGACCAAAAGGACCTTTCAAACTTGTTGACCGAAGACTTAAAAAAGATAATAAATCATTAAAGAAAAAGGGTAAAAATGGAAAAGCTGGGGCTAAAGGGAAAGGACCATCAATGAGGACTGGGGGTGGTGGTGGGCCAAATAAAAAGAGAAGAAGAAATTAATTGTTTTTAATTATTTAATAAATATTTTTGTTTTTGTTATCAAAATAAATCTTTTAAAATTATTTGATGCATTTTGAATTTGAAATTTTGGTAGGGATTCTTTTCAAAAAAATTCTAGTTTGTATATTCTTTTTTTAATAAGAATTTCTTGACGGGAATAATTGGCCCTAAAAAGTCGATGGACTCGATAAAAATTAGGTCCAATTGTACGGCCCGGTCCGCTGAAACAAGCCAAAATAACGCCTCGACCGTCACTCGACTTGAAAACGGCAGCCTTAATTATAATTTTCTCATTTGTCGATATCTTTACCCGCTTTACTATTATTTCATCACACCTTACAATTAAAAATAAATTTGTTGGAAAGGTGTGTAAATTTAAATTTATTTGAAAAAATTCTAAAGTAAACATTTCATTATTTCCCAATTAATAAAAATTTATTTTAGAATTTTATCCTTCCAAATTGATTAAATTTAAAATTAAATTAAAAAATATTTTAGAAAAATGTTTTCATCTTTGTATATAAATTTAATTTATTTATTATTATTTTTACAATTTTTATTTTACAAAATTATCAATTGTTGTATATATCCAAGAAGAAGAAATAACGAGTAAATTTTAATTTAAAAAATATTAATTAAAAATATTTTTTAATTAAAAGTGATGTTTTGACTTTAGGACCAGGAAGAGGAAATTGGTATTTTGTTTTCCTAATTTGTTTTTTAATTAAAATATTTTTAAGATTTAAATTTAGACTTTTAAGAAGAAAGATTTTGAAAGAAAAAATGGAAGAAAAAAAGTGTCATAATATTTACAAATATTATTTGATAAAATTTAATTTCATTAGATAAAACAATACATTTACGATAATTTCGAAGACGTTTTTTGGCAAATTCTCTGTCAACTAAAAATTCCCTCTAACACTACTCCCACATCAGGGTCCGTGTCAATTGTTGATTGTCAAGCGTTTTGTTACGTGCCTTTTTTATTCTAATGTAGGTGCCTCAACGCTCGACACGGATCTAACGCTTGACACTCGACAAAACTCTTGACACGGATGTCTATGTAGGAATACCCTAAACATATTTCTAATAATTTAAGTCAAATGTCGCTTAAAAAGAAAAAAATTTTCGATTGTCTTAAAAGAAAAAATATTTTTACATGACTTTTTGTTAATTTTTTCATAATTATTTTTTTACTTTTAATTTCTCCACTTGGGGAAATTTATTAACATTTTTTAAAATTAATTCAAAAATATTTTTAAAAAATAATTTAAGCATTTATTCCATTAAATCCTCTTTGTTTATTTTGAAATATTTGTTCAACTCTCGTTAAAATATTTCCAAACCCTAAAGGATCATCAGGATTTGAACATCTTTGTTCTCCAAGTATATTTGCTGCTTTAAAAGAGCAGAGACATTGACAAATACCAAAACGGCATTCTGCTGCTGGATCTCCACATTGTTTACTGTTTATACAACGTTCACCTAATGCTGCACGTTTTAAACAACGATCTATTGTTGAAACCTTTAAAAATTAATTTTTAAAATGTGAGGATTAAAATTGAAATAATTTTTGAAGAAAGATACTAGTAATCGGAATTTTGTATCGGTCGGTATTCCGTTACTACCGATACGGAATACCGATAAATACCGAAAAATACGACCGTAGTACGTACGGTCCGATCACTAAAAGATACGAAGTTAATTGTTAATACGAAGTTAAATTCAGAGACTACACATTTCCTAAAAGAACCTCTCTTTATATGTACAGTCCTTTTTGAATTCTTTTATTTTACGTAGGAAATAAAATATTCAAAGGGCGAGAAAATAAAATAAAAAATTATTTAAAGATTTGTATTGAAGTAAAGTTTTAATAATTCTGAAGAATAAAATATTCTTTGATTTAAATTTTACAAAAAATATTAATTGTTATCTATTTACCTCATTTAATTCACAATGTTTTTCACAACTTGGAAAACGATGATCATTATTCTATAAAAAATAATCTTAATAATTTTTTTAATTTTAATTTAATATTTTACCGGTTGAAATCCAATTTTACATTCACATTGCCCAAAATTACAAAACATTGTAACTCCACCTTCACACTTTTTTAAAAAATAATTAAATTAATTTTTTACAAAAAAAATAAATACTTGTAAATCATTTTGACAGGGATCATCTCTGTGTGCAATACTTAAACATTGTCCATTGTGATATACAGGTGTTGGGTCTCTACAAGGTTTTGGACAACAAATAGAGGTTTTCCAACCTGGTTCACTTAATGTCATACAAAAATGTGTTAGTGGACGACACTTAAAAATTAAAAAAAAGTTTCAGAATAATTCCCAAACCCTTCCCCCCCTCCTCTTCCCCCCCCCCTTTCCTCCTGTCCCCCCCCCTCCTCTCCCCACCTTTAATTCTTCATTAGTCCCAGAATCACAAGATTGATTTAAATCAGGTTCCCCATAAGGACAATAAATTTTGCAGCAATGCCCAATATATGGACTTCCATAAGTAACACAACGATAGCCAACTGGACAACTATCTGTTGTTGCTGCATTATCTAGCATATCTACATCATTAATAAATAAACGACGGCAAGTTAAGATTGGCGAATTTCCATCAGGGCAAACTTTTAATTAAGAAAGAGTTTTCTTTAAAAATATATTTATAAATACCAGCAAAACATCTTCCTTTATTATAATCTCTGTGTGTACCAGGCGAGCATTGACATTGTCCATTTATACAAGAATTAAAAGAATCTACACAATGAATATCCTTTTGGAAAAAAAAATAAATTAAAATCCTCTTTATTTTTTTTTTTACTTTTTCACAAGATTGCCCCCAACTAGCAACTCTAGTACATTCAACACCATAAAGTTGTTGACCAGCGGGACAAGCTATAAATTGAAAATATTCGTTATAGAAAGCTAAAGATTGATAAAATTGTAAGAAATTCCCCAAATCTCCTTCTTTAAAAATAAAAAAAATTAACTGACGGACAGTACAAACACCATTAATTATACTTCCACCCCAACATTCACACTTTCCATCTCTACAAAGCAAAGGAGGTTTACAATCTCTTTGGCAGCTATCTCCAATTTTGCTAGGCGCTAATTTAAAAAATTAATTTTTGTTTTTAAATAATATTTTTCCCCTCAATTACCAAGTCTACAAACAGTTTTTGTTTCATCCAAATCAAATTCTTCAAAATTTGTTGGGCAAGTACAGCGCCCATCCCGACATACTGTATTTGTTCCATAACATTCTTCGTCAAATAAACATTTATTTCCTATCAACTTTTCTATTTTTTTTTTTTATTTGTAAATATTTAGAAAACAAACGTGTGCAAGGAACATCAAAAATAGTAACCGATTTAAAAGGTAATATTAATAAAATTAAACAAATAAATAAAAAATTAAAAGAAAAATATTTTTTAGGCCTCATTAAATTATTAAATTTATTAAAATAAAAAATTGGAAAAAAATTTAAATTTCGATGGTGAACATTAATTTGTTGTTTAGTTAAATAATTTAAATTATTAGTTAATATTTTTCTCATATTTTTTTAAAATTATTTTCAAGCCATAATTAAATCTTATAAATAAATTTGTTGAAATGGTGGATTTTTTGGAAGGTTTTCTTTTAATTTTAGAAATTTATCTGTAAAATTAAAATAATTTTTTAAAATAATTTTAAAGGAAAATTGAAAAAGAAAAGAAATACATATGTATTTGTTGACAGAAATTTAGGGAGGGGGGGGGGGAATAAATATTAAAATTAAATTTTGTGAAAATATATTTTAATTTTTTAAAATTTTATTTAAAATTAATTAATAATTATGTAATCTATCTACATTCCCGTTCAAAATTTGTTTGTCAATAAAATCCAAATATAAAAATATAGAAAAATAATTTATTAGAGATATATTAAATTGTGCACAAAATTTTTTATTGTTCATTTACACACAAACAGAAATAATAAAAGCACGGCGCGCATCCGCCAAATTTTTTCTTGCGTGACGGGTTTTAAGCTAATCAATAAAATATTGATGTCAATTAGTCTTTAGGAGTAAAAGGAAGGAGGGGGATTTTGGTGACTAATTTATGAATTTTACAGAAATTTACAGAAAAATTATTACATACTTTATTTAAACAAACAAATTGCTTTACACCCTTTCAAGCTGTTTGTGATTGAGAGATTGATAATGTTGTTTAGTGGTTACGGATAGTATAAAGGCCAGTGTAAGCATCAGTCTAGTTGGATCATACTAGCGGGGCTAGTCGCTGATCTCCTTCGTATGTCCCATTCCCTCGCCTTCATTGTTTGTTTCTACATTGGATAAACTGATTATTGTGGTCGTCGACATTAGTTAAATCTCTGACACACTTCGGGTCGTAACAGATAATAACCCCTAGTATTGGAACTACATATGTAAAATATCTTTGTTTATTCAATTCCTCGATTCTGATCTTTTTTAAATTTTATTTTTCCAAATTACAAATACATAGTTTGACAAAAATATACTTTTAAATATGCCAAATATAAAAAGTGAATATATACCACAAAAAATATATTCAAAAATTAATTTCTAATTATTTTTTAAACTCTCGTTTCTTTAGAAGATGAACCTGCAGGTGCCTGACTTGAAAGAAAAGAAACACGTTGGTCATTATTATAGTAATAGTGTTGACTTTTTTGATGAAGAAAAGGCACTAGAGGTGTCGGCATAAGTGATTGAGTAAATGGTGATTGTTGTGTAGAGTGGAGAGAGAGATTATTCATCTAAATAAATAATTAAATTATTTAATTGTTAATAAGAACAAATTTGAAAATCCGAAAAAATTCAAACGATTTGAGGGAAAGAAGGCGGGTAAAAAACATTTTTTACTCCCTATATCATTTTAAATCCTACAAGGAACCATCGTTTACTGTGACTGCGAATTTGATATATTTTTTGGTATCATTCGATAGAGGACCCTCGATTTACTATTGTTGTGTGCGGGTTTTCTTGCAAAATTAGTTTGGGCCGAGTTATGGCCGTTCAAAGTAGCCAAAAAATCCTTATTTTAAAAATAAATCAAAGATACGTCAAAATAATCGTTGTTCCGTTGTTGAACATTAAAAGCATTTGTACGATGTAAGGACTGAAAATTTGAATGTCCACCATTAACTCCAAAATCAAACGCAGAATTCATAAAAAGTGAAGGAGTAGACGAAGGCTTTAATTTTAAAAAATTTGATTGAAAAATGTCAAAAAATATTTACATTGCTTGAAGTTGGTGGATCTCGATGAATAAATTGACACTTAGCACCATAAATGCAATAACTATTTTGTGCGTAATTTCGACACAGAGTTGTTTTATAATTTGGATGTAACTTTAATAAAAAATTAAATATTTAGAATTTTTTTGTTTTTTTTGACAAAGTTGAAAATAAAAAAGAGGGGGGGGGGGTACGAACTTCAAAATTACCGAATACTTTTCAGATTCGGAGTACAAAAAGTTTAAACAGTTGTTTTAGCCTATTACTTTTATTTTTGCTCTGGATTTGAAAGCAATCATGCTATTTATTTTTATATTTGTTCCTTTAAGCCTATGAGAAAAGTTAACAGTAACCCTTTACAATTAACCAGAAAATATTCTAAAATAATGACAACTCCACTCTGTCCGTTCCAAATCCAATCAAAAATTTCAAATATTTAAACTGCACCTGTTTACTACGTAATTCCTCTTCACAATGTGCAAATCGACAATTATCACCAAAAGAGCAATGCCCCCATTTAAAGAAACCTCGACACAATTCAGTTCGGAAAGCTTCAATTCTCCTTCTAATCTTCTTCTCCTCTTCCCTAGCCTTATCTGATTTCCGTTTATCATCAAAAAAAGTTGAGATTTTCTAAAGAAAATAATTATTTTTAATTTTAAATAAAAACAAATTTACGGGATTTTGAGTAAATTTAAGTTCTCCATTTTCTGCATTGGTTCTCATATTGAAAATAAGAATTTTAAGAAATTAGGAATTATATGTAGTTAGTAGAGAAGATTATTTTAGAATTATTTAAAAGATTAATTAGAAAATTAAAAATTAATTAATCTAAATTTACATTGTGTAAATTTTTATATAAATATTGTAAGATTATTAAATGCAAAATCTATTTACATTTAAAAATGAACCAATAAATGTTCAAAACATTAGATTTAGTATATCAGTTGCAATTTTCCCTACCAAAAAAGATTTTGAAATTTTTGAATATGTGGTACACAGGGACAGTGGGATATATGTATAAGGGGAGATTACAATAGATATAGATGTCACTTATCCCAGAGTCACTTATCCCAGACTTATCCCAGAGATCCCCAGCTCCATCCTATCGAAATCATTGCTATTCAAACATGATGGTTTTACATGAAGAAATTATTAAAAATTTTTACTTAGATCGTTTCATTATTTTTGAAAGTGAGACGCGTGGCTTCTTTTTAACACTATTTATACAAAAAATTAATCCTTCTTTTATGCTAAAATGCCAAACGCAAAAATAGAATGAAATGGGTGAGAATGGAAATACAAGTTCAAAATTACCCCAAAATGATTTTTTTTTGCTTTTTTGAACAATGTAAAAGGTGACAGGCAATTAATTAGTTAATCACTTTCTCATATTAAGAATAATAATTTAAAAATTCTATTTTTCTGAAAGCCTCAGAAAATTCTATCATTTTTTTTCTTCCAAATAAAATATTTTTTATGCTGAATATTTCCAAAAGGGAGTTTAAGAGATTAATTTGTTTCTTTTGTTTTAATCAAACAGCAGGAAAAATATTTTAAATTTTTGGGAGTAGGGTTGTCGGTTAACCGAAGAATTTGGTGAAACCGATAACTCTATTTGAAAGGAAAAATATGTAAAAAATGATAGTGTTTGTTGTTCATGTAATCAGAAGATTAATTGTTTTGTCCTTGTACCTTTGATAAATATGTAAATTTTTAAATTGAAATTAGGTACTAAATTTAAGGAGTTGGCATTCTGTATTTTTAAAAATCAAATTTGTAAATTTAATCTGAAAATCTAAAATTTCTAACAAATTTTCCCCAGTTTTTTTTTTAATTATTTCTTCATTATTTTTTAGTTTTAAAAAGTTCAAATCTACTATTCATGTCTTTAAAAGAAGTTTTTTCAAGAAAAGTTTTTGTTGGAGGTCTTCCTTTCGATATAACCGAAAATGATCTTCAAAATACATTTATTCGGTTTTTTTAAATTTTATTTTTCTACTTTATTTATTTAGTTATGGAAAATTTCTCATTGAGTGGGATTCACGTTCTTCTGATAAAAAATATCGTAATTTTTGGATAAAGCTTGTTCCAAATAAAAATTAATTTTTAGGTGGTGGAAATCAACTCACTAGAAAGGGCTATGCTTTTCTTATTTTCGACAAAGAAATCTCAGTTCAACATTTAATAAATGAAACATTTCGTGAAGGGCTCCACTATTATTTGAATATTTCAACGGCTGGCTCACATAAAAAAGTTCAAATTCGTCCTTGGCAACTTAGTGATTGTTCCTATATTGAAAATCCGTCGGAACAATTGAATCCGCGATACACGGTAAATCTCTAAAAAAATCTTTCTCAAAATTTTAAAGATATTTCTTGGTGCTCTGCCTCGACATATCAAAGCTGATATGCTTGCCACAATTCTTAAGGATCGTTTCGGCCCTGTCTGTTATGCTGGAATTGATACTGATCCAACGCTTAACTATCCTCAAGGCGCCGCTCGTATTACATTTCGAATGTACAATTCTTATGTGAATGCAATTAAAAATCGGTACATCACAATTCCGAATGATGGATGCACGAAGCGCGTATGTTTTTAATTTTTCTTGTCCATTTTTTTATTGTTGTAGATATGGGTGAGGGGCAAAATAGGGAATTCCAATACACGGAACGGACAGAAAAAACAGACCTTTATTAATTTTGCTCGCTTTCTCAAAAAAATTCCTTTTCAGTTAGAGATCAAGCCTTACATTATGGATGACCAGCAATGCGATAATTGTCATGGAAAGTTTTGTGCTCGAATTCCAGCAACTCTCTTTTGTCCTGACATTACATGCCTTCAATATTATTGCGAAATTTGTTGGACTTTAATGCACCAAACTACTAATGAAAATTCATTTCTGCGCACTTTACATAAACCTTTTGATAAGCGAATGAATGTTTGAGAGACAATTTGGTAAAAAAACAATTTCCATTTATTTTCAATTAAAATTTTTCATTTTATTTTACAAGATTGTATTTTTTAAGGGCAGACTTTTTTCAAAAAAAAATGTTTAAGACTCACATATTAAATTTTAGTTTTAAATTAAGTCTGCTCTTTCCCTCTTTTTATAATTCAAATGTTTTTAACAATTCTTTTTTTATTTAACCATTATTTTTTGATTTTAAATTTTCTATATTTGGATTGAAATTTTTATTTAAATAAAAATCAAAATATTTATGCAAGATTAGAAAATAATGGAATTTAGTATATAAAATCGCAGAAAAGGGGAAAATTTAGTTTACGAGAAAAAGAATTTTTTGTAGCTTAGTGGTGGGAAGGTTGTAAAATACAATGGAATCCCGCCAAGTCAACTTATTTGTTAGTGACTAGACTGGACCGATGTATGAATGGATGTGTCGTATTAGCGGGATTCGATTGTAAAATATTAGTAATGACCAGTGCTTCGAAATTTCAATTTTGCTCGTACTCGCCCCATTTTTGCTCGTACCAGGTACGAGTACGAATTTTGGTACGAGCTTCGAAGCACTGGTAATGACGACCAGATGAAAAAGTTACTTAACTTTTTATTTTCAATCTGATCTGTTTGGTATGACAAAAAAAGTAATATAAATCATAAAAAACGGCATTAATTGGGCTCTGAATTTAAAGAAAAGAAATTAACTCTCATTTTTTGATACAATGATTTTTGCTTAAAATGTTTAAAAAATCCAAAAAAATCACCAATAGTCCGACCAAAATAGTACGTTTAAAACAAACAAGTCAGGCACTTAAATACAAACAGAATTAAACGAAATCACGTGATAGAATTTATAAGAATATATTCTACTATTCTAGCTTCTTACGTGGACATTTAGGAAAGGTTAAAAAATTAAATATAAAAAGGTAATAAATGAGCAAGAGCCCACGGGCCAATGATTTTTTTAAAATTTCGATTTCTACCCCCCTAATTATTAAAATCTTTTGAATATAACTTTGTAAACTCGAATAATCAAAGCATAGACAATGGAACCTATTGTTAGAAGCTAGAATTCAAAGAAATTTTTGTTTTCAGTGTTCTTTGGCGTGATTGTGTGAAAAGCATTAAAAAAGAGAAAATTTACTTTTAATTAAAAAATATTTTTAAAGGATGGTCAGCACAAAAATACATAAAATTACGTGTATTCACCAAGAGTGCACCTAGTGGGGAAAGGATATTAGAGCTTGTAACCTCACTTAAATATGAAAAATAAAATGCCGGAAAAATGATAAAAAACAAAATGATTTTAGAATACCAGAAATCCTACCACTGGGTACGCACTTGGTGTTCAAAGGTTTTTTAAAAATTATCTTGGTAAAGTCATTTGTGCCCTTCACCTCTACACCATCACCAACAACGTATAAATATAGAAAGTCTCTTTACCCTTTACGAATTGGAGCAACAAGGCTTCTTTTGCTTATCTGTGCTTGAAGAAAGCGTTATGTTGTTTTGGCTGTTGATTGGCACTGTTCGGTCAGGTGGAACTTGCCTTAAATTTATATAAAAATTAATAATAATAATATCATATGTTTTGTCGAGATTTTCTGATATTCGATAAAATAGAGTAATTGTAAGTATGGGAATTTTGGCCCAGAGTTATTTTTGCTAATTCCTTATCATAACTCTTAAAAACTTCATAAGAGGAAAAAGATTCAAAAGATCCTAAGTTCCTTATATTCCAAGTTTTCTACAATAAATTATTTAAAACCCAATTAATTTTGTCCTAGTCTATATCATTAATATTATAAGAAACCTTGTGCTAACAGAACGGTAGATTTCGGTCAAACTGTTGGTGAACGCAGCTTCAACATTTGTTGAATCCAAAGCACTAGTCTCAATAAAACTAAGCTGATTTCTCTCTGCATAAGCACGTGCCTCTTCGGTTGGTACTGCACGCAGATGGCGTAAATCGCTTTTGTTACCAACCAACATAATAACAATGTTTTGATCAGCATGATCACGCAATTCTATAAATTTATTAAGTTTCGGTGGCCCAATGGAAAAAGGCACTACCCGAAACGTTTACAAAAAAACGTATATGATTTTGTAATATTTTTTGGTATCCCATTATGAAAAAATCACCTTTAAGCCAACGATCCACGCTTTCATATGTCACATGCTTGGCAATGTCATAAACAAGAAGAGCGCCAACAGCTCCACGATAATAAGCTGAAGTAATCGCCCGGTAGCGTTCTTGCCCTGCCGTGTCCCATATCTGCGCTTTTACAGTTTTCCCGTCAACCTATGAAGGATTTTATATTTTAACTGATAAGAACAAATTATAAAAAACCTGAATGCTTCTCGTAGCAAATTCAACACCAATGGTAGATCTCGATTCCAAATTAAACTCATTTCGAGTGAATCGCGAAAGTAAATTAGATTTTCCAACGCCGGAATCGCCAATCAAAACAACTATAAAATAATACTTGAGTAACCTTTTAAGCCTATTTATAGATAAAAACTGAATGATAGCGGAAGCTAAAGAAGCAACCCAAGTGACAAAATCATTTAAAAAAACCTCATATTTTTTTATTAAATTTAAGAAATTAACCTTTAAATAGATAGTCATACTCGTCTTCGCGTGAAGTCATTTTAACAAAATATATGTGTAATATAAATAATAATGATATCTGCAAAGTTTTTCTTAAAAAATTAGAAAAGTTTTACATACAAATAATTAATGTTAAAAAAGACACGAATAAAAAACGCGATTCGTGGAGGTTAGAAAATATAATTGTTGTATTATATCTATTGATGATGACTGGTTAATAGCGGAATGAAATCGAATCGCAAATCGGTTTAAGTCAGCGGCTGAAGGGCTCTGTGTCGCTAAAGGCGAGAGCAAGAGAACGAATTTTATATTAACGTGGTTGGAATGATTGTTTAGAGAAGAATGAGTTGGAGATAAATAAGAAAAGAAATAGAGTGAATAAAAAAAAGAAAAAAATGTAAAAAAGGCAAACGAAAAATTTTTTACAATTGACATGAGACAATTTAAAAATGCATGGAAGTTAGAAATTCGAAATTAAAAAAAAGGCCACCATGAAATTATGGAAATATTTGAAATTTATAGGATTTTTTAAGATAAAATTTGAGAAAGAATAAAGGAGAAAAGGAATCCAAAGAATAGAGATGAAATTTTAGTTGGTCTTATTGTTCAGGCCCGTAGCCAGGGGGGGGGGGTGAGGGGGGGAATTCCCCCCCCCCCCCCCCCCCCGAAATGGGAAAAAGGAAAAAATTTGGGGAAGGGCTGGGGCAAAAAAAGTGAATTTTTTTGGCCTACGGCCTCTGAAATTTAAAAAATTTTCGCCTGCGGCGCTAAAAAGGAAGAAATCTGGCTTCTTTAGATCCAAAATTCAAAAAATTTTCGCCTGCGGCGCTGAAAATCAAATTTTTGGCGCCTGCGGCGCCGAAAAAGTGAATTTTTTTGGCCTACGGCCTTCTAAAATTCTCAAAATTTTCGCCTGCGGCGCTGAAAATAAAAATTTTTGGCGCCTTCGGCGCCAAAAATTTGGCGCAAAAAAATTTCCCCCCCTCGAAAAAAAATCCTGGCTACGGGCCTGTTATTGTTTATTTTGAAAAGTGTGGAGCAAGTGGGAGGAAATTAACGTGTTCATCCATCCCCTTAATAAAGTAAAAATTCTATATTGACTTGCCAAAAAAATTAATATTGATTTGGCAAAATTGACAGAAAATCGGCAATTCTTAATTCAGTACACCCTTCTCTTTTTTCTTTACTCACATCACGAAATTTAAAATTAAAAAAATCAAATGGGAAAAAACAAAATTTAAAAATGTATAAAATATTAATAAAAAATAAGTAAATAAACAAATTTTTATAGATCACATTTATGCTTATGTTAAAATTAAAAATATCAAAATTTACAACGATTAAAATTTTATACGAGTTTTGTAATAAATCTATAATTAGAAAAAGATTACAAATATCGGTCAGTCATAGGGCTTGTAACCAACCGGGTGTAAAAGATTTTTAAATAGGACACTAAAAACTTTCTTTAAACTTAAAAAATACAAACGTCAATAAAAACATATTGTATGTAAAAGATTCCTTCCTTGATTTTCCAATTCGAAATCGCTCAAAACTTCATCAATTTCGTTATCCAAATCTTCACATTCTTCCAACTTAAAAAATTCTTTAATTTAAAGGACATTTATTTAAAAAACCTTTTTGCACAATTGTACCACAATTAAAGCTCCAATAGTCGCTTCTTCGTGATTATCTTGAATGTCAAAATTAATTATATGTACACACTCTCCTGTACTGTTAGAACTTTCATTTGTTTGCAGAAAATCAACAATTTGATCGTAAACTCGTTCTTCCATACAAATTATGATAGAAAAATGTTCTTGACAAGTTTGGAATTTTTGGGGACATTTTCTAAAATTAATAAAAAATTTATTGGCAAATGTAGAAAATTTTTAGTTTGGAAATTTAGATAAAAATATTTTTTTTAATTTACTTTATCCTTCTATTTCTATCAAGCATGTTCAAAAGCCCATTCTGTGTATATCTAAAAAATAAACACAATTATACTCGTAGATTATACTCTTTAAAGACTTACAATTTCGAATCTTTGTTTTTCAAATCCTGATAAATTTCATCATAAGTAATCGAATCAAAATCGTAAATATTTGGTTTGTCAATACTTGGTCCAGGCAGCTTTACATAATTTCCAGAACCAAAACTTTGGACATTAAACCCACGTTGCCTAAAAATAATAAAAATAAAAAATAATTTAGAAAACTAACTTTAGAAAGTAATGTGCTTCCATACTTCTGTTCATATTAGATGAACAACTAACAGCAATTTTGAGTTTGCCACAAGATTTTGCGTTGATAAATGGTTCAAGCATTAAAATAGTTGATTAATTAACTAAAAAATATAAGAGATAAAGAAACTTAAAAACCCAAAAAAGAACAAAAAATACCCACTCTAAAATAAAAATATTCTACATATTGTGTGTTACCAAATTGACATTTTACTAAATTTTATTGGCGAAATTTTGTTTTTAAGTTTAATGACCAAAAATTAATTGACAAAATGAAACAAACTTTTTGTATTTAAAAATTTTTTGAAGGTGTGCTTTTTAAAATTTTTTTTGCAGTTTTCTAGTTTTTTTATCGAGGTTAATTCTTATCAATTAACCTTGTTGGACGAAATTTGAAGTTGGACGAAATTTCAGTAGAATCTTACTTTTTTGCCTGACTGATTAGTTTAGGGCTAGTACGTTGTAGGCTTAAGTATTTTTTAAGTTTAACCCAAGTAAGCGAGTTTTCTAAATTTGTTTTTCGTTTAATAATTAGGATACAGGTACTGCGCTGAAACCCAACACCATGGGTTATTTTAAGCTGCTTCCTTCTAAGGTCTAAATTATAAGTTGACTTATTCATTTTTAACCTATATTTAAAAAAAATTTTCTATTTCAATTCATAATTTTTTCGCATTGCAGAATATTTTACACGATCTCTATTTTATTTTTATTCGATTCGAAGTTACACAATGTCGGTTGACAATACAATTGAGCAACTTCTTGCGAGGGCCATTTTGGACCTTGAATTGGTAAGTTTTCTTATGCAGAAGATATATTCTCTAAATCTTTTCATTGCAGAAGATGAAACATGAAATACGCCAAAATAGCGCTCTTCATCTCGCACGAATTGAAAAACACAATCAGCAGCTTGAGAAAAGACTGGATATTATTGAGGCTAAGGCATGTCTTATGAGTTTTCTATCTCATTCAATTATTTTAGCTCGAAGCGTTGATTAATCGTGATAGCCATGGTGGACATCCTCCTCGAAATTCTATGCAACATTATTCGAGTGGTGCTAGACATTCCTTGCACACTACTACAACTGGGCGTGTTTCTTACTATCCGCGATCACCAAATCTTGCGAATGGTCATCCTCATCATGGAGGTGGAGCTCGACCTACTTCAAAGCGTTTGTCGGCGATTGGTAGTCCTGCGTCTACTGTTGGTTATGGAAGTGGTTGGGTTCCTAGTAGTGCACCTTCTAATGTCGGGAGATCGTCTGGTGGAATTCAGCAACATAAAAATGCTTATGAGCGTAAGCAGTATCAGTCTAAGCAACCATTGGGCACCGGCGGCAACAGAGCGAATCTTGGGGTAATATTTTCTGAATGCTGTACCTTATTTTTAATTTTCTTTTGCAGGAAAAATCGGTTAATAAGACTCCGTGGCCAAGCCGAGGCGGAAATTTCACTGATGATGTCTCTGATGCATCGGACGACGACAACTCTTCACAAACTGGCAGCGAGTCTCCTTATTCTGTGGCAAAGCCGGCATGCAAGCCTGAAGATGAGTGCATTAATAAGGAAAGTGAGGAGGAGGGCGACAATGTTGAGAACGAAGAAGATTCTGAGAAGCTTATTGTTAGTTGTAAACAACAAGGAGTTTTAGAGGGCGATGGTGAAGATGATAATGCTTCGGCAAAAATAGATGGTGGGAGTACTGGTGATTTTGAGGAGAAGGAGAACAACAACAACAATGATGACAACAAGGTTGTAGAATCGTCGGTGGTCGTTACTTCAACTATTGTTACTCCAGGTTTTTAAATTTAGTAATTGTCTTCAAATATAACATTAACCTCTAAATTTTTAAATGTTTTATATTTAAGGTGCTATGATCTCGCCAGTCGTTGGAGGTTTTGGTCGTAGCCGTCGTAATTGAAGTGTTATAATCGAATCGAAATGGATATTTAAAAGACAAGCGTTTATTTTTGCTTGGCATCATTTCTCTTATAATTTACTTTTACGTATATGAGCAATTATTAATTTTATCAAAGATGCAGAATGTTTAATTTTTTATTGAACTTTATAAGCAATATTTGCAAAAGAATTTTTTTCTTTTGGATTTTTAATTTTTGGAATTTTAATTTTATACATTCAGCATCTAATGTTTACGGCGTTTTTGTTAAATATCAGTATTCTTTATGAAGTTTTATTCTGCCGCATAAAAGTTAGTTAATTTAAATTGAATTTTACAATTATGTCATTAAATGTTTGTTTACTTTCATAGTTTACCTTTTCTCTAAATTTCAATTGTTATTTCAAAATTTCTTTTAAACGTACTTTTTGTGCTATTTGTAAATTAAAAATGGAGAAGAGACAACATACAAATGATATTTATGAGAAGACAATGGTTCGTCATGTGGACTCGATGTGTGAGGTGAAAAAGTTAACGTTTTAGGGCGTTCCTTTGAGACGAGTATATTGTATTTTCGTCATTTGTTGTTTAAGTTCTTTGATCTTGGTATTAATAAATTAGGGTATTAATAAATTAAACACTTGTGTTAAAATTGCTATTTTATTTGACATTGCTTTTTTAGATGATTCATGTGAAATGTCTTGGTTCAGCTACTAAGCGAGCACCTCATGGCCAAGAAGCTCATAGGAATGAAATTTTTGATTACCATGATGCGCTGCATAGTGCCGATATGATGTTAGATTTTTATATTTATTTTTTATATTTATATTTTAAAATTTATTTCAGTGGACCAATGGAGGATTTCAATAAATACAATAACGAATTGGACTTAACCAAGGATAAAAAGGCTATAGCTAATGGACAACTTAGACAGCTTCGCGATAGACTTCTTGTAACAAAAATGAAAAACGAAGAATTGAGTGAATTTTCTTTAAAATTTTCTTCTGGGGTGATGGTTTTCAAAATTGATGAAGGTAAGTATTGACGTAATATTTGGTTTTATTTTTCTTTTTTTATTTAGAGATTAAGAACTATCAGGAGGCCACAAAAGAAGTCAAGGATGTTCAGGAAGAGTTGCAAGATCTTGAGAAGAAGGTTTGTAACTTTAAAAAATAATTTTTACAATTTATTGTTTCAGTTAGATGTGAACAGAGCTCATCTCGCACAAGTTAGAAAGACCAAACATGATTTGGAGGCAAGCTTGAAGGATATTGAAAGTGAATTAGCTCAATTTGATAAATAGAATATGTAGTTTATTTTTCATTTGCTTGTGTTTTTAGTAAAATTTCTGCCTTATCTTTTTTAGTAATTCATTAAATGTTTGAGACACTGTATTTTTCAAATTTCATTTTTCTTATAATTATTTTAGACTTATTAATCTTATTGTTACTATTGAGATGGATTCACATCAAAGTGGCGTTAAGAATGTATTAAAGGATTGGCCGGAAAAATACAGAGAGTAAGTTTTTTTATTATTAGTTAATTGTAGGTGATTAACGTTGGTTATGAGTTTGAGGTTGGGCTTTATGCAAAAACGCGTCTTTGAAGTGGTTTAAATGCACGATCATAACCCAGTCTAGATTCTATAAGCTCTGGTTTCGTTTCGTGTTTTAATGATTATTGTAGTACTTTATTTGCTAACATCAGTAGATTTTTTACCCAACTAAAATTAATCACATTTTAGTATTTATGCTCGTGTTTTGCATGGTGTTTCCTCTGAGTACCCAGGTGTGGCTTGGTCAAGATATGAAGAATTTACTTATTTGATTCCTAGGTATTTTGATTTGTAGTTTTTAATTTAAAAATTTTTAATTTAAAATTATTTTTAATTTAATATTTAATCTAAAAGCTGAATAATGCTTGTGCTAATGGTGTATTGTTTTTTACACCCCCTTTTTCCGTGAACACTATACTGGTTTGTCTCTATTTGAAATGTCCTTTACGCAAACTCAAAATTTGGGAACCTGTCAAACATAGGTGACCTGTAGGAAAATTTCATTAAATTATTGAATTCGGTAATCTGTTAGGGATTAGAATAAATTTCCATATTTTTAATCCATTATATATTTTTCTTTCAGTTCTATTTTTTGCTCACTGTCATGTTATAGACTTACTAAATCGTTGCAATCCAAGTTTATTTATTATTCTATATTTTAATTTCCAGTGATTTTAGATTCGACACTCATAATGGTCTTAGTCCTGGTCACAACGTTAGATTCTTAGTGAAGGTTGATCCTGTTGGTGATAAAGATTTTACAGTCAAAGTTAATTTTAATGTTAATTTTTTATCATTTGCTTAAGGCTTATATCAACACAACTAAAAATGATTCACATCTCCCAACAGATTCACGCGTAAGTTTTATTAATTTTAAATCTTCGGTAGAAAAAACATTTTCTTCATTTTAGTTTTTCAAAGTGAATTGTGTTTTATCCGATGAATTTCCTCAACGATGCTTTAGTAAGGAACTCGGAGAAGTTTTTCTCCCACCTCGAGGTTTAAACGCTACTCCAATTCCAAATGTGGTATATGAGGCATTCGTCGATTGCAAACTATTTATCCGAAATGATGATGGTTCAAGAGTTAGTGCAGCCACTCAAGTTGAAATTCGTCCTGAATTGGTCAAACTTATCCGTGTTAAACCACTGCAAAGCAAATTGTAAAATTTTTATAACTTTAAATTTAATTAAATATTTCAGGTACGGCGAGCGTCGTCTCATCCCTCCTCTGTTTCGTCCCCGTTCATCCTTTCGTCCTACCGAATAAATCCAACGTTTCAATTACATTTTCCTTAAATTATTTTTTGTTTCGTTATTTGACAATATAGTTTTGAAATTATCAGGGACAGGACAACGGATTTGTTCTGTGGGACGAAACAACGATTTTTTCGTGTTGACAAAATGCCTTTTATTCAGGTACAGTGAGCATGTCGACATTCTTCGAATTTGTGTATATTTTAAGAATAGATTATTTAATTTATTTAATAATTTTTATAGCCATGGAATACAAAAAAAGTTGAGAGTGGAGAAATTAAACCGCAACTTATTTATTGGGACTATGGAGAAGAAGGAATTGTTCATTTTTATAAACAAAACCAAAACAAACCTCCTTTTCCGACAAGAGCGCTTTCAAAAGTTCGCCTTTGGTACTTTGAAAACAACCGTGTTATTCGTGCACGTTGGCCAAGGACTCAAGTCAAAATTACTTTGGGAATGGAGAGAATGATTTGGGAAAGTATTTCAGTTGATATCCGTTTACGTTATCCTCCATTAAATGAAGGGCAATTTTTCTTTGGTTGGATTATTTATAATGGTAATTTTATATTTAAAAATTGTAATTTAAGATTTTTAGAATTCATTTCGTGTTATTATGTTCAGAATTATCGTTTATCGAAGGAAGGAGAGGCTACACAAAGTCAACTAGAGAAACGGATTGTTATTGATAGCGGAAATCCAGTAAATGAGGTTGGGGTGTTTTGTTTTTATATGCCCTTATTACTCATGAACATTACTGTTTCTTTCCATTTAAAACTTCCTTTGCATAGAAAATAATTTTAATTTAATTATTTTAGTATTTTGTCCGAATTCGCGAGTCACCATCAGACGTGGGCGAAACGTTTCGTTTCGTTTCGTTGTTTCGTATGTTTCGTATGATTTTTACTGTTTCGTCTCGTTTCGTTACGAAACACTTTTAAATTTGTTTCGTTTCGTTTCGTTACGAAACACCTGTGATTTTTCAACGAAACGAAACAATTTTTTAAGCCTAAACTAAGGCCAAAATCTATAAAATTAACCATCTTTTATTGAAAATTAAAAAAATTTTCGCCTGCGGCGCTGAAAAAGAAGAATTTCGGCTTCTTGGCCTTCCCAAATTGTCAAAATTTTCGCCTGCGGCGCTGAAAAAGGAAGATATCAATTACTTATATACTACAAATCCGTTTATACTCCACTCCCTAATCCGCATATACATATTACTTAATCGACGACAAATTCTATTACCGGACTCGCATCATAATTTAAAAATTGCAAATTGCGAGTTGCGGAAATACTGGAACCGGAACTTCCGGCGAAGCATTAGCTTATATCGCTCTCCTCTCGAAATGGAGATATGGAGACAATTTGGGTAGGCAATGGAGCAAGATAGTGAATTTTTTGGCCTACGGCCTTTCAAAATTTTAAAATTTTTCGTCTGCGGCGCTTAAAATAAAATTTTACTTGAAAAATATTAAATTTTATTTGAAAAAAAGCGTCGCCAAAAATTCGGCTTCGAAAATGATTGACCCCCCCCCCCTTCCCCGAAAATTTTCCTTGCTACGGGCCTGGCTTATGGGACAAATTGTTGTAAATAAACCAAAAACTAAATCATTTATAAATCGTAGGCGACTAATAAAGTATTTGAGGTCGAATAATTGCGAAATAAATGAAGTTTTGAAAATTTTTTGAATATTAAAATGTTTCGTTTTGTTTCGTTTCGTTTCGTAAGATTTTGGTTGTTTCGTTTCGTTTCGTTAACGAAACGATTTTAAAAAAATTTTGTTTCGTTTCGTTTCGTCAGAAAAAAATTTTGAGTTTCGCCCAGGTCTGGTCACCATTGTTCAAAAATTTGTATATTTGTGATCCATTTGAAAATATTTTAATTGCTGATCCTAAATTGTTTGTAATTTATTTTTTAATCTGATTATTAAATTATTAAGTATTTTGCGAAATGTTTCTTTGGATGCCCATAGAGAGAAGGGATGTCCTGTATGGGTTAGACTTGAACCAGAACATGAGCGTTTGGCGCATTTTTCCATTTCAGAATTAAATAAAAGTATTGGAGAATTTTCTGCTTCTGAGAAGATGATGAGCTATCCAAATGTAAATATTTAATATTCTTACGACCAAAATTTTATTTTTTTTCATTTAGATATTTGGAATTGGTCTAATAGTTGATTTAGAAACAAATGCTATATTTTCTGAAAATCACCCGCAAAAGCGTATTTTTCTCTCCAATCCAGACATTTTTAATATAAAAATGGGACACTTCTTCTATTTTTCTGCTGCTTATTGGCCACTAAAACAAGTTTATCTAATTGGAAATTATCAACTTATTTCAGAAGAACGACGTAAACCAATTGACACTTATTATCTGGGGAACAAGCTTATTGTGAGATTTTTTGCGGAAATAATTTGGATTTAATCCTATGTTTTTTAACATTTTTATTTTTAGTTCGAGGATTATTTTCGTTGTTATATTTTCCAAATGGATGATACTCACATGAGCAGAAATTTTGGACCAATTTCTGATTCAATGGGTTTGATTACCAGGAAAACAAAAACCGAAGAAGAAGATTGGCCCACTGAAGGGCATGGCTATGTTTGTTTTAACCCTGATTGGCAAGCCGGACGTTCATCTCAATTTATTCTTTATTCATTGGAATTAGACAGAACAGCGGTTCTAAAACTTTTATTTTTTTTCTTTATTTTGTTTTTATATTACAGAAATGTGTTACTAGTTCTTATATACAACAGAAAGAATTAAAATGGTGGCAACATCAACATAAAGATGCCCATGAACTTTGTCGATGTGATGAAATTTGGCATTTGCTTTATTCGATTAAACAAAAATCAGAAGAATTTTTTGATGAAGAAAAAAGAGAAAATTTAAAAAATACATTGAAAGTGTATCAAAATGAAACTTGTCTCAACTAAAAGATTGACATTGGGATTATTGGTGGATTTTTTTTCTTGCTTTTTTGTTGACTTACTCTGTGAGACTTCATTTGTTTAGATTATGTTAATCATTATTTTTTATATTCAATCGAATTTTTGTTTTGTATTTCCCTTCAATTTTGCACCACTCACAACACATTTTGACTTGTTAATTGTTGTGAATTTTAACAAAATGTTCTAACTTAGAGGGTATTTTTAGTGGTTAAACACAAATTGATTTCCCTTTTTATTAGAGCATTTACTGTACAATATAAATATTTCTGAATAAAGAAAGCATTTTATTCATTTTTAGACAACAATTGTTTTATAAAATTATATTTTTTTTATTATTTCTTGATTTTTTTGTTAGTAATTTTTAATTACTTTCAGTAGTATATTTATTTTTTATAATTGTTAAAACACATTCTACCATTTTCAAGGTGTTATTTAATTAATATTATCGATTTATTCTTCCCCAAAACTTAATCGATATTACTGCAGTTGTTTTTAAATATTGAAGGAATTTTAAATGTGAAAATTCCTTTTAAAAATTGTTTTTTTATTTCAGATTTGTTCTTTTTTTACAAATTTATTGTCATAAAATTAAAAATGGCTAGCGGTGATGGACAGCAGTCAAGCAGCAATCCAATGTTCAATCAGTTACTTGCATTTGCTACAGAAGCACAGGGCGATAGGCCAGCAGATCCTAGTGTTTCTCAAATGTCTGAAGAGGTTTAAAATGTTTTTTTTATTTTAAAGTATTTTTCTAGAATCGGGTTTGGTTGGAAAATGCATTAGAACACATTTCTGAAGATACCGATCCTGTCAAAAAATTAAAAAGATGGATGCAGAGATTGGAGGAAATTGAAGAACCGAATGAAAATAATTCGGCCGATATTAATGATATTTTGGATGAAATAGGTTTTTTAAAATTATTTTTGTAAATTGAGTATTTTAACAGGTGATTTGGTATGTGACATTGATTTGGCACTTATTTTTTGTAATATTGGTGGACTAGCTTTGGTGAAGAAATTTCTGGTAAATTTTTAGAAATTTTATTTCTTTGAACTTTTTGAGATAAAAGTCAGAAATCTTATTTTATGTTTCATTTAAACTCAAATTTTTCAGAAAAAATTCCGTTCGATTCAACAATCTATTGTAAATATATTTTTGTAAAGTCTACATCCTACTAATTCGATTGATTTTTTTTTAAATTGAGCTTTTAAAAAATCAAATTGCCCATCTATTGATTTAGCTGCCTAATTTTGGAATCATAATTTATATAATCTATTAAATTTTTTTTACTTTTTAAGGCAAAAGATTGTGATTTTGTTAGTGCTCCTTTTACACATTTAATTGGTGTATTGGCACAATATAATAATAAAGTACAACAATTATTTTTGAAAGAATCCTTTTTAGAAGAATGTTTAAAGATTATTGGAAATGAATCTAAAACTGTGGTTGGAATTTTTATTTCATTTTTTTTCTAAATATTTTTTAGGAATATAGACACAAAAGTGTTGGTGCCATTTCTGCTATGGTGAAAAGTTATTTGCCTGCTTTAATGTAAATTTAAAAATTATTTTCAAAATATTTTTTATTTTTTAAAGTCGTTATGTCCAGTTGGATGGCCCAGATAAATTATTTGATTGTTTTAATAAAGCTTTGGAAAATTGTGATATAAATGGAATGGATAAATTAGTACATCGTTGTGCTGTAGCTGCTGTTGCAATAAAAAATAGTTTTTCTACTGAAGGTATTTAAATTTGTTTAAATTTTAATTTAAACAAAATTAAGTTTTAAATATTGACTCAAATTTTCGAAAAATATCATTAGCGCCCGGATTGATGCGTGCAAAGATTGAAGAAAGGGGAGAAGATGATTTTAAAGAAACAATTGAATTTTTAAAAGAATAGAACTAAAAAAAGTCCTTGTTTAAATATTTTTCTGAATTTGTTAGAAAAAAATTTCTTTTTAAATAAATATTTTATTCGCGTCAATTTGTGTTGAAATTTATTATTAAAATTTTATCCATAAAATATAGCGCTTGCGATAGTTTGTGGCACAACTGGTATATTGACTAATATAAGGATTTGAATATTTTTTCTTTTATAAATATAATGACCGAAAATTGCCACTCGAGTTTAGGTAAGGATTATGTTGGTTACCTATACCTAAGTCTATTTTTCACGTTATTTCAACTTTTTTAAGTAAGTTGAAATCAACTTTCTTAAGTCAACTTTCTTAAGTAAAAAAGTCTTAAGTGAAGACAAGTTGCTATAAAAACGCAAAGAAATGTTACGAATGTTAGATTTCTCCAACTCATTCAATTCATCATGTCGCAAAGTCCAGCGGTCTCCGGCAGCACCATCGCCGCACGGGTTGGACGTCGACGACGCAAGGAGAAGGATGCGAAATATCATGAATTCCGGAGCTTTCCAACTTTTCGCGCATTCTCTGATTGGTGGGAGAAGGATGAAGGACGAAACTGGAAGGTCAACTCTCGCCAGCCACATCCACGAGGAAGTGTGGAATATTGGCGATGCAAGGCAAGATTATTTGTAAAAAACTTTTAAACAAAAAATCCAATTCCTTATCCCTTTTCAGTTCCAAATAGATGGTTGCTATGTTTGTCCTGCTCGTCTTCGAATCATCATTGGATTTGATGATAGTGTTGTCCTCTATCGTGGGTCAAATTTTTCACATCAACATGAAAGGAAAATTGTGTGTTTACAAACATTACACAAAAAATATTTTTTTGTTTTTTCAGATCAAAGATGTCGATATTATCAATCAGGCTATTCCAATGGATCCATTTGCTGAAAAGATTGGCCGTTCTTTCTTTGTGGATGCTCCTCAAATAGCGCCTGAGAATGAAAATGATTTTCAGATGCAACTTGTTCTGATGAATATTGAAGAAATAATGGTTCCAGTTAGGGAATTAACTGGGACAGATGAGGGTAATGTTCTAAATACACCACAAATGGTTGTTAGAACCCCAACACAGCCAGCTGAAGAAGAAGATGATGATGATGAAATTGAGTTTTTTGGTTCTGATGAGCTTGTAAGAAGCAAATATTGCTTTAGCGACATCTAATTTTTTTTAAATTCAGCTTCCCCGAGAAGTTCGTGCCACTGGTTTCCGTGTCACAGCATCGCAATCTTCGGTACAAACAGCTCAGGTTCAACCAACACAAACACAACAAGAAGTCCAACAACAACAACAAACTCCAAAACAAACAACCGAAGTGGTTGTGAAGGAAGTCCAAAAACCAAAAGAAGGAGAGGAACAAAAACCCAAAGAAGTAAAGGAAGCCATTGAAGTAAAGGAAGCAGTAAAAGAAGAAGTAAAGAAGTCAGGCACCACAACTTCAACTGAAGTGAAAACTCCAAAAGATGTGAAGACTGCAAAAACAAAACTTACTCCACCAAAATTTAGTGGAGCAACAAGTGGATTTGCTGTGGTAAGTTGTTGGGGAAAGTAATTTTTGTTTTTAAATTCTTTTATTTAAAAAGGCAAGACTTCATACAGCTTCCCAAACAGAGACTAGAAGAACAGTAAATGATGATCCAAGGACACAGAGTGATGAAGATATTTCAACACCGAATGTGAAGAAAACTGCAAATTTGGTGTCTTCTACTACGAAGAATGGAGTGACGAGTGGATCTGCTAATGTAAGAGAAATTTTGTAAAAAAATTTCTTTAAATTTGTTTAAATTCTAGGCTAGACCGACAACACCTCCAATATCAGAAGAAGAAAGGACAAACACTAATAGCAACAATGAAGGGAATAGTGGTAGTAATACGAGGACGGGGAATGCTTCTGGTAATTCTACAAACTCGAATGTTTCTGTTGGCTCTAATAATAATTCGAATGCTTGATAAATAAATAGAGAATAGTATGTATGTATATATTGTTTTTGTATGTATATATTATTTTTGTATGATAAAAAGATAAATAAATTTAAAAAACAAATATTTTTTAAAAATAAATAATGTGTAAACAAGAAGGCATAATCACATTTTTGAAGATAATATGTATTTTATTTACAAAATAAACACTCAACAAGGCAATGTACAATATCTAAATAAATTTTTAAAGATTAACAAAATTAATTAATTAAAAATTTTACCTAAAGAAAGGTCCTTTACAAAAAAGAGGGTCTTTAGCAATACATTCACGAGATTCAAAACCAATTACTTGCCCATCTTTGCATGGTTGACTACTTGCAAAATGCTTAAAATAATTTTAATTTTCTTAGAATTCTTTTCTTTTTTTACTTGACAAGTTCCATTCCAGGCCGACCAAATTTCTGAATTATTTTCATTTTTTATTCCAAATTGTTTTTGGTGTTTATTTAACTAAAAAAATAAAATTAAATTATTTTTTAATTAGTTAATTAACTAGTAATTCCTTTTGTTTGTCAATATTTTCTATCATTTCATGTGAAGGTGGAGGGGTAATTCCGGGAGGTTTAGGCTCTTCTTCATTATTATTTTTGTTGTTAAAATTTTCAGAAGGAGGAGGAGGAGATGGCAATAATTCTTTTGTAAAAATTAAATTAAAAAAGTACATACCGTATATACTCTATTAATTACCCCGGGTAATTATTATTTCAACCTTTCGATGGAGAGGGTAATAGAGGGGGGGGGGGTAATTACTTAAGGGAGGGTAATTAATAGAATATATACTACGGTATATCATTTCTCTTTACCATTAATTTGTTTTTCATTAATTTTTTGTTCTTCATCAATATTTGTTGGACAATAATCAACTTGCGTTAAAGACCCTCTACATTTTCTCAAATCTAAACATTTCCGTCTTCTAATTCTTCTTTCTCCAGGAATATTGCAAGGCGTCCAAGGCCCCCAAAGACTAAAATACCCTTCTGAACCTTCAAAACGTTCTTCAGCAGAATGTTCTGCTAAAGGTTCTGATAATTCTAAAGGAATAAATTCTGGCTGTTTTTGTTCTTTTATTGTTGTTGTTGAAGGAATTAATGGAGGTTTTGTTGTAGAAGGAGTGGAAGGAGGAGGGGGAGTAGAAGGAGGGGGAGAAGAATAAATTAAAGGTAATGATTGTTGGATATTATTTTTTGGAATTAATTTGTGAATTTTTGGAGGTAAAGTATTGGAAATTGTTGTTGAAGGAGGTGAAGAATGTGGAGAAAAAATAATTTTATTTAAATCTGGCTAAATTTAAATATTTTTTTTGAAATTTTTTTAAAATTTTTACTTTTGGTTGTTGATCTTTAATTAATTTTAAATGTAATCTTTTTGTTGATTCCGGCCCTTTTCTATTTAAATTTGTTGGTTTTATTAAATTATTTGACTTAGATAGTGGTAATAAATCATCGGAAGAATTTAGTAGAATTTTTTCTTGATAAGAACCGTCTGAAGCACGTTCCTAATATGTGAATTATTTTAATTATTTGTTAAAATGTTATTTATAACGAGAAAAATAATGAGAATCAGGGTTGCCGCCCGAAAAGAAAATTTTCCAACCAGAAACCCTTACCCGAAGATTTTTTGTACCCGCGGCAACCCTGATGAGGATATATTATATGAACAACTAATTAAATTTTTGGTTGTACCAATATTATCCCTTAAAACACAATATAAATAATGTGCATTTTTTTATTAAAATTAAAATTAATTAATTAATTTTACAATATTTTTAGCTCCATATTGTCTTTGTAAAGGTTGTTGTTGAATAATTAAATTATTATCATTTTGTTCTAAATTATTATTTTCTTCTTTTTGGGGTAAATAAACTTTGGGTATTAATATTTGTTGTTGTTGTTGTTGATTATTGTTCTCTTCTTCTGGTAAAACAAAAACAGAAGAAGAATTGGTTAATTTATTTTTATTTTCTGAATTCTTCTGATTATTTTCTCCTTCTTTTTGTTTTTCTGATTCTTCTTCTAATATTTTTGTTGTTTTTACAGTATTTATTTCGGGAATTAAAATACTTTAAATGAAATTAAATTAAAAATTTAAATATAATTTTACTTATTTTGTTCCTCATTTTTATTATTTTCTTGAATAAATAAATTATTTTTATTTTCTTCTGTACTAGTTAAGGGTAAAGAAGTTGTTGTAGTTAATAATGTTGGAGAAGAAGAGGACGAAGAGGAGGAAGTAGTTGAGGAGGAGGAAGTAGAAGAAGTATATATTAAATCTAAAATTAAATTTAATTAATTTATTTTTTAACTACACCTTTTGTTGTAGTTTCATCTTGTTGTATTAATGCAGATGTACTTGTTATTACGGAGTCTTGTGATTGGGCTAATTCTAATTGATGATCATTTCCTTTAATTTTTTAATGAATTTTTTAAATATAAATGTTTAAATTAAAAAAAGAATTCCGAAAATATTTATTAAGTTAATCAAGTATCTACAACTCTCACAAAAGTATTGAAAAAGTAGGAAATACGGTAATTAATAAAAGAAAAGTTCAAAAAAATGGGGGAGGGGGAATTAATATTAATTCGAATAAATATTTAGTTAACCCCCCTCCCTCCCCCCTCAATCCACTTCATTACCTTTACTGCAGGCATTATGAAAGAAAACAACTTTTTGGTCATCCTCTTCAGGTGGCTGAAAATCATCGGGAGCAGTTATTGCAGATTCCGTATTTGTAATACATTCCCCTTCCTCATAAAAATACATTGCCGACAAACAATTAAATTCTTTTTCCTTCATACATTCACTAACACATTCAGCCAATGTTGGGACTGTTGTTGTTGATTGTGCATACCCCCTCAATATATAATTATCGACTCTAATAAATTGTTTGGAGGCACATTCCATCGAAACATCTTCTGATAAACAAAACTTTTCGATTAAACGATAACCCTCCAATGATTGCCTAAATAATTCTCCGTCTGGAAATGTTGTGTGTCTAAATAAACGACATTCTTGGACTTCACTTCGATAAATGAGTAGAGAACCTTTAATTAAAATTATGTAAAATTAAATTGTAATGGGAGAGTGTTTAAATAATTTAGAGGTATTTAGGGGTTATTTAAAGATTATTTTAAAATATTTTAATTTTTGAAAATTTATAATAAAAAAATAGTAATTTTATTTTTTATTAAAAAGCAAAAGATTATTTTTAACAAATCTAAATTAAACCAAATTTTTCTAAATTTAAAAACTAACAAAGTAATGTCCGTCCATTTTGATCTCTATTATTTTTACAAAATTCAATACATTGCTGTTCATTAACGCCTCTAATTATTGAGGAAGGTTTTATATTCTCTTGGATATTTATATTATCTAAATAGATAAATATTTAATTTAAAATTAAAGATTATGTAGATTACCGCTAACAAAGAAAGCACTTGCTGAACCCTCACATAATGCTGAAAAATTAATAAATTTAAATGTATTATTTTTCAATAGTGTTATCAACTAATTCCTAAAACCGTAATACATTTAGGAATTTGAAATTAAAAAAACAATAGTCTCCAAAACCAAAAAAAATATTAAAAATAAAATTCTGTGTTTGTTAAATTCGTTAATTATTCGAGATATGTAGATAGTAAATATTTTGAAAAATTTTTTATTTTCAACCTACCAACTTCTACAGGCGATTTTGAATAATTACTCGATTTATTTTCATTTTTTGTTTGAAATAAATTTTTGTCATCAGCAAAAGTAAAATTTAAAAGAAATAAAAAAAGAAGGAAAAGAAAAGGTAATAATTGTAGTAGTAGTAAGTTTTTAATAATCATTTTATTCAAAAAAAACTTTTTAAAATTTAAATAAAAATATTAAATTTAATAAAAAGAGAAAGGTTTGTTTTGTATTTTATACAAAGAAAAGTTTTTTGTTTAAATTCGGGAAGCTTTTTAGTACTTGAAAAAAGGGAAAAAGAATAAATAAATAATAGGGTCATCATTTTCTTTTCTTCGGTAAATATCTACTTACTATATCCTTTTTTGTAATTTAATTTCGAGATTAAATTTTTTTAGTTTTTAAGTAAAAATTATTTAAAAATAAAATTAATTAATTAATTAAACTACTTAAATGAAATACGGATTTAATATCCGAAGTGATTTCTGTTACATCCCACAATATACATATTAGTTAATTGTATAAAACTAATTAATAACAAATATTTTTTAAATTTAAAAATATATCTTATCCAATTTTTAATAATATTTTCTTTTAATTTTATTTTCCTTTTTTTACACGTTCCTAAATAAATTAAAGGAATAACTGTTTTCTGATTCTAAATTTATTTTAATAATAAATTCTTTCAATTTTTTTCTACTTATTTACAAAAAAACCTTTTTTTAACTAAATAAATATTTAATATTTATTCAATTTTTTTTATTTAAATTAGAAGAAGAGGAAAGGAAGGAGGGAAGAGGAAATTAGGAATTAGAAACAATAAATATCAAAAATAAATTTAAAAATTTATTTTAATTAATTTTTATTTTTAAAAAGAAAAGTGAAAGTGGATTAGTATATTATTTAATTTAAAAAAATATTTATTTATTTAATCAAAAACTAAATAAAAGGTAAAAATATATTTATGTTTTCATTTATTAAAATATCGCCGTAAGTTAATTTCCGTAATTTTTCATTTCTCACATTAAAAATAAAGAAAATCCGGGTCGTTTATTTATTTTTACGTAGAAAAAAATAAAAAAAAAGAAAGGTAGGTAATCCTATTTTTGAACTGGTTTTTAGCTTTTTTTTAAATATAAAAATTTATTTGAAAAAAAAGGAAAAGCTGAGAGAGATTTTGGGAAATTAAAAGAATTAAAATTAAAAATAGTTAATTTTTCTGGAAATTAATGAATATTTAAATAAAATTGAATGAGGCAAGAAGTAATTGAAGAATAAAATAATTGAATTTAAAAATCCTCCGGGTCTTTTATTTATTATAAAATTTTAAGTTACATATTAATAATTAAAAAAATATATTTTTTATTTTATCTCTTTCCTTTCCTTTGGACAATCAACAGTTATACTAATTTAGGCATATTATAGCCATAATAACATTGCTGATGGACCAAAGAAAATTTGAGAGAAATTTAAAAAAAAATTAAATAATTAATTGATTAAATACTTTTTTTTTAATTTAAAACAATACATTTTTTATATTTTCCAAAAAAAAATATTTTTTTCATTTTTTTCTGTTTTAGGCAAATGATTGATTTTAAAATAAAGAAACGACTGGAAGAATTAATACAAAAAAAACAAATAAAAAGAAAATGGCCCTTTAAAGGATGAATAAATATTTTTAGAAAAAAGGCCTTAAAAATATATATTTCTTTTAATTTATGCGCTAAAGTTAAATAAAAGAAAGGGAGAAGTAACGCCTCTTTTTTACTAAAACAAAAATTTGTAGGATTGATGGGGACAAAAATCTTTTAGGCACGAGCGCAACAAAAATAAAAAGAATGGGTGGGTGGGCAGTATTTAATATAAAATAATTATTTAAAATTTAAAATTAAAATGAGTTAATAGGAGGGATTTAATTAAATTTTGGGGATAAAATTTGAAAAGAAATATTTTGTTTAAATTTGTAATTTCCAAAGGCTCTAAACTTTTCGAATTTTCTTTCCATACAAAGAAATTCCTCGATATTTATAGCCCTTGATCAGTGATAGGTAACATTTAATACGAGTTGCAAGCTTAATTTTAAATATTAAAGTAGAAAGAAAACAAGGGAAGTTTGTGAAGAGATAACCAAAAAATTTAATTAAAATTAAAGATTGTCTTGTTAATTTAAATTTAACAAAAAAATTATTTCCAATAATTAAATATTTTAGTTATAAATAGTATAATATTATTATTTTTTACTATTTTTTTTTTAATTTGCAACATTAATTTACTTTTATTTTTTAAACAAAAATATTTTTATTTACATTCTTTTAAACAATTTTAGCATTTAACTTTAAAAAATCCTTTTTTTCTTTCATTTATTTGGTCAAAAAGTCTTTGCAGATGTCCAACAACTTTTAGCTTTTCTTTTTTTTTAAATTTCTACACTGATCTAAATCTACAAATATATACACAAACTTTTCTTTATTTTTTTAAAATTCTTTTCTTGGCCGTTTTTTGTATATATTTTAAATTAAAAAAAAAACTTTTCTTTTCTCCTTGTTGCTTTTTATTATTAAGAAAGCGGGGGGGTTATCGTATTAATAAATCTAAAAGAAAGATTATCTACTAACATATTTGTTCTTAATATCTTTTTTTGACAACATTATTTGGAATAAATAAATATAAAAAATAAATTAATGTATTAAGGAGATAAATTAAGAAATATTTTCATGTTTTTAAGATCAAATTTTTACGTTTTAATGCTTAAAGGACTCCGGAGGGATAAAATAAAAATAATTTTTTGACTACAAAAAATTCCTCCTGTGGCACTAGAAAAGAGTATTATGGCTATATTAAATGTTTTTAATTTTGATGACCATAGAAGGAAATTTTTAATTACATCTCGAATAACAATTGGTACGAGAAGAGTAACTATCTCCCACAAGTCCGCAATTGTTTTTTCTTTACCTTCCCTCTTATTCCTCTCATAAAGATTAAAAATGATTGGCAGACAAAATGTTAAAATTTCTAAGTATGGAAATAAAAACTAGGGTTCGCTAACCGTTATCCGGGTCAGAGTTTTAAGATCAAGAGTTGACAAGATTTGAACCATATTTAAGGTTATCGGTTTCAATCAACCAAACCGATATTTCGGTTTGGTTAATTATTTCAGTAACTTAAGGATTCGGTTTTTTCAAAATTTCTAATAAAAACACAAAAAGTTTTCAAAAAATTTTACTTTTTTAATCTTTACTGCAATATTAAAACAAACAAATAGATTAAATGAGAACAGAAATGTCCAAGACATTTTAATTTAAACTTTTAATTTATCAACAAAAGAATATTGAGAAAATCTGAACATTTCTGTTAAAACCTACATTTACTTTTAAATTAATTTGTTTTTCTCTTTTCTATTTTCAACACTCATCGGTATGTTCGATAAGGTTTGTCATGATTACCCCAATATTCTGGATCAGGCGCATCATCTGGTGGAATACCCAATTCTTCGTCTGTATATTCATATGGATAAGGAATATATTCGTGTCCCTAAAAAATTAAAGTTTTTAAATTAAACAATTTCCCGTTCAAATATTCCCACATTTAATTATTACAATCATTAAAATTTTCAGAATTAATTAAAGCAAAACTTTTTTTCCAAAAAAAATAATTTTCCAATTTTTAATTAAAGTTATATTTAAATATTAAACATACAAGTAGCATAGAATGATTCCAATAAAGATGATATAATAACCAAGCCCTTAAAAAGATTATTTTTAACAAAACTTTAAAAAAATAAATTTCACTTTTTCTTAAACTTTTCAAATATTTAAAGTAAACAAAAATATCAAATTTATGACAACCCCAAAAATTTCTTTTACAATTTTAAAAATAAATAAAAAGCAAACCACATTAAAGAAGCAACAATTTTAGAAGCAAATCGATCCAAAAAAGGAGGTTTGTAAATATTTTCGTCTCGATAATTAAATCTTTAAAAATTAAAAAAATAAATTTAAAAAATAAATAAATAACTCAGGAAAATCTTTAGGATTTTCACCAAAACGAGGAGAACATTTATAATATTTATCCATTGTGCCCCACAATTCGGGATCATCTTAAAAATTAAAATTTCTTTTTTTTTAATTTAAAGAATTTAGAAAATAATTTTTGGTTACTCAAAGTCTACAAATTACAGATTTATCAGCAATTTTAATTAAAAAATTTTTATATGTTAATTAGACTCGTTGGTAATACCAAGACTGGTATTATTGTACATAATAGTCAATTTTTCCTTTTCAATTTCACCCTATTTCCCTGTGAAAAATTGAAATCAAATTTTAAAAATTTAGAACAAGTGAAAAATTTGCGACTTAATGAATAACCCCAATTAAGCGACGATTTCGATGTATGGCTGGAGCTTGGACGTGAGTGAAATTGGGGAAGGAATAAAGATTAACCATAAAGTATATACAATTACCCCCCTATTTTCTCTCAAAATCAAAATTATTTTATCGCCAAATAAACTAACCTTGATGTCCAATTTGTAATTTTCTCATAGGAAATTCTGGACCTTCTGGATTTTTTTCCCATCGAAATTTTACTTTATTAGCTTTTTTATATTTCTCATAATCTTCTTTATCCTTTAATTATTAAAATTAAAAAAATTAAACATTTTTTTTAAATTTAGACCTTTGTAAAATAATGATAGAAAAGTTGACGTTTTGATAAAATTTGAGAGGAAAATGCAGGTTTCCATATTAATAAATTTTGGGAATTTTTAAATGGCGGTAGAATTACACAACTTTTTATACGATTCATTTATCTAAAATTAATTAAATGTAAAATTAAAAAATAAATAAAAATTAGAAATATTATTTAAGACTCTAATTGACTTTTTGGAAAATAAATACATTTGGCCAAGAAAAAAAAATTAAAAATGCCAAAAATAAATATAATTTTTGACTACGGTAATGACTGGCATTAAACAGAAAATTCTCCGAAAATGGATTGGGAATTTGGATTTATTACTATACTTTTCATTCGAGACCTACGGACATTTAGTCCTAGTTAGCTTATCCTATTATGAGTTGTGTCCTTATAGTTGGATCAAAAAACTTTCGGTCAAACACACAGATTTTTGTATTAACTTGATTTTTGTATCAAAATTAGCTTTAAAATCAGGCTAATTTATGTCCAAAAATTTTTGTTTGAAATTCGAAGGGAAATAATCAAACAGCATTTTTATCAAGATTATATCTATTAAAAACAACCCACACTTTATATTTACATATATCTTCAATATATTTAACAATAATATTTACATTATATACACATATTATCACAATTTTTGGGGGAAAACATAGAGAATATATTCACACATAATTGCCAAGATATTATTATTCATTCATCTTCAACCTTGCCTATATCAATTGAACAGGAATCTTGATGATTTTGTGATCCTTCACGTCAACAATCTTAAAGATGGCAGGAATTCCTCCATCAGGCAATGGCCCTTCAGTCATCTAAAAATATTTTTAAAAAATATTTTTTTGTATATCTCACCGGTGCAGCAACAACTTCGATTAGGTCAGATTTGGGTGCAGAAGGCATTCTTATTATTTGCACAAGTGATTTCCCTCCTGGCTCTATTGTTCGGAAGACGGGTATCACTCGGTATATATTTGCATCGGTACTTTTGATCTAAAAAAATAATTTTGACAAAAAATATTCCAAAGTTTTCTCACTTTGATTGCAGCTGGAACATCACTTTCATTGATCAATTCAACGGATGCCTGCTGCTCGACATTGTATTTGACATTGCTGTAGTTGATTTCTTCTGGTACGGCCTTGACAACTAAAAACCAAAAAGAATTCCCTACATTTTCAATATTTTTCCTACCAAATTCGCCAGGTTTAAATTTCTTGTCGAATTCACCCATTTTGCTCTGCAGAGATGGAGGTGGTTTATCAAGAAAAGAATCTCCTCCAGTCGTTGTAGTTCCTTTCTTTGATCCTTTGCGGTCCTTACCCGACTGAAGCAATTCATCGGTAGGAACCTCCATGACCTTCGCACTTTCCAAGTCTAAACTTTTAAAATTAATAAAGAAATGTTTATTAAATATACCGTCATGTTCCCCACTTTCCAATGATTTTGGAACATCCCGTCGCATAACCGTTTGGTCTCCGAGCTGTTTTTTTGACTTTTTCTTCTTAACACTTTGCATTGATGACGGTGGTTTAAGATTCTCCGTCGTGTCCCATGCAAGTTTGGTCTTCTTCTTGCCCTTTTGTCTTTTACCGGGGTTTCTAGGGCTATTCTTCTCATCCATATTAGGGGCTGATGGAATTTTTCCTGGAGTGCTGCCGTCTAGTGGAGAAGCTGCGCCTTTGGCTGGAGTCGTTGGCGGAACTGTAGGTTTGGCAGGTTTTGGTGGTGGAGGTAATTTCAGAATATCTTCTTTACTCCTTGTTGGATCCTTCCTTTCTTTTGGATCTTTCTTTTCCTTCCAATCTTTCACTTCTAATACATACGTAGGAAGAGTAGCGTTGGTATTCTTCTTTTTGGAACATCCAACGAGCAGAAGCGACCCACATAATGTTCCGACTGTAGCCGCAAAGGAAACAGCTGATATAAGCACTTGAAGCAGATGAAGAACAATCATTGTCAAGTGAAGCTGTTAAATTAATTAATCATTTAAAGTAAAAGATAAGACCGAAACTTACTTAGCCAAAATAGGAGCGAAACAATTGACGGAGAATGGAGAATATGATAGCTTTAATTTGAAGTCCTTTCTTTTATAGACAAGACTTACCTATGCAATTATTTTCAGAAAAAACATCAAAAACTTAAAATATTTAGAATTGTTTCCATAAATTATTTTATCTTTCATTCTCCATTTGACCACAGAATAATAATAAGTCGGTGATCCCTGAATGGTGATTTGGATAATGGGGATTTTTGATGACATATTTTAGATAATGGAGATATTTATGATAACCTCAACCTTGTTCTTGTAACTCATTCTCGACTTATCAGTAATGCTTTTCCAGGTCTAAAAAAGGGTAATTTCCTAAATAATATGCATGTTATATACAAAGGTTATTAAAAGCCAAAATGAGTCAAAATTTTGAACAAAAAATGTGACAACTTGAAAAAAATTTTATCTTAAAAGCTACCTATCTGTTTATTTTGAAATTATCTCATCGAATGTAATTCGCAAAAGTAGTTTTCTAATAATAAACTTTCTAATAATAAATTCCACCCCTATTAAAAATTCAAGTTTTCTAGTTAAAATCTGTTTCACATTTGCCATGAATTATTGCAAGCCATTGACCAAAAGGACAAAATGCTGTAGTATTAGCTCAAAAATGGCAATTTATTTTTCACTTTAAACTCCACAGAAGTTCATACAGGAAAAGGAAATAAGTAAAATAAGGAAATTTAAAGAGGAAGTATATTTATTGCAATCCTCCCTCCTCTTTATTTTCGTTTATTTTAGAGTCAGTCGGCAATTTATTTATTATTATCAACCAGCAGCGAAAGTCATTTTGGTGTTGGGTGATTATTAACTTTTTTAGTTTTAGAATTTTCCTTAAATAAAAATTTTATTTTTACATGTTCTTTTCATAATATAATTTTTCTTTTGAGTAAAATATTATCAAGACAAGTCGTAATTCTAAGAATTTATCCTCATACTTTTCTAACTCGTTCTGAAAAAATACTTAAAGACAAAAACAAAATTCTTTTATAAATATAACCCAAATTTTAATCTCACTCATTTTTGCGATTAAGAATTATTATGTAGAAAAAGCCGGCTGATAGTGAAAATTATTGACTTTTACAACTTTTATAAAGCGAAAATTAAATTATGATAGTTTTCTACATCGTAACTTTACCAGGATACAGAGATTTAAAAAAAAGGTGTATTAGAATTTGGACCACATTATTTTACTAAATTTATAAAATATCCAAAAGAATACCCAAAAACCAACAGAAAGCCTTTTTTTAACAATGTGTGTCTATTTAGTAAATATAATGTAAATACATATATTTTTATATTCATATAATCATTTTTTCCATCTAGCAAATATATGGAGGGTGCAGTAGGTGGAAAAATTGGTTGTTATATCGAAGTGGTCGGTTGGACTTATATAATATGTTTGAGGGGGAAGAGGTCTGGCCCGGCTGGTAGTGAAAATTATTGACTGACTGCAAATGTTTTGTGATGGAGTTGACATGGGGGAAGGGGGGGAGGAGGGGAGAAGGGGTTGGGGAGAAGGAACGAACAATAGAACCGGTAGTACTTGGACAAGGGGAAAAGAGGAGGAGGAGAAGGGAGATTTTCAATCGCAAGAAAAAGACAAGTTGGAACCATAGAAAATTGGGAAAAAAATTATTTTAATAGTAAATCAAATTGAATAAAAAAAGTATCCAGCCAACAAAAACTTTTTTGAGTAAAAATTACTTTTTCCGTCCAACAGATTTTGGGAAGAATAAATGATTCTGTGATATAGTACATATTAAACTTTATCAGAGTTTTGTTATTTTTACTTTAGATATAGAGGAGAGGAATTGGCTAAATTCTGATTTTTTCAAATCCCTCTCAATAACCGCTACCCAAAAAACAAACTTTCCTCCCACAAATACCTAAATTTTAGATTCCACAAAAAATTGACAATTTTTAAAGTTTTTTTTCTTATTTTCTTATAAACTAATTCATCCACATTTATCATTTTTATAAGCACCAACCATCCTTTACCGGTAAGCCCAAAAGACAGAAAAATATAAGACTAAAGAAGAAAGCTTTCTATTTTCAACCACAAAATAAGAGTTGAAAAAGCATTACTACTTCTACTCCACTACACTACCCCCCCCCCCCCATTCTCTCCCATTATTTTTCTACTACCACTATACTACTTTGTCTCTCCCTTCCCCTATTTTTCCTTTCTCAATTTTCTTTTAACTAAAAAAAAGAAAAATATATTTTTATAATACTCACACCCCCCCCTCCTCCCCCTCCCCTTTCCCCCTCCATCATCTTCGTCTTTACAATTTCTTCCCTTATAATTTTTTATTTTTATAAACACTGGATACCTATTGATTGATTACTTTTTGTAATTATTTTATATACCAAAAATCAGTTCCCTCAAATCCAAAAATTAAATCCTCTAATCTCTCTCAACTCTATTTTTAGCAACTTTTAAGTGAAGGATTTATTAAAATCTCTTCCAATAATTTTTAGTTTTTTAATAGGCAATTTAGTGTTTAGTCTTCTAAAAAAAATTTTTTTTAATTTGTTTTTGGAATGAAGCCAATTAAAGACAAAAAAAATTTAAAAATAAAATTATTAGCGTTTTTTTTATTCATTTAATGTACCTTTTTAAAATAAAGAGCCAAAAAGAGATAAGGATTCGACTAATTTCCCATTCAATTTTATCAGTTTTATAATAAAATAATAAAAAAATTGTCTTGGAATTTATATGTTTTTATATTAATTTAACTATATTTATTTAAAATAAGAAGCTTTAAAGAGAAAGCATTTACATTTAAATGAAAATTTTTAAATAAAATACGTCTTTTTAATATGTAGAGCTGTTAAATTATAAAAATTTTAAATTAAAAAAGATTCTTTTAATATTTCCTTTTAAAAGTGGAGACTTTTAAATAATTTTTAGTTAATTTTAGAGTAAAAAATGATGAAAAAATGAATTTTTATTTTACTAGATAGGGGTAAAACTCGGTACTTATTTACCCCCCCCCTCCCCCGTCAGTTTTTCCGTAGATATGTAAAAAATGGTCAGTCAGTCATAGGTTATAGAACTCGCCTGTGTTGGCCAAACATTAAGAATGGGGGTTGATTTTGGTGTCATTCAACACAGCTCGACGAATTCTGTAACTGACTGACCATTTTTTACATATATATCGAAAAAAATGACTGGAGGAGTACCGTATTTTCTCCAAAACGTCCTGTAGAGCCGGTCTCCATAAGCACATATCCCCCCTTAAATCTTTTTGAAAAATAAAATTAAAAAATTAAAATTTTCTGTAAGTAAAAATAAAATTTTTGGTATGATTTTTGATCATTTAAAAATAACTTGGACAACTGTTTAAAAGTAATCTTCTCCCAGACTATTTAATAAAAAAAATCTTCCAAAAATGAAAAATAAATTCTTTTATTTATTACTTTTTTTGATGAAATGAAATTTTAGAATGTGAAATTTTGTTAAATAAAAAATAAATAAAAATATTTATTTTGGTAAACAAATAAATAAATAAATTTTCTTTTTTTTTCGAAATTCTTTTCATTTTCTTTTATTTACAAACAAATTTTTTAAAAATAATAAATAATATTTTTAGGATTAAAGCGGGGAAAAAGTGCCATGTCTAAAGAATTCCAGCAACGGGAAAAAGAAAAAGGAGAACGGGAAAAGAATGAATCACAACAACAACAACAAACAATAACCTCATCATCATCATTTGTTGAACAACAAATAAATTTCTCAACAAAAATGACAACAACAACAACACCAATTATTGCTAGTGAAAATGAAGAAAGTTTAATAACAACAACAGTTATAAATACTTCTACAACAATTACGGGTTTACAACAACCTTTAAATCAAATACTTCAACACAAAAAAAGTTTAAGTAACAGTAATAATTCTACCTCATTTTCAATGATTAGTTCACGAATTGATGATGAAGGTTTCTCTTTGTTAAAAAAGGATTTTTTTCAAATTTTGGTAATACCAAAGCCGGTCATCCCTTTTTTATGTTTCCCTGACCATTTTGAGCTTTTTTGCTTGACATCATCCTTGGTATTACTTTTATTTTTTTAGATCCAATTTTTGCTTTGGATGAAGAAGTTAATGCAAAAGAAGGGGAAAGGGCACGTCATTATACGGCTGATTTTGATCCGACAATATCTGATGATGATGGTTTTTAATATTTAAAGGGTTTTGTTTATAATTTATTTTAATAGAATTTCCAAGAGAAATGGAGAGTTTACATGGAGGGCGTGCTTATTCTGCATCAAATCGTTTTCCATCTAGAATGCGAAATACGGGACGTTCAGGTTTATTTCTTACTATTAATGTAATTAAATTGAATTGGGTTTCTAAATGGATTTTAAAGGGAAAGGAATTTGAATAATAAGATTTTTGAAACTTTTTTAGGAGTTTTTCCCAAGTTTCTTTCCTTAAAATCAATATGGGGTAGGATTTCCGTTTCCCTCTGTTGTTTATTCATTTCGTATTTTAAGGTCCACTTTCAAATATTCTTCATAAAGTGCATGGACAATTTGATAGCGGGGGCATTTCAGTAGTTCCAGCTTCTTTGCCCATCCAAATCAGTCGCGGTTTTAATTGGCCTTCTCACGATTTGGTTGGAAGTTTAAGCGAGGAAGAAGATGGGATTACAAAAATGGAAAAGGCGAGAGCAGCTGAAACTTTGGCTGCCGTTCTTTCAAATGGAATTAATGAGAGTGAACAAAAGGTTTGTAATGATTTTAATTTTAATTTATTTTTTAATTTAAAAATTTAGAAGGAAACGAAAATTTTGGGACAATTTGATGGAAGCAAGCTGACACAGCAAAATGGGTCGGAACAAGAAGAAACGGAAATTGAGAATTTATATGGTCGTATTCAGGCTTATTCTCGTTCTATCCAACCGGAAGATGATCCCGTTAGTAATCTATTGAGCATCATACTTCTAATTATTATTTTTAAGGAACGCATTTTTGGCGAGCGTCCTCATCGTCGTTACTCGTTAGCCGCAAAATTTGGTACGGATGCTGATTTACCTCCTCCCTCAACAGAGGAAGAAGATAGCGGGGGAGAAAACATTCCACCGATAACAACGACTGATACTCTTTCTAGCCATCGCAATCCTCATCAACAACAACTGACAACGATTACCTCAACTGACAACAATCAGGCAATGATCTCAAACATTATGACGCCGATTGCTTCTTCACATACTGTCATTCCCCAGATGACTATTGTTAGTGGAGGGGGAATGCCTAATGTGATAGTGCCAACTAGTATGAGTGACTGTTTGTAAAGAAATTTAGTTATTTTAAATGTAAGCAAATACTTATGTGGTAGGTATCACGACTTTTGCGCCGAGAACATTTGCGCCGCGACTTATGCGCCGCGACTTTTGCGCCGGGCGACTTTTGCGCCGCGACCCTTGCGCCGCGACTTTTGCGCCGGGCGACTTATGCGCCGCGACATTTGCGCCGCCATTGTTTAAGAAATCCGGATCCGAAAAATGCCGGATATCCGAAATTTTCAGTTTGGATATCGGATCCGGATATTCGAAGATTTTCAACTATCCGACAACACTACTAAAGTGAGGTCCGGCTGTAGTTATCTATATATTTTTAATGATAGTGGCGGCGCAAAAGTCGCCCGGCGCAAAAGTCGCGGCGCAAATGTTCCCCGGCGCAAAAGTCGCTCGGCGCATAAGTCGCGGCGCAAAAGTCGCGGCGCAAGTGTCGCGGCGCAAATGTTCTCGGCGCAAAAGTCACGGAACCATGTGGTAAGAGAATGAATGATAAATATGTAAGAAACTAATTTGTAAGTTGGATAATTCTGGCAAGGGAACATCGTTTACTGTCAGTGCAAATTTAATCATTTTTTTGGTACCATTCGATAGAGGACCCTCGACTTACTATAGTGGAATGATCCGTCTTTTTTGCAAAATGACTGGGCCGAGTTATGGCCGTTCAAAGTTTCAGTCCTTGGGTACGGGGTGCTACGTATATATTAAATCCAATTGAATCTCTTTCTTTAAAACTCGATTCTTTTAATGAATCAAAGAAGAATGTTACGGGTATTTTTAGTGGAGGGAAGGGGATGCAATAATTATGTTTTTTCAATTATATTTATTTTTTTAGGCCGCGCATCTTTGAAACAAAAACAGTAAATTGATGAAAATTGTATACATTAGTATAACAAAAAAATATTAGAAAAAAGATGCTAGATGTTTGAAACATTTTCAAAGACGTTTAAAAATACATTCATCCTTTGGTTTCATTCGTCCAAATTTTGTTTGGGAGCTTCCTTCCTCTTTCCAAATCAATTTTAAAACACCTCATTTATTATTATTTTATTATTATTTTACATCATCTCGTGATTAATTTGTGGTGACTTTTTGTTTTATTTTCATTTAAACTCATTATTGCTATTTTAGTAGTCAAGATAAAAAGATCTGAACATTTTTAATTTATGTTAAAATGGTATTTTCCATAATTTAGGGTCTACATTTTGGGCTCTTGTCCAGTTTATGCGTCCCATGAAAGTATATGCGTCCCATCAACAAAAAATTGAATATTTCTTGGTGTTGCATCGTAGGGGTATGGTTCCAAAGCATTTCTTCATGTTCGGGATCTACGTCCACTGGGTCTGGGACCGTTCCTTACCCTATCCTTCGAAATTTCTGAAAGTTAAAATCGTTTTTCTGAAATTTTTAAAAATTGGCTATAACTTTCAGAAATTTCGAAGGATAGGGTAAGGAACGGTCCCAGACCCAGTGGACGTAGATCCCGAACATGAAGAAATGCTTTGGAACCATACCCTACTTTGCAACACCAAGAAATATTCAATTTTTTGTTGATGGGACGCATATACTTTCATGGGACGCATAAACTGGACAAGAGCCACATTTTGTACCTGAGATCACTTGTGTAAACAAAATTAACTCGTTAGTATTTTTCGTCAGAAATCTGCTATGATAAATTACTGAGAATTTCATACACTAGGGATGGGCTACGTCTTCCGCATAATTCCGCCATTTTTGCCCCTCTTCTGCTTCATTGAGATCCCAGTAAAAAACGACAAACAATAATTTCACACTATAAAAGCCGTCTAATCGTCACATTCCATACGCTAAAGTTCAGAATTTGCTGTCCGAGAAGCATCCTTCGCCTGATTGCTAGGTTCGTTTAGATTTTAGGTTACATTGCTGTTAATTATAAATTTAGGAAAAACCGCTATGGCAGCCGGTAGGGATTTTAGAGTTGATGCAGTTTTAGCAAAGTGCGATGAATGTGGAGCGCCGCTGTTGGGACAATGTGTCTTTGTGGAGGGGAGACGAGTGCACAGAGCCTGTTTCAAATGCGCAGGATGCGGGGTAAATTTCGTTTAAATTGTTTAAAACCTTTTTATCATTTTTAGATTGGGATTCCTTGTGATGAGCGCAACGGAGAACAATTCATACGCTATTACGTGATAAATGGAAAGATTTACGGACCTAATTGCTATGTGAAGAGGCTGAGATGAAAAGATGTTCAAGAATCTGAAAGATCTCCCCTTGTAATATATAAATTTATTCTCCATTTCTATTTATTTCTGATGTAAAAATAAAATGCTTTATGGACATGCTTGGGTATGGACTGAAGTGTCTTTTACATGTTAGACCAAAGTTACTATTTTGAATCTATTCTATAAGTATAATGTAAACTATAAAAATCGACTTGTTTATCACCGTTCTGACATGAGTATCATTTCCCAGTCTGTTAGATAAGTTCAGTTCATTTTTTGTTCATCGTTAGACGGGAATTTTGTTCGTTGATCTTTTTGCTTTGTATTTGGCTCACTTTTTAGTAAATAAGTTGCCACAATTACGAACAACATAGCAAAATGCAACCAAAAGTACCTGACATGAGATTAATAACTAATTTAAAGAATTTTAGGCATACATTCTTCCCCAAAGTCTTAAAGTATCCCAACCATCAAGAAGTAGGAAGCCAGCAGCCATAAATTCAAATCCGCGCGTCCGGATAAAACTCCACCTTGAAAGGGTAAAAATTGAGGGAAAAAATACATAAAAGGCAACTCACGAAATTTGTAATAATTTAGTTCTATTCTCTATAGTAAATGTATTGAATAATTTATCTTCTGCGGCTGTACAAAGAGGAATGGTTAAGAATGAGAGAAAATATCCAGGATGGATTCCGTGCCAAAAGGAACTAACTAACATAGTGTAGAACATTCTACATTTAAAAATTTTAATAATTATGCTTATTTAAGTACCTAATTGATCTATCGCTTCGTCTATATACAAAATTGGCAAGCCAGAACTGAACTGTTCTATTCCACGCGCGCATTCCTGAACGAAAACCATCACTATGTTCTACATTAGGAATATCCAGGTTATTAATGGTTTCAGAATCGAATTCAATGGACACATCATTCCAATCGATATCCCTAAAATCTCAAATTTTTAGAATGATTATTATTTATTAGGAACTGGAATGAGTATCTTTCCGATTACTTTAAAAGACGTCACATTATATGCTACAAAGTCTACACATACTAAATCTCAAAAATTTTTACCCTACCATATAAAAATATCAAACTCGCTGCCCACATTGAATTTTTGAGACTGTCATCGCTCTTCTCCTTCCTATTTCTTCATGTCCTAGCAGCTCTCATGTAGGCCGATTGATCCCCATGAGGCGGTGTGTTGCTCTGATCTCCTGATTGTTGAGCTTGTTGAGAAGAGTTGTAATTGACGAAGTTGATGCGGACTGAGTGAAAGATTTGTTTTTATACTTGGGTCCACCGTGTATGAACACTAATTTACTATAAAAACGCAACTTTTCACTCATTTCCAAACAGTTCGTCAGCACAACTACAGTCAACTACAACTCTTCTCAACCAGCTCGAGTTCAACAATCGTCATGGGAGATCAGAGCGCCTACATGCCTTCGCCAGGGACCATGCCCAAGAAGTCCGGTGGTGGTGGTGGCTATGGTGGTGGTGGTGGAGCGGTACGTTTTAATATTTCTATTTTAACAATCTTATTAATCATCAACAATCTTCTTTTATTTTCAGCCTGTTCGTGGCGGCAGCTACCAGTTCGAGTTCGAGGCAGGCTCAGCACCTCCGTCTGGCAACAATGCGCCGCCACCGCCTCGTGGAGACCAGTCGGCCTACATGTGAGCTGCTAGGACGAGGAAAGCTGCGAGACAGGAACCTGAAGAAATAGGAAGGAGAAGAGCGATGACACCATAAGATTCAATGTGGACAAATCTTGATAATACCCACTCCTATTCCCATAAATGTATGTATATATTGCTAATGCTTTGTTTGTTTCCCTCTAAACCTGTTAGTTAATATGTAATTATTTGCCTTTGTGTATTGTCATTAGTCTTGAAATAAATTATTGTAAATTAATTTTTAATTGTCATTTTATAGTCCAGTTTTTAAAGGTACAAATCTCACTCAATATACTAATCTGAGGTCTGATTTTGAACACAATACTTACAAGTAGTTAACGAAGTACTGATCTTAAAATCCGAAAAACCTAGTGAAAAACCTATATCATATAGACATTTTAACATTAATCTAAAGGTATAACATAGAAGTATCCAAATGTGCTTTATTACACACTCATAAAGTTGAGAATATTAACAGCTGTGCCCTTATGCTAAACTCGGGCCACTGAAAGAATATACAAAAAATGTCTTCAATTTAGCTGATTAAAAATTCAACACATACATAATTTTTTGCATTTCCGTCGGTCCATTACCCGGTGTTGATTTTCCTTCTTTTGGATAAAGTCCAATACCAGTTAATAAACAAATTGATTCAGCAACCATCCAAGCACTATATATTCGCATTCTGAGATATAAAAATGCAAGTGCACACCAAACAAAATCATAAAAAAGTCCCAAAAGAGAAGCAGTACGTTCACCACGAAGAACCTTTAATAAGAACAAATAATTCTCTCATATAAAACTAAACTACCAACATTCACAGGGTCTAGCCATGTTAGGAAAATTAATGAGGGCAATGACCAACTCAAGGTTTTCATTTTTCCTGTTAACAATGGTTTAAGTTTACTCCATACAAGTGGCCTTTTCCATTTTGTTAAAGCATCCGAATAAGTGCGATAAGTAAAATAAGGACCTAAAATAAAATTAAAAAATATTTTAGAAAAATTAAAAACCTGTAAAAAGGCCTGTAAAATTATAAAAATAATTAAAAGCTTCAAATGTTGAAGGCTCTTTTTCAATAAAATATTCAATCTTTTTATTGTCAGACTTTTTTGATAATCGAAAATCAGCAATTTCATAACTTAATCCGATTACCTAAAAATGAAACAAAGCTATTTAAAAAATTAAAAAAAACCCTTAAAGTAAGAATAAGTTGGATGGCATTTGTAACAAATTCAAGCCTTGGAAGACCAACAAAATGTATCAAACGAAGAATGGCTAAGAAAACAAAAGTTCCGTAGAAAGACAAATTTGTTAAAATTCTGTGAAATATCTAGTTTAATTAATTGTAAAGTGAATAGGTTTTTGATAATATCCAAACATTATTTAAAATATATTTTTTTGAATTGGTTATGAAAGGAAAAACAATTTGAAAGAAAAGTTTTAAAGGTATTTTTCGATAATTTAAAAAATAAAAACCTCGGATTTCTAATAAATCGGAACATAACTAAATGTACAACAACAACAATTAAAGAGCAAAACAACATTCTCCCCGCTACAAAAAGCGTAATTCCAAATCCAATAAAACCATCCAGTTTTCGTCGAGTACCAAATGATCCAAAATATCTGAGTAAAAAAGCCAAAATGGAAGAAAATAAAAGGAGAAATCCATAGAAGAGATCGCCCTAAAATTTGAGTAAAATTAAAGCACTTTTATTATACAAAACCTTAGCATGATAAAAGAAGTCGGTGATTTGTTGCATATTTTAGTTTATAAAAATATACAAAAATGATTAAATTGGTTGTTTAAATAATAAAAAAAGATATTAATTTTTTGAAAAATATATAAAAAAATATTTCAAATAATTTTAAAACAAAAATTTAATTAATTTAAAAAACAAAAGAACATATGTATTTCTTACAGAAATCGGTACTTTATGGATATGTCACCCCCCTCCTATTTTGAGTCTCAGAGTTTTCCTTAAACGTAGAAAATGGTCAGAGATTATTTTCTTCTCCAAGTCAATCATTTTTCTTTCTTCAAGCAAAATAGGTGAAATGTAGTAAATGTAGAAACGAAATGGGTGAAATGTAAGTACAAAATATGTGAAAAAGCAAAATAAACAAGTAAAATACTTGAAGAAGAAATAATGATTGACTTGGAGAAGAAAATAATCTCTGACCATTTTCTACGTTTAAGGAAAACTCTGAGACTCAAAATAGGAGGGGGGGGTGACATATCCATAAAGTACCCAGAAATCAAAAGTCAACAAAAAAATTCTAAATAAACCCTTACAATATTCACATTAAATATAACACCTTCAAACTATTTCAAACAATATTTAAAAATTCCAAAAACCTTAAGTTATATTTTTAAACTAAAATAATTATTAAAAAAACAAAACTTTAAAAGAGCATTGTATTTATTTTCTTGTCACGCTCTGAAGTATAATATGAACGATCCAAGTTTTGATAGAAGCTACGTTGATATTCAGAAACCATTCTAGATTTCCATAATTGTTCTGTAGTTAATTTATCGTTGCGTTTATAGTAAAACCATCTAAAAATTTATAAAAAAATATGTGAAAGAATTTTTGTTTTGTAAAATAAATCTAAAAATTTTTATGGAGTCCATTTATGGGGAAAAAATAACATAACATAATTTAAATGAAAAAAACATAAATTAAAAATTATTTTGTCAAAATAAATTGTAAATACTTACAAAATAAGATTGCATGGATGATCTGGACCATAATTGTAATAAATTGTTCCATTTACTAACCCAACAGTTGCTACAGAAATTAATGTTTTAAGCAACAAAGGATTTCTAGTACATTGTTGAATATAAAAACGAAAATTTGCTTTAAATTTATCAAAGGGCTTCATTTTGTTTGGAGTTGGGGGATTTGCTTGTACAATCCTTCTGCACATCTCATTATAAGCTGTTGTTTTATCAGAATTTGATGTAGACTCCATATCTGTTACAACTAAAAAATATGATTAAATACTCGCAATGGATTGAGGCAATTAGGCAATGTTTCCGATTTAATGAAAACACAATTTTTCTCCTGAGATACAAAAACATATAAAAAGATATGTATATTAATCTCTCTCCATGTGAAAGAGAGAAAAATGTATTAAAACAACATTTGTATTTATTTAATAAAGTAGAAAAAAATAATAATTTTTATACGACAATTAAATTTTTTTTCAACAAGATAGTAGCTTTTTTCCTTAACTTACAAAAAAGGAACATTGAGATCCAAGAAGCATTTTACGAGAAAACGGATAGGAAGTGGGGATCCTCTATCGAATAGTACCAAACCTATATATCAACTAGAGATAGGACTGGAAGGATCGTACGAGAATCAAACAATCTAGATAGAAATATCTCGAAAAATCTTTAAAAAAACCTCGAAAAACCAGAAAAATATCGTACGAGAATTGATCGAGCTCTATTCTCGGTCCGGTCTCTAATATCAACTGTGGTAACAGTAAACAACAATGCATTACCTTGCTAATATAATATTTTTTATCTACAAAATGACCGGTAAAGAAAAAAAGGAAAGTAAAATTAAATACTGCAGGACCCAGGAAAAAAAATAGAATTTTTAATAAATGGCTTCGTAATTTTTAAAGGAAAATCTTCTCAAAAATAAAAAAAATATTCATGGTCCTGCAAATTATATTTTATAATAAAAAATTTTTTATTGGTCAAATACCCCAAAAAACATTATTTTTAAAAGAAATAACAGTCAAATAAAACAAATAAATTTTCAACAATTTTTATAAAAAAATAAAACCATCTATCATTCTTCTTATTGTTCCTAAGGTTTTTTACGCATTTGAGGAGGCAAATATTTTCCCTTTTGCTGCGGTACAATTTCCTTACTTTGTTCTTGTTGAGGTGGGGGCGCTTCAACTATACAAATTTGTTTTGGTGGCGGTTGTTCTTCTTCCTTACGACGCTGTTCTTCCTCTACAAGTTTAACTTCACTTTGCCATTTTTTCATCCTCTCATTTGCCAATTTTTCAATAGCCTTTTCACGAACCAATTCCACTTTCTTTTTCCATTTCTCCTTAATAATCTTCAAGTCCTCAGCATGTGATTGAATTGTACTACGCATAAATTTAATAGCATCATCTTTAACATTTGTCAAAAGTTGAAAAGATTCTAACATCTTTTCACGTGCTTTTCTTAAAAAACAAAAAATTTTCCTCTAAAGAATAAAAACGAACATTTCTTTATCAATTCTTGTTACTTCATATTGGTCAAAAAGTTCCGAAGCACAAGCTTGTTGTTCATCAGATAATTCTTTCCAAACTAACATTTCTTCCAAATGAATTGCTCTAACATAATAATCAAACTTTTTCTCTTGTTGCAGCATCTTATTTTGTTGTTCTTTTCGTTCTTTATCCAAAAGAATACGCTTTAAAATTTTTTTCTTTAATTAAAAAATTTCAATAAATTTAATAAACCTTCTCAATAACAAATTGCTCCAAATCCATCTTTTCAACAGCCTCTTCACCCAATTCTTTAACCAACATTGCGTATAATGGATGCGATTTTTGTTTTTGCATTCGATCGGCAGCTACTTTACGTTGAATTTCAGCCTAAAAAATTTTTGTTAGAAATTCAAAAAAAAACTTTTGTCAAGATTTTTGTCAGAAAGTTTCAAAATTAGTTTATTTAAAAACATAGAATTCAGGAATAGGAGAATAGCAGGTATGATATTGAATACCAAAATCGCCGAAATAATTGAGGAATGACTTTCCAGTATTTGGTATTTCTATATATTCCTCTAAACTTTTTAACTATTAATTTCCCAAAAATAGTTCCAAGTTAGGTCTTAAAAATAAAAATATACCTGTTCAACGAATCTTCGACGCTGTTCGTTTTCTTTATTCTCTTCCATTAATTTATTATATTCTTCAGTTCGACGTTTTTCTTCTTGTTTATTAGCCAACATCTGAGATTGAAACAACTTCTCTTTTTTCATTTGCTCAGTATTTTCTTTATAAAGCTCAATTCTTTTACGACGTGCAAGTATACGTTCAAAATCGCCATCTTTATGAGTTAAATAAATTTTAATTTGGCGGGCCAACTAAAAACAGGTAGGATTAGTAAACTTAAAAACCATAGAAAAACCTTTTCTTGAAGCTCCTTAACAAAACTTTGATCAATGTCAAGATAAGCATCTTGCAAAATTGAATAAACCGAAGATACGTGTGTAGTAATTTTAGAAATCTAAAAACGCAGAGGAAAAAATTCAAAAGCATCAAATTAAAAAAACCTCAGAAATACGCCCATGCTCACTCTCAAGTTCACTTGCCAAAAGTGAATCTACATGTCCAAAATAAATACAATTTTGACGATGGTCAATATGTGCAGAAACTAAATTTTGTTTGCAGATATCAACTAAAAATTGTTCCAATTGCATTCGATTATAAAATGGGATAATTTCAGAAAGACGTGCAAATTTTATTGACTCATAAATTGACGAAATCTAAAATTTTAAACAAAAAAATTAAAATAAGTTGTTACGAACGTAATTTTTAGATTATATTTTTAAAAGCTAAACTCAACCGCGAGCCCAATATACCGCCGAGCTACAACCTATTCGAAATCATCGAATCAGACTATTTATCGAATCCAGCTTTGCGTTAGGAACGCTAAAGTAAACACCCAAAATTGTGGCTCCAAATTTTATGATAAGCCCCAAGCAAATTTTCAATGTCCAGAAAAAATAATTTTACAGAAATATCAGGTTAAGTGCTAACGGCTCCCAAACTCTAATTTATAACTAAAAAACCTGTTTCACGATTTTTGCAGCCACAGTTTTCTTAATAGAATTAGAGTATTGACCATATTCAGAATGTCCCAACTTTTCACCCAATTGTTCAATGACTAAAAGCATTTCTTGAACATTGACGGCAATATGTAAAGGATCAAAATCAAATTCAATACATTTATATAATTTAAAAGCTTCAGGAGCTGCAATCTCAGGAATGTTTAAACGAGCAATCTCTTTCAAAATTCCATTACGAGTTGGAATAATAGGCATACGTAAAAGTGCAGAGAGAATTCTAAAAAAATAAAAAAATGTAGCTCTAATCCTGATTATGCGTGCAATCGCAACTTTACGCATCCAACCAAATTTCAATGTCTAATCTATGGCAAATCTGATCAAGTATATGGTCTTACTGAAAGTTGGCGGCCCCACTACTAGTTGATGGTTCAGTTCGATCCAAATCGGGCATTGAATTTTGGCACAAAATACTCGAACGGTTTGATAAAATAATTTAATAAAAATAAGGCACGACAAATGACTCGCAGGCATGGTTCGAAAAACCTAACCCTAATACAGATCAAAGGTGTACCAAATAGAACCAAGAGCCAACCCTTTTCACCCTTTCACAAGAGCCAACCCTTTTCCTTCAAAAATATCAAAAATTAACCTTGTATTGGCAACATGCTGCTCTTCTATATCTAAATGTTTTGTCAAAATTGAAGGCCTTTCAGCTCCATCGGGTATGCTAAGCGTTGCCAATAAGACTTTCGTAGCTTGATCGGTCGCCTCCTCACCAGTAAATTGTTTTTTCATGTCCTTGTGAATATTAAATTTTTGTAAAAGTGAAGCAGCGTGGAAGAGAGTATTTCCTCCTTTCCAAAAGACAAGAGCAATCTAAAATGTTAAACTTTAAAAGATCAAGTTTATAACAACCTTGTCATAATAATTAGCATAACTAGAAGGCTTGGCGATTTTCTTATCCTTTCCAATTTGCATTAAATTATGAAGATCTAAAGTCCAACTTTAGGTCATCAAATAATAAAAACAAACCTTCAGCAGTTTTATAGGCTTCTTGCCATAATTCCATATTTATTGCAGTGTCTAATTGGCACAAACGAGTTTCCAACATAAGAGTCAACGAGTCGATATTTGTCAATTTAATCCTTAAAATAAAAATTTAGTTAACATTCAAAGAAATAAACAAACGCGTGAGCTGGAATTGTTTGCGCCTGTTGAGCTTTTTGTACTTGTGTAAGATGAAGGCTTAAAAGATTAAAATTGAAAAAATTCAAAATTTTGGAAAAACCGTAACATATCCGAAAGTTTACGAAATTCATTTCGTCGCTGGTATTGAAGACAAAAAGCAAAAGACTGACGAGCAATTTGATGATAAATCTGTTCAACATAAATATTATTACGCAACAAATCGAGACAATTGCGAAAAGTATCCCATTGAAAACGAAGCCAAGGACTGAGAACTGTGCGGTCCATTCGATCTTGTGGGACAGCACCAGACACAACCGACAATAACAAACTGAAAAGGAGATAAATTGATGAACTAATAAATGAAAATACTTCTCTGGCGTATCCGCAACATCAAGATCATCAATCTCTTCCATCTTTTCAATGGAAGATTTTCGTGCCTCTAAGGTTTTTTTCTCAGCAAGAGTAAGCAAAGCTGATAAGACAGTCACAAGCGACTTTACAGCAACCTGTTCAAGAAAATAAAAAGTGAAAGCAGGATAAAAAACGGAACGTCTTGTAATACCAAAAGCTGCAATGCCGAACCACCAAAAGCGATTGAAATACCAAAGTGTAAAAAAAACTAAACGGTTCCGACTTCCAACGATTTGGCGTTACATTTCCTTCTCAGTTTGATATTTCACGCCCTTTTCCACGATTTGGTATTTCGAGGGTCTTTGGGAGTTTGGTATTTCAAGCTCTTGGTATTACAAGATTATAAAGAATAAGTTGTAAAACCTGTTGAGTCAATATCTTATATTGATAAAGTCCATCTTTTGCTACTGTAGAGTTACGCAAATTAACGCAAAGTTCGACATACTTAAGCATAATTTGTTCTTGTATTTGTGACCATTGCTTCTGACGACGACCCTAGAGAGGAAAGTAAACATAAAAAACACTTAAGAAACCTTGATTAAATCATGAAGTGATTGAAGCGCATCTCGTTGTTTCCCAACAGAAATAAATTCATGAGCTCGTTGCAAAGCTGCCTCAGGCTTTTGACTTTGATGATAGTTTGCTCTCATAATAACAATAATAAATAAAAGAAAATAAACTTTATAATCTACTGAAAATAAGATAAATACAAATAAGGAAATTGAAGAAAAGTGTTGTAAGAATAAATAAATTAAAAAGCAAAAAGCTTTTCTTCTATATACATATTCGGCTGCTGGGAATTAAACTAGCTTAATTTTTTATCCAATGCATGGTTTTTTATTTATCCATCGCTTAAAATTCTTAAAATAAAGTAATTTATAATAGGATAAATGAGAAAATTAAAAGATGTTTTTATAAAAAGATTTGCGCCTACTCGGTCTTGCGCCTACGTGGCCGTGCGCCTACCTGGCCCGCGCCTACTTGGCCTGCGCCTACTTGGCTTGCGCCTACTTGGCTTGCGCCTACTTGGTCGCGCCTACTTGGGCGTGTATTCCGAATCCTATTTTTTTAGGTCGAGACCTACATAAAGTTTGATGTTTTTATTGATAAATCGTTTATTGTTTAAATGTTTTGATTTAAATTTGTATAGTTTAAAGTTTGAATACAAAAATTCTGTTTCAAAGACTTTTATGAATAAAGATTTCAACTCTATAGTCTACAATGACAAAGCACTTATTGGAATTTCTTGGATTGCTACTTGTTCATTTGTTGTCATGACTTTAATTCGAAAACGACGTTTTCCATGTGAATCATCGTTAATAATTAATATTTATTTGGGTTTAGCCGTCTTTGCAGCTTATTTTTTATTTGCTTGTTTAGTCGAATCTGACTTGAAAGGAACATTTTTAATATTATTGTTTCGTGTTTTTGATGGCACTTACAAAAGGTTTTGGTACTTCTAAATTATATACTTTTATTTTTTAATAGATTATGCCTCTTACTTTTTTGGTTATTATGTGCTATTGAATCAATTCTCTTTTCAATAATGATTAATTGTAGGCAAAGAAAAGCAAACACTACTCATAGAAAATTTTTTCACTTAACAATTTCTTTAATTATAATTAGTGGACTTTATAATGACCCGCTTTTCTTGGCGCTTTCAGGGCACTTAATGCTGCAGATTTTTATAATTATTGAAGTTTGTAATTTTTAATAATTTATAAATGAATTTCATTTTTTATTTCTTTTCCTTTACAATTCCAGATTTTTAGAAATCAAAGAATTGAACCGTGGTCGAATTTCCTTGATCAAATGTTTCTTATTTTTATCGATGGACAAGACTCGCATGATCTCATATTAACACCAATTTTTCTGCTTGCCGGAATGTTCTTGCCTTTATTTATGGACACAACAATGCTTTATTCGCCAAATTGGACACTTAAACAAAGACATTTTTCTGGAGTTCTCAGTGTTGGAGTAGGTGACAGTTTTGCAGCAATTGTAGGCTCAAGGTTACTTTTAATTTTAAAAATTGTTTTATTTTCCTCAATCGGCAGGTTCGGTCGTATTCCTTGGCCTTTTGGATTGAAAAATAAATCTTGTAAAACTATTGAAGGCTCAATCGCTATGTTTTTTACACAAATTATTGCAAGTGAAGTTATTTTTGGTTTTTGCTCATTAAGTCCATCTTTAATTTTATCTGCTATGGTTTCAACAATAGCTGAGGCTCAATTAAATTCTGGGGACAATTTAATAATCCCCTTTTGTTCAGCAATAACTTTTTATTTGTTTGAATAATTCAGATTGTTATGACTTATTGTATATCTAGTTAAAAAATATATTTTGATATTGTTAAACTTTTATATTTTTTGAGTTTACCTTTTTGTTACCTCATTTTTCTAAGTCTGTTATATATTGGAATAGCAATAAAATTCTAATTTGTTTAATTATTAAATTATTTTCATTGTTTTAACATTAAATAGAGAAATTTTTTGAAATTATATTTTTTAATTAAATTTTTTAGAACACAAAAAATGTCTCAAAACCTGGACGTTGATCAATGTTTGAAAGATAAGGTTAATTGCTTTTTTAAACATTTCAATTTTAATAAATTTAGTCTGATAATTCATTCGAATCGTACCCTGAATTTGTTGAGCTTGTTGCTCTTGTACACAAATATGGGGATCTTTTGTCGCTTACTCCTTTTTCATATTTTGATCTTGCTATGGCTTTAAAAAAGGAAGAAAATGCTTCGGTTGGTTTTTGTTTTTAGATTTTAAATAATTTCTATTTTATCAGCATTCCTATGATCCTTCTCAAGGGTTTCCTCAAGCTTTACACAGCGCTTTATTGGAAAATTTAATTGCAGAGATTTTACTTTTTTTCAGTATTAGATTTGACAGGTTTTTTTACAATTGTGAACCATTTTTTATAAATTAGTTCGAATATTTACAAAAAGCTGAATGGACTGATTATAACTGTAAACCGTTGGTGCAGGCCAAAATTCAATGCTCGGTTATTGTTTCCACCCCAGCCGAAATTGGACGAAATAGAAGAAGAGGGAAGTGACAATGATGTTTCCAACCCTCAAAGTAGAGAACAGAGTACTAGTATTTCTAATCAAAATTCCGACAGTAAATATCAGGTTTTTAACTTTTAATTGTTTTTATTAATTTATTTGCAAATATCAGACTTCTAGTAAAATTTCTTCAAAGAAACGAATTCCTGACTTTTTGAATTTATCAACTGTTGACAAATTGAAGCTTCTTTGTTTTTTAATCGATGCGCAATTGGCTTGTGCACATGATGCTAATCAATTGGATGAGGTCATAATAACTTTATTATATTTTGACTATCTCTTTAATTTTTAAATATACTACGTTAACGAAAATATTTATTTTTAGACATTTACGGATGACAAACAGAGAATCATTCCAATTGCCATTGATAATTCTGGACGCAAATTTTGGTATTTCTGCGATACTTGGCTATTTATTGAAGAAGGAAATTTATTTGATGTTGAGGAAGAGGAGGAAAAAGTTAACGATTTATTGAATGAAGCTATTGAATCACGCAGAATGTTTATTAAGAAAATTGGTGCTAAAAAGAATAACAAGAATGATATACGAAAATATTTAAAAAATAAACCAAATAAGGAAATCAAACAAATTACCGTTGAAAAACCAAAGGGGTATCTATTTATTTATTTTCTTCTAATCTTTCGAATTATTAAAGCACATTTACTCAACGAGTTTTGGATGAAGCTAACAAAAATCTCTGTACATGTCCTCGTTTTCGAGTCGTTGCTAAAAATTCTGATCAGTTGTCTAATTTGATCCAGGCTTACACACAAGGAAATGCTAATCGCTCTATTGTTAAAAAATTCGAAGAATGTTTGCATTGTATTCAGGAAATTGAAAAAGAGGTAAATTGGGGGTATTTTTATATAATTTAATATTTCTTTATTTTTTAGAATATTAAAAAATTGGAACAAGAAGCATTGATACGCCAAAGTTCACGTATTGCTATTTTGAATGAAAAGAAAAGACAGAAGGCGGAGGAGAGTCGTAGAAAAGCATCGGAATTAGCAAAGCTAAAAAAAGAAGAAGACGAGCAAAAATATCTTACTGAGAGTGCATTCAAGCTTTGCGAACAGGTAAATAAATTATCTTTTGGCTTTGATGTGGATACTTTTCTTATTAATTTTAGTCTCGTGAACAGCGTCTTATGCAAAGGCAAAAACGCATTCAAGAACAATTGGACCAGGAAGAACTTGTTGAGGCAGGAATAATTTCGCCTTCTTCTCGATCTCCTTATAAAGATGAATTGAGTAGTATAGGATCCAGCACTGAAGAGAATGATTATTGTAAAAGCTACAAACCCGTGAAAAAAATGCCACGATTACCAGCATACGACTGGTGGAATCCAGGTATTAATGCCAATATCATACTCTTAAAAACTTTTGGAATTAAGTCACCTCTCCCGAGTTTGACGGTAGCGACGATGCTGGAATGTTCCGTACTCTTTTTAGGTAAATTGAACTTAATTGTTTTTATTATATTTTTTTCTTTTTAGACGAAAAGAATCCGATAAAAAGCTTTCAAATATTTTGGGAAAATCTCTTTTAAAAGACGATCGAAGAAGTTAGTTTATATTTACCTATATTTTTACTTAATTCTTTTTAAAGTTTCTTTAATTGCATCGTCTTCCAAAAATAATACAACAGAATCATTCCCATCATCTAAAGGCAATCAATCTTTGTTCTCTGGAGATATTGGAAAGGGGAGAAAATATCCAATAAATTCAAATAATTCTTTAAATCCAAAGAGTAATCTACTTTATTTTTAATTAATTTTTTAATCTTTTTTAGGCTTTTACGGTTCATCAGTTAATGGTTTTGATAAAATAAGAAATGCACTTAATTTAACAAAAATGGAAGGTTCTGATACATCAGAGGATTCGTTTATGCAGACTTCAAGAAAATGGGCAGCGATACATCCCGCCTCATTACTAGGTTGTAACACTCCGGCAGATAATGAATGTTCTGAGGAAGATGATATTTAACAGATATATATTGATATGGAATTTTATTTTAGTTCAACGGGTAGCTCAGGATTTTGTGTAGGATATCAATATTTTCAAAGTATCCCAGAAATCCACGAGTTACTCGATTTAATCCTAACTTCTTATACTAAATGATTCAGTTTATAAGAGTTAAATCTAGTAAATTATAAATACTATTTAGAAAGCATATCCATTTTTATCAATTTACCTAATAGAAAAAATGGACAATGAAATTTCATTGAGTGGATATGCTATTCCCTTTTATTCCAAATTACATATATTTTTATTACCATTTTTGAAAAATTCTTGTTGAGCCATTCTGTTGTTGTTGTTTTTTTGGTTCATTCATCGTTTAAAATTGGCTTTACATTATTGTTCATGGATTTTCCAATAATTATATGTTTTTATTTGGTTAATTCATTTTTTATAACAGCAATATTTTGAATTGTGATGGAGCTATCAGAACTAATAGAAAAAAGCCGTATAGATGGAGTCTTTCTTTGTGAAGGTATGTGTTTATTTTTTTGTTATAATCCAAGGAAAATCATTTTTAGGGCCGAGGCCACCACAAAAAGGGTCGTTGGCTTTGACCGGTCATCATTTGATTTTCTCGCCAGAGAAGACTGATTGGAATTCACAAATAATTGGTGAGAATGGAGTTTGTCCTGAAAAGTGTGATGCAAGCAGTCAGCAAATAGAGAATCAGGAATTTTGGGTATGTAATTTGTAGGATGAAAACAAGGAATTTTAGCTATTGCATCGAGCTGTGGACCGAGTTCTTGTTGAGCAGGTAAATAGAAATCCTAATGTCAAGCAAGGTGCCTATCTTCGACTGAAATGTAAAGTGAGTTGTTTTATATGTTTACTCTTACCTTACATGAGTTTAGAATTTTTTGCATATTTGCTTTGAACTTGATGATTTACACGACTGTCATCTTGTCGCAAGATCAATTGAAACATTATCAAATCCTAGTAAATTAGATCCATTTACATTACAAATTTAAATTTCCTGAATTTAGGTGGTATTAAACATGATTATCCTTTTTATTATCGGTGTCCTTTTACTATTCTTGACGATGGTTGGAGAGCATATGTCATAGAAGACAAATTTTCTAAACTACAATTGTTGACTGGGGAACGCTTCCGAATCAGCTCTGTCAACAAAGATTTTGAGGTGCAGAAAATTTTCTTTCAAATATTGTTTAAAGTTTTAAGACTTGTTCTTCCTATCCCGAGCAAGTTATTGTCCCAAAAGGAATTGGCGATGACTATCTTCGAATATCTGCTACATTTCGGAGTGGTGGACGTTTTCCAGTTTTAAGTTATTATCATCAGAGGACCAAAGTTATTTTTACATTTTTAATAAATTTTTAAACATGTCGAACTTTTCGTATTCAAATTTGTAAACCCAAATTTTACGGACCGGCATATTTTAATTTCTTTAGTTTTTCCTTTAGTGTCAATGCAAATTTCGTTTCGAATCTTTCGGGGCCGCAAAATTTCTGGTCGGGAACCAGAATTAGATTAATATTCTAAATTAACATTCTTGTTTTCCGATTTTAACATTATGGTTTTAGTCCACAATTTATCGATGCGGCCAGCCATTAATCGGACCAACAAGCAGGCGATGTAAAGAGGATGAAGTCATTTTAAATTCAATGCTTTCAAAATTTTCCCAAGGATTAATTTATGATACAAGGTCAAAACTAACTGCACAGACAAGTCGAGGAAGAGGTATAATCTACTATATTTTAATTTGAATTAATATTAAATCAGGTGGCGGTTGTGAAAGTCAAATGTATTATTCGAAATGGAAATATGTTAATGGAAATGTGCCAAGGATAAAAGATTTGCATGAATCATTAACACGTTTAATTGAAGGTACCTTATATGATTAGCGGGTTACCAGTTTTTACCCATTCCCCAATAAGAATATAAACTTGGTCCGAAAACATTTAAATTTAAAATACAAATATAGGGGAAATATTGGGCCGACGCATAAAAATAAGGACAAGCATGAAATAAACGGGGATATACATATAATTATTAAAAATTTAGAACTAAAATGAAAATATTTTTTAGCATGTATTGAAAACCCAGTCTCCTTCCTTTCACGGCTTGCAAACTGTGGATGGCTACAATATATTACAGATACTTTGACTGGAGCAGCAACGGTTGCACAAATTGTACATTGTATGGATGAAGGTACTGGTTTTGATTTTTGCTAGAAACATATGATTATTAGCTAATATATTTTAATTCAGTTTCAGAAGTTCCTGTGCTCGTGCATGGAGGAGATGGAACAGATTCAACTCTTTTAGTCACTTCACTTGCACGGCTTATATTAGATCTAGATGCTAGAACGGTTTTTTAAATTAAACTTTTATTTTACTCTATATCCTTAGATTCGTGGTTTTCAATCATTAATTGAAGATGAATGGACGGGCGCTGGTCATCCGTTTAGTATTCGTTGTGCTCATTCATCATTTGCAACTGGCACACTTACAGGACCACATGAATCACCGGTTTTTCTATCCTTTTTGGATTGTGTTTGGCAAGTGAGTTTTTTTTCTAAATCGCAAAAGGAAATAATGACAGGTTTAAAATGTGGAATAAAGAAAATATAATTTATTAATTTTACTAATTTTCAGCTAATGCGACAATATCCTTCTTGTTTTGAATTTAATGAACAATTTTTAATTTTTTTATTTGAGCATGCTTATGCATCAGAGTTTGGAACTTTTTTGGTAAGTGAATGATTTTTATTTATTTATTGAATGATTTTTATTTATTTATTTTTTCTAGGGAAATAATGAACAGGAGAAGAAAAATTTTAGTGTTAAGGTTAACTATTGTATTTTCACGTTATTCATTAAAAAACTTTGTTTTCAGACACACACAGTTTCTTTATGGTCATATGTGAATCATCCTGCTGTGCTTCCTGCCTTTCTCAATTACCTTTATCGGCCCTATGATCAACCAACTTGGCCTTCAGTCGCTCCACAAAGCATTGTATTTTATTCGATTTCTTACTCAAATAAAATTTAAAAAAAGATTCTCTGGGAACGAATTTATCTACGTTGGCAAAGGAATTGGTCTCAATTCGATCGAACGCTTCAAACTCTAAATTCTTGGAAACAAGATGAGAAACGTCTTGTTGCGAGATTGCAAGCATTACAACAACAGCAAAGGTTCGATTTAGATGAATTTTTTGGATAATTTTTCTTTTAAGCGAGCAATCTAGAAGTATTTCTGCGTGTTCAACAATCACTTCTACAGAAGCTCAACAACATTCTAATTCTCATTTATTACAAAATGAAGCCAAAATAATCTTACCGCATAATCCTTTTGCTTTAGAGAATCTCGTAAAAATGGATCATTTAAATATTACAAGTTTTGATAATGAAACTGATGGAGAAGGATTTGAGGTAAAGAAAAATAGTAAAAGGGAAAAATGAACATTAACAAAACAAAAATAAACGAAAATCTTTGGTCTATTGATTCTTATCTTTATTTAAAGGTTGTGGAGGATGCAGCAAATAATGATGGACACACACTTGGCAAAAGAACGGCAAAGGCAACCGTAAATTCCTCCACTGCTTCTATGCTAAATGGTGCAAAACAAACAGCGCGGCAGTTTCTTCAAAAGTTGGGACCTTCCTTTATATGATTTTCTTTAATTAAATTATAATATTAAATAATACTAATACATATGTATTCGAAATTGGTGCTTATGCTTAATTATGTATATTGTGCAATTTTAAAAGGTTCAAAATATTAATCATATTTTTTAATTTAATTTTATGTAATTCTTATTCTCTTTCTCCATTCAGTTTTAAGCATTAAAAGTTGTTTTTCCCATAAATATGCACGAAAAAATAATTATCTTTTAAAGACACGATATTGGTGTATTTTTAGTGAACGGTTTTTAAGTATTATAGTATGGGTGGGTGGAAGAAACTGTCCGACCAAAACATCGTCCGGACATTATACAAATTTTATGCTCTAACTGAATAGAGTAAAGTACTATACATAATTGACACATCTTTACAACTTTTACCTCTGTGATATCTACTATCCATAAAGTACAATTTATATTTATTTTGTAAATGTTTTGACAATAACTCAATATTTGCCAGTATAATTTTTTTATATTTTTTAAATTGTAACTTGAAAATCAGATTATGGCAACGGGAGGAGTGAAGAAATTCAACGAACTCTTTCTTTATCTGAAAGGACGCAAAACTTTTATGCAAAAAACGTTGGACACACTGTTTGATAGAAGCGAAGGAAAAAAGTTTGCAAACTCGAGTTCAGCGAGGATTTCGGTAATTTTTAAATTCTATACAAATTTTAAGGCGTTGATGGTATTTACTTAAATTTTTGAATTAACTTCTACACTTTTTATATACTATTAGGTAAGGCAACCTCGCGCTTTGGAGCAATCTTCTGATCAAGATTGGATGAGTGTCTGGCCTGCTGCACAAAGTTTCCGCTCCTCGGTTGTGCCTCTTCCAATACGGATGGGTTACCTTACCAATAAAGAGGCTAAGGTGAAACTTTCACGTGCAGCTTATGCAAATTTGGAGCTAATGAAAGTACCAAACTTTTTACATTTGACACCGCATCATATACAAAAGCATTGTAATGCTATCAAAATTAAGTTTTGAATTTTTTTTACAAAAAGGGTTAGAATTTAATATTGGTATTTTACGGTTAGGGACGATTCCGCGCCGACGTTTCCGCGCCAGGTCAGTTCCGCGCCAGGTCAGTTTCCGCGCCAGTTATAGAGGTTCCGCGCCAGTTTTAAAATAAGTAAATAATAACCTGAACACGAGCCGGTCCACTTTCTATACATGTATGATTACCTACCTAAAAAGATAATGGCTTTTTAGAATCAAAAAAATTTAAAAATCAAAGTATCACATATTTTGTATAGCTGGCGCGGAACTGACCTGGCGCGGAAACGTCGGCGCGGAAAGATACCCCACCGGGTATTTTATGGGCACACCTACTTTACCCGGGAACGAGACTATTGAGTACCGCCGATTGAGTACCGCCGTTTGAGTACCGCCGGTTGAGTCCCTGCCCAGTTGAGTCCCGGCCGGTTGAGTCCCGCTGGTTATATGTGAATAACTTTCCAACTACGGGGAAAGTTGTTCCAACTATGGGAAAGGTTGGAACAACATTATGCAAAGTTGTTCCAACAACGGGGAAGTTGTTCCAATGTTGATGCTGGTTGTTCCAACTACTAGGTCGGTTCATAAAAAAGTTCGTTTTTTGTTATCGCAAGTTTTTTGGGTGATAACTACTTTTATCCGATTTTATTTTTATCTTATTTTGTAGCCCAGAGTCTTAGCTTTATAATGATACCAAAATTTTAAAAATATCAAGGATCAAAAAAATTTTATGCCTTCAGAAGTGAGAGTGGGTAAGGGGAATATTTAGGGGCAGTTACACATCCCATTAAAACTAAGTAATAATGCAATATTGGCATCAAGAAAAATCAATGAAATGATAGGCAGGGATCTTGTCTAACCTAGTGTAGCTCAAAAATCTTTCAAAAAAATTCGATCTGGGAACAATAGGACCAAACACAAACACGGGTCGTGAAGATGACCGACTGTAAACAAATGCGTCCTTGCTCGCCGGTTAGAAAGATATCCGGATATTTTTTTATTAGAATTGTAGAGGGGACATTGCTCTATAAGTACAATATGGCAATTGTCCGAAAAAACGGATTTTGAGCCGAGGAGGACAAAAGGAGTAATGCACCAACCGACTGAGAGACAAAAATAACAAGGACTTTTTTTTAGCCTTTTAAGCCTGGATAACTATCGAAAGGGTTGTTGATGGAACCGGATTGTTACCTAAGTTTAAACATATGCCAATTACGATAATAATATACAAAAAATTATTTGGAGGAAAAAATATTAAGACCCTCTTTTGGTCCCCCGCCCAACCAACCACCCAAAAAACGTATGTTGTGTATTCTTTTGGATGGTGCTCGGTCCGTTGATGACGGAGGTACTTCAAATTGGTACCACTACAAACTCCAACATGCATATTAACTAACTCACACAGGAAGATTTCGTTTGTTACATTCAACGTCGCCAGGGACTGTTTACTAGACCTCTGGTTTTCCATTAAAATAACGCCCCTTTACACCACTCATTTTTGATGACCTGCCATGCCCCAAATAAACTTTGTTGGAAAGTGTTACCCCACCCCCCTTGTAGCCCTGAGTCTGCTCTATCAGATTAACATCATTTCACTTCTTCAAAAAATTTTTTACGGGACGGGCACTTGACTGAAGACGCCAATGTCGAGACTGTGGTGGGGAACACAGTGCTTCAGAAATGGGGTCAGATTTTTTAAAAAGAGGTATCCACGAACTTTTCTCTGGTTTAAGAATGTTGTTAAGACTCGGGACAATTATTTAGTAAAGTTAGATTTTTTATCTGTTTTAGTTTGCTTGAGATTTATCGATTTTTCTTTGAAAATAAATTTTTGGAAAAAACGAACTTTTTTATGAACCGACCTAGTATTGAGAAAGTTGTTACAACTATTAAGAAAGTTGTTCTGACAACTGGGATTGTTGTTCCGACACCAGGGGATGTTGTTCCAAGAACGGGGGAAATTGTTCTAAAGGCGATAAAAGTTGTTCCAAAGTCAAGGAAAGTTGTTCCAAAGTCAGGGAATGTTGTTCCAAAGACAGGGAAATTTAACCAGCGGGACTCAACCGGCCGGGACTCAACTGGCCAGGGACTCAAACGGCGGTACTCAACCGGCGGTACTCAAACGGCGGTACTCAATCGGCGGTACTCAATAGTACCCCACCGACTTTACCCAAGTATCTTTTTTGTTGTTTTTATCTTTTAGTATTCCTTCATTTTTATTTTATTTTGACCCTTGTTCTAAAATTAATCAATATGAGAGGCGCAGTATGTGCAAGATAGCTCCGCCCAATAAACCAGAAAACATTTGCCTAAACCCAATCAATGTCTGCGATCTCTTATTTTGGCATAACTCTTCAATTTTCTTATTTACCTTTTTGTATAGGTTTACAAAATCAGTTTATATTGTGGGTTTTAGTTTTTGGTGCTATTTTTCTACCCGTGTTTTGGAATTTTAATTATTCCTCTTTTCAGAATTTTGTACCAAGTTTCCTGACGAGTTAAAAGACGTTGAATGTCAACAAAAATACTTTCCGTTAGAATTTCGCTACAGCGATTACATCCACCAAGGAACAAACATTCGAGATATGCGCGCACGTCAAGTCACGATGGGCATTCGGCTTGATGTTCTTGAGTTGGACAAACCTGCACATCTAAAATTCCGACAACTCGTTGGTGATCGATACAATAAAGATACTGATGTATTTATTGTTGTTTCTGATCGGTTCGTTTTAACAAGAATTTTTCAGAATTAAAATTTTTCGTTAAGTTGCCCATCTCGCAAACAAAACCGAGATTATTCTGAGTATCTTCTCACTGTTCTTTATTATGAATCGAACAAAACAGAACCTTGTGAACCAATTAAAGAAGATTCTCCAGTAAAAGAGGAGAGGAGACCTCTTACAAATTCGTTAAATGAGAATAATACAATTTTAAGAGCAGCAAATAATTGAAAGAACATTTCTCTGTTTTATTATTTTTATTATAAAATTTGTCCAATTCCCATTTTTATTTCTGTACTTGTTGCTTTGCAACTTTTTACTTTTATTGCTTAATAATTTTTTAAATTTAATTTTAGAACATTTTAACTGATCTAGTTGAGGAAATGCAGCGTCGTCAATTGCCGTATTTGGATGTTCGAAGTGATTTTTTGGTAATTGTTTATTTTTTTAAAAATTTTCTTCTGTTTTCACAAGTTCTTTCTATTCATGTGAATTATGTTTTAGTATAAGGATTTACATAGTTGAATTAAGGAATTTAAAATTTTTCTAATATTCAGGTTTATGTTACCAATGTTCCATCATCTCTTACAGGCAAAGAACTTAAAAGTCGTATCAACGCTCAGTATGGGATGGTTTGTGGTTAAATATTTTTAAATTTTCTAAAATTTTTTTAGGTGAAATTTATCGAAACGTTCGAGGCATGGGCTCGCAGACGAATTGGTTGTATTGTTATTGAATTTACTACTTTTGATGGAAGTGATGCATTTATGCGTGCTGCAATTGAGCGTCGGATTCCATATCTGGGTGATGTTGGTGTGCAGCATGTTGGGATTGTATGAAAATTTTGAATTTGTTAAATGTTAATAAATTTTGATTTAGGTTGGCCGTCGACATTTCTTTGAATTAATACACCGAGATACTGACATTGATCTTCTTGACTGCAATGGACAGGTAAATAGATAATATTGTAAATATGTTTGCATCTTTATTTTCTTTAGCCTTTTGATACGAACTGGGCAAAGTCTAAACGCGAAAGAGCTCAACGTTCAAAGCCATATAATAAGCCATTTAATCGAGGACCGAATCAGAAGACTGATGGAAACATTGGAACTAAAATTGGAGGAGGACAGGGTGTTGTTGGCAATGAGCAACCGCGAGTTAATCGTCACAACAGTCCATCTAGTGATGAGAGTGTTGGTCCATTTCCAAGTAGCAGTGGAGCTTTAAGAAAGGTAGGATATTTTTTAAGTAAATAGTCAAATTTGAAGAACAGGGTTTTTAGATTATAGTAAAGTTTATCTTGTACTTTAAGTTGAAGGATATTTTTCGTTGAAAATTGGATTTCTAGTAGAGCATAGAATTGATAACTTTTGATTTGATAAACAACATCATTTGTTTCTTAACAGTTTTGCGCTTTATTGTTACTGGAGAGAGAGGATTATGTTAAATTAAATATATTCTTTCTTGAATTCAACGTTAATTTTTGTTGTTTATTTCCCTGTTCTTCAAATTTGGATTTTTTTATTTAATAAATTTTCCTCTCTCTCCCTAGGGAAATCAACGCGCAAATTGATTGTGAGGATTTAAAAATTGAGAGAAACAAATGATATTTTGTTGTTTATTTTCAATACATTTTAATATATTCAATTATTTTATTCCACTCCAATCCAATTTTCAATGTTATCATATTTTTAATACTTTTGTGGTATTCTCTTTCGAAAATTGTCACATTATTTGAAAGAGGTTACTACAAAAGTATTTGATTTTAAAACATTCTCTCCAATTAAATATTTGCTTATCTTGGATGTTTATTTTTAATCTAAAAAAGTAGATAGACACTAAATTATTTTAATTAATTTTAGTTGATTAAATTCTCAGTTTGGCAATCAAAAACAACAGGACGAACTCATATCCTCACTTTTGATTCGCCGGACAAGAAAGTTAGTAAAATTGCTCCACGTGTGAAGACCGCTGGCATTATTTCAACAAAACGTTCTTTAATTAATGGAAGCAAAATTGGTGGGGTGGACAAAAAGAAATTTGACCAAAACCAAATTATCTCTGAGCGTCTAGACCGACTTCGTGCAAAATATGATAAAGAAGCTTCTAACAAAATTGTTGGCGAGCCTGGTGGTTGCTTTATTCCTCTTGCTTCTAAAAGACGAAATTCTGTTGTTCGCCCGAAAAAACCATCTGCTGCTGTTTTGCCTATGAAAATGGGATTTGAAGTAAGACGGAATCAGTTAAAAATTAATATAAAATTTATTTTGAGGACTTGGAGGATGGGGAGATCCCAGACGAAGAGAATTGTATGGAAGACGGTGAACTTGGTGAAGAGCCGATGGATTTATGCAGTGATCAAGATGATGAAAAGAAGATATTGATCAAACAAAAAATCAAAGTTCTCCCAGTGAAGAGCCATCCAAAAATAATAATGACCAAATCTTCAGTCAAATCAACTACAAAGAAGGATATTAACAAAATTAACAAATTGCCGAAACAATCTAATGAAGAAAAGAAACCCAAAACTGAAGATAAATCACCATTAAAACAGCAAAAGAATTCGAATGATTCGGGCAATTACAGTTGGGAGGATGATTGTTTAGACTTTGATTTTCCGTTTGAATTGGTGGAGGGGGATTGCAGTCCTCCTCCTAAAAAGGCTACTGATGTTACTAGCAATTCTGCTTCGATGGGTTTGGATTTTTTAACATTAATTTAATTTAAAGAGTTCCAGGCCCGTAACCAAGGGGGATTTTTGGCGCTACTGATGTTACTAGCAATAACATTTATCGCGTATTAATATAAACAAATTAGGTATTTGGTGCAGAAAAATTTTTTCACCTTGGCCCTTCTCCCGAAAAGAATCCTGGTTACGGGCCTGAAGAGCTTTAATTTAACGAATTATTACTATACTAGTATCGACTGTTGTTACCTATAAATTTAAAATAAATTTCAGATCTTGTATCAAATAAAAGCGAAAATAAACCAAAAGAGAACAATAATTCAAGTGATGATGGTGCTATTGACGATGATGATGATATTTTGGAAGGAGAATCAATTGCGAGTGACATTGATGAGCGATGTTTGGACGATAATTATGGTGCAGATCGTTCTCCAAGTGCCGGATGTGGCAAAACTCTAAAAGTATTTTTTGTATAATTTAATTTTAAATTAATTTTTTTGTTTTAATTTTTGTTATTTGTTTTCTTTTTCTCAATTTTTATTTTCTTTTTGAGTCAGCATCCATCAACGAGCCATCAAGCAAATTTGCAAAAATTGGTGGAATTTCTGATGGAGAAGGGACAACCACAAAAATTGACAATATCCAACAACGATGTTCAGCAACAACCACAGGCCTTGAACATTCAATTCTCCGAATGTCAATTGGACGGAAAGAAGAAACGTCGTGATGTTTGAATTAACAATAAAATAATGTTAGTTACATATCTTTTAATTTAAAAATATTTAATGGTTCTGTGTGTCGAATTCGAATTTTTTATCGTTGAATTCGCCCTTGGGAACCAAAAATTAAAAATAACAAGATCTAATCTTTTATGTTTGGCCACGAAATTGGTTAGTAGCTAAAATATAGATTTGTTATTTACATTACACTTTATTCCTATGAGGGGATGACATTTATAAACACAATTAAGTATTTGCCCGATATTGTTGGGCAGTCACTACTGATTATTCCCATTTTATCAATTCAAACTTTTCTAACTAATTTTTATATTTAGTGACACAAAGTGCGTTTTTTTGGCTCAGGTGTGGGGAATATGTTCGTCGCAATACAGAATAACTACATATATATTTATTAAACAATTTTTAAATTAGTGTATACACTAAAAATTAAATTAAATATTTCTACTAAATATACTCTATTTATTTTTGTTTTTGAAAAATTTTCAGGGAACTTCCTAAATTTTTTTAAAATATATAAATCTCATTGCCAACACTTTTTTAAATATTCTTAAAAATATTGTTGAATTTTTATATAATTCTCTCTCTATTTATTTTTAATTTAATATAAGAAAACCTTTTTTGTTTAATAAAGAGGGGACTAAAATAAATAATATTTCAGAAAAGGGCCAAATAAATTTTAGTCTAAATACTTGTTAAATAAATTCTTTGCTATGAACATATATTTTAATTTATTTTTATGGATGATTAACATCCAAAAATTTTTAATTCCGTTTTTATTGTTTTTTAAATTATTTTAAGCTCAAGTTGTTGCTTCTTAGGAAATCTAAACATGATTATGTATTAGTTTTATATATTTTTTTAACGAATAACTGAATAAATATATTTGTTTTGGAATAGTAAAAATGACTGGAATTTTTTTAAAGTAAAATTTATTGAGAAATTATTTCTCCCCCCCCCCCTCCCCTCCATTTAAAATTGAAAATAAAAATGTTTTTAATTATGAAATCTTTAAATGCACTTTTTTATAATTCCGGATGTTTACCGTCTTGTTGCGTGCCACTTATCACTAAAAAAGACTCGCCTGTCTTACCCAAAAGATAACATTAAAAAAGTAAACATCGTCTCCAACTCTTATATCCTCCTTAATTTTAAATTATTTTCACGCTTTTCAAATTGTTTGCCTTTCGCGTTACGCTTTTTAAAATCTGTTCGACAAACGGAGCTAATAAAAAATTCTATCGAGTTTATTTTTAAATTTTTTATCGGATATTTTGTTGATTTTTTGGGTTGTCTATTACAATAGTGCATTTACGTGGTTTCCTGTAATATTCGATTTATTGAGGGGAGTAAGTTATTATAAAAGTTGCCGCTTTTGGCAAAAAGGACATTCCCTTTTCCTCTTAAAAATTTTATTTAAAATTTTTTGTTAATTAATATTTCTTAATTACATAAATATATTTATAGAAAAATTTAATTTAAATAAATTTTGGGTATTGTCACATTATCTATGTTTTTCTTTCTCCTAAAAATTCAAAATGGTTTGAAATGTTAAAATATATGAAAATTAAATGAAAATAATTATTAAAATTTTTAAATAAAAATGTTTTTTTGTTAGATATTTCCCAAAAAATGAATATTATTTTTATTTTATTTATTTATTTTAATTATTTAAACGAATTATTAGCAATGGAAACTTTAGATGTTATGGTTGAGACTGTTGTGTTTGGTAGCACATAATATTATTTTTAGGCTACAATTGGGGACTAAATTAAAAATATTGGGTGGTTAGTAGGGTGAAATTTTGGGAAAATTTGGAGAAAAAGATATAATTATTTTATTTGTATAAGCTTTTTGAGGAAACGGTTAGTAAGAGCACTGCAGACTAGCAAGGGAAATAGCGGAATTTAAATTTTGGTTAAGTGGATAAGAGCGCTGACTACAAAATCGCTTAAAATTGGGTAGCGGGTTCGAACCTTTTAATGGTCCTTTTAATTGTTACCTTTAATCCATTAAAATCCTTTTAATTGTTACTGGGGTTAGCTTTAATTAATTTAGAATAATATGTAATTCTTCTCTAAATATTTTTTTCAAATTTTTAGGAATGAGAGTAAACGATTTGGGCCCTCTTTATTATAAACAATTATTTACTTCAATTAGTGAAGAAGAACAAAAAGAAATTTATTTAAAAACGAGTGTTTTTCTTTTAAATTTAAATATATTAAATAATCCTTCAATTCAAAAATTATTTAAAATTTCTGCAAAAGAATTAGAAAAGAAAAAAGGAAAACAAGTTACAGAAAATTTATTTATTTATTTAAATGAATATAAAAATTTAATTAAAAAATTAGAAAAAAATTTCAAAAATATTTTTTGGGAAGATTTATTAAAATTATATAATTTATTTATTTATTTTGAAAATATTTCTTTAAAACTTGAAATAAAATATATTAATTTTAAAAAATTATTTGGAAAAGAATTAATTGAGGAAGAAATAACTGAAGAGGAAAATTTAAATGGAATAAAAAGATTAAAAGAATTGGATTTAATGCATTATTTACAAATTAGAAATTGTTTTGAAAGAAGTTTTAAAGTAAAAATAGTTGGGGAAGAAATTGAAGTTAATTTACTTATTGAAATAACTGGATTACATCACAATAATGATAAAAATTTAATTAATGTTAAAAATAAAATGAGAAATATTTTGGGGGAAAATATGTTTAATAAAATAGAAATGGCATTTCCTGTTATATTTGAAATTGGTAAAAAATAAAGAAAAGAAATTATTTTTTAGAAAAAAATTTTACAGGATTAAGTCCAAGTAATTGGGAAGAGGGATTGAAGTTTGGATATAGAAAAGGGGGAAGAGGGAGGGGGAGGCAGGGCTATTCGCCATGGAGTTTTGGCGTGTTTAACCTTTTTTTGCGCCAAAACGCCATTATTTTTACACCCACTAATGATGGAAATTTTTTAAATAAATGGGGATGGCGTTTGCACGTTTTAAGAATTTGAAAAATTGGCGTTTGGCGAGCCACGCGAAAATTTTGGCGCACAGCCCTGTTGGAAGGGGAGGGGGCTGATAAGAGAAATTTAGGAATTAGTTTTGGATATTTAAAATTCCAAAAATAAATAGAAATTTTGTTAATTCCAAAATAAAATAAAATATCATACTTTTTTTTAAAAATATAAACTAAAATTTAAATATATAAATTTATTTAAATATACATCTACCTAGATACAATAGAAGAAGAGGAATATATAAAATTATTTAAAAGATTATTGTCAAATCCAAGTAATTGGGAAATGGCTAATTTAATTATTTACAGAATTAATATATCAAATATAGTTAAATATATTTATTTAATTTATGAAAAATTTATTGAAATAAAGTTGGAATATGAAGATAAATTTAATGAATTTTGGAATTTAAATATTTTTCCTGCAGCAAAAGATTTATTAAATGAAGATAAAGAAATAAAAGAAATAATTAAAATATATAAATTAATTTTTGAAATATTAATAAATAAATATAAAGAATTAATTAAAGAAAGGGAGGAGGAAGAGGAGGGGGAAGTAGTGATTAAAATTGAAGAAAAATTAAAATTCGAATTGGGAAACAAAATAATTGAAATTGCTAAAAATAATAAAAAATTTAAAGAATTTCTTGACACGACGAGGGGGGCTAAAGCTAGAATTCTTGAAATATTTGAAAGGGAAATGGATATTTATGAAATTATTTTTGAAGAAGAAAATGGGGATTTGAGGGAAATAATTAGTATAGGTATGTACTTGGAGGGGGGGGGGGGAAAGCTGTGGATATATTTACAGTCGTGGATGTTCATCAAAACTTTTTTTTTTAATTTTTAAATAAATATATAAAGAGTTATGTCGATATAAAAAATAAAGATTCTCAAATTTTCGAGAATTGATAAAACCCCCTATAATTTTTAATTTAAAATTTAATTTTTTAAAGAGCCAACAGAAGAAGAATTACTTTCATTTATTGCCTATAATTATTTAGATTTATTTAAAGCTAAAACAAAAATAGAAAAATTAAAAACAGAAATAACGGCAGATATTTTATTAAATATTTATGAAAATAATAATTATTTTTTTGAAGAAGAGGAGAAGAAAGAATGGAAAAAATTAAAAATAATTTTTTTATTATTTTTAGATTTAATTGAAATTTCTGAATTTAATTTTATTAAAAAATATGGAAATTTTTATAAAAAAATTTTGTCTAAATTAAAAGAAAAAAATATAAAAATAATTGGAGAAGAATTTAAAAAAATTCAAGAAATTAGTGAGGAAAAGGAGGAGGAAGAAAATAATTGTGAATTAAAAATTAAGCATAAAAATTTAATTGAAAAATTATTAAATAAAGGAATATTAAAAAGTATTTTTATTAAAAAATAATTATTAATTTATTTTTTAAAGATTTAAATGAAAATGAGAATGAAGGTTTATTTAAATATTTGGATGGAAACATTCCAAAACAAATTAATTTAAATATTTCTGAATCAAAGAAAAATAACAAAAAAGTTTTTTTTAATTTTTTTAAATTTAATTTAATTTTTAGAAAAATAAAAAGAAAAATCAAAAAACAAAAAATAAAATACTTAAAGGTTTTCTTTTATTGTTGAATTTAAAAATAAAAATAAATATTTAAAAAATATATAGATACTTCTTCAACTTCCTCCTCTTCCTCTTCATCATCAACAGCAGCACCCCCCTCCCCTTCTACCCCAGCCTATCAGACCCCCTCTACCCCAGCCTCTTCCTCCTCTTCCACCTCCACTTTATTAAAAGAAAATGAAAAAGAAGAAAATGATAATTTAATAGAAGAGGAGGTTTTTTTTAAATTTAAATTTAATTATTTAATTAATTATTTTTTTAGTTTTCTAATATTTTATTTTACAAAAATAATGAAAACAAAATAAATGAGAATATAGTTAAACAATTTGAATTAATTATAAAAGATTGGGTGGGT